GTATTTGGCGTTGCGGAGGCGGGCGAGGACGTCTGAGATGAGGGGGAGCGGGTACGAGTTCTTCACCGTAATCTCATTCAGCTTCCTGTAGTCCTGGACCAGGCGTAGGGACCCGTCCTTCTTCTTGACGAAGAAGACTGGTGCTCCCATGGGGGATTTGGACGGCCGTATGCGCCCGTTCTGTAGGTTCTCGCGTAGGAACTCGTCTAGTTCTTTCTGTTCCGGACGCGAGAGTGGGAAGGTCTTCCCCCTGGGCAGTTTGGCGTCCGGTACCAGGTCTATAGCGTGGTCCCAGGGCTTCCGGGGGGGCAATTGGTCAAAGGCTTCTTTGGAGAACACATCCCGGAAGTCCTGGTAGTGCTCTGGTACTAGCGTCTCAAACGACGCGGGCTCAGCCTCCGGGTCGCGGGCCTCTTGGGCCATCCGCTGCGAGGGGGTCGTGGTGGCTCTCAGGTCATGGCCCCAGCTTGGGGGAATGATGGCAGCATAGATCCCATCCCCAGGCTCCAGTACCGGGTCCTGATCATTTTGTATTCGCGGTTGTCTGCAGGAGGACGGGCAGCGGGACATGACGACTCTCTGTCGTACCCAGTCCACTTCTGGGTTGTGGTGCAGCAACCACGAGTGTCCTATGATGAGGGACTGGCGCCCGAGATTTGCAACCGCGAAGCGTGCCCGCTCTGTGTGTCGCCCGAAGGTCAGGAGGGCTTCTAGCTCTTCTGTTATAGCTCCATTTTCGTTCGGGGTTCCATCGACATTACGGACGGGAATGGGTTGGGGAAGGGGGGTTGTCTCTAGGTTGTGCTTTCGGACGAACTCGGGGCTTACGAAGTTCCCGGTGGCTCCTGAGTCCAGGAGGGCTGACACAGATACCGACGCGAGGGAGGTTAGGGCGGTCAGTTTCACTGTGAGGTTAAGAGATCTGGGGGACTGCTTGGAAAGGACGTAAATGGCGGGGGGGGAGACTGCTACCTCGGGCGTTGCTGCCCTTGGGGTCTTCTCGTTCTCACGGGTGGAGGATGCGTTTCTCCTCTTTTTCTTCGCGATGACTCGGTGAAACTTTGGCATTGGCGTTGGCTTACGCGCGCTGCGGTATTTACACGAGCTATCTTCTACGGGCGGCCGGGACGCATCCCTTACCGGTCGCCTGCCTGAAAATCCCTCTGAGGTTCTTCCTCTGGTTCCCCCTCCACCGTCTCTGTCCCTTCGGTCAACTGCCTCTTCAGCCCTTCCATCAACGTCCTCAGGTCTTCCGGGTGGAGACGTCGTACTCGGCTGACCCTGGGGTGTGGGCATTCTCGCGCGAGATGACCCGGGGTGTTACAGTTGTAGCACCGTCTCTGGTCAGTCCTCGACCTGTCGAGATCCATCGGCTGGGGGCCCGTCCCTGGTGTAGGACGGGCTGCTGGGGTGGGGGGCGGAGGTGCAGGAGCAGGTCGTGGGGGGTTCTGCGCGGGTCGGGTCTGGGATGGGGTCACGGTCAGCGGAGGTCGGGCTGGCGGGAATGGGGGTCTAGGTGGGGGTGCGCGTGGTTGGGTGGCTTGGAAACGTCGCCACTGGTTGTCCAGAAGCGTGGCTTCGCGCTTCCACTCAGTCCAAGTGGTGGGCATGGGGCGGAGGCGGTGTATACTCTCCCTGAGCCGCGAGTTAATCGCTTGCTCAAACCGGTCGACCAGCCCGACATCGCCTAGCCTCGAGGCGGGTCCCAATATCTCGAACTCCTGGATGACCTTATCCACGGAGTCAGTCCCTTGGCGGATGACTGCCAACTTCTGCCGAGCTGTGGCCTCCCGGTTCGGGTCTTGAAACATGGCATCGAGTTCCGTGTTGAACTCGTCCATGGTTATGGTGGGGGAGGTGGCTGTCAACAGGGTGATCGTCCGTTGTGTCGCCCACGCCCCTGCGGGTCCTCCCTTCATGTAGGAAAGGACGAAGAGGATCTGGGATAGTTCGGTGGGGAACTCGGCTGCGCGGACATGGAAGTAGATCCCGCACTCGGCTTTGAAGCGATCGAGGTCTTCACTGGCTCCTGAGAAGGGAGTGGGGGCAGCGACCTTCGGTGGTTTGGGTCTGGGCGCGAGTGTGGGTACGGGCGCGGGTGCAGGGGCGGGTGCGGGTGCAGGTGGGGGGTGGTTGCGGGTTTGGCTCTCCACAATGGCTTGGAGCTCCTGGAAGCGGGCCAGCAGGTCGTCATACTGTTCTTCTGACACCATGGCTGGGGAGATGGGTGAGGCGGGGGAAATAAGGTTAAAACCTTCTTCTGCTGTCAGGGACGCGTCCGGGGTCGAGAGGGCCCGGGGGTAATGCCCGGCACTGAGGCCGGAGCGGGGTGTGGAGCGGGCGTGCGTACTGGCGGGCCCGATCCGGGACAGTGGTCCCTGGCCACTCAGACTGAAGTGGAGAATGTGTTATTATTATTAAAGAGGAAAACTATACTACTTACCTGAAGTGGAGAATGTGAGAAGAAGGTTACTTCTTCGGTTCCCACTTCAGGTACATTTATGTACATGCGGCTTGAGTCACATGACAGGTGCCACGTCATCCTCGGAGGCAGCCGCAGGCATCCGGGTGTCCCCGTGGGGGATCCCGAGAGCGTCCGCTACATGCGTGCGTGCTGGGCACAGCGGGAGGCCGTCCGGGGTGTGTGGGCCGGACGGGTCAATAGTACATCGATACAAGGGAAGGTGGTCCGTGTAGATAGAAAGAAATAAACAGGAAGAGGAACATGAGAAGAATGAAATAAAGAAAGGGGAAAGAAAAGGGAAAAGAGGGGGGAGGAGAGGGAGGAAGGAGGGGGGAGGGGGATAGACAGCGGGGAGCGGGTGTGGTGTGGCCGGGTGGGCCCGGGTGGGCCCGGGTCAGGCGGGTGTGCCCTGACAAGAAGCCCGTCAGCGCGAAGCCGCGTCTATAGATGGGCCAGCTGTGGTGAACATTACCCAGACTCATAAAACACCGGGTACCTGTTACAACTGTGGTGCTTCAGACCACATGCGGAGCAACTGTGACATCAGCACTCGAGAAGCACGTCGCCGTCAAAAAAAATAATACAACCAAGTCTGGATCAGTGGAGAAGGGACATGCGAAGCTAGCAGATGTGGATGGATCTTATCCTGAATCACACGCTCTTTATTAATTGCATTCTTTATACTTCTCTCTCCTTAGTTTCTTCGTTCGAGAGGGTGTGTTGGAAGAACGACCTCGAAACCCATATTTACATATATTTGTATCGAATACCTTCCTAATTAAGAGTCCACTATATTCTCGTCCAGCCGCCCTCAACTTGGTTTTCTCTATAAAATCTGGAAGGCCAGATGCCGGAGAGTCATTGACCCCGACCACCCGCGAACCACTCCGAGCGAAATCAGAAACGCCCTCCGAGCCGGTCTCAACGACAAACTCCAACAAGATATTGCCCTGACAAATCGTAAGAAATACGGCCGAAAGGCCCTGCCGGCCAAGCTAGTCCTGCTCACCTGGAGCGGGAACCTCCATGAAGAAGGGAAACTGCCGGACAACTGGCTTAACAGCCCCGGGGTTTTAGTGGGTATACCGGACCCCCCATGACCGGGGCCGGGAGTCCCACACAGCGCCGATAACCGGCCAGTGCGCAACGCATTTCCCCGCGGTGGCAGACCGGCACAGACCACTCTATGGGATCCTATCTCCCTACACAAACCCCAAATACATGACCATGTATCGCGAAAGCTACTGGGGTTCCACCAAAAAAAAAAAAAAAAAAAAAAAAAAAAAAAGATGTCGTGGCAGTGCGGCTATCCGATCGTCAATACACAGCCTCGCAAGCTCGGTCAATGACAAGGTTGCTGGTGTATGAGCTCCAATTGGGAACGAGTCTGTCGGCCTGATCCAGACTCGTACCCAGTCGTCGTCGCTCCGTGGACGCGCACTGCGCACACGCAATTTCAAGTTGGGTTTATATTAAAAGTCACAGTCACCTTTACATGATGCATGAGTAGTCATCTTTTGTATTGAATACTTAAAGTCACATGTGCCGGAAATAGAGTTAAACCCGATCACCTACTCCGAAAACCAGCGCGCGACACTTCGCTCCAACGACTGGCACAAAAGTTGGGTGGCGGTGTTTTTCGGCAGCATCCGGGACTGAATTGTTGAGTCCACACAACTTGTGCGCAACAGATTAGGTTGTAGTCCGGTACATTTTTAGTGTCAACTCACATAAGATTTGTACCCGACCCACCCCAAAGGGTATGAAGGGCTGCGGAGTCAATAGCCTGAGCATGCAGAGAATCTAAGCCTTATATATTACTTTGAGAGCGTTGCTGTGTTGGTGCAAATTAGTGCAAATGGTATAGCGTTTGCTGAGGCTATGCACTTTTTTTGCTTGCTCGGGTTCGACTCCCACTTGGTAACTTCCTTTTTTTCATGCATCACCCCTTTCATACATGCGACAAATTTCCGTATACATCACCAAGACGTGAGGAATGAATGAAAAAAGGAAGTTACCAAGTGGGAGTCGAACCCGAGCAGGCAAAAAAAGTGCATAGCCTCAGCAAACGCTATACCATCTGCACTAATTTGCACCAACATAGCAACGCTCTCAAAGTAATATATAAGGCTTAGATTCTCTGCATGCTCAGGCTATTGACTCCGCAGCCCTTCATACCCTTTGGGGTGGGTCGGGTACAAATCTTATGTGAGTTGACACTAAAAATGTACCGGACTACAACCTAATCTGTTGCGCACAAGTTGTGTGGACTCAACAATTCAGTCCCGGATGCTGCCGAAAAACACCGCCACCCAACTTTTGTGCCAGTCGTTGGAGCGAAGTGTCGCGCGCTGGTTTTCGGAGTAGGTGATCGGGTTTAACTCTATTTCCGGCACATGTGACTTTAAGTATTCAATACAAAAGATGACTACTCATGCATCATGTAAAGGTGACTGTGACTTTTAATATAAACCCAACTTGAAATTGTGCGCAGTGCGCGTCCACGGAGCGACGACGACTGGGTACGAGTCTGGGCCTGATCCCTCTAAGCCGGGACGCCGCAATCAATGAACGGAGTTAGCCGAAACTCATTGATGTTGCGACCCTGCCGTCAGGTGAGCCCGTCATTCGGGGTGGTTTGACACCCTGCAAACGGGGAGCTTTTTCCGTGTGGCTGTGCTCTGCTCCTCTCACCCACTCTCGCCATGCTTTACACGCTCCTCGTCAACGCTGGATTGATTCTTGGGAGCATACTGGCCTATTTGGGCGGGAGCGACCCTAATGAAGACCTCACAAAGGGGGATCGGGTTCGCCGTGAAACTCATATGACAAGCCCACTGAATCAGGTGAAGATAGCGAGAGTAAGCGTTCGACGATAGTGGCGAGCGCAGTCCATTGACCCATATTTCAGTTCTCCTCTGGCATTTTCACTCTTCTAGAGTTGTATTTGCAATTGACCCCAGCACCAACTCATCCTTATCTCATCTCTCTTCCCGATATTCTCAAACGGGTTCTCCCCAACTTTTCTCCCGTCCCCAATTCCGCGTCATTTATCACCGGACTTCGTGTACTGGCCCTTTTTGCCTTTATCGCCGGTGGAGCTCTCCGTCTCTGGGCGATACACACTTTGGGGCGTCTATTCACATTCACACTCACCATACGCGAAGGTGAGTAAACATTTCTCGACAAATACAATCTTCTACGGACCAGATCCATTGGACTAACAACCTTTCCAGGCCACAAGCTCATCACCAGCGGGCCTTATGCTTACGTGCGGAATCCAAGCTACACAGGATTCTACATTCTCTGGGCAGGCGGGCTTATCCTTGGGACTACAAGCGAACAAGCAGAAAGAGCCATCGGCCTCAGGACCGCTATTGTTGAAGCAGGTACGCTAGGGGTAGCGAGTATATTGCTTTTTGCCCTTGCTGCAACTCTCATGGTGCATCGGAACATCTTGGGACCGAGAATCAAAAACGAAGAGGAAATGCTTGAAGCTGAGTTCAAGGTGGAGTGGGAAGTGTACACGAGGGATGTCCCATATAAAGTTCTACCCTACGTGTGGTGAGGGTGGAGTGCTCAAAAACCCCCGTGGGGACCGACCTCGAACCCCGCTGGAGCAAACGCTCTGCTGATCCCTACAAAATAGATTCCTTCCTGGTCACCCATTCCTTGTACTGCAATTCCCCCCCCCCCATAGAATCCATTATCTACCTATCGACGGACAAGCTTACACCAGACGCACCGCGCAACTTTGTTTCTGGATGGATCCCATCGTTGGATCATGAGGGTTTTATAAGAGTTAATTCTTCATGCAGGCTTAGTCGTCGTTCTTCCCCCCGGCCGTGATATGCTTCGTGATACGACTTGAAATGCAGATATCTCTACTAAGTCACACTGACGAGAGGGCTCGTGCACGAAGAGTTTCGTTACTCGCACCCAGCCTTCGGTTGTATACATTTCCTATTGGAGACCGCGGAAGAAGGCATTTGAGCCCGATACGGTGTACTATCATTAGATTCCCGTCCAATGCTTTGGTTGATCCCAGAAGTATCTGTTTCGCTTCTTCCAGGGTCGGCTTGCCCCCATTGTATCCAGCTCCGAATCTTTTTCACCGTACGGGCACATCCGACATCGTCCGTCTAGAGCCCGCGGGAGATGATCTAGGGAGAATGCTTTCTCCAAGACGGATAAAGTCCCAGATTCAGAGTGTAGAGTATCTTGAATAATGGCAGATCGACAATGAATAATAAGGCTTGTTAATTAGATAAGAGAAAGTGGCGGAAATGCGACACCACCCACGTGGGGCAAGTGACGCAAAGCTGGAATTGACCGTGGTAGTGATGGAGACGGTCAGGAGATTCCTGCCTTGCAGGTTGGGAGCATAATTCCAGGCAAGGCAATAAGCCTGTTCGGCTTCCAAGAGCGATCACACCTTTTTGTCCCGCCCAACAAGGCAAATTAGAAATCCGGAGGAAAGTGATAAGTCGACCGTCCGTGGGCGGTAATTGGAACGCCGAAAGTATACGACCCATAGTCAACAATGTCAACCCCAAAACGTGGTTGCTAACAAGGGAGGTGGCTCTTGGGCACCCATATATAGGCAGGACTCCAGACTCCAGCCTCTATGATCGACTACCCACATACATTGCAAGGGGTTTCCATATATCTGCCAAGCCCGACATGCCGCGCGTGGCCCCATGCTTTCCAGGCGAAGCACAAGAATCTAAGAATTGCCACTTGTCTTATAATACCGTAAGCACTTTGGCAACGAGCAAACAAGGATAGGATGATCGATCCCCTGCAAAATGGTACTGTGCGCCATTGCGGAGCTCACGTATCAAGGAAATTAATTCCACAAATTGGGTTCATCTCGGGATGTGCATCTAGTGCTAGGAGATGTGAAGTGGATCAGGAACTGACCACGCCACTCCTCAAGGTAGGTTGGGAGTACCTATTATGTGACTTATGTAGTTCCATGCTTCAGCGTGGCGCCGAAAACTGGCGACGGTATCGATTCCATCAGTAAATAGATTCCCGGGGATATTGCACACCCCAGGATGTTTGTGCTCATGACCAATCCGGTAAAGTTAAAGGCCGACAGCCTGAGCGCCTTCAAACTTTTGCAAGTTTCGGGCAGTGCAGCATGAAAGGTGTGATATTTCGTCAAATTGCGAAATGGACGAGACAGCGTGAAGAGGCTGCATGAGTCAGTTTTATATATCGACCAGGGAGCGAACATTGTCCATGCTCCACTATAGAAGGGCGTTCGGGTTGACCACCAAAATGCATACGGAAACATTGATGCCCTAAATAAACTCCAAGAATGGGAGGCATCAAGGAGGTTCCAGCCTCGGGGATAATTCCTACCACTTGGATCGAAAATTGACGGAGAGCTGTGGACGGGGATTTGAGGACGTTGACGATGTTTATCTAAGGGTCTGGTGTCATCCCGAGCATGGCACAAACTAAATCAGAAGTATGGTCTACATACAACTTATCCGAAATGCGGAAGGAAGGTGGACCAAGACGGGATTTGGTATAGATCGGGAGGAGGCGAACGCAGGGAGGTGAACGAAACAACAAGCAAGATAATCCGGGCAGTGACATAAACGGCCGTAATGACCATTATACAGTTCTTGGCTATATTGGGGTTATCAAGCCTTTCGCAGAGCACACAAAGGACAGGGAACGCTGCGATAACTAACGCCGACGTCCGCCACAACTGCATCTCCGCAAGCGTCGGAAAGGGGGATGACCACGCAAAGCAATGGATTCCCCCAAAAATGATGCCCGTGGCTATAAACATCCAACTAGGGTCTAGTTCCATGATCTTCGCTAGAGCCGAATGTATGTCAGTCCCCGTTCCAGGTCGCGGCTGAACGACATCCATCCCAGAAGTCGAGAAATTGGGTCGGGGCTCTTTCGCCACATGGATTGCCAGGAATCGAACGTTAACGGGTTTATGCCACCACAACAAGTAGACAAGGGCGTTGAACGCCGCATAGCCCAGTGTCATTGCCTCCAGTTGTGATCTGTGCAAATCGCCTACCCATCGTCCGACATATTGAGCGATAAACCATAGTAGTTGAAGGATGATGGCAAATTCAGCGAAGAGGTCCCCTCTGCACCTGTCAAGAATTTGCTCTTTCGTTATTACGACCCTTCTCTGATCCCCAATTTTCTGAATTATTCCAGGATACTTTTCAAAGACACTCAAGGCATCTACATTCCTATCGGGAATCACTGCTGCTCCTTCGGACGAGTCGAAGAAGCCGCGCATGACAACAAAATAGGAATGCGTAAACGTCCATCCTTGAGACATGTACAAGTCAGAGCTTTTCCCCCCCTTTAAAATGTGCGCAATCCTCAAATTCGGGGGCGCACCTTGAATCATCTTGCATTTTTTCGACATTATCCAAGCGTTGCAGAAATCCATCCATCCATCCATCAGAATGACCCCCGGTGAAAGCAGTGAACCCATCATCAAGCCAACACGAGGTAATTTAAACGACCAAGTACTGTGATGCCGTGCTGACAGGTCCGGATGCATCCCCGTGCAGACGCACGCAAAAATGGTGAAGGCACAACTATAAATGAGGCTCCACACCGTTCGGCAATTCTGTAGATCATTGCAAGTATGAGATCCATGTAGCGAGAAATCAGTGATGTTATGAGGAGGGATAGAGGCTCCGTAAACATTGTGAGAAAGGATGAGGTTGATGAGCACGGTTGCCATTGGGGGCGGGGGTGCAGGCGCACCAGTCATAGACGGAGTATGAGTTTTATATTGTGGACCGAACGCATGACAGAAGCACTTCAGCTCATGCAGCTTCCCGGGGCGGGCCGATGGGATTCCGTAGGTCCCATAACTAAATTCGACCACTGATGGAGGAACATAATCAACTTCGAAATTGATGCCGTGGGGGAGGGGGTCTTGTCGATAACGTCGATATGAGCCAAAAACTTCCGACCCGATAAAATTCCTGTGATGAGAGCGTGGGTAGGCGCAATCAGAGAATTTCAACGGGGCTAAACGCCAGAAGTGGAAGAGAATAAAGCGAGCCTTTTTATATTGTCGCCTTGGGATTATTCTAAGTCCCGTCATCAGACAGGGCGGGATATAATAGGTCCACCCGCGCCGTCCCAAACAGATTAAGCACAGAAGCAAAGCGCCGTCCAGTGAACCCTCAAGGATCTTCCGGACAAACTGAAATGACAATCATACCGAACGGACCCAGAAATTGAACACCGCATTCTCCAGACTCAGTGCCAGTCGCTCACGTGAGCGACTGGCACTGAGTCTGCGCATTCTCCGCATAGAGTTGATTAATTCAGCCTCGCCTTATCAGTTTCCCAGGAATTATCACAGGAGACTCAACTCGCAGATCCTAGCCAAACGGCGTATATGCCGCCTCATAGCTTTTGAATCATAGCAAACCCTTTCCCGGTCTTCCTAAAGCTTCGCATGATGGTGTTTTGCTTTCAACGGTCCAGGGACCTAAGCCGTGGTCGCAGGAGCGCATGAAGACACAAGTTGGGGCCCGCACATCAACTGGTACGTCACCAAGCCCACCCATACAGTAAGGCTGACACTTGGGTTCAGGTCTAGACACTATGCACACATTGCGCGAACGGGAACAACTCGGCCGATCGAGCAACTATATTGTAACGTTAATTAAGTAGTCGAGAGGCCTTCCTTGAGGGATGTTGTACTCGGCTCCCTGGTCATGTTTTCGAAGCAAAGCCGACTGCGTTGGGAGACAAGCCAGGGTTCTCCAATGGGTTTAACAGGTGTGAGCAGGCTGGCAATCGCCGACAATCAATACTGTCACGTCAATCCTTGACACTCCGTTGACGAGGAAGATGATGAGGGTGACATGATCTCCTCATCCATAGACACTACATTGATAGAGAACAAGTTAACTAACATACATTTTAAAAAAAGAACAATCAAAAATAAGGTTATGAATCTCTGGACCCAGGGTGGATGGCAAATCCAAGAAAAGTGTACGCATTTGTGCCAATCAAAAAATGTTCAGGTGTCGCATAAAAAGTTCTATATAGGGGGGGGAGCGGGTCCAGGTAAACCAAGGTAGCGAAAAAAAATTTTCACCAGGGAAGTGGAGGGAGGGAAGGTCATCCGTGTCATTCGTGTCGTCAAGAACTGTGTGGATAGATAAATATGGGCGTGTGAAGCAGGATTCAAATTTATGCGTCGAAAATAGCAGTTGCAGAAGTGGGGAGACGATTGGATAGTGACTCCCACAACTTCTCCTTGGCACGAATCTCGATATTGCCAAAAAGCTCTTCTTGAGAAACCTTGAGACAATCCCGAGTGGTGAGAACAAGAAGCTCGAAGAAGAACGCCGATGCAGCCCGACGCGACGCCTTTCATCACCGCCCAAGCAAAAAACAAAACAATCAAAACAATCATCAGTCAACAGGGAAGAACTGTGCCAACACGACATACCTTCTCGGCAACCTTATTGAAACTAACCCACTTTTCATCTCCTTCACCCTCCTCAGCCTCCAAACCCTTCCGAATGACAGCAATAGCCTTCACCGTATTCTTACTATACCCTTTACTCTGAACTTGTTCCGTAGACCGTTCGATTTCCTCCTCCTGAGTCTGCGTCTGACTCTGAGACTCCCCTTCTTTACTCCTCATATCGAATATCCCAATCGAACACGACTGGGCATCATAAGAATCTAATCCAAATTCCTCATCCCCTCTTAGCCCAGGCGAACTCCGCGTGTCATCGATGAGTGACATTTCGCGTTGGGTCCTTGGAACAGGCGTCTTCCGACCCTCAGGCTCTCCGTCGATATCCATCCCCATCGGATCGATCCCTCCACCTAGATCAAGGCTAATTCCACCCTCCTCAGCACCAACATAGTCACCAAGTCCAGCCATATCAACATCCATATCGTTCTTCCCACCGGTGACGTCCCCGCCAAAAGCACTGAATCGTGCCTCGCTCTCAGCTCTCCGCGCGACTCCAGGCGATTCCTCTTCCGGAACAGCAATGCGGGCTCTCTTTGGCGAACGGGGATCCGTATCATCCGTACGTGGTCGACGATGGTCGTGTACGGGGAACATGAACAAATGTCTCAATTCCGGTGCCACGCCTGGAGGCCCAGCATAGAAAAAGGTCCCCTCTGAAGTGGTGGTAGTCGGCATGAAGTATGCAAGCGGATCAGCCCGAATTTCCAAAAGACGCATCACTGTCGTAGACCGCGGAAGGAATCGTTGCTAAATTCGACATGAGGTCAGAAGACTTCTGATTCGAAGATCGCGGAAAGTTGGACTTACCTCGGTGGTAATTGCACTGACATCCGGATCCTTGAAATCACCCAATCCTCTACGCCCACGAGCACCAGGACCTTGCTTCAACTCGGTGACCTCATCGATTATCTGCAACTTTTTGGTCCTTTTCTTCCTCTCTGGGGCATTTTCGCGTTGTTCCGCTATTCGTGCGATCCGTGCCGCGGTCTTGGGAGTAGGAGTGGATATAGAGTCCTGATTAAGATTGGGTGGAGTTAAGGGCGGAGGGGTCGTCAACGGGGAGCCTTTATGGATTGTGGAATGGGTTAATAACAAATTAGCGTTGGTTAGCAATAAAGGGAAATTTGAACATACTGGCACGAGAATTAGCTTGACCAGGGGTTTTCTCCCGTTCGGGGTCAGCTAACGGTACATCTTCACCGAAACTAATCCCAAGGTCTTCTCCGCCAAGGTTGAAATCGCTCGGGAATCCAAATCCATCATCATGACCTCCGCCGAAATCAAGATGACTAGGCTCACGGCCTTTACTCAAGACGGACACATCACGTTCGAAATCACCAGGTCGTCCTTCAAGGCGAGTATCCAACGAGATACGAGGCGAACCAGGTCCAGCATCATGACGACCCAGTTCAACACTCATCGTTTCATCCGCGGCTGCTGCTGCTGCTGCTGCTGCTGCTGTACCTTCTCCTGCAGCGTCAGGACCAACCGCCACACCAGGTTCATCATCACCAAATGAGATCCCAGCATCGAATCCACCCCAATCTTGTGATCCAATTCCATCACCTTCAAAACCCCACCCATCATCCATAAACCCAAAGTTCATTTCAGCTGTAGAGAGTGTGATATCATTATCACGAGCGATATGTGACTGGCCAAGATTACTCAAGTCCCTATATGTTACAAAGAAGAGGTAAAATATCATAAGCAAGTTGAGATGTGAAAGGTTTGAAAAAAAAAAAGAACGGTAAATGTGCACCAATTAGCATCGGGAAGCATGAGATCGATATTGAATAGATCTGCCGAGATGGTGATCGCATTCCTCGGTACCGTCAGTTGATCCTCCGTCATATCAACCACACCAGGTCGAAAAGCCTAACACACAAACAAAAAAAAAACACCTCACATAAGAGAAACAAAAAACCAAAACGATCGTTATGACGCACCAACTTGATTTTAGCAATTGCTTCGTTGCAATCATCCAGTAGATACTTGGCTTTTCGACTATAGATCCTGACGACACCCAAGAGTAACTGACCACTCAGTCGGAGTGCCATTGGTTGACCTTCCTGATCCACGATAGCATCTAACACAAAAACGCGTCAAAAAAAGAAAAGTTAGTACACGCGGTTACGGGGCAAACCATATAACAATAAACCCAGAGAGAGAGAGAGGGAACATACCGACGGATTGTTCAATGTCTGTTTGAAGCGTTAAAGTCTTTGAGAGCTTACGCTCATAGTGAGCAGCAAGCCATACGCGTGCAAGAGGACCACGACGACTAAGAATCGCCTCGCTATAGAACAACGACATAGTCGTTTAACTATAGTGTGCCTAATATGTGTGTGTATGTGTGTGCGCGCGCGCGCGCGTTCGCTCGCGTGTATTGTTGGATGGGATGGTGGCGGTGGCGGTGGCGGGTGGGGGTATCCTCGTATTGTTTGATACGACCACGATATTTTGTCAAGGAAAGGAGGAAGGCAGGAGAATATATATATATATATCCGCTTGTAAGGTAGAACCGCCAAAAAAAAAGAACACAAAAAAAGAGAGGGCGCTTGGTCGTTGAGTTGTTCGTTCACAAGCACTGAGTGTTGTTGAAACGCCCCGGGGCAACGGATGTGTTGGAACAATCCGGAGAACAGCTAACACCGAGTTATCTCCGTTATGCCCGCCTCAATGACGTAATGAGGGGAGGTTTGGGATCTCTTTTACACCTGCAAAGGGACCTTTTTTTTTCTCTTTCTTCTCGAGCCCAAGCCGCGCCCAACAACTCATGATACAAGGGAAGAAGGCTGGTCAGAAACACCATTCATTGCCCTCTCGTCTACGGCCAGCCATGCCCCTTGATAGATGGAAAACAAAAAAACAAAGCTATTTTACATAACTTATCACTTCCTATGACGAAGAAGGGAAGAGGGGGGGTTGCGGTCCCAAATGGCACGGCTGAGCCAAAACGTCCCTAGGGTCGAATGCTTAGCCAGATCTAGGGTTTCTCCCAATCGACACGCCTTCTATGATCTACAGCTGAAATCCCTACCAAGCTATCACGGATCTGGAAGACTGGACCCAGACTAATGCCCCCTTCTGTCATCTTCACCTCATTCCGTCCCTCCTGTCGAACCCTTCTGAAATAACGAGCCTTGGCCGACTAAACTACTGGGGGGGCTAATGGGTGTTAACTGGATGAGGTTGCCTGCCTCGTCATCGTCACGGTGACGGTATCGACCTAATGGAACGATTGAAATGTCCCCCTTCCCCTTACCTCACGCGAGCAAGCATGCTCCGTGCGTGTGTGGCGTTCAAGGATTCCCCTCCCCTATACGTTTCCCATGATCAGGACATCGCTTTCGTTTGGGGATTCACCACGATGAGTATTTCCATTTTCTTATTCACTCTTTTGGATGCATGGGGGGCCCTTTTTCACTTATGATTTCCTTTTTTCCTTTTCGTTCCTTCCGTCCGTCCCCCCACCTTCATCATTCCTTTCTCTTCTCTATTGCCCTTTCCTTTTTTTTTTTTTTTTTTCAATTATGATTGACGACAAACATTGTTATTTCGGTATATCCAAAGCGCTCACAATCACACGATCACAGGAATGGAAAAAAAAAAAAACAGACACAGGGGAGAACGCAAAAGGTTCCTACAGGCATACTCGAGAAAACAAAGAAAAAAGAAGAAAACCCAGACAAGGATATCGTGGAATATAAGGTCCCCCTCCAACACGAGCCCCCCTCCCTTTCTGCCATCCCTCAAGGTTGTTGTTGATGGTGGTGGGGATGATATTGACCCCTTTCCATCGCATGACCATTGAGCGTCTTCGTAATAAGGAACGTAGGCTTGCGGAACGATTGCCTGTTCCATTTGGGAGATTGTTCTTCTACCCAACTAACGAAAAATGTCCGGTTACCCCAACATCCGATCCAAGGAAAATACGCAAACACGCGAAGACTGAAAGGTGGGAAAGAGAAGAAAAAAGTTACAGATAGATTACAACTCAACGTTCACCGTCTGATTTTGGAAAAGGAGGGGGAAAAGAAAATAGCTTTAAAAAAAAAAGTGGGTTAACGTCAACCACATACCTCCAATCAACCTCAACTTCTAAAATTCCACCAACGCCCGTAATGAAGGCGTTTAGGTCAATGGAAGAGTAAAGGTAAGCGCCATTACGATCGCGACACATGGCGCAAAGTAAACCGCTGGACCGAAGGTTTATCTCTTTGCTCGTTCCAGAAAAACCAACATCCATCCACTATAAAAGTTGTAAAAACAAAGAAGGTCGGAATTATACAAAAAAAAAATAATTATCATCAGAAATTGGGTCCGGTTTGTCGGAAGGGATTAGGGGATGGTGGAGGGAGGAAGGGGGAAGGGGGGAGGAGGAAGTGGATTGCCTGCCTACGATAAGAGTTCCATTATCATTCCCGATGAGTCTATCGAGATCAAGTGAAGACCTTTGGACCGTCCCGTCCTTGGCGACGTACTCGGACCAGAGAATGGCAGGGCTTGCCAAACCGTACTTGTCAGATTCGGCGAATAGAGTCATTTGGGCGTTTCGTTCAATTACTCTCCTTTTTCCTCGTCGGAGAACGAGAGAGAGATGTATCGGGGGGGGTATCCTATCCCTTCTTCCGCCTACAAGACGCCTCAAAATGAAACGGTGCGTTTGCGCTGTTGTTTGCGCTGGGGGACGGCGGGTTGTTGCGAGTTAGTGTGTGGTGAAAGACAAAGTGTGAGAAGGGCGAAGGATATATGAAGGTTCTGCAGGGATGATTTGTTGTCTCGTCCCCCCAACGTGTGCTTGTGCACAAGGTGGCTGGAAAAGTATAGGTAGTGCAATACTTGATTGATTGAAGTGGTTTCGGTTCTGCAAAGAAACCTACATGGTGGTATGTGTGTTTTTTTTTTTATTTATTAAAAAAAAAAAAAGAGAGGGAAATTGTTTCTGCTTTCAGTTTGTTGACCGTTGGTAGAAACAGGGGAAACGAGAAGAAGAAAGCTGAAGCGCCATCGGGTGGAGGAGGTCAGTTGAGGGAAGGGGGGGAAGCGGGGATCGACGGAATCCATAGATGGACGAATGGGTGGTTTGGGGATGGTGAAAGGAAACCGGTGAATTCGCAGAAACTGGACTCAGGCGCTCTTGTGTGGTTTTGTCGAGGGGGGGGGAGGAAATAGGCTCACGTGCTCACAGTCTACGCTTTATTCCGAAAAAGGGGGGGGGTTGTTGATTTTGTTTGTCTTTTTGGCGGGAGGGGGGGGTCTCTTGCAAAACGGTTGAGTCGCAAAGCGCAAAGGAGTTGGAAATCGAAAGCGATCTTCAGCCGGGTATTGTTGGAAAAAAGAATATTATTGCAACGGGTAATTTTTTTCCGTTTGTAAAAAAAAAAAAGTGTGTGTGTGTGTGTGTATGTGTATTTAATAAGACACTAGTGACTAACCCCCTCATCGAACACTAAAACGACAAGACGCATATGACCAAGCTGTTTCTCAACTCTTGTGTGTGTGTGTTTCTCTTCTGTTAAATTGGATCGTAGGCCCACGCGGTTCACAAATCGGATTATTTATATGTTACAACTTGTCCAACGATTCCGAGCGTGACTACCGATGCATACGTCGAGATCGACGATTTCCCCCTTAGGGATCTTGCCGTTTGGATAAATCGAGAATATATTATGAAAAATGAACGGGGAAATTCGTGTGTGCTTTTTTATAATTTGCGGCAACGATAAATTGCCCTTATGTAGCAGCGCAAAGAGGCGCCCGGTTTACGAACGTCAGTTTGGTTCCGCACGTGTTCATTCAGTGATGTTTGCACTTGCACCCCCCCCCCCATTGCCGTTCAGCGTTTTGGCCGGTTTTGAACAAGGAATGACGTCGTTTTTTTTGTTTGACGGTTAAGGGAAAGGAGCTTGAGACGGTAAGCGGTTCGAAATGTATGGCAGAAGGGGGGATATTTTGCTCAATCCCCTTTTTTGTTCTACCTATTCGTCACTATACATAACGCAATTATGCAGTTGATGCATATATGTAATGCACAAGTGCGTCACAGAAGGAAACACGGGGGGGTTCGTAAGGGGCTAATCACTGGCAAAACACGTCCCTCTTCTTATGACTTTCTCATTTTAGGTCAATACCATTCTAAATAACCACACCCCAACGTTTTTTCACCAAACAGAAAAAAACCAATTCAATGTCATTGGCATCTAGAGCTAACATCACTCATCTCTCTATGATCGATTGGTTACGAGGAAACAGGGAAATTTTTCAAAGTAAACAAGAAGAGCACAACATTCTCATCATCACCAATGTCTTTATCCTCAATCGCCAACAAACGACCAACTCGTCTGTTCTCAGGGTACCTCGATGGCCCGCTCAAAGAACAAAATGATATCCGCTATTTTATCCTAATCGTTGAGGCTGAGACGTTTCGCCTTCCCGATCCAACTAATAAGTCCCACTTCGGGACTTTCAGGATAATCCCTAGGCATGCTAGCAACATGACGTCATACACATCGCATCGTAATGGTTCATGCCACTATAGCGAAATCCTTTTTGTTTTTCTGTTTGGGTCGAACAAGTACTGCATCGAGCCCGGTTGGTTACATTATCATATGAATTCAATCGTAAAAAGTATATATTCGAGGGGGGAGCCGCCCATACATAATTAAATCTCTGGGAAGGGGGTCCCGAATAAATTTATTCTTACCTAAGCCCCTACAGTAACTTGCCCAGGCCTTACCCTATGTAAAACTTCTTTTCTTCCTCCAATTACAACAACGCCGGTTCCTTCCCACAATCGCCTCACAAGCCCCTTTGAGGCACAGGTCCCCTTTTTAGGGAGCAGGCTACTTACGTAATTCACCCATTCGCTCCGCTTATCGTAAACATGAGAGCGATCGGGGTTTTTAATTTTGTTGCAAGTGATCATGATCTGCGCGCGAGAGTGACCCTCCATCGCAATAACACGAAACTAGCCAGCCACCCGTAATCGTCCATGCGGGCAGGTGTACCACTGCCTGTCGATGAGAACTACATTGCGAATAACTGCCTTCTGTTACAAAAACATCAAGATAATAAATCAAAGAACTAGGATTTCATGATCGATTTATCGGACTTCTGTGCATTCTCACACAAGCAACATGAAAACCGGGTATGAAAAGAGGTTTGTTTGGCGAGTTCATGTCAACGAGGCGCTCGGAGTTGAGCGGAACTCTGCAAGGGCTACTGTAATAACTGGATCAACGGAGAGTCCCGGGAGGCTTGGTTGGCAGATCCGAGAACGGGTTGTCGGGAGTTGAACCGGAATCGGACAGCTAGCTAGCTTGACAATGAATGAACAGAAAGCAGGCCCCAACCACTAGGGTTGTGTCCATAGGTTTGATGATATAATACATAAGCCATCGGCAAATACGTGTTACAAATCACAACATTTGCATGACGGAGATCAGGCTCAAATCGCTCCTTCGCTATTATATCTTGCGATCCTCACCTCTTGATCTCAAACAACTATATCATCACGAAAACAGCTTTGAAATCTCCTCGTACACTTCCTCCGTCAACTTTGGGATCAGCTTGATAGCTCCCAAATTCTCCACCAGCTGCTCAGGTTTTGATGCCCCTACGATAAGTGTTGCGACCTATATATCAAAAGTCATAGAACCATTCCTTATAGAGGGAAGGAGAGGAGAACGAAAGAAAGACTTACGTTCTTAGTCTTGGCAGCCCACGCTAACGCAACTTGGGCAGTAGTAACCTGTCCATCACCCCGGGAATTGCCCACACAGTAAGTAATCAGACCCCCCAGTGAACGTAAATAATCCTCTTAAAAAAAGCATCAACGTACCTCTTCTCCAAACTCCCTCCTCCCAATCTCCAACAACTTCTTCACCTTTTCAATCGTCGCCTTCCCCGACTCACCTTTCAAGGATTCCACCTGCTTCTGAACAAAATCGAGCGAAGAGTGCTTTGCAAGTCGGCTATCAGGTGGGATTTGCCCATGGTTGTATTTCCCCGTTAGCAACGATCCAGCTAGGGGTGACCAGACGGTCGTTCCGTAGTTGTACTTCTCGAATACGGGCTGTTTGCTCATGTGGGAAAAAAAAAAGAAAGAAAAAAAATTGAGAGATGAGATGGGGTAGACTCCACCGACAAACGTGATTTGGCACGTACGAGGAGATCTTTCTCGACGTGTTCTCGAGCCAAGGCGCTGTAACGTACTTGGTCCGCACTACAACCACAAATCAACGGAAGGTGGAGTGGAGTGGGGATTAGAGGTGGAAAAAATTAACCGCCCGGGAAAGTTTAAGGTGGAACAATGAACGCACATAGGAGCATGCAGGTTATACTTCTCCGCAATCTCTACGGGACCGGCAACGATCATTAATACTCAGCATCCCTCATCCTCGTTATTTCAGAGTGGAATTTCTTTACTCACGATGAGCTTCCTCGATCTGTTCCACACTCCACATGCTCGTAGCCCAATAAAACGCTTTGCCTTGTTCGATCAGCCAGCTAAACGCTCGGACGATTTCTAACATTGGTACGTTCGGATCCGCACGATGCGCGAACACAATATCCACTGAAACGATAATGGAAGAACAGAAAGTGAATTTTAAAAAAAAAATCACCCCGATCCGTCCGTAAGCGTCTTTTGCTCGAGCTGTGAAATAATAGACATTACCATAGTCCGTTTGAAGGCGTTCAAGGGAATCGCAAAGTCCTTCGATGATATGTTTCCTCGATAAACCACGATCGTTTGGTCCATTCCGTCCAGCATTCCCAAAGAAGATCTGACACGAAAAAGTGAAACAAACAAAAAAAAAAAAAGAAAAGGATTCGGAAACAGCGCCCAATCCATTGACACACACACACACACACACAAGAGGTCATTTCAGTTTTCCATATAGGAAGGAGGGATCATCAGTTGGATCGAGTTTTTTTTGCGGGGGTTGAAAATTGTGCTTACTTACTTTGGTACTAAGAACGAGATCGGAACGACGGATGCCAAGTTCTTTGAACACTCGGCCCCTGTTCCAGAACCATATTTGAATTGCAAATGTATGGGATCAATTCAAAAGATTTAAAAAAAAAGAAAATGCGACCCCAGGAAATCAAGGGCGGGCCCATCGATCCATGGGAGTAGGCGGGATGGATGAGGAAGGGAGTTTGGAACGTACATCTCTGTTTCGCTCTTGCCTGCGGAATACACCTCGGCGGTATCGAAACTAATACATAGAAGATCGGCCAAAGAGTGCTTCGATTAGAATCCCGAGATGTTGCATGGAAGTAGGTTAACGAGAAAGCGCGGGGGGGGGGGAAGGAACTTCGCGGATGTACAATAGGCGTGTACGTGGTGGGGGGGGGGGGGGAGCGCGGTGTTCATGTTTAATGTTTATGTAAAGGGAGGAACATACTAATTGATGCCCGCCTCAAATGCTATCTTGATGATCTCCTTAACTGGATCTCCCTGTACGGTTCCTCCAAATGTGAGCCATCCGCCCAGACCGATAACAGAGACTTGAAGACCAGAATTTCCCAGACGGCGGAATATCATGTCCTGAAAGTGTGGGGGGGAAGTTACTTAGCGTAAGGGGGGGGGTTTGTATTCGCAACTGAGCAATGTTATGACAGCGAACCTTGGGATCGTACTGAAGCGCGTCTGTCATGATGATTCCAAAGTGCGTTTAGAGCTGCTTGAGAAGGATGAGACGTTCGCAGAAGGACTGAGGGAGTAACAACGTCGGTGACTCGGCTGAGTTGATGATTATTACAGCTTTTGATGAATTGCTCTATTGAATTGTGCGACACCTTGATCATACTCAGGTTTTCGCAGGATGTAAGTTCTCTTGCTCCTCAACGACTTGGATACGAACCCGGTTTCAGACTGAGAAGTCAACTTCCCAAGACGGTTTGGAACGGTAAGTGCCTCCTGGTTCAGGCAGGATCCCAGCCCCTCCACTCCTAGTTTGCGATCGCTGAATCGTCAGATTAGAGATGACTCTGCTCTCCAAAGCGCAAACCTGCCCGCTCGATGTGCAACGTATCATCATGTCTTGTCTTGCACCCAGGAATGCGGCGCGCATGGCATTGACCTGCAGGGACTGGTTGTACGCATCCCGAGAGCGACTCTATCGAACCTTAGAATTGCATTGCCCGCTGAAACGTATGGATCGCACACTCAATCGATCTGCAGAAATACGGGACTTCGTAAAGTTCCTCAGCATTTCTTGTTGCGAACGTTGCCCTCTTCCTGATTGGATGACTTTGTTACCAGCGGGTAATGTGCGACAGGTCAGATTGTATGTCCCAAACTGGCTGAATCGTTGCCCGTCGACCGCGTTACCATCCTTGCCTTTGATGAATCAAGTCCACACACTCTCTTTAAAATACAAGTTGAGGACATGGGAATTGGAAGAACTTGTGGCTTTGCCTAACTTACGGCGCTTGTGGCTAGAACAATGTGACGTCCCCGACGACTTTCCAGAGCTGCAGCTGCGTCCTTCTTCATTGTCAGACTGTCGTCTGACATTAAGTGATGATTCGGTTTTTCACTCTGGGCATATCAACTTCCTTCGCTCGTTTGCGGCCAATATCAACGTTACCGGGCTCCTGATTTATATCCCCCCTGGGAGCAAGGAAATGCTGGACGACTTGGCGACCGTTCTCAAATCCTCGTTCACAACTCTCCATTATCTTGCGATCGCATCTCCTGCCTACCATGGACCCCCCGTAATGGACGATGTCCTCCCGCACCTCCCTCGTCTGACTTATTTGATGTGTGGTGGTGGGATATACAGGGAAGGAGTGCTCCCTGACAATCTCTCCGAATTGCATCTTTACACGGACGATTGCCAAGTTATTCAGGATGTCTTATGTCAGTTGGAAGCGAAGAAAAGGCGCATGGAACGCAGCTCACCTTCCTCTTCTGGGTTATCACTCCGAAAATTTTATATATCATGCTTAGATTACAGCTGGGTGTTAGGGTTGCGTAAAAGAAGTGCAGAGCTTGGCGTGGAGCTTATCTGTTGTTATAGTTATTTCCCCCAGGACAATATGCTGTCAATCCAGCGAGATCTTGAGCTTGAGGACAATTGGTTTCCGTATTGTTGACGGCCAACAATACTGGTGGGCGAAGCGGAGTTTTCGTGGAGTGGCTCACTACGCTATTCCCCCGAAGAATCCCTTGATGCTGGGGTCAGGGGGTAAGAGGTAGGCGATACGTATCGCACTTGGAAATATTGGCTGTGTTTTGTAAGCCTTTCTGACTCACGGTAATGTGGACTGATTGTAAACTCCAATGTTCTTGATGTTGATTCAACTGTAACATGCACGCTGTATTTCTTGTACTATGCCACACAGATGAGACGTTCGCAGAAGGACTGGGGCGGTGCCTCAGCGACTGAGTACGTTAATGATTATTACAACTTTCGATGAATTGCTCTATTGAATTGTGCAACACCCCTTTTCAGGTTTTCGCAGGATGTAAGTTCTCCTGCTCATGCGAACCTGGGCTTTAGGCTGAGAAGTCGACTTCTCATGATGGTTTGGAACGGTAAGCGCCTCCTGGTTTAGGCAGGATCCCAGCCTCCACTCCTAGTTTGCGATCGCTGAATCGTCAGATTAGAAATGACTCTGCTCTCCAAAGCGCAAACCTGCCCGCTCGATGTGCAACGTATCATCATGTCTTGTCTTACACCCAGGGATGCAGCATGCATGGCATTGACCTGCAGGAACTGGTTGTACGCATCCCGAGAGCGACTCTATCGAGTAATATTGCGGGATGGATGTTATGGGACCCTGAAACGTTTGGATCGCACACTCAATGGATCTGCAGAAATACGGAACTTCGTAAAGTTCCTCAGCATTTTTGATTGCGAATATCATTGGGTTCTTCCTGATTGGATGACTTTGTTACCAGCGGGTAATGTGCGACAGGTCAAATTATTGCTCCAGAACTCGGATCTTTGCGTGCCCCCCGTGTCCCCCGTGTTGTCCTTGCCCTTGATGAATCAAGTCCACACACTCTTTTTGAAATTCGGGTTGTGGAAAGGGGGAGTAAGGGAATTTATGGCTTTGCCTAACTTACGGCGCTTGTGGCTGGAACCACGGCACGTCTCCCAAGGGCAGCAGCTGCTGCTGCTGCATCCTGTTTCATTACCAGACTGTCGTCTGACAATTAACGATCCCTGGGCATATCAACCTTCTTCGCTCGATTGCAGCCATTGTCAACGTTACCGGGCTCCTGGTTCATTTCCCCCCCTATGAGAACAAGGCAATGCTAGCCGACTTGGTGACCATCCTCAAATCCTCGTTCACAACTCTCCATTATCTTGCAATCGACTTTCACTCCTACTACGGACCCCCCATAATCGACGATGTCCTCCCGTACCTCCCTCGTCTGACTTATTTGATGTGCAGTGGTGGATTATACAGAGAAGGAGTGCTCCCTGACAATCTCTCCGAATTCCGTCTTTACACGGACGATTGTCAAGTTATTCAGGGCGTCTTATGTCAGTTAGAAGCGAAGAAAAGGCGCTTGGAACGCAGCTCACCTTCCTCTCCTGGGTTATCACTTCGTAAATTTCGTATTTCATACTTCGGACGACTCGATCACACGTGGATGTCAGGGTTGCGCAAAAGAAGTGCAGAGCTTGGCGTGGAGCTTAGCCATAGTCATGGTTATATTCCCCAGGCCATTATTTGGTCAATCCAGCGAGATCTTGAGCTTGAGGGCAATTGGTTTCCGCATGTTGACGGTTAGTGGGCCAAGCGGAGTTTTCGTGGAGTGGCTCACTACGCTATTCTCCTGAAGAATCCCTCGATGCCGGGGTCAGGGGGCAAGAGGTGGGCGCTAGTATGCTATACGTATCGCACTTGGGAATGTTTTGTAAGCCTTTCTGACTCACGGTAATGTGAACTGATTGTAAATTCCGATGTTCTTGATGTTGATTCAAACTGTAACATGCACGCTGTATTTCTTGTGCTATGTAACACAGATATTTTTTTCTCCTTTTTCCCGCTACTTCGTAGCGGTCCTGCAAAATTTTCGACCCTGATTGAATGCGTTTGATGATAAGGTCCTCTATCATTGCCAATTCTGCATAACCCACCTCCAATCACCAAGCAATATTTTTCAATTGTCCCTGAGTACTCCCATTCTCTCCTCTTTGTACTATCGTTACCCTTCGCTAGTTCCACAATGCTTTCCGGTCCACCGCCCTTGTTTACACTTGTGTTCGTCTCCATCACACGAGGTTCAAGGAGGTCCGCGCACCGATAACCAAAGCGTGTGAGAAAATCAGTCTCGTGGAAGCGTTCGAAAGTACGTCCCAATCTTGTGCCAATTCTCCCACGTCACTGAGTGCATACTGGATAGCGTAGTTCTACTACCGAAGCTGCCGTCCATCCTTACTGTTGCATCCACACTGGGATCCGGATGGCCATTTTCGACGAGCTATTCCATCTCTCATCGCTCACAGCGAATTCGAATTTCTCGTGGACGTCGGAACATTTGATACACGGCCACAACATTTTGCGCGAAGAATTGTCAAAGAAGGCCATTTGTAAGCATTTGTCCTAAGTGTTTACTCGACGGATCAATGAGCCACATGCTGAAACGTCAACACTTAAATACTGGCCGGGGAAATCATAGGCCAATCGCACACTTCGCGTACGCTGTGGACCCAGCTTCTCAATCGGAAACAAGCGATCGGCAGAAGATGAAGTCCCGTAGCGAAGAAAGGCCCAGTCTTTTCTACGGCGAATGAGGACCAGACGGACTGCACGAGTCTTAGTGAGGATTGCAAAGGGAAAGGTAAAATGCAAGATGTGACAGTGTTATGGCGAGTCCGCTGGCTTCTATATGTTGCCCTTAAGTTCTAACGGCGTTCTTGGACCTGGACCGGCCTCGACGGTCTCTGTGAGTGATGGAGACCGTCACCACAGCGTCGTTTCTTTCATCTAAAAGATTTCTCCATTTCCATGTTTGCATGGCCTCTTCTGTTTTCTGCTGGTTTGCGTAAAAGAAGGCCTCGCCTTCATTGCCTGGAAAATGTCTGGCTATCCCCGTTGATGTCTGAGACACTCATGTCATTCCATACTGTAGTAAATACTTGTCATGTGCGAGTGGTGCGAGACAGGCAGAGAAACCTGAAGCCTTGTAAGCATCGTGTCTTAGCCTCGCTACCGGGCTGGTCTTGGTCCGAGTCTGCGGCAAGGAAGATAAAGATTTCCCCATCGGACTGCCAGTCTTGGTCCGAGAAGATGGACGTCTCGCCATATCCGCTATTATGGGGTTGGTCTTGTTCTGTTAGAGCTACTTCCTCCTCAGCTGCCATCCCACAGTTTTAGGGAATTGCCGGGTCCTGCCGCCTTTCGAATGCGTCCAAGTTTTCTACCGCCCATTCAACTACTATTGGGTTAGTGAGAGCCGGTGTTTTCGTGATGCCGAGTCATTTGACACTAACTACCAGGTTACACCACAACAACTCAGTCAACACTCTTGAACGTACGGAGTTGCATTGAAGCGCTCCAGTTGGTCGCCTCTCCTTTCTCGCTCTCTGCCACGCGCCAAGCGACATTCCGATTACGTTCACTTGCTCCATATCCACGGTGTATGCTTACATTATGCTCAAGCCTCACTCTCGCTGCGAGCGACCACTTATGCAAGTGGCCTCCCGATCTTCGTCTGTCAATCGTTCTGTGGCTTTAGAGCGCACTTTGGCAGCTTGACATGACCTTGCGTCAGAAGCTAATCTCGCCCAGCGACTTGGCTCTCAGCTCGCCTTCACATTAGTGACAACTTTCACATTGTGTGTGTGTGTGTGTGTAGTTCTGGATATTTATCCTGCAGACTACAGGCTGCTCGTGAGAGCGCCAAGGGCAGGGGTCTCAAAATAAATACATGAAAATAAAGTAGATATAAGGGATGCGTTCGATCTGGGGAGACTCGTCCTATGACTGAGTAGTTCCCTAACCATTTCCTCTGGGGAGTTTCCACTACTTTCACATTGTCTTGGGATCTATTTAAATACGAGGCTAAACATCGTGACGTCATTCTGATCACCGGTCACGCGTCCGTGGTGTATACCTACATCACGTTCAAGCCCAAGCAGCCCCCCCGGTCTTCGTCTGTCAATCGTTCCGTGCCGGCAGAAAATGTGATTGCAGGAAAGCAAGGGCGAAAGGCTATCTCCCGGACTTGCAGAGCCATCAGTCGGGCAGGTGTTAAAATTATTTGTAGCTAGACCGCGTTTCCTAGAAGTGATCCCAGACACTTAGAACATCCAGTGAGGTTGTAATCAATGAGTTCCGAATGTTCCGATTGAAGAGAAGGTAAACACATGTATACGGTGTAAAATTCAAAGTGCCGATGCTGATGGACGTCGCAGGGCGGGACACTGTTCTCTCTCTGCTCAAAATCGGGTATCAACACAGAGGACACAGCCAAAGGCTCGTAGTTATGTAACAGTTGGCACTTACGCAGCGTCAGTATGGGGCGTGGGTAACTCGCCCCTATAAACTATAAGTCACCGTGAGTATTGGCGACGAATGTCACACAAATAGATGAACCGATGTCGACAGCTCTCCATTAAGAGCACGGATTGGATTGACCCAGTCAGGTTTGCAACCCTGCGGACAGGCCGTCGAAGTCCGCCCTAGAGCCAGCGAATGAAGAGGCCCGAAAGGGTGGGAAAAAGCGAGGAGAGCGAGGCGACCAATCGGAGCGCTTCGATCGTAACTCACCCTATATGTAGAAACTTTCACAGGGGAAGTGCCGAAGACTCAGGTTTTTAGTGCTTGGATACGAACTTGGGTTTTAGGCTGTCGACCACGACGGTTCGGAATGGTAAGCGTCCTTCTCAATCTTTGCTCCTGGTTTGCGATCGCTGAATTGCCATACTAGAGATGGCTCTGCTCTCCAAAGCGCAAACCTGCCCGCTCGATGTGCAACATATTATCATGTCTTGTCTTACACCTAAGGACACAGCACACATGGCATCGACCTGCAGGAACTGGTTGTACGCGTCCCGAGAGCGACTCTATCGAACCTTAACATTGCATTGCCACTGTGTGACGCTGAAACTTCTGGGTCGCACACTCAATCGATCTGCAGAAATACGGAACTTCGTAAAGTTCCTCAGCATTTCTTATTGCGAACGTTGGACTCTTCCTGATTGGATGACTTTGTTACCAGCGGGTAATGTGCGACAGGTCAGATTGTATCACCCAACCTGGCCGAATCGTTGCGCGTCGACCGTATTATCCTTGCCCTTGATGAATCAAGTCCACACACTCTCTTTGAAATCCAGGTTGTGGGGATGGGAATTGAAAGAACTTACGGCTTTGCCTAACTTACGGCGCTTGTGGCTAGAACAATGTGACGTCCTCGAAGGCTGTGCAGAGCTGCAGCTGCCGCTGCTTCCTTTTTCATTGTCAGACTGTCGTCTGACATTAATCGACGTTCCGGTCCTTCATATCAACTTCCTTCGCTCGTTTGCAGCCAATATCAACGTTACCGGGCTCCTGATTCATATCCCCCATGAGAGCAAGGCACTGCTAGGCAGCTTGGCGACCGTCCTCAAATCCTCGTTCACAACTCTCCATTATCTTGCGATTGAATCCCCTGCCTACCATGGACCCCCCATAATGGACGATGTCCTCCCGCACCTCCCTCGTCTGACTTATTTGATGTGCGGTGGTGGGCTATACAGAGAAGGAGTGCTCCCTGACAATCTCTCGGAATTGCATCTTTACACGGACGATTTCGAAGTTATTCAGGGTGTCTTATGTCAGTTAGAAGCGAAGAAAAGGTGCATGGAACGCAGCTCACCTTCCTCTCCTGGGCTATCACTTCGTAAATTTCGTATTTTATGCTTTGGACGAGTCGATCACACAGGGTTGCGCAAAAAAAGTGCAGAGCTTGGCGTGGAGCTTATCTGTTGTTATAGTTATCTCCCCCGGGCCAATATTCGATCAATCCAGCGAGATCTTGAGCGTGAGGGCAATTGGTTTCCAGTATGTTGATAGTAGTGGACCAAGCGGAGTTTTCGTGGAGTGGCTCACTACGCTATTGTTCTGAAGAATCCCTCGATGCTGGAGTCAGGAAGTAGAGGTGGGGCGCTAGTATGCCGTACGCACCACGAACCTCCGGTGTTTTGTAAGCCTTTCTGACTCGCGGTGAGGTGGACTGATTGTAAATTCTTCTCCATGTTCTTGATGTTGTGCTGCATATATATATATATATATTTGCTGTCTTTTGCTTGCACAACTTTTCCCCAATATTTCGTATTTCATCATAAAAAGTAAATGGAAGTTTATATGGGCCGCTGCTCCGTGGAAGGAACGTCCTGAATGGGACCCAATCTCATGTTAGAGTCAGCGTTGAGGAGACATTAGGATCATTGCATGTGTCCTTCATTCATGAGGGATGTTGAATCTCAAAATGGCCTAGTATTTTTCCGCGTTAGCAAGATGGTCACAGATGGACAGATAGCAACGAACGAATTGATTATGAAGTTGGAGAAGGCATAGAGTGTTGGTGATACCAAACTCGAGACTGTTGTCTTTTCCCAACTTTCAACTAGGAAAAGCACTTGCACGCATGGGCAGCTGCCCACCAACGGTATGTTGGTCACCAAGTTGATGAGTAAGAGGATTGTTGGATTGCCAAGGGCGAGTGACATGTATGCAAATCCGCAAATAATTCTCCGATCCGACACCGTGCTGGCAGCTGGCACTTGCTTGCACAACTCTCCTTTGGGATTCCATTTTTCGCAGTAAGTGATACTCAAGGTATAAACCTTCCCTGTGTATGGCCACCCTTGGCCGCTCACACCTCACTCCGCTTCTTACACTATACTTTGTATCGCGCTACTCCTAAGGCAGCTACACATTGTATTGATGCATCCATTACTTAAGCGTTCATGGAGAGAAAAAAAAACATATAGGGACCCAGAGTGCGTTAAAATACCTTGGACTCAACGAGTCGTGATACAAACCGCAAGGTTGGTAACCTCCGCGACGATCCATCCACCTATCTCTCCCCTCGGCCCAACATCAACGTTGTTAGACGGACATCAAGAGCAAGAAAGGGATCCAAACGACAGGAACAAAGCGCCGCAGATTCGATGTCTAGGGGCTTAGTGCCTTAAAGTGCCCGTGCTCCACCGACGTTGACATTAAACCATCTGTGCGTGAACTAACCCGCCCGCACCGAGTTGTGGTGCTCATGTTGCCGTTTGTCGTGAAAGAGCTTGAAGGGAAAAAATTAACCAGCGGCCGTTCCCTTATATACCCTTCAACCACGGAAGATGCCGGGGCCGCACCGGAACCAAAACAATGAGTTATGGTTGCCACATTGACATTATGCACTTGTGTTGCAGAATGTTTACCGCGTCATATTGCTCAATCGAAGAAGTGTGGGTATGCCGCAAAGTCGGTAGAAAACCACCAACGTGTGAGGATGCGCCTTAAGGTAGCTTGTATTGTGACGGAGTTGTCCGAATCATATCATATTGTGATATTGTGTGGTTACATAGAAACCACGTCCAGTACTTGGTCGGCATTACGCCACAAAGACGGAAGGTGGTGGGTGTGTATTAGAGTAGCTCACCCACGATTCCTGTTATTTTAGAGCATCCAACACGTTGCCACATGACCAGAAGAAGCCGGGGAATGCCGCCTACCACACTAACCAAAGGAAAAATCGATCATGGCAAGTCAGGATGGTGAGTACGGGAAGCTGTCACCAGTCCCAGTTTTTTCCCTACTTGCGATCGCTGACTTATCAGATCAGAGATGATTCCATTGTCCAAAGCACAAATATGCCCATTCGATGTGCAACGGATCATCATGTCTTTCCTTGCACGCCGGGCTGCAGCCTGTATGGCGTTATCTTGCAGGAATTGGCTATATGCCTCCAGAGAGCGACTCTATCGACTAACATCATGGAATTCAACGGATGAGTTGGGTACGGGGGAACTTTTGGATCGCACGCTCAATGGATCGGCAGAAATACGGGACTTGATAAGGTTCCTCTGCATATACAGTCACTCATCATTCCGGGTGGTGAGAAGAAGTCGGCCTCTTCCCCATTGGTTGACTTTGTTGCCAGCGAGTAATGTGCAACATGTCAAATTACAACTCTCGTCCACTCAATGGACATCATACGTGTTATCCCTGCCTTTCATAAGTCGCATTCACACACTCTCCCTGAAATTTAAGTACGAGATGGAAGGGAACGAGGTGGAAAGATTTGTGAATTTGCCTAATTTAAGGCGCTTATGGGTCACGTTCGAGTTCATCCCTCGGTACGGTCCGCTGGATCTACATCTGCATCCTCCCCTATCACACATAGGCCATCTGGAAGTTTCCAGTGGGGCTTTAGGCTATAGGGATATCTGCCTTCTCCAGTCCTTTGGGGCCGATGCCAACGTCGTCAGACTCTCACTTGAATACTACGTCCTGGACATCGATCAGTTATTCAACTTTGCACTTATTCTCAAATCCGAATTCAGAGCTCTCCGTCATTTTTCGATCAAGGTTTTTCAAGCCCTTCCATACCCAATAATTGATGACATTCTCCCGTGCCTCCCTCAGCTAGCTTTTCTTTCTTGTGGAGGTAATCTATACAGAGAGGGGGTGCTCCCGAATAACCTCTCTGAATTCCATCTATACACGGATGAATACGAAATCCCTGGAAACGTCTTGCGTCAGTTGGAAAGCAGCCAAGAACATGGCTCACCTTCTTCCCCTGGGCTATCGCTCCGTAAATTTGGCGTTTCGGGCCTAGCTGTGGTTGAAGAGGAAAGGGTGTGGGAGTTACGCGATAGGTGTACAGAGCTTGGTGTGGAGTTCATACACAATCGTAGTGGTCCGGATCCTATCTCAAGCTGGGATGACCTCGAGAATGATTGGTTCCCCGAGTGTTGACAGTCGAGAGTTGGCCGGAGCCCCTGTCACACTGCTATGGTACCAGCATGACCAGTACTTGTCTCCTGAAGAGTCACTAGCTCAGCGCTAGGGCCTCGGCATGGTGGACGGGTTGTTATACTATCTTGATCGCGCTTGAGCCAAGAATGTTGACTGCAACGTATAATAAGTTGCAATGTCTGCGAAGCCCATATGATACTATGCTCGTGCATATATGGTTACAAACTTTTCCGTAGTCTTCGTGTGATTTTGGGTTCCTTGTATTCTAAATCGATAACATGGGTGTTCCCATATACCTACGGCCACCTCGCATGCATGGTCGGCATGGCAGTCCGTTCGGATATATTATATTCTCATGCAGCATCGCATTACAGTGCTCAACTACTGGCTCCCAGTTATTCTCGAAGAAGTAGAGCGATGACAAATTGACCGGAGATCCCAAGTGTCGACGAACAGAAACTTCAGAGAAACTGGGGCGGGCAAGGAGAGGTCCCGATCGGTTTTCTTCCAGGGGGCAAGCAGTCTGGTGCTTGCCGAAGTGAGCCAGCGTGATGAGAGATGACTTTGTGCTCGCGGTGTTGCGGTGTCATGATCGACACGTAAACAGCTCGAAGCAATGCCGAGATCGGAGTTCCGCTCGATAGCCAAGAATAGGTGCCCGGTAGATCCGTTGTCACCGCATCCCACGGGTCACGGACGCGGAGAAACGCGTCCATCGTCACATGTAGCGTTACACGAAGGCTAACCAGAAAGAAGGGACCTTTGGAGTTCATTTTTAGAGCCCCAAGTATAAATGTGTTGTCAAGGCTATCCCTCCGTCTCTAGCTGTTATCCCGCTCATCGATCACAGAAAAAGGAGGCCAACTAAAAGTCCGAAGCGTGACATACAACAGCATGTTTCCCACGCTCCTTGCGATTGTGCGCAGGCTGTTCCGGCGAGCATAGCTGTTCTAGTTATGAGGCTGTAAGGGTGAGTTTTTCCACCCCGTGTCCATCAGAGGCTTCTAGTTTGAGTTTGAGTTTCCGTAATTGGGAGTTGAGATCATACCTCAAGACTGGGCCTTCCAGCCTCCTCACCTTGATCTGGGCACCCACTGCCATCCCATATTACCGTCATTCTATAATGACTGTTTAACTTAGTTGATGACGACAGAGCCACGAAAAGCGTGCAACCCCCAACCCTGATTCCTGTCCCACTGAATCAATTACGATGCTCTTTTCATGCAGGCGCCGCATTACCAGACGAAAGGCTAGAACCATTAGCCGTTTTCCCATTCGCGCGCAGCTGAAATCCTGTGTGACCGTCAGGGTAGCGCTGATCACTGCACCCTGAATACATAGTGGGATTCCTAACGTTTATCTGTCGGAAGACGACCTCCGCCCGCATCCTGGACTTGCCTTACGGCCTGTTTCTCACCTTGCGGTCTTCGATGCACTTCATATGGCAGTGTCACTGATCTGGACCCAGTATCTCAATCCTAACGCGGATCATGTCAGTGGGGATCTTCCCCAGTCCCAAGATCCGGCAGCGCCGCGTTGCGGCGTTGAATAAGCGGTTGTGACCGCCTTCGCTATAGCTCGTTGACTTATATACGCCAAAATGCCGCACCGCCTTGCGTTCACCTCACTACCTTCCACTGCGACAACCTTCACACCTGCACCTCGAAGAGTGTTGCACTCGTCTTTCTCTTCTTTCTTCTGATTTCCCCAGAATGTCGCGTTCTACCTACGTCCAGCGTACAATCCGTAACACTATAGTCTCCGAGAAGTCCTTCAAGGAGACACTAGACTCATTCCTTTATGGTGAGTATTCCAACTGCATGATGCACCGAATGATGGGGCGTTGTGCCAGGCTCTCACCAATGTCTCCCTTTCCTGCCTATGCATAGAACTTCGCTTCTTCCACCCCGTCCATGCCGATAAAATGATTGAACAAGCAATGGAAGCAAAGGACCCCAAAGTCTTCGACACATTGGCCGAAGAAGCTTCGGGGCGTTTTGGATACTTGTACGTTTTACATACTCTAAATGAATCATTCTTTCGTCCCTTGCGTTCTATTTTGCTTCCTGGGAAGGTCATTGACATTGTCGGAGGCTAATAAACCTTCTGTGAAAGGTCTTTCGGAGATCATAAAGTCCATCGATACCTAAACAAATTCAACCCAAACCGTCCCGTCCTCGAATCGCACGCCATCGCCCTAGGCACCTCTCCCAGAGCGTAAGTCGATGCCTTTACAAGCATTAACCTCACTTCTCCACTCACCCAACCATCCACACAGCTACTCCATGACAAAACACAATCAAGAAGCCACCATCAACTTCCCCCTCCGCATCACCGTAACCCAGCGTCCCAACGACGATCGAGCATCCGTAACCTGGGACCTCCCTTCTTCTCAAATCCCCAATCTCCACCTCAACAAAACCTTGGCAAACGCAGCTTTCTTCGTCGATGATAAATTCGAAGAATTGATCCGGTTTTGTTCTGGTACAATGGACGAGAAGAAGTACAAGAAGATTTTGTCAATGGATAAGGGCGCCAAAGTTGGAGCATGGAAGGATGCCGGGGGTCCGACTTTGAGCAAGCTGTAAGGCGAAGCACTGTCTCTGGATGACGTCTGAGTGGATATTTACATACGTTTCAACTCTAATCAATTGAATGTCGTCCATTGGGGTTTTTGCTTTTACTCGTACATCCATACGGTACACGAAAAGCGGAAGCTCAGAAAAGGGGACACATGCACAGCAACGGACGTATGGGAGTGGCGATATAGGTAAAAGGAGTGCTATCATCAACGCAAATGGCTACCTATGCGCTGGATTGTCCATCCTTCACACGTCATCTGGATCCTCTCCCGCTTGGAATAAAAAATTGGCGGCTAGTTCTTCATTCTTGTCACAAGCAAAATACGCTTGAATCGCGGCGCTTTGAGAGAAACCGAGTGCCATGAGCTGTGCATAAGAAGTAAGAGCGGGACGCAAGAAGGAGTCGGTCAGATTGGAAAAGTCCCAATATCTAACGAAGTGAACGTGAACATACTCTTTCGATGGCAGCATGTTCCTCTGGAGTGACATGAATCTGGGTTGCACCAGGGAAACCAGGGACGTGATCATCTCCCTCCCCATCATCACCATCACCGTCACCAGGAAGGGTCCCTCCAAGCAACTGGAATAAATCCTCTGGGTGAGCAGTCAACTGCGCCGCCAGCATTGGGTTGCTATTTGCCAGCTGTTGAATGAAGGGTTGTATGAACGCCGGATTCTCTTGAACTAAATTCCGAATTTCTTGGAAACTGGGTGCATTTCTCAGAGTGGTGATCTCTTCTGGAGTCAGCCGAGGAATGCGGTCGTCACCCATACCCCCGGCGTAGTTGTGGAATTGACCACGTTGCTGTGCTGCTTGCGCTGCTTCCTAGAGGGTTACATGGGGAAAGTGAATTAATGGTACGTCAATGGGGAGCTGAATGAAGGGGGCTCACGAAGAGGTTTTGTGGGCCGGGGCGCGTAGCGGGAGCTGGCCCTGGAAGAGCCGGCGTCGGAGCCTGCCGGGGAGCCGCTCCCGCAGATGCTAAAGGGTTCGCAGTAGGTGCGATAACAGAACGTGGAGGGGTGGGAGTAGCCTCAGCCAATAACTGCTCAGGGATTCCCTTCAATGAGAGCGACACACGTCAATTTCATGTAAATCAGATGCCAACCTCAACAAAAACGTCCAACCTACCGTCATAAGATACTCCACGGCACGGTCAGGATTATTGAAACTGGCCCTCAACGCCCTGACAACTTGCTCCCTCTCGAAGCCCATCTCCACAATGTTTTGTATCGTGCTTTGCAGCGCAGGACCGGAAATGAAGGAATCAGTTGAATTGAACCTTGCCTGAGGTTGTGGCGCTGGAGAGGTAGCAGGGACTGCAGGGGTCGAGGTCGCTGGAATAATCGCATCAGTCGCTGGTGGGGCCGCTGCCGTTGTTGTCGGCGGCGACGCAGCAGCGGGTGCAGGGGCCTGGGCGGCAGGAGAAGCCACTGATGGCTGAGTGGATTGTGCGACCGAGGGCTTAGGCTAATCCATCACCAAGTTTACCGACGAAAAGGCGTGTCAGACCGATCGAGAGATGGGGTGAAAAATGCCAGTGCATGCAACTGGGGACGCACTTTAGACACCATTAGTACCAAGAAGTCTTTCTCCTTAAAGTTACATGATTCAACGGTCTTCGAGTCCGGCAGTATCTTCCCTGCATGTCAATCACGCCCTATCGAGTCAGATGGGGTCAAATCAGTTAGGAACCTCACGAACCGGAGTAAATAATCTTCTGTGAGGTAACAGGATGCCCTTGAAGCTCGTTGATCTTTTGTTTCAAGTCGCCCACCGTATCAGATGGTTCTGCCTCAAGGGTGAACGTTTGCTGCTGCACGGTCTTGAAGGTGAGTTTCATCGTCGATCCTAACGGAAATCTAGATGATCGTTGGCTGTTATACCAAAGATACTATCTCCGAGTTGTTGCGCGCTATGACTGCGATAAAACACCTCAATGGACGCGTCAGTCAACAGTATGGATCCTCGATCCCAGTTGCTTCCGATGGCTTTATTACCTGAGCGTGCGTCGTGACATCAGGTCTACTCATTGGGTTCAGCACTGGTGGAACATTTTCCTATAAGCTGTAGCCTAAACCTGTGATGGGGAACCGCTGGCACCAATTTCGTGATTCCAATATATATGTCCAGGGTCAGTCCAATGTAGCGACAACAAAGCAAAGTGCAGAACAAATCGCGAATAAATCAAGAATACATAAATCCACCATAGCCTTCAAATCCGACTCGACAATTCGGTAATGCTCATGCTGTCCATGTGGTCAGCCTGCTTTCCTTTGCTTTTCTGGATAGACTTGAACGATTCCAATTGCCAGTCTGCATTCATGTCCCGCGATGCGAGCGGTACGCGGTCTATCCGCGTCATCTTGGGGGGTGGCGGCGCTGAGGCATCCTTTATGACGACATGCGAAGGAGGTGCATTGGTTGGCTTGACTGCCTTATAGAGATCCAGTTCGTGCCGCAGGCGAGCATTTTCCTCTTTCACGGCATTTCGCTCCCATTCGGCGGTAATTAGGGTCTAACGAGTTGCTCTAGTGTGAGTCCGACGTTGTGTGACATACGTGCAGAATACCTACCTGCTTGATCTCCGACATCTCTTTTCTGAGGCGATCTACGTAATAGATGCGTTGATTGACGTTTGTGTGACCTAGAATCTGTGCATTGAATTTGGAGAGGTGCTCTGCCTCTTCCTCCGCGAGGACATTGCGTGATACGAGAATGTCAACTGGGGCGACCACTCAGCTCCCATTTCACAATGCAACGATAGCCCTCGCACCTTGTTTTAGCAATGCATCATGAGCTTCCTGGAACTTGACGCCGTCATTGAGTGAAGCTTCCAAACTGAGGTCCGTGGTCATCAGTCACTTCCATCAGAGAACGATCTGAACCTGCCTTGCGACATCGTTCAACAAATTCTTCTCCGTAATCTTCGCAAGGGCAAGCATGTCATTTAAGGTTTTCATCTGGAGAGCGGTGGCTGCCCTGGCGCGGTCACCTTCGGCTATTTGTTGGGCTAAGCACTCTTCTGCCTCTCGTGTTCGTCGTTCGTGATCTTCATCGCGCAACCGCAGTTCTTCGAGACGTTCAGCTTGTGCAGAGAGCTGGTCATCTTTTGATGCATTTGAAGTCTCAAGAATATCAGCATGCGCCTCCAGAGAAGCGAGTCGAGGGAGGATGCATGTAACGGTGGCATCGACATATCTCTCGACTAGTTCCGTGGAGCCGAAGAGACCCTGGAGAGTGGAGAGGACCTCTTTCAGGACGGCCAGGCAGTGCTGCGAGATGAGCTTCTCGTTCCTCGCGTAAGAAACTTGCGCATCGAATTGGTGTCGGTTGTATTCATCCAACCCCTCCTGAACCGACGCCTGCATACTCTGGATTTCCCTCAGGTCGGTTGTACGACAATCCTGCTCGCTGAGTTCACGACATGACAGCCTTAGCTGCTGAATCTCCTCATTCCTCATGTCTAGCTCGGCACGTAAAAGGGCGTTAATCTCTTCAGCATTCCGAATCATTTGAGCGAGCTCGGTTACTTGACCAGAACGATCCGCATGCTTGCGCTCGAGTCGAACAACCTCCACCTCCTTCTGGGCATGAGAAAACCGAAGCGCACGATAAATATCCATGGAAACAGAGCGTGAAGTCAAGTCGCTGTATTTTTCTGCCGCCTGCCGCATAGCTAACCGTTGGGCGTCGATCTCTTCGTTCAGGGCTTCCAGGGTGGTTTGAGCGGCATCCCGCTCTTCCCTGGCGGCGAATACTTCCTCCTGAAGGTGAATGTTCTGCTGAGCAGCATTCTCCGCCGACGAGGCGGCTGTGTCAAGTTTTGATAAAGCATCCTCCAGCTTTTTCCTCTCAACACGTAACGATTGTTCTAAGTCGCCTCGTGCCTTCTGCTGTGCAACCGATGATTCGGTGTGCAGCTTTCTCTCCGATTCAAACGACGCTCGAAGTGACCTGAGTTCGGCTTGGAGATTGGAATGTTCTTCATGCTGTCGATCAAACTCAGCCTGGAGCTTTTCGACTTGCTCCTTGTACTTGAGATGGATTAACATCTGCGATAGGTCAAACCACGAGACCTGCTGCCCACCTGACGCTTACTTTCGATGTGGATTTCATGAAGATTGTCCAGTTTCTTCTGCAAGGTCGCATAGTTCCCTGCTCGTTCTTGGAGACGCGTTACGGCCTCTTCAGTCTTCTCGAGCTGGAGAACGTCAATACAGGAAGGCACGGATTTAGGAAGGTATGGCACTCACCGAAACCCTTAGCGTGCTTTCTCTCTGGGCTGCCAAACCTAACAAGGAGAGAAGGACATTGGCACATTGATTCGGTGGAAGTGTAAATCGCATATCTCACGTAGTTCACGTTCAGCTTGAGACGACGATGTTTGAAACGCTGCCCGCTCCTTTGCAAGTTCGCTATTCTTTGCCTCTAATCGCGATAATTTTTGATCTAGTCTTTGTATTTCGCGCGCATGCTCTTTCTCTAATCTGGACTTGAGGGCATCGAGCTATATGACCGTATGAGAACACTGGTGACCACGGGCCGAATGACGCGGTGTTACTTGTTGGTGGATCACTGCCGACGATATCGCCGGCTTAGAAATTGGTCGAGGCTCTAGGTTTCCTAGGTAAGCATTCGGACCTAGGAGAATTACTGTAAGGACTCAAGCGACGGCCTTGGAAACATCCATACCTGGCCCATCTACAGCTATTTCCTTTGAGAATCTGTCCGTCTTCTCCAAAAACGCACCCTTCTTGTGTGTGTTGGCATCAAGATCTACCGTATTGTACGCGCAAGGACCAGGCACATCATTTCGCTTTTCAGGTTGGAACCGGGGTCCTCTAGAAAACATTCGAGAATAAAGCCGGCGGAGGCTACCACGGTATGACGGGACCGTCAAGGCAGACGCGATAAACAATCACGGTTTGTTGTGGTTTGTTTACGTGTCTCCTGTGATTCGCCTTTGGAGCCTTGCTTTAACATAACGGAATTTCTCCAGACGGTGCGAGCGGAACCGAAGCCTGATATTGTTTTTTAGCATCATGCATGGGGTCCTGGACTGGAAATAAAAGGTTCTCTTACATTTCCTCACTCATTTTAATGTGGGTACTTCGTGAGATTGGTGATGGTGAGTCAGTCGTGAAGTATACGAAGGTTGCAGGATGGGATTATTTATTACATGCCTCATCCAACTTGCTATGCCGCAGGCTATCCAAAGCGATGGGTGGAGTGATTCCTACGTTTAGCTAAATGCTGGAAGGCAGAGTCAACGTCATGAACAACTATATAATGAATTTGAGATGCGATGCATCTCACCTCACTCACGCTTCCTATGACAGCTAGTGCAGCCAATATGGGGTCTGGTCGGTTTCATGGTTTCACTTCAGCAGTACCGGCTTGGACCTCCCCGAATACAGCCACACACGGAAGTTGACGGGAGCGCCTATTACGCAAGGGGAATAAGCGAGTTGCACAAAAAGTTAGAATTGGTGATGGTTGTCTGATGTTTCCAAATATGGTGTAAATTAAGCTCCCATCTCCGCCGTATGTCACCCACCGTTGCTCCGACATCATGGAATCTCCCGCTGTCCGAATAATTCCCGGGGAGTCGTCGGCCCCTGCTTTTTCCTCTCCTTGATTGTAATCGGGCGCTCGGATGAGTCACCCCATCGGTGGAATATGAAAATCTAGGCGGGAGTACTTTTCCTTCCCCTTCCCTTCCCCAACCAGCGCTTGTCCTTCCTTGTGTTCGCACCTATGGAGCATCAGCCGCAAGAGACAACGCCTCTTCGATCTCACCTGGTAGCCGAAGATACCACCGCCTGGGACGCAGTGGGGGATTTGAAACAGACTCCCCTGCCAAAGAAGCAGCTTGCGATACTGTTACTCCTTCTATTCTCGGAGCCCGTCGCTGCGTGTTGCATATTTCCATTCATTTCCCAGGAAAGCCACTCAGCAGATTACTAGCGTATTAGTCTAAATTTACGTTATTTGCAGCTTGTGGATGAGCTAGGTATAACACATGGTGATCCAAAGGCAACTGGATACTATGTTGGGTTCATAGTGAGTTGTCACCGCTGTCCCATTCACCATTGACCGACCTCTTCCTCTTCAATTTTTTTAGGAGTCGCTGTTCTTCATTGCTGAAGGTACCCACGATCTGTTATCAGTTACAAGCGAGACCACATGCTCACCTCATACTGGCAGCTCTTACCGTGCTCCAATGGGGCAAAGCCTCTGACAAATTTGGCCGTCGTCCAATTCTCCTTCTTGGCCTTCTAGGCCTCTCATTATCCATGATATCGTTCGGTCTCTCTAAGACATACGCCCAGGTCATCATAAGTCGCTCAATTGCAGGCTTCCTTAATGGAAACGCTGGTGTCGTCAAAACAATGATGGCTGAGATGTCTGACGACACAAATCGCGCTATTCTCTTCACGTTCCTCCCTGTAGCATGGATCTCTGGATTCACCATTGGTAAGTGTTTCCTCATCTATGGTGCAAGATACCATCTCCTGATGCAACCCCCGAATGGTCAGCCCCCTTCATCGGAGGGTCGCTCCAACATCCTGCCCAGCGCTTCCCCGCTTATTTTGACCATCCCTTTTGGAGGGAATACCCGTATTTCCTTCCATGTTTGGTTGCTGCATCTTTCCCCATCCTTGCTTTCTTCATAGGAATCATGTTTTTGAAAGAGGTTCGTCCAACCGAGAAAGACGTTCTTGTCTACTCCTAATTCAATCCTTCCTTGGCACTGTTTAGACTAATGAATCCGTGCGCCGCGTACCAAGAGGAGCAACGTATGGGTCGGTTCCATCGGATGATCGCTTTGAGTCGACACCACGCCATCCATCTACTCCTAGCCTTCGTGAAGCGATGACCAAACCTGTGGTCATTGCCATTGCAAATTACGCAGCTTTCGCTATAATTAATATATCATTGTTCGCTGTCTTCACGGTGTTCCTTGCCGTCCCTCTTCACGCTGGTGGTCTCAATCTCCCTCCCCAGGTTATCGGGAATATTCTCGCTTCCCTCGGTGGAGTCAGTGGCGCTACACAGTTTCTCGTGTTCCCTAGGGTACATAAACGATTCGGCGGGAAGAAAACGTTTACCTTCTCGGTCTCCCTCTCATTTCTGCAATTAGCTTGTTTTCCGATTGTACGTGAAGTTACACTAATCTATCCTAGATCCTGGATCAAGTTCGCTATCATTGGTGTGATGATGGTTATATGGTCGATATATGACATGGGACTGGTTCGTTTCCTCCTTCATTCCCATACCCTTATGCTAACCACCTCACGCTCAACACTTCTTGGGTAGGATCCATTTTCTTGTTCATAACCGCTGCTTCACCATCACCATCCCTTCTGGGACGGTAAACGGTGCAGCCCAGACGATTATCAGTTTGGCACGCGCATTTGGACCCGCTGCGGCCACAAGTTTGTTCGCTCTTTCAGTAAAACATGATTGGCTGCGAGGATACGGAGTCTTCTTGTGCCTGAGTTTGGCCCCTGTCGTGGCGATTTGTCTGTCAACTTTGCTGCCGAATGGCGTGGAGGCTAGGACAAGTAGGGATGGAAGTGCTTAGAGTCGGACTCTCAGCTGGAGATCTTGTTTGCGTTTTTGTCAACAATGTATCACGATCGCATAGATACGGAATATCTTAGTTATAAGTAGAGTGAAGCCGTGGTGCTGATGTGCGGCCAATACATCAATATGATGTTTGACTTGACATTGGTAAGAGGTTCGTCTAAGGAATCGTTGGTCATGACGTGGACGCTTCTTGAGCGATTTCAATATTGAGTTTTTGATGGTTGGAATGACTCCAAGAAGAAATACAATACGATATGCACAACCGCGATGCATTAATTATTTATTCATGCCGAGAACTGTAAATTACGTATATAAACCTCGGGGTAGCTATACAGCCCATTTATCAGACAATAAGGGGCAAGCGGGGGAATGGTACTCTAGTATACACCTTCCGAGACCGCTGCGCTTAGATCTCACTCCATTTGCCACGGATAGGAGAGGGACAGTCATCGAATGGGCAAGAAAAGGGCACACCAAAATCTGAAATCCAGAGCCTCAACCTCACCAAACATGCGGTAGAACCCTATATGGGACCTTCTTCGTATACTCCTCCCATTCAGGCCCAAATGTGCCCTCAAGCATCGTCTCTTCATTCTTGATTCGTGGGGCTATAACATTTCGATGAGCGATACGAATGGCGGTGATTCCCGAAATGGTCAAAAGTGTTGTCCCTAGCCAGCCGGTTTGAGTCAAGGTGGTTCTGAGGCCAACAATTCTTTCAGCCAGCTCGCTTGTAATCATGATGATGGTGCCGCTGCCAATAAATCCGTAGAGCCCAGTATAACTTGGATTGCGCACGTAGGCGTAAGGACCATCAGAGATCAGTTTGTGGCCTAATAGTCAATCATATCTGCGTTCTTGCACTATAGAGAAAAACTCAGACAGAATACTGACCTTCACGTATAGAGAGTGTGAATGTGAAAAATTCTCCGAGAGTGTGCATCGCCCAGAGACGAAATGCACCACTCGCAACGAAGATAGGGAAGCTCAAGAGACGAAGACTGGATGCGAGGGATGAATATTTGTGGGCAAGCGATAAACCAAGGGGTAGGTTCTCAAGCGTTCCAGGGCGTACGACTAGGAAGTACGGATGAGTTGGGCGCGGCATCAGGCAAAGACACAGCTCCGTGAAAGTGAAGAGGAGGAAGGAGTACTGTGAATGTATGGGAAACCAGCGTCAGTGTCGCGAAGGGTCGAATTCCCGGTCACTTACTTTCATCAGGAGTAACCTAATGAACCCACTGGCACCTTGGATATCATTTTGGACTCGGTCCTCCTTTGTGAAACCCTTATTTGGGTCCTTGAGGCAGAAATAAAGTAGTATGTTGCCGACAATCAAGCAAGCGCTTTCAACTAATGGGCTTTGCATGGCCAGTAGTCGTAGAGGTCAGGTAAGACGCAACGCAGCGCTACGCTTTTAACGTTCGGCTCACTTGAAACGTCTTCCTGCGCGCGAGAGATGGAGATCGCTCCACTACGATTTTCCGACTCTGATCGTCTTAGAACTTGTTTCTAGTCATTGGGAAACATCACTTATATCGCGGACCACTAGCCAGCCACCGCGATACACACGCATTCATAAAGCATTTCAATATAGGGGTGTATGTAGGTCCGTTCCCGTGACGGTCCGACTGGCACACTCCTGATGTAGGAACCGATAGGAAGCTAGGGTCACAAATGAACTTGAGAATGGTGAAGCCCATGGGCACAATGCCCCCTGAAAAACTTCCACGTAAAACAGTACAAGATTCGCCAGCATCGGAGCTAGTGAGATCTCTACGACTACGGAAATGGGCCGACCTAGATACTATCGAGTGGACAATCAGCGGCCGCAGGTGAGCATTTATCCGAAAAAGCCCCAGTCAGAAGGCTTGCCAGTGCGGCAATTTCCTAGAATTTTTCACGAATTGTTACAACTGGAGGGGTCAGGATCCCCGAATGCAATGCAGGTAAGCCAATACGTTAGAAGATACTTTGATTTCCGAATCAATTGAAGACGTTGGGACTGATGGCATCAATCTGCGCTATCGAAAAATACCGCAGCACGTTTTTATGCTATTTTGCTGCGGAAGTGACCATCAAGGAGTTGGATAATGCACCAGCTTGGATGATAAAACCCTAGATGCATGAGGTGGTGCTCGACATTACTTCATGAAAAGAGTATCCTTTGATGTAGGGCCACAGAAATAGGGAGTGGGAACGAAGTATGATGCACCCTCGGTAAGCAAGACGGCCACGGATGGATCTGGAACCGAGGCCGGGAAGCAGTCCCGAAAAAAAAACGAAAGGTTGTTCGGTTCCCGCGCCGTTCGCACGGGCGGATGAGCTGAGAGCGACAACAGCTAAAGTCATTTGTACCCGGTAGATTGTGGTATATAGGGATGGTAAAACGAGGCAATAGTGTGCCAATGTCACTTCGGCCAACTCCGTTGCAATACAGCCGGTCCGTTCAAGTGATGGGAATACGAGGCAAAATATAACGTCTATGAAATATTTTGAATGGAATAAAAGAATTAATTATTCCTAATATATGACCGGAGTGCCATAAGCCGAGGAGAACAACGTCGAGAAGGGAATGTATACCCGCTGAGAAAAGGAACTCAATGATTGGATGTTACCATATGCGTGATGTCCAGGACCACTCCTTTACCCCAAGGGATAACTGCGGCAGCCGTTTCGGAGGTAGGTGGGGGTGAGGGATGTCCGCGTTCGATGTAGCAGACATCTCAAATGTGCGCTTCAATGAAACTCATGCCAGTATCGTGAGATGAACGAGCGCCTCCACACAATGCCATATTACAGATGAGTTTACTGGCGCCTTGTAGGATAATGGGGCTTGAATGAGCAATGCTTTCAAGATGCGGGTGGGTCGGGAAAGGAGGTGTTTGAAATACTCCAACCTTGTATTTACATTATGACACCACACTGATGGTGTCTCAGATCCTTAACAAGGGTTCCCGTCTCCCGAAAGGGGAAACGCGACGGAAAAAAGGCGGAGGAAAGCACGGAGTGAAACTGGCCATGCCGACATGTGACCAGTGACTGACTGTATCAGCGAGTTCGAATATTAGAGCTCGTCATGCTGACTGCTGTGCTAATTCCAAGGTGGTTCATGGGGTGCCCCCTCGAATCATGTTATATAGTCGAGTCCGTTTCCTCATAGTAGAGGGAAATGACATTGTTCTTTTCCGCGGGTTCTGCTACGTTAGAGGCCGGGACCCTGCCTAGTGTGAGAGCACCCCAGAGGCTGCTTAGTGTGGTGTCCAGCACAGCGGAAAGAGCTGATGAAACCAGGTGTGCCACAAGCACGGAAAATCCACGGTGCCCCTAGACTGATTAATTTGCAACGAGTCAACGATCTTAGGTTATCCGGTATCAATAATCAAAATCCTGATGTGATAAGCGCTTGTTGGTGACCCAGCGCTCCAACGCGCGAGCATCGCAGTAGAAAGCAGCGCCAAGATCGAGACCTTTCTCAGACCAGATTGTAGTGACCAAGACAGCTTATAGTGATTGCACTCGATTGCCTTCACTCCCATGCTGTCGCAGTTGGAGTGCGAGCCCACCTGGCATCAAATGAAGTTGATACAAGAATATTCATTGATCAAAGTGAATTGATGTGGCCACGTCGCAAACAACAAATGCAAATATCAGTTTGACCTTATCCTCCCTCCCAGTATCGTTCTTGCCACACCTCGCGATACCTCACATGCCTGTCGAGAATGAGAACGATCGTGGAAGTCATAGCCATGAAGCTGAGGAGCTCGTCACCACAGAACTAAATACCGGAGGTGCCTGCAAAATCGACGGCGGTTATCGTACATGCGCTCTGACTTCATCCTTTTAGGTGATCGTGGTACTCGCGCCACTATGCTAGGATTCTTTGCCAATCTTGGACTTACTGGCATAAAAGGAGCAGCTGGCTGGCACGTCTTACCAACTTGCCACGTATTCGACAATGGCTAAATGTCTCCGCAGGTACCTGAACTCCGCAGTGTTGTTAGCGGATGCTGGCCATTCGTTAAGTGGTCAGTAGCAATTATCAGTATTTTTCTACTAACTCCTTTGACGATCTCTATCCCGCAGACTTAGCGGGCGACATAATCACACTCTTTTTCTACACATTTTCCCGGAGAACACCTTCCCCGAGTTATCCTTACGGCTATGGAAAGTTCGAATCTGTAGGGACAGTGAGTATAAGCATATAAGCAATAATTCCCTGCTTTGCCTGAAGACGCTGCTGCCACGGCATAGGCAGTGGTCTCCATATTCCTACTTTTGGCAGCATTCGCGATCGGTGGTCACTCTTACTCGCTTCTTGAAGAATCTATCCCATTCCTGCGTGCTCGTATCCCCTTTCCGGCGTCTTCTGATTCATCATTCAACCACCCTTTGGATTCAACAACAGATCCAAATGCGGCTTGGATTGCAGTCTTCAGTATATTAATCAAGGAATCCGTTTATCGGATCATGGCCTCTATCGCCCGAACCGAAAACAGTCCGGTATTATTGGCGAATGCACTTCATCATCGAAGCGATATGTATTCGAGTTTTGTTAGCCTTATTGCGATTATTGGCAATTGGGTATTCCCAAAATTACCATTCGATCCGATAGGCGGTAAGTGCCACCCGTGCCCTAGCATTTCTTGCACTCTGAGAAGAATGGATTATTCCAGGTTTACTTGTGACCCTTCTAATTCTTCACCAAGCTTTCGAACTGTTGGGCGGTGCATTATTCGAATTAACTGACAGAGCGCTGCCGGCTGGAGACCTCGAGCCGGTAATGAATATTATTCGCAGTGAAGTGAAGGACTTCAAATCTGCTCCGCCACATGGTCCGGAGACTCTCAAACTCTTGGATCCTGTAACTGGCCTACGGAGGGGCGCAAATCTTTTTTTGGACGTGAACATTGCAGCGTTGGAGTCTGGAGAACAGTCGCTTTGCCTCCGAGATGTAGTAGAATTTGAAGACAAGTTGAAAAGGCGGCTAAGATCCACGAAAATGGCAGTTAAGGATATCAGAATTCGATGGGAGATCTACTCGTCGTGATGTCCTGCAGATTCGGACGGATCTGGATGCGAACATGTGTGTTTTATTACAATCCTTTAGTATATAAAAGTTCGGGTGAGACCAATCTCTAATGATTAGTTGGACTAAACAAGCCAGAGGCCAATGCATCTTGCCAAACTTCTTCAACCCATACTATGCAATCCAAGATCTCCTTCGTAATTTCCCCCAATCCTTCAACTAGGGCATGATCCTCAAATCCTTTCACAATTGGTAGAGGGATGGTTTGGTCCAGTAAAGGTGCTTTATAACTATTATCTTGTGCTTTTCCGACGTGTCTGCCTGTTCTCAGACGCAGTGGTACCATAGAATGCTTCGCTCCTGATTGGGACGCAGGCTCCCGAAGGGAGACTATGTACTGATCTATCGCATCCGCCACTCTTTTCATAAACAGCTTGAAGACTGGGTCTTCTGCTCGAATGATTCGTCGAACATTGTTTCTAATGCGATCTTCCTCACTCGTTGAGAGATTTTGCGGTCCTGACGACGCCCCGTCGTTTAATTGGCGAAATCTTGCCACATGAATAACTTCATCCTCTAAGTTCACCAACTTTGTTTCCGCTTCTGCGTATCCTCCACGATCGATTTCAGTATTGAGAAGCGTCCAAACTCTGGAAACAAACGTAGTCTCTGAGGGACCCTGTGCTTTCTGTGAGTGAGCAGCATGATTTCTTTGTTGCGCTTGGGATGATGTGGAGGGAAATGCAAAAACACGAAGGCATGCACATGCCACCAGAGCCTGGAGGAGGTTCTGAATACGGAATAGTAGCGGCGATGAGAGCAGGAAAACGGGAGGCAGAATGTTGGTGGGTTGCTCAGGTGAAGGGGCTAACGCTCCCGCTTCCGGAGGCATCTCAGTGAAGGGAGGATCATGAACTGAGATGGAGATGGGAGTAGAAAGTGAAGATATAAGCCTCGCTATCCATCGTAGTGGCTCCGAAGTTGTGGTTGGAAAGCTGACCCACTCCCGAAAAGGTCTACTGACACCTAGAGAGCCACCGTAGAGTCTTAGAACGAGTTCCCGCTCTCTCCTTTGCGCCTCCGCCCTCACAAGTTGCCTCATGTCGGACTCCCCCAGCGAAGACAGCCTGAAGTGATGGAGATCAGATGTCATTTCCTCTATTATTTGGAATATTGAGCGAATAGTTGATACAAGGAGGTTGGGGAACTCCCTCTCTGACACAGGATTGTTAATTTTTCGAAGCAGTGAATCGATCTCGGGATCTCTCGCTGGCGCACAGCGTTCTCGAAGCTCATGGAGAACCACGCGTGTCACGTTTATACCTGACATCAGGGGGGACGATGACGGGGAAAGAGGCCGACTCAGAGTCATCATAATTGGGAGAGTCGATGGGAGAACGGGTAGCAGGACTGCGTGCATGTCCCTGTAGAGCTGGCTCAGACGACTGATAATGGTCCCGGAGTATTGAGAAGACAGAGAACTAATAGCCTAGGGGACCCATGACATTAGGTGACACCGCGGATCGGAGAAGGATGATCGAAGCCCCTGACCTCCTCCCAGAATGCTCGTGTGACCATGTGTGCTACTTGCTGCTCCAGGGACGTGGTATCACGCGGAGTCCCTTCACGAGGTGCATCGGAGAAAACGGATGCAATGCTCTTCCCTGGTGGCAAGACACGTTCGGGTCGAATGGCGAGGAGATGAAGTAAGTATGCGTCATTAAGGAGAGAGTCAAAATTCCCAGATTCTGGGAGCTTGAAAGGTGGCCTCCATGGTTCTACACCAGGAAGGTTATGCTCAAAGTGAAGGTGCTTTAATTTGTCTGCCATTACATTAGAGTGTGAGAGGGCGAATGAATAAGCGCCGGAAATGACGTGAGCGTTCCCATCACCTGATCGGTCTCATCACACTGACTGTGGCGCAAAGCAGAAGGGACGCCCAAGTTAACTTGGATGTCATCTAATGTAACGAACCCATCTACTGTCACATCTTCTGCAGTGTCGCCAACTGCGTCGCCTCCAGCTGGCCAATCGCCGTCACAGTACGTTTTTGCAGCCGTCGCCGTCGCCGTCGCCGCCTAGCCTGACGCGTGTCACTCTCCCAGCCCTGTGGTCGCCTTCATAATAGGTTGTCTGAGGCTAGCCAACCCTATTAAATGCATAGTTGACAACGTCTGGTTGTAGGATTCTCTATCATAATCATCGCATCTCTGCTGAATGCAGGTCTGGAGCCTCGAAGCCTTCTTCGCCATTACGATGCTCATTTCTCCCATATAGGTGGTTTGAATATAACCAAACTCGACCATGTTAGTGATTTCATTTCTTGACATGAGCTGCAGATAGAATGTCTCTGACAGGTACGGACCATGGCTCTCCCGAAAGGCTCACGGCGAAAGGATTACCTGCGACCATTATGGGTAATCGGAATGCTTTTGTACATGTGGGTGCCCGACACACCATTATAGCCTGTACATGCTCATTCTCCCTCAGCATGTCACAATTAATTGGATCCAGTCTGGTATGTAGCCTCCCAGCCCTGTTGGTCGTCATATTGATCATTGACAGGCTCTTGACTACATGAGAGCTGGTGAGTCGAACGTCAGATTTCCTACATGCATGTAAGAATTATTTATCGTCCCTGTTCATTCAGAGTATGTCGCCCCACTGGGGTCATCCTCTCTGATTTTTAATTTCCTGTTCGCGAGCGCTTTAATTGTACGTTAGCTATGTGAGCCTAACTGCACGTTTGACCAATTATCTATTTCAGGGCACACCCATCACCATCATGGACATATATGTGAGTCGGATTCCAGCCTTCCTGATCTTTCCTTGAACGTGTTTCTTTCCACAGGGGACAGCAGTTGTTATACTCGGGGTCATAGGGATTGTAGCTTTTGGATCAATCAACTCAGGTCTCAAAGAGGACTTTTCGTTAGGCCTGCTTGCTCATTTGTGGGCAAGACCAGGATGGATTGGATACTTCTTGCTCATGGGGAGTGCTATCATCGTCCAATATATCTGCAATTCACAGCTGGAAAATGTTTACCACGCTCGCGCGGAAGTATCTGTGCTACCTGCTCATCGCATGCCAACACCAAGAACTCCAGAACCTCGCGGAGTTTGGGCTAAAGCTAAGACGAAATGGGACAGCGCGATGGAAACATTGAGGAAACGTATGGAAACTTGGACTTCGGATAGAGATGACAAAGTTATTGCTTGGACTCTTGGCATTGGTTGGGCATGCAATGGCGGCGCCATGGCTGGCGCTTGCTTGGTGTTTGCCAAAGCCACGTTGGTATCTTAGCCTAGTTTGGTAAAGCGCGTCTATTGACTTGGTGGTGGGTTTAGTGTCAAATTGGTATCCGGATCTTTGAAGCACATCAACACTGGAAACCAAGTAAGCCGCAATCATCGCAATCATCGTGTTCTGTTGGTCATTCATTCTGTTATGTCTGCTAGTTCATTCACCCTGCCGCCTTCGTTACGTTCATGCTTCTTGGATGTACCGCCATCTTCCAAATCATATGTCTGAACCGGGCACTAAAGATTTATGACAGCACTCGTATGTCATCCTGATCTCACACCTGATTTTTACCTCAATCGGAGCCAATTTCAGTCGTGGTACCTATGTTCTATGCCGTGTACACCGCTTCCGGGTTCCTAAATTCACTTATATTTAACGACGAAGTCGACGCTTACAGTAATTGGGTTCGTTCGGTTCCCTTCTTTCATGTAATCTTCGTTGACTTTTTGGCTTCAGATACTCTTCGCAATTTTTGTTTCCATCGTCATACTTATCGTCGGAGTCATCCTTCTCACGAACAAAAAGCCTGAACCGAAAGCCGCAGCGCAACAATCCACAATTTTAGGTCCGGTCCCACTCAACGTTCGCCGCGGACGTCGCAGGCCTAAGAGTTCCGAGCCGCAAGTTGACTTGCAGGACGATGATGATAGGATAGAAGAAGATGATGCTCTAAGAGCAAGTGATGACGAGCAGGAGGATGCTGCTGTGTGGCGGATTGGAGAGGACGATGACGAAGTAGATGGGGATATCAGCCATGCACACGAAGTGAGAGGATCACTGGGCGAGGGACCGACGGTCCCACCCGTTGCGCATCATGAAAACGAGGCACAACGCCTCGTTGACGTAAATGTGGAAGGGAGTACCCACCAAACGACGGCCCATCCGGGTGTCCCAATGCGGGCACCGTTGCCGACGTCAAGAGGGACGAGTTCCCCTGAAGGGGACCCTTTTGCCGACTGGGAACACGCAAGCACTAGCACTCTTCTTAAAACTTCGTAAAGCACCCATTGTGCATACGGCTTGTCGCTGTGTGTTTCGTACTTTATGTAATATCGAAACGAACCAACTCGATTACCCTAAAACGAGGTCACGCAAGGGTGGTTGGACCGCAAGTAGAGCAGTGAGATTAAGGCTAACGAGTGCGTATATATTCGGGGTACATTAGGTGTTTCGGCTATGTGAAAACGAGTAGGGGAAACGAATCGGATGGCGGATGGGATTAGAAGAGTCCAAGAAAGCATTGTCGTAAGATGAATCGGCAAGAGAGAGCTGTGATGGTGACGCCGGATGATACGGTTCACCAGCCACTACTCCATCGGGTTCGTACTGCCAGCCTGTGCATCAAATGGCGTAAAGGAATACCGATCGGCCGATTTTTGAGTTCGTTCATAAATTGGAAATGAAAAAAAAAAAAACGCTTACCTGATGATCGCCACCCCGGTCCGCTCCTTCCCTGCAACCACACAACCAATCGGTCCACCACCGCCCATTGAACGGTGGATTTACGTCATCTTCATTCTCATCGTTATCGACTCGAGATTTGTCTTGAGACATTTGTTGCGTGTTTTCCGGAGGCCGAGTTACCACACCTATCGTTGGGGGAGGAAGGCCTAACGGTGCTGGAGTGGGCAAACGGTCGAATACACGACCCTCTTTACCCTTCCCCTTTGAGGTGATATTTTGTAATTCCTGTTCCTCAGTCAAAATCGGCTCAGGCGAAGAGGTACGAAGGGTGCTTTCAAAGGGGTTTTCGGACGTGGAGGACATGAAAGCTCCACTTGTGGGAGTTGGTTCAGGGTCCCGAAAAGGGTTGCAGAAGATTGAGACACAGTACGAGATAACGACTGAGATTGGGCATTCAGGGGATGTGATTGAGATCGTGGTTGGGACTGAGAGGAAGGCGTGATTGTTGCGGCGGAGGAAGCAGAAGCAATGGAATCTTGTGAACCACGTGAAGAAGTGTGAGCGTGTCTGCTTCGTCGTCTTGGTATGGGTTTGACGGGTCGCGAAACATGGATTGCTGGCGTCGTAGATGTGGTGGGTGTGTTTGGGGATTCGGCTTGAGGTATATACGCGTCTTCGTCGTTTCCGTCTGATGGGAGGGGTTGAGAACCGGGTGCGGGTTTACGCTGCTTGGAAGACCAGAAGAGCGAACCACGCCGAACTATGCTCCTTGAGTGTGATTGGCCATCACCGAGAGGTAAAGAAGTCCGTCTCCAGAAATTATGGAGGCTCGACTGTCCCGTGCTGCCTTCCTTCGTGCTTTCTCTTGTAACTCCCATCGTTTGAGATGCTACAAGAATGTCGCAAGATTAGTCCCATTATTCGGGAAATAAACGCGTCAATAAGAACAATATAAACTAAATCCCCACCTCCGAAACCTTCCGTTCCTCCTTTTGCTCATTAGCTAGCGGCGGATACGTCCCAATGTGTTCCTCAATTGCGTGTTCCCATAAAGGATCCGTTGCTGCGGGCGTGGTTGTTCCATTTTCCATGCCATTGTCAGAAATTTCTTCGTACGTCGCTTTTCCCTTTCCCTTCCACACAGATGATCTCACTGGAGACTTTGGGGGGGGGTAGGGGGCGGAGGTTCAGAAGCCGTGATAGGTTCAGTTTCCTCAAGTGATGCTGCTTCAGAGTGATATCTTCATGACTTGAGCTCATGGGAAGTGAGGTAGTTGCAATGAGAGTCCCACTGTCATACGTTTCTGCCTCTTCCGCAGCCATTTGGGGCGATGTGCTGACCGCCAACTCACCGGGCGAAGTTGGGGGAGGAGCTCTCGGAGTACTAACTTGGAATTGCTGGAAGAGAGTGTCTGGGTATATCAAAGTGAGCGGAGAACGCTGTACGAGTCGAGGTAAGCGGTCAAAGCGATTTGTTACGGAATTGAAAGAAGCTTCAATGGTCACACGGTTCAGGAAGCCAGCCATGGCTATATATATACCAGCAGCGCTTAACCGTCAAATGCAAAATAAAGTATAAATGTCCATTAAGGGTATTTATGCATATATGACTGGTACACCTCTCCGGTTATTGCAACAACATGGTAATGTGGCCAAGGGGAAATTTGAGAAACAAGTCGCGCACGTCCCTCTTACGTGTTATTACTTTTCTCCACATCATCTGATTATGTCTCACCATCCATTGACAATTAACCTTTCTCTCATCCACTATCCCTCTCCCAAGCATCTTTCACCTAGGCAGGATCCCAGCCTCTACCAGAGTTCTTTCACCCGTGTCGATCACAGTCACAAATAAATTCATCCATCCATCCATCCATAGTAAACAGAGTGTCGAACAAGTGCGAACGTACTGAATGTGAGGGGTACCAGTGTTCGCTCACACAAGGGCAGACAGGAGCGCGGACAACTTGACAACAGCCAATCGGATGAGCAGGGTCACAACACGACGATTATTTATATGCTAAGTAGATTGCGAGTCTGAGTCCGCAGTTTCCTCTCGCCGTTATCGCAATAAATACTCCAACTCGTCAGCAGCAAAATTCGGTAGAGGAATTTTCAATTGGAACTCCCGATGGGAGGCAAAAGTGAAGACCTGCACCCCGGATTAAATCCTGCCTCCTCCCAATTTCCTTTGCCTACTGCTGTTGCCGTACACATCATCATCATCATCCGGCGAATGAGAGTGAACGAGGGCTTCCTCCATGCTATCCGCGTCGTTATCACGATCCGAAAATGTGTGACGAAGTGCCGAAGTCTTGCCGTGGCCGCCGCTGCTCCCGGATCCGTAATGAATTGGGCTCTGAGATTCTGACCCCGGAAAGTCTTGATCCCTGAACGCCCCGCGTGAGCCGTTGTTACCAGACTGCAATGGTAGCGAAAGCAATGAAGCGCGTGCCTGTTCACGCATAGACAAGATATTGTTCCTGAACGCTTCCTGGAAACAAATGGAGATTCAAAAGTTGGAATCACATTAAGGGTCGACTGAAGCTAACCTGCTCTCTCCAATACTGTGCACGTTTCTCTTGTTCAGCCTCACGCGAACGGCGATGCAACACAAAGAGGGTAATAAGAATACCAGCCATCGCTGGGACACAACTCAGTATATGGCATATACCGAAACCGAAGCACTTGCCTCCAACAATTGCAACACCAACAATCACATAAACCCACGTGGCGACATGCTGGACGGTGGAAGGATCAAGGCCGCACGCACCGTTGGTGTCGCAATTCATCGTGGAACACCTGGGAAATGAAACATTCAGTAAACAAACAATGAGTGCCACGGAAATACACATACTCTTTGTCAGCTGCGCACGCGGCCCCATGGTCAAGCTGTTTCATGCAAACTCGTTTCGTGCCATCACAGTAGAGCCCATTCTCGCAATTATCGCTGAACAAACGACCTGAGTATTGTAGATAATTTCGTATTGAAGGAAGAGAAGTAAACAAACCGTGATACGACATTGATGAACTGATGAGATCCTGTTGAGTCGTAAACGATGTAGGGTACATTTTCAACAATACAAGGCTGGCCTAGCGTCACGTTTGCCCACCTTCACAATCCAATTTACATTGTTGAACTATTGTCAGAACCGCTATGCAAGACCAACGATAGATGACCTACATGCAGTAAAAGTTGAGGCAAATAGCTCCGTTCAAGTTACGGGGACCCGCCAGCTGCCTGGCATTTGACGGTGGTTGACATTGATCTAGGCGAAAGATATTGCTCGTCACGTTTCCAGGGCGCTCCCACAGCAAAGCGCATACCATCCCGATTCAGCTGACACAAGCTACCTACTGGCAGTAGATCCTGACACTGGTCCTCCTCATCGGGGCAGAATTGGCGAGACGAGCATTTGGGGGGGAGTCGGGCTCCTTGCTTATAGCCGAACGGGAAGTCAGCTCGTCGACAACCTTTGTGAGCACAGGTACTATTCGCAGCGCAGTAGAATTGTGGTGTGCATCCCGTAGAAAGCTGAAAGGTCCCATGTGCAAGTTTTTGTGCTGGTTGGGAGCAGTTACCGCCAAAGCCTGCATTATTGGCGTAAACGCTTTGCACAGCAAAGATGGATAATAGGGTAACGAGGAGTGTCCGCCTTCTAAACATGGAAAATCCACAAGAGCGGACAAGATAGTGCAGCGCTTGGTGTTGAAGACGCTGCAATAAGGAGCGGCAGCGCTGTGCAGAGCGAAGGAAACCGAATTGACGTACGGACACAAGTTAGGTTGACTACTCAGCCGGAAACAGCCGTCATAACGTTCTCAGCATGTGGTTCATTCGTGGCACCCCCACAAGGGGAATGTGTTCTATTTACAGCCAGGACAGACATGCAAGATGTCATGAATAAATTCATCACACTGTGAACAGAAGTCATGTTTGCAGTCTGGACACCTATAGCGCCTAACAGGGCTGACACCTTCCATGGCTTCCGACGTTACGGGTGGTAAAGGGAAAGCCAGAGAGCATGCTGTGCACACTAGTTCATCACCGTCGGCAACGGACGATCTAGAACAGATTCCTGATCATCACCATAACAGCACAGGTCGCAAACTCACCTTGCTTCATAAGGCTTGACAGGAAAAAGGTGATGATAACTGCGCGCAAGATGTGGGGAGCTCACGATAGTTAATCCGCAGATATCACAGTCTGTGGGTACATCGCACAATTTGGATAAACACCTCGGACAAAGGTAGCCGTGGCTTTTTAGATCGGAGTGGCACACACACAAGCTCGGTGGTGATGATTCGGGCAATCTCGTCGGGAAGCCCATAATGAGTAGGTCAGACGATGGATTAGATGTAGTAGGAGCGTTGGGACCTTTTCCAGTTGGAAGAGCATGCTGCGCTGGCGGAGGAATAGCATCAAACATGAGATCTTTGTAATGACCCTCATTCAGGACGACGCCAAATGACCCTATATGGATTAATGTTAGGAATTTCAACATACATTCTTTAAGAAAATAGACATGCCTCCCGTCTGCGAGCACATATCTCGGCATATCTTCATCTCCGCTGCTAACGCCACGACGCTGATGCGGATTCTGTCTACTACACATGACTGAACCGTGTCGTGAATATTACCTGGGTCACAAGTTGTCAAGGAACCAAATAAGACGAGGATTTCTCGTGATGAATGCGTCGGTAGATGGCTATCCAACAAACTTTTAGTGGATAATCTCTACCCAAGGGGAAGACACTCACCTCATGCTACTTCTCGCCATTTCAATTGCGTTCTGCAAGCTGGCTCGCCATCAGGCTGCAACTTAGCACGCTCCAATATAGTCTTCACGACGTCCTGGGGGTTGCCTTCAGAGCCTTTCTGATCAGTCCCGACATCGCCCAAACTGGTAACAGTTTGCGCTTGCCGGTCATGTCGCAGATTTTTTCTCCTAACCCTCCTCTCATGCCAACAATCCCAATCTGCCCCAACGGGTTCTGGTCAAACCATTCAATAATAAATCCCCGCATGTATTGCAGTGTGAGATCGAAACGCGTCGGACGCATATCTCGATCAAGCATTGAGGTCGAGAGGTCAATGATAATAATTAGATGCCGAATGATCGTTCGTCGTATTGCACCTTGCGGGGCCAGAAGTCTGGAGATGATAACGAATATGAATGGCGTGTCTCCATCGGAAACCTCGTACCTTCGCCGTCGACTTCTTACGAGCAAATCCTCTACAACACTCTGCAAGCTGCCACTCTCATCTTCCTGGACTGCATCCCATGTTCGGGTATACGTGGCTCCCAGAGTATCCCTTCGGAAGGTAATCCAGACAGTAACAGAAACGGGTTAGCATCTGTGACTTCGCTGTACGACGTTGGCGACTTACATCCTTTCCCCCTCCCAAATCGCGATTCCTCAACGCACTCTTACCCTTCCCTTTGCTCTTGGAGGCTGCAGGTATGTCGTCGCCTTCGATGTCAATTTCTTCATCATAGTCTGAGTCTGAAAAGTTCAGTCCTGATTGTTTGGGTGCCATCGAATCGAAGTTTATTAGCCATTACGTAATACGCCTTGCTCGAAAAAAGGCTACAGGTTTGTGCGGTGCCAACAAGCTAGGCTTCACTGTTAGTTCGCTGTTCGCGCTTGTATAATCGTCTCGACGCCACTATGGTTTTCGGGTCAATGGACTCTGGCATTCCTCAATATTGACCAATGGCGATTACGAATAACCAGAGGACGAATCACTAGCGTTAGAATCCCACAGTGCAATATCCTGTAGGAACTCAGATGTCATTCGCGGAACCCATTCATGCATGAAGCAATAGGGGATTAGCGGTTTCAATGCTTAGAATAACATGCAGATACAAATGCCTTTCCAATACCTTGCCAACAGCCCCACTTGCTTCATTCTCAGGTATACCCCACTACAACCCTTTCAACATTCCACTGATCCTCCCATATTTCGAAACTTCTGAATGTCCCAATGCAAGTTTCCTGTAAGATGCTCCGCACCATTTTCGCTTGGCCTTGTCCAACTTCTAGGGCGAGTATGCCCCCTGAGTCCTGCAGCAGCGGCGCATTGCAGGATGGCGTGAGGAGTTCTGAGATACGGCGGTAGAAGGCAAGGCCCTCTGGATCATCAGTTTTTGAGCGTGGGTCATTACCAAGGAGAGCTGTGGGATCCTCGAATTCTCTGACCGACGCATCTATTGTCTCATACTCGTGACGGGGAATGTAGGGAGGATTGCAGGTAATGATTGTAAATGGCGCGAATGAAGTGTGGCGTGCTGAGGTGTTTACTAGTAATTCTTCGTAAACGAAGGGGAGAAGAGGTCCAGCTTGACAGTGTGGAGCTTCAAGTTATGAACCGTGGCATTCTCTGAGCTAACTCCAGGGCTCGCGCATCAATATCTACAGCCGTGGCCGAGGCGATGCGAGATGACAGCTCCGACATCAGTAACAAGGGAATGCATCCTGTCCCACTGCAGATATCCAAGATGTGTATCGAGCCATCGCTTCCTCCAACTCTTGGGCGCGAAGTCCAGTTCTTCACTACGTTGGAAAGTTCCAAGGCCCAAAATTCAGTTTCTGGACGTGGAACGAGTGTCGGGGGGCGAACAACCAGTTCCAAAGACCCAAAAGGCTGAGAGCCTTGAGCGAAATATCAGATTTTTTTCCCATAATTTCCTCGAGAGGGGTGATGTAGTACCGAGGATATACTGTAGTGGCTCCCCCCGCAGTCTCCTTTGTATCATCTGTCCAAGCAAAACATCGGAATTGCGAAAGTGGGGTATTGAGTCCAGCACAGGAAATGTAACGGAGCTACAACGGTCTGATGACACGCGCTGAAGATGCTGCCTCATCCATCTCAACTCTTCAAAGGCATTCTGTTGGCCCACCACAGCAGCGAGGCGAGCCACAAGCCGACGCATTGTTGACTAAGGGTATTTTGCATAGCCACTACAATTTGTAGCAAATATATTCGCATGCATGGGTGAAGATGAGAAGTACGTGTACTAAAATAGCAGAAGCGACCACAAAGAGTGGCGTATAATCTGACCCCAAACAGTGAAGGCAATATACAACAAGTATTACAGACTCAAATGGAGGACCCAAGGAAATAAGGCAGTCATAGAAACTCTCTGGAATAAGTAATAATGGGTGATAAACAGCGATTCGAGCGAAGAGACAAGAATTGTCCGAGATCTTATCACTATTTTGGAGGCTGCGAGCCAGTAATCTTCGCGTGAATGGCTTGCAGCTTGGTATGCTTAACCTCACGAGGCCAGAATAGGGTTACAAAACTAATGTGAAAAACCAATGAGTGGCGATCTTACGAACGCTCGAAGATACTTACATCCACAAATGTTTGCGCCACTTCTCACCATCTTCTCCCTTGGCGTTCTTTTGTGCAACAACAGTTTCAATACGAGCCCCAATGGCCGAAAGCGAGTCCTTGAGAAGAGCAACCTTAGCTTCTCTGCTTAGCGACTCCGTCGGTGCTTTCAAGTTTTTCTGAGAAATTTTTTAGGCTCTGTCAGTGTTTTTATCAATAAATCCTAACTCACGAGTTGCTTTTTCACTGGCCGGAGCTCCTCTTTAGTCTGAGCTTCATCCATAGATGGGCTTCGAGCAGGACACTTAGTGGTTGCATTTAACCGAACAATAGTCTCACTTACCAGTCGTCTGACGAATCGGTGAATTCGGGTGTAGCGCGTCGCTTCTTCTTATGCGAAGTCCCCTCATCTGAGCGAAGACTACCTGCAGGGCTCTGTGCACGTCGTTTCGACGAGCTGCCAGTTGGCGCAGGTGAAGAGGAATATCGTCCAGTGAAGTCTCGTTTTGTTTTAAGATTCGACGTGATCAACTTGATCTTCTCCTCATGCTCCCGAAGAACACCAAGTAGATAGTCCCCTCTTCGAACGAGATGAATGGCATTGGGGATAGGCTTTCCATTTTGCGTGCTGGGGTCTTCGTTCTTCTTCCCTTCTTCAAGGAAAAACTTGCCGGCGAGCCCCAACTCAGGGTCGTCCTGAATCTTCTCCCAGTTACCAAATCCGTGCTTGTATGCACCTACGAGAAGCATCGCATCCTCGTAAGGACCCCATTTGCAGGTCCAATTGAGTGTCGGACGGATTGATTCCGTAGGCAATCTCCATGAGTGAATGTCGCTCAAGCCCTGGAGGTTATTGATCAGAATCCGGAGTTCGTGGAATCGAGAGACAACAGTCTCAGCATTGATACTGCTGACGTTGCGGAAGTTGACGAGGACCGCCTTCGACTTTGGCCCGATGACGCCTTCGTTTTGTGCTCTAGCCTTCGCATCCCGATGCTCCTTCAGAGCCCGTTCGCAAGTCTCAATGATCTCGTCGCAAGTGTCGATGATAACTTGGCGATTCTTGTCCTCGAGCTTTGCTTCCTTGGCCTTCAAAGGACGAGCGACTCAGATCAAAGGATGAAGCACGAGTGGCATTAGCACTCACAATCTCATCATAGCGGAGACGGATGTCACCCCATCGTTGCAAACTCCGAACGAGAACGCGAAGATCGCGTTCCTTAAGTTCGACGGCCCGTTGCGCAGCAGTTTTCCTGGGGGGTGCAGGTCCTTTGGCTTTCTTCGGCGCACTAGCTGCAGAAGGCTCGATGGCATCCATACCCTCATAGGCGCCAGGCTGGATCTGTGCCGCAGCCCTCTTTCGGCTCTGAGAAGTATCGAGCGCGTCCTGCTTTGCCTTCTCCTCGGCTTCTTCTTGCTCAACTTTCAAACGCTCTTCTAGAGGAATGATCTCGTCCCAATTCATGTCTGTCTTGATGTCGTTCACAACAGCCATCTGATGAAGGAAACCTCGCCACCCATCGACGCCCCCCCGGAGTTTGCAGCCCCGATAGTCTCATGTTCTTCGGCACGGTTAAGAATGTCATCGAGATCCATTTCAGCGAGGTTTTTATTCAGTTCGTTATCATCAGTTTTGAACCTGCTCGAGCATAAGCGCGAAGCGCATCTTAAACAGAGCCAGAAAGACTTACATGTTTTGCGCGCCGTATTTCAATATGGCTGACAGTTCTTCCTTGCTGAAGTCAGGTGATGGCTTCGTAGTCTTCTTCGGGTTGAAGTTATCTCCCGAGGTATCCATTTGGTTGATAACTCAGGTCGCGAGGCGTGAAAATGGGTATATCGAGACACCACTAAAACTTACTAGCATATTCCAGAACCATCTTCCGTTTCGCTCGCTCAAGGACATCCTCTTCCATCGTATCCTTGCTGACGAAGCGATACACACTAACATGCGACTTCTGCCCGATACGATGGGCACGAGCCATAGCTTGGAGGTCATTCTGAGGGTTCCAGTCGGAGTCAAAAATGATGACTGTATCAGCTGTTTCAAGGTTGATACCGAGGCCACCAGCACGGGTGGACAGCAAAAACGCGAAGTCAGGTGAGTTCGGTGCATTGAAGTGCTCGATCGACTTTCGGCGAATCTCAGACGGAACAGTCCCTATCAAGTGTCGTCAGCCCGAATAATATACGCGGACAACATGCTTGCCGTCTAGTCGTTGATGGTTAAATCCACGGAAGGTCATGTAGTCAGACATGATATCGAGTAATCGGACCATTTGGCTGAAGATGAGAACGCGATGGCCGTCTTGTTGCAATCTATGGAGGAGTTTATCGAGGAGCACCATCTTGCCGGAGGACATGACGAGGCCCTTGAGTTGCTCCTCCGGAGAATCAGTACGGACTTCGGCACCATCGAAGAGATAAGGGTGGTTCGCGGCTTTCTTCAATTCCATCGCTGTAAACAGAAAACCCAGAGTGTCTCGACACCGTTCTGGCTAACGATGAAACACATACCAATGTTAAGCAGGCTGATGTGAGCGTTTTGCCCGTTGGTCGCCTTGCTCAACGCTTGGAAATTCTGCAATGGAAGCAGTTTAGAAACCATGCCAAAAACAGGACGAACAACTTACTCTAGTCAGGATGTTCTTGTAATAATGCGTCTGCATCGCACTCATCTCAACACGCAAGATTCGTTCACTCTTCGTAGGCAACGACTTGATCACGTCTCGCTTCAAGCGCCGCAACATCATCCCTTTCAGTTTCTCATGCAAATCCTTGATCTTCGCCTCTTGATCGATATCGGAAAGGTCGAAATCGTTCGTGAGCGGGAATCTTTCCGGCATGAGGAAATGCATCAGCGCCAGTAACTCTGCACAAGCGTAAGAGAAGATATATGGTGATGATGATGGTGCCATGCCTTTCACGTTATTTTGCAGCGGCGTGCCCGTAATGAGAACCTTAAAGTAAGCTGTGAAGCTGCTAAGAGCTTCGTAGAGCTGGCTCTCGCTGTTCTTCAGCCGATGTGCCTCATCTACCATCAGCGCCTGCCACTTAATGCTCCCCAGCTCCGCTTTGTCCTTGAGGATGTACTCATACGTAGTCAGCAAAACGTTAAACTTGAGTTTCTTCGCTGCACCAAATTCGTAAGCCCGGATCACTTCGCGGGATTTTCCATTGCCGATATAGGGAATGGCGTTCATATCTGGGGCCCAAACTTTGAACTGAGCCTGCCAGGCTGGGAGGGTCGAGAGAGGAACGACGACGAGGAACGGTCCATACTGATGATGAGTGTGCATGAGATAAGAGAGGAACGATACCGATTGGACACTGAGAATGGTTAGAGTAAGAGCACGACATCGAGTTACAACGAAAGCCACTTACGTCTTGCCCAAACCCATCTCGTCGGCCAAGATCCCATTTTCCCTTCGACTCCAGCAATATGCCAGCCAGTTCAGGCCGGTGAGCTGAAAATCTTTGAGCTGGGGACCAGATTCCTCATCTTCAGGGTGGCCATCCTGGCCGTGGGCGACATCTGGAATCTCGCCATTGGGATAGTCGTACGATGACTTGCCAAGATAAATGGGCTGGTGCTTCATAACGGGGCAGTGAGGGCGTTGACCACTGGGGAAGGTCGCGGAACGATAAGGTACGAGGGCAGCGCGCTCACGAGCGTGGTATTGATCGATTTCGACTTTGGCGATCCTTCGTATGTCATCCTGGGCTGAAGATGCAGAATGAATAGAAATGCAAGCGAAATGCAAGTGAGATTACTTACTCTCCCAAGTACAGTCACAGTATGGGAGTGCTGGTATTAGAATCTAATTAATGCCCTGTGCGGGGGGACTATGGATGGAACGCACTTCTCCACTTCACAAAGTACTCCGTCCCGCTCGCTGCATTCTCTCTTGAATCAATGGCACGTTCAACAATCTTACACCCCTCGAGCCACTCCTGACGTCGTTCTTTGTCGATCTGGAAGGCTTCAAGTTCTTCGCGAGAAATGTCGGTACGAACGAGAGTGGCACGTTCGGCAGCCCAGACAGTCTTGATGTAGTTGTCGACGCGCTTCATCCCTTTATAGCGCTTGAGGAACTCGTAAGTTTCATCGGTGTTGTGCAGATGCGAAAAATTCTTCCATTTGATGTGGAAGCGCTGATGGCGGAACGAGGAGGTTAACGGTTGAACTGGGGAACAGATATATGCACTATACCATGTTCACAGAAGGAAGATCCTCAGGATCATTGACTGGTAGCAAAAGCAAAAGATTAATTTGAGGGTGGCAAGCGGACAATACCAGACAGAAACTTACTATGATCTTCGTCTCTTGAGTGTCCAAAGACACCATCTATTTCATCCTGGTCTTCGTAAATTGGCTGTCCATTGGCGTCGTATTGAGGTGCTGCGGTACCATTAGGAGTGCCGTCGTCCTCATAGTCCTCACTTCGGAAACCCCCATCTTCCGCATAGTTGGGAATCCTCTGACCCCTTGAGGAAACCCGGACATCAGAACTGTTTCCTGAGGGTGGTGGACGGCGACGCTTGCGAGGTGGGACACCGTAGTCGTCTGATGATTCACCGCCTGTCTGTGCCGCGCTTGCTGTTGCAGTGGGCGCTAACGCACGAGACCACGATAAGCATAGGATGATATGATGTTGAATTTTATCGCTATTACTTACCTTTGGGATGAGAAGGCTTTTTCTTCCTAGGTTGAGTCGAAGGTTTTTTCGAACCTGTATACTCGTCTCCACCCCCTTCTGATTCTGACGATGCTACCTCTTCATCATACTATAGGCATAGCTCAGGTTAGCATCAGAAAAGTTGGAAGGCATATTACAAACGTACATCAGGCGTTTCCCTACCCCTGCTCTGCAGTACACGTAATTTGAGACATGAGGGGTTGCATCTAGGATGGACGAAGTTGAACGCACCGATCGTCGAAGCCCATAAAGCTGAGGATTTGCGTTGCTTAAGTCGAGACGTTGAGCACGAACAGCAGCGCCATTTTGGTACGGAGTCGATGATAAGGAAGGTGGGGGCACTGTTGATACTGCGGTTGCTGGCATAAGTTCGTCTTCGGCTTGGCCATCATCGTCGTCATAGTCAGCGTCGGCATCGGCGTCGGAGTCGGCGTATCCAGCGAGGTGTTGATGAAGGGGAGGGGTGTTGTCAAGTTCCATGTCGTGTTCACCATCAGCGTCTTGGTCAACATGCATGTCACTGCCGTTACCGGCAGAGCCAACATCGGTGGCGGGATGGGAGGCGTCGACGGAGGGAGGTTGGCCAGTGTAGTGACGAGGTTGGGCGGTGAGGGAGGTGACGTTCATCGTCGTGGGTGAGTGGAGAGGGGGAGACGGACTTTAGTGGGTAGTCGTCTCGGCTGTGGACGAAAACCCCGCCGGCATTGACTCCCCTCGATTTCGGAACGCGTTTCGCCACTCTCTCATCATCAATCGCTTTTCACTTGAATAGAATTATTTTCTACAGCTGAGTAGTACATTATCTTCCCTCTACTGCCTACTGGGGCCATCGTAGATGACGCGCAAATTTGTCCGAAAAAAAAATGGACCGCGAATGGCGTTTGTCAATGGGTGCAACTTATTGACCCCCTGTATCGATGCAAGCCACGCGGAGACTCGGCGGCTGATCTTACTGATTCTTGACCCCCCTCCCCTTTGAACTAACTATTTCCTGCATGGACCGCCTATGGAACGGACCAAAGCCCTGTCAAAAGACGAGAGGAGTAACGCCGGAACAAAGCTGTGGGACGATTCATGGGCTTTCGGCATCGTCCACAGCGGCAAAAAGAATTGTTCACCGCAGCATCTTTCACTTAACACCTCAGAAAATCTCAGGAAAATTCGCGCATGCACGGGTGGTGTTGCTTGAGTTGACCATATTCGAATGAACGTGAATTGTATAGCACAGGTCGCCGGAAAAAGGACGTTGTCATCGCGTTGCACGGCGGCGATCAAATCACGTGTATGTTTCACACATCCCTTTCGAAGCGAAGTCATCGAACGAATTGATCGCAACGTGGTTCTGCGGCAACAACCCCAAAACTTGGTAGGTGCTGAACTTCCATATTGACTTCTTGTTACGGGTGTGGCTGACTTATTGAGCTTCAGCGCCAGAACACATGTTGCCTTGTTCCCGGTCTTCATAATGTCCTTCCCTCCTTACTTGATTAGAACGAACCCAAACGTTCTCAGGGGGGTGGTTTTTGAGAATGGAGATCAGGACACTGCCCTCTCAGGCAAGCCACATCACGGTCATGCATCTAGCCTTGGCTGGATGTCCGCTGAGCTCCTGCCTTTCTCGGAAGAAAATCTCCTTGCAGCTGATGATATCAAAGGGGAGAGGCGCTCATGAGATACCACGATGTGCTTTTGGACAGAAAGCTCTCGCTTTTGCCTCGTGTTGGATCAGTCGCCTCTGGGTCTGATCAAGATTCCATTTCCGATTTGGTGGATTTCTTGGACAGCCCCCTGTCGCCGCCCAATATTTTGTTGTTCCTCATGCGCATGAGGACAGGCTCATGACCATTCCATTTATTTATCTTCCTTCCAGCTGGGTAACCAGGCTTCTCCGATGCCGATCTCTTGTGTCGCAGCGGCATCTTCTCGGTCGGTGCCCCGCCACACATAATATGGCGTGGATTGGATTCTGAATACCTTTAAAAACTTCCTTGAGCGCTATTCACTTACAGTAATGTGAATCGGAATGCGCTCGGCTGCACAGGCCATGGCATTGCTTTGCATAGAAAAAGCCACCCGTATCGTGACCATCCCTTCACCTATGTTCAGAGACCAAGTCCGCAACCTGCTCTTTGGATGTAATGCAGACGCCACGAATAAGCGCCCATTCGCTGTCACTTGGCCTCTCATCTCAATTTCACAATTGGATGCATACCCCTGCCGCCGTAGGAGACGTGCAAAGTAGCCCCTTATTCCTACCGGCCTTGCGTTCTTCTATCCATCGCGCTAGCAGTGGCAGTGATGTGTTATGTGGCACAGCGTTAAGCCAGCCATTTCCGGAGTCAGGCTTTATATAAATCACTCCCGTTAAGCTTCACATTTTGCAATACTCTACGTCGAGTGACTCCAACGTTCATAGACTACTCGGATAAATTCATAGGATGATACAGTGGCACTCTTGCCTCGAACTTAGCCCATCATTACACTAAGTTCCCTCCCCGCACTCCGCAGACAGCCCATGCGTGAAGATCGTGATCATACTAGCCCCGCTTGACATCAATGTTCATCACGACATTGGGAACTTGCCATTCAACAACCTGTCGTACAACAAAACTAGGTCGAATTTTTATCATTTAGCTTAAACGCTGGTGTCATCGAAATGCTTTCCACAATAAATTCAGTGATGTTGTTCTGTCGCCATGAAAGAATGGCTGGGTAGCCTGGACTGCAGTGAACCTTATATAATTTCAACAAGCTAAGTCTCTCCGCTGTACGAAGTGCTCTAATTCCCGAGGGGCGTTCTGCCGATTCCTCACGCCGTGTCTCATGGCGGTGGCAATGCATGCAATGATATTTCTGAGACTTGGCTTTGTCATGGCACTGGAACACGGACAACAAGTACAAGTTAGAATCTTGTATAATGCGTACCTATGACAATCACGTTTTATGTTGATCGTTGCTATTAGATTTTCGCATTATTTCTTGTGACCCTGCCAAGTCATGGCATTCATAGCGCTATATAAATCTTTTTTGGCACCAACTTTCTCAGTTCACTAAACTGATATCTTATATTTTTTTTTTTATTCATGTATTGAACACTCGTACACAGCGACAAATCGCTATGATTATTTAATAATTTATTACGTACAACATGAGACAACATCGCTATCGAATTCGTTTATACAAGTAGGAATCGTAACAGAATGAATCCGCAGACGATTTCAATTCCCCAGTCAAGTAGGCTTCGGCAGCATTACAAGCATGTCTATGTGGAAGCACTTGATTTTTTTTGCGTCAGTCATCATCATCCGAACAGCTCGTCAGTTTGACGAGCGTCGCAAGCTCAAGATGGGCTTCCCTCTGTCCCTACAATTGTGTTCGTTAGTAAGGATGCTATGAAAGACACTGGAATCACGGTTAGAAAGGTATCTTGGAGTTATTGTGTGATGGAGTTCGTCAATGTTTTCTCATTGACTTTCGAAATTCCATGGGATTGATGGCTCGCAGCTCGCGAAGTATACATAGAGGGTAACGGAGGAGGGTCTTTTCGAATTTTGGATGATGCGTCCCCACGCAGCCAGCACTCGAGAACCGTCGAGTAATACCTTTTTGCAACCGGTCACGCGTCCTCAACAACAGTTGTTGGGGGGAATAGGCGGCTTTGTCGTGTGTTGATCCGCAAAGACTCCCTCTTCCTTAATTATTTCGTCTTGATTATTCCCCGCATCAAACAAAAGATTATCTCATGAAGACAACGCAAAATGCTTATCAATTACTTATCCTTGCCGCATACAATACATGGTCATCAGCAGTAAATACGCTCAAATTGACCCTTGACTACTACTCATTTCTACTCCTGCGTTTTTCTATCCGTCGTCCTATTTCTCAATGGGGACTTGAAATCATTGAATCGTGGTTGTTCCACTTGTGGTGGGATGCTATTGCTTACTGCCGGCGCTGCACATCACCTAGCTCATACCAACCATAGCAGTCGATGAATGGCATGCGAAAATCCAGCCTTACTCACACCATAGCCTCGAGATCTCCTCTAACTTGATACATGGGGATTCTACTCTGGACATAAGAATCAACTTACGACGGCCGGGCATCTCTACTCTGGCATATCAATTACAACTCACAAGTGTTGGAACCTTAACAACAGAATAGTTGATTCGTGGCGTAAGCGAGGCTAAGTATGGCCTGCTTATATCTATCACGCCCCAACAGTGATTTGACTTTTCTCTTTTGTGGCCATATCCGTGGTTGGAGCCTTGTAAGTCGGAGGTCGTTCAGACAAAACTGTTCTACGCTATGTATGGCTCACAGATCGAGGACTAGTATGTATGCCTGTTGACACCAGTATCTTTTCGTGAAATCACCGCAATACGCACGGGTTAGTCGAGTCTGTGACCTGCACTCTTGCATGCCAAGACGCGGACGTAGTTAGGGGAAATGGACGTCGACTGCCCTCCGAATCCTATACAGGGTACTTGCTACTCGTCGCATTTCGCGTGCTTGTTCTCGCTATTGACGGAAATCTCGTGCAAATTACCGGTTGCTCGACTCGTGAGATGCGGATCACCAGTATTGACTCGCCAAGTCCCCCAGCTGCTTGGCAACATCCTCTTGATGCACATGCCCATAACGTTCGCTCACTTTATCTCTCGTTCAGTGAAAGTAGTTGCCACAACTACGGCGATGGAGGTTCCGTGAGTTATCATCTGAAGATGATAGGTGGGAGTATACTCGTGTGTGTGATAGACCGCGTAGAGCATGCATATCGGGTAAAGCTGCATCGGGTGCATTCCTAGATTGGACTCGAAGGGGACTTGGGTCTTCAAATCAAAAGACCTCATACGCGCAATACGGTGGGTAAGACTGCTTTCGGTCTATCGCTTGTAGCTGCTATCGTGGTGCATCATTCCTTAGCTGGACGCTCAGTATTGGCAATTGGTAGGTATCACAGATAACCGTTTATGGCCTTCCAACAATGGTCAGGTGAATGTTCCTCACTGGGCTCCTGTTGTTGCCGTCGAGGAGATAATCGTGGTTTGGACGCAGCCAATCGGTCGGTTGCTTGATGCGGTTCGATTCGATTCGTCCGGGCCCCACCCTCCCTCGAGAGATCGGAGAATGAGCACGATGAAACGAGAGACCAATAGATTTGATCGGAACAAAGTGGATTTCGTAGCTGTTGTTTCAGGTGGGTGTGAGTGTTAGACCTTGTTGAGGAAACACTTCTCGCAGCCGTGTTCTTCAGTTCCAATCTAGTTACTGGGGCAAGGCAGACAAGTAAGTATTGTTTTTCCCTAATCCTGAGGGAAGCGAACACTCCCTATGGATAGATATGATACAGCGTGGAGTATGTCAGAGGCGGAGAGCGACTGAGCTATGAGTGGGAGGTACAACGACCGTGGGTGGAGTCAAAGTCAGAAAAGAAGAGACGTGCTCATTGTTCGGTTCAAAGAAACGGGACTCTGATGGATCGATCTAAAAGTCACAACGTCAGTGGATGTGTTATGTTGGTGGTTGGCGCTAGTGCTCTCGGCTCGGTATCACGTGTCTTGAGCAATGAATCATCAACTCGGGATCCAGAATTGACGTTGCTTCAAGTTGTGCTCGTCCTGTCGCTATTGCGCAACCAGGACGATCGAGTTTGACATCCTGCATCCCCCCTTTCTTCTCAATGGCGGATTTCAATATCTTGAGCATCAAAACTCCCCAACAGATGGACTCACGTTCACCTTCCATAAACAACCCAATGAAAGGCGCGGTACCTCACATGGCTCTTGGGCAGTGCAGCATATATTTGCCTCACTCCCACCGCTCCACCGGTCTGTCCCCTGTCGACGATGTCGCTCAAGGAGAAGGCCAACGCTCTCAGACGGGATGTCGATCGCCTTCTAGCAGCAGGGGGTGACTTCGCGATCCCAATTCTCCGAGCCATCAATGCTGCATCCGATGCATTCCCTCCCCTAAAAGGTCCCACTAGCGCCACCCTCTTCATCTTTGGCGAGATCCAAGTAAGTGATGGGTTATGAGTCAGGAACCAACGCTCATCACTCGCAACATGCAGAAGTTCAAGTCGGATAGGAAAGAATGGAAGGAATTTGGGAAATATTTGGTTGATGTTGTAGCAAAAGTACTAGCGGCCATCGAATCCTATGACACTTCAACGGAAGAGGCAAAACCTTGGCTAGAGAATGTCAAAGAGCTGAACGAGTGCGTGCTATTGATTTCGGTCGGTCGGCTATCCCATTTACGTGCCACCCCACAGCGCGCTAAACCAGATCGTCGCCGAAATCGTACCAATCCTCACAAAAATGAAGAAGCGGTACGCTGTTACCAACTACCTCTCAGAGTTGAAGGATTCGGACAGGATTGATGACTTCAAGAAAGTCCTCGATAAAGCGTTGGCATCATTTCAGGTAATTATTCCTCGCATTGCTGTTCCTCTACTATCCTGAATCGTTCGGGATCATGTAGCTGAGATTTAGCCTAACGACTGGTGCCAAACTAACAGACATAGTAAATAACCAAAGCCGTTCAGAGAGTGACTCAGTTCTGAGCGAACTGCGATATCCGATCATCGCCCATCATGACCCAGCTGAGGCGTGCCTGGAGGGCACCCGAACACGTCTTATCGACTGTATCATGAGCTGGTGTCGCAACATGGAGGACGACACGAAACGGGTGATGCTGTTGACAGCTGTGGCCGGCGCTGGCAAGACATCCGTTGCCCATTCAATCGCGGCGAAGTGCGAGAGCGAAGGGTTACTGTTGTTGACCTTTTTCTTCAAAGCCGGCGAGCAGTCACGGCCAGATCACCTATTCAGTGGCATGGCTCGATCTCTAGCAAAGCGCGATCCCTCATACTGTGCCTCCATCACATCCATTCTTAGGGATGATCCAACCCTCGCGACTGCATCTTTCTCGGTACAATTCGAGAGGCTCGTGGCTGGACCTCTCCGTTGGAGGGCTTTCGGCGATCCCGTGGTGGTAATTGTTGATGCTTTGGACGAGTGTGAGCCGGGAGACTTCGAACGCCTTGCCGATATATTTCGAAAAGAAGCACCAAAATTACCATCCAACATCAAGTTCTTTGTCACGTCAAGACCAACTTACCTCGTGAATTGTCTCCTCTCACCCAATTTTCCCATCGACCGGTCCGGCATAGATATCCTGGATAATGCCAATAAACAAGACTGCTCTGTTTACGTCCGCATGCAGCTGCATCGTCTAAAGGGTGATCGTTCTGGTTGCGAAGACGGATTCGAGGAAGAAGATTCATTGGTTGAAGACATATCGGAAAAAGCTGGTGGCTTGTTCATCTGGATCAGCACTGTCTTCCGTTATGTGAGGTTGGCCAAGAACCGAGGAAAACGTTGGATAGGCTGCTCAACACAGGTACCTCTCGATCAACAGATTCTCCTGAAGGAGTGATGGGTATGCTGTATATGACCATCTTGGATAAATGTGGCTGGGGAGAGGAGGATTTCGTGCATGACTATCCCATCGTTATGGGGGCGATCCTGATTGCCGAACAACCGCTGTCTATTGCGGCATGGGATGCAATTTTGTCACCGTTCTTAAACTCTTCCGTCCGCGACACGTTGGTTGAACTTGCTTCCCTCTTATTAGGGGTCCCCAATTCCGACACACCGATCCGCATCATTCATCAGTCGTTCCGCGAGTTTCTCACAAGCCAAATCGGTCCTGAATCACTTGATCATCGTTACATGGTGGATATGAGAAGGGTGAATGCCACAATGGCCCTGCGCTGTACCGAGATCTTGAATAAGGATCTTTGCTGTGTGGAGGGTTTGGGGCTGATCGAATATTTGGGCCAAAAGGATGAACTCCCGCGCATCCCTCAAGAGATGCTGTCGGAACAACTCCGTTACTCATGTCGGTACACCGTGTGCCACCTCAATAAAGTTCAGGAGCCACTAGAGGTGCTCAGTGGATCGGTTCTCACATTTCAGAACAGCATATAACATGCTGGGTGGAGGTCTGCGTGAGAACAGAAGGGTACATCAGTGTATCATCATTTCCTGAGTGGGCTAAGGTATGGAATATCAGTGAGGCTTATGAGGGATTCTTATTCAGTCTTGTTCACTTTCAGTTGAGTGTTGATCGGAATTCAAAGAAAGACATTCATGAGTTGATCCAAGTACTTGACGAAGTGAGACAGAATCTGGCATTCTTTTCAAGATTTCAGGAGGCACATGAGTTGGCAAAAGATTCCGTAACCCTCTGCCGTTGCCTCGTGTCAGCGGACTCAGAGTCCTACACCCCAGATTTGGCTGAATTACTCAACAATCTTATGATATCATTGGATGATCTGGGACGTCATTCCGAGGCACTCCCGGTGATGGAAGAAAGTGTCAAGCTGTGGCGTGAGCTTGTTGCTATTGATCCACATCATACACCCGATTTGGCTCGATCGCTCCACAATCTTTATGTATCATTGGGAAATCTGGGACGTCATTCCGAGGCACTCCCAGTGATTGAAGAAAGTGTCAAGCTGCGGCGCGCGCTCGTTGCTGTTGATCCAACATACACCCCAAATTTGGCTCGATCGCTCAACAGTCTTAATATATCATTGGATGATCTGGGACGTTATTCCGAGGCACTCCCAGTGATTGAAGAAAGTGTCAAGCTCTGGCGCGAGCTTGTTGTTGTTCATCCCACATCATACACCCCAGATTTGGCTCGATCGCTCCGCAGTCTTTACATATCACTGGAAATCTGGGACGTTATTCCGAGGCACTCCCAGTGATTGAAGAAAGTGTCAAGCTCTGGCGCGAGCTTGTTGTTGTTCATCCCACATCATACACCCCAGATTTGGCTCGATCGCTCCGCAGTCTTTACATATCACTGGAAATCTGGGACGTTATTCCGAGGCACTCCCAGTGATTGAAGAAAGTGTCAAGCTCTGGCGCGAGCTTGTTGCTGTTCATCCCACATCATACACCCCAGATTTGGCTCGATCGCTCCGCAGTCTTTACATATCACTGGGAAATCTGGGACGTTATTCCGAGCACTCCCAGTGATTGAAGAAAGTGTCAAGCTCTGGCGCGAGCTTGTTGCTGTTCATCCCACATCATACACCCCAGATTTGGCTCGATCGCTCAACAGTCTTAATATATCATTGGATGATCTGGGACGTTATTCCGAGGCACTCCCAGTGATTGAAGAAAGTGTCAAGCTCTGGCGCGAGCTTGTTGTTGTTCATCCCACATCATACACCCCAGACTTGGCTCGATCGCTCAACAGTCTTAATATATCATTGAAAATCTGGGACGTCATTCCGAGGCCTCCCAGTGATGAAGAAAGTGTCAAGCTCTGGCGTGAGCTTGTTGCTGTTCATCCCACGTCATACACCCAGATTTGGCTCTATCGCTCAACAGTCTCAAGATATCTTTGGACAATCTGGGCATCATTCCGATGCACTCCCAGTGATCGAAGAGAGTGTCAAGCTCCGGCACGAGCTCGTTGCTATTCATCCCACGTCATACAACCCAGATTTGGCTCAATCACTCCACAATCTTGCTCTCTCATTCGATTACCTTGATTGTCCCGCTAAAGCAGTGCCCTTCATCGAAGAATCCATTTCTCTTTGGCGTTCTCTACACATTACTCATCCGACCTCATATGCCGCTGATTTAGCCTGGGCATTGCGGGATCTATCCAAGATACTTTCACGCGCGGGGCGCTATGCAGAAGCATTCGATATGGTGAAGAGGCGAGATTATGCTCTCATCAGCTTCGTTCTGAATACCCTGACATCTATGCAAATTATCTTCGGAGTTATATGCCGTATGGCTGTTCCGTTGGAACGTCTTGGAAGGGGTCATGAGTTAGCGGATATACGCACACTCATGCAGAATTTATGAACATGCCTCTACGCAACGGAGTCTAGCTGCGCGTCTGCGCCACAGCTAACACGAATCATTTTCCTCATTCTTTCACTGGCCATATATTCAAGCACGAACCCATAGCCAACCTCACCTCTCTTCGCGATGTTCTCTGATCATTCGGAACAGTTCGTAGCGTCTCTGCCCCTCCCAGGACTGCAGCATTAGTTGAACAAGATTGTCATATACATTCCAGAGCGATGAGATTCCAAACTTCGAAATGCTGGCGCGCTGAGGAAATTAGACAGGCGCTTGGAAAGGAATGCCCTCGAATAGGATATTTGGATGAAATCGTCGGAACTGTGCTGCTGGGGTGTTGGCTAGTTCCGAGTTGCTGACTGCTCTAGCATACAGTAATATTGCGGCCGCACCCAATTGTCCCTGGTAGCACAAATTATACGAAAAAACACACAGACAAAAATGGTATCCCCCGCCTGTTAGGCCAACCCATGAAGCTTAGTCTATCCTCTCGTTATAAATGTACGATGAGAGCTGAGCATCGTGCGAATGATGGTCATGCCTGCGTTGCTTCCCCAACCGTTGGGCAGGTGAGGTATTTGGCGAATTGTAACGTTCTCAATGGCATCTGATTGGGCGAGTGGAGGCAGTGTGTCCCCGTACTCATTGCGGACTCGGAGGATGCAGGAAGGGCCATGACAGCCAACTTGTGCATTAGAAATTGAAGTGTTGCCCAATGGATCGAAGAGCATGCCACACACCTGAATTACGTAATCGATATCGAAATGGAACCGACAATCCTATGGCCAGAACCACCACGGGCGAGAACAATAGACGACCTAGTTGGAGGGTGAAAATGGAAATACCGGTATCAGCTAGGAAAACCTGGGCGAAGGAACACAAAGACGGTTTGGAAAAAATGGAAACTTGATAAAACCCACACTTACTATACACTGACGGATCACTCGCGTATGACCAGGGCGTTCGAAAAATAGGATACGGGTTCGCAGCCTACCACTGCGCGAATGTCATTCTCGAAGGGAAAGGGGGAGCAGGGCCAAGGGTAGAGGTGTATGATGCGGAAATGGAAGGTCTGGCGCAGGGATCAGAACACCTCAAAGTCTGGCTCGACGAGCACTTCTCGAAAGAGGACATACCTACCCTCTCAACCTTCTCAGACAACGCCGGGCCCTTCAACGCATGCTGGAAACCTCCCCGGCCTAGATATCCAACAACCACTACGATCCCGCGAAACCGTTCTGGACCTGCTAGATAGACGCCCACACTGCCGCATAGAAATCAAATGGGTCCCAGGTCAAAAGGGAACAAACGCGCTGACATCCTGGCCAAAGAGGCTCCAACCCCCTTCCGAATACTCCTTCAACGCCTCAGCGGCATTTACGCGCACCTTAAACAAATGCCGCTACGAGATCGAATGGATTTCCTACTGAAACACGGACCCTAAACAACGGGTACCATCAGAATACTATATATGCAACTGCTTAGAACCACACCTTCGCCCCACCAAACGCTTCACATCACTATCCCGCAGATCTTTCAGCTGCCCTGTACAAATCCGCACTGGCCATGCCTCTATCGGACAATACTACAAACGGTTCCTCCTAGAAGAGGACCCCAGTTGCATCTGCGGAGAACTCATAGAAACGAGACAACACATACTTCTGGAATGCCTTGTGTACAGCTTCTACCGGGATCAGACAGCGAAAATAATCTGATCCTTGCCGACCTCCTGGGAGAGGGGAAAGGCATTGAGCGGGTAGCAGGTTTTCTGTCAGCGAGCGGTGCATATGAGAAGAGGAGTGACCGAGTAGATGGGGGAAACCCCGAGACATGACATTCGCTTTTAACGATTTTCGACATTGCCAACCCAAGATCGGACAACCCATACGCGACGACTTGAGAGTGGAGCAGTGTTTGGGGCATTTCTTGGGCAGAACAGGCAAACATACCCAAATCGGACTTATCTCTTTATTTTTCACTTTATTTTCATGTATTTACCCGACCCGTGCCTGCGAGCAGCCATGGTTTGCAGGATAAATATCCAGAATAAACAACGACAACTACATAATGGCTGGCGTCCAGATCTCTGAAGGCATGTCGCCACCATCAATGGTACGTGTTCCAAGCTTTCGAGGTGGAAGCCAGGCTAGAGTCCTAGCGTTATTTCACTTATCTAGTAGATGTCTCTCCAATGTATTGAAGAAATTGATGAAGATTTCGATTCTGGTCATCCTCCGCTGATCCGTAATGCGCTGACATCTGGTGGAGAGCTGTCGAGTATCATTTTTTCTCAAAGAAGCGGAGAGATTGAAGACCAGCATCCTGTGAGCGACTATTTGGTGCCCGATTATCCGCCACCGGCATTGATGTGACGGTATCGTTGTTTCCTCGCCCTGCTCAGGAAAGTTTTTTTGGGACAGCATCCGGCTTGAATGTTCTTGAGCCAATCGAGGATAATGAAAGTATCCACCTCACCACAGGCACTCTAGCACGTACCTTTTCTCCCCATTCCAATGCTAACTTTTCCACACTCTCCGTCTTTTCCACCTTTTCGAATGGATCGGTTCTATCGATTCGGAGCTCTGGGGGATCATATTCCCTTAAGGATCTTTGTGATAATGTTATCGATAAACATCTATGGCTTCAAATGACGAGAATCATCAGCACTTCCTGCTTCTCTCAGTACATAAACTTTGTCAGACATCGCTTCCTTGTCCTCCAGTTGCGCCGCCCGGGGAAAAGGGATATGTGGCTACGTATCGATCGAAGAGCTGGAATAAGTCTTCTCTCACTCGTGCAAAAACTCGGTAAAACTCGCGCCCATGATGTGGTGAGAGGTTGCATGCCCCCGATCCGCTGCCGAATGTACCGCTGATGCATTTGTAGGCTCAGCTTTCGGCGTCTGAAGAAGCTCTCATAGGAAAGGCGAGCCGAGAGAACATTCAAAATTTCAAAAAACAACCCTTTCTCGGTGATTTTGGCGTCTATCTTCGCATTGTCAGTGAAGAACTGCTGGAGTATAAAGTCTGGCCGGTATGACCCCGTGGCGATAAGACCCATGAAGGGAGCTCATGACTATGATCGCTCTAGGAAAACTGCTGGATGTTTTGTTCACTTTTGCAAGAGCATCTCGGAACCTCAGGAGATGGGCATTACACGTTCGGGGGGTCGATTGCCCGCAACATAGCACCTCTTATTCGAGGGAGAATATCTGAACGAGTGGCGACCAATGTGACACCCAACACGGTACGGCATATGTGATATAGTTCAATTGGAGCGTTGTTAATCCAGCATCAGATCATGACGGCTTTACAAAGCCAAGGTTCCGTATGTGTTCTTTGTATCGCGGCGTGCTATTGTTGTTTACAGTTTGATCCCAAAACAGATCTCTAATCCTCCGTGGCAACCATTGGACTTTGTGAAGCCAAGAGGATGGCTTCCTCATTCGATTGGGACATTTCTTGCTAAGATCGCTTACCCAGCGCAGGGCCTGGATGCACGTCAACATTCGCATGACATTCTAGAGTGGATTACGGACTCTTCATTCGCCACTCACCTAGAAAAGAACGATCTTCACTCTCGTATTACCGAGTACTGTATCGAAATCCTTGACGGTTTACCGGAGGGAAATGTTCTTCAACTCCCCAACCCTTTAATACTCAACTCTAACATTCCAAACCTCGCTCTCAGGATCGAATCAAAAATCTCCCCTGATGTTCAATATGCTGCGCTATATGGCCTTCTCCATATAGCGGAAGTTGAAAACCCTTCAACAGAGTTAATCAACAAACTGGAAACCTTCATTGCTAGATCAGCAATAAAATGGCTAGAACTCTTGAGCCTGCTTGGGGCAACGAAGAATGCTCTTATTGAATTAGATAAAGTCACTACGTGGTGTGAGGTATGCGATCCACATTTGACTAGCCGATTGTCGGCAAGATATGTAATGCTAGCCCACAGAACCAATCACAACACCGGAATCTGGGGAAGATTCTACTCCAACTCTTATTGCAACATCGTCGTTTTGCATACCAATACCATAGAGTCATTTCAGCTTCTGCTGGACATATCGCCCATTCGGCTCCGTCTGATCCCCCTGACCCGCCTCCGCAAAGACAAGGTCGTGAATCATCTTCTGAACACCTCCCAACGGTGCAAGGGCACGATTCTGGATGGGAAGGTTGCCTCAACACGATCCGTGGGCACACTGGTGAAGTCAACGCAGTTTCATTCTCACCGACGGATCAAGGGTAGCTTCCGCATCCCTTGACGAGACGGTACGAATTTGGGATGCGGTGACGGGGGAAGAGCTCAAAGTCCTCCGACACACCAAGTGGGTCGACTCCGTATCATTCTCCCCTGATGGATCGAGGCTAGCCTCAGCATCTGGTGATAAGACAGTACGAATCTGGAATGCCGTGACTGGGGAAGAGCTTAAAATTCTCCGAGGGCACACCAAGTGGGTCAACTCCGTCTCATTTTCATCTGATGGATCGCGGATAGCCTCCGCATCCAGCGACAAGACAGTACGGATCTGGGATACAGTGACCGGCGAAGGACTCAAGATCCTCCGGGGCCACACCGACTGGGCTAACTCGGCCTCGTTCTCACCCGATGGATCCAGGGTAGTTTCAGCATCTCGTGACAACACGGTTAGGATCTGGAACGCAGGGACTGGGGGAGGGCTCAACGTTCTCCACGGGCACACTGGCTATGTTAACTCGGTCTCATTTGCACCTGATGGATTGAGGTTAGCCTCAGCATCCCGTGACAACACGGTACGAATCTGGGATGCTATGACGGGAGAAGAACTCAAGGTCCTCCATGGGCACGCCGATTGGGTCTACTCGGTTTCATTCTCATCCGATGGATCCAGGATAGCCAGTGCAGCCATGGACAAGGCAGTGCGAATTTGGAATGTGGTGACTGGGGAAGAACTCAAGGTTCTCCGAGGAGACAGTGACTGGGTCAATTCCGTCTCATTCTCGCCTGATGGGTCCAGGATAGCCTCAGCATCTCATGATAACACAGTGAGAATCCTCGATGCAATCATTAGGGAGGATCTTAAGGTCCCCCAAGGACACACCGATTGGGTCAAATGGGTCTCATTCTCACCCGATGGATCCAGGGTAGCCTCGGCATCCCGTGACAAGACGGCACGAATCTGGGATGCAGCGACCGGGGAAGAACTTAAGGTTCTTCGAGGACACACTCGTGGAGTTAACTGCATTTCATTCTCATCTGAAGGGTCGAGAGTAGCCTCGGCTTCCGGCGACGACACAGTGCGAATCTGGGATGTGGTGACCGGGGAAGAACTCAAAGTCCTCCGAGGGCACACTGCTGCGGTCAATTCTGTCTCGTTTTCATTTGATGGACGTAGAGCAGCTTCAGCATCCGATGACAAGACAGTACGATTGTGGAATGTGATGACCGGAGAAGAAACCAGGGTCCTCCGAGGGCACACCCACTGGATCAACTCGGTGTCGTGTTCATCTGACGGATCGAGGATAGCATCAGCATCCAGTGACAGGACTGTACGAATATGGGATGCGGTAACTTGGGCAGAACTGAAGGTGCTCGAAGGGCACACTAGCGAGGTCAAAACCGTCTCATTCTCATTTGATGGATCCAGGTTAGCCTCGGCATCAGATGACAACACGGTACGAATCTGGGATGTGGTGACTGGAGAAGTGATTTCTGTCCGCAAACACTCCAGTTCATTCGACATACACATGGATTCATTTTCCGATCCAACCGCCATTCGCTACGAATGTTCATTTGCCGAAGTCAAACACGATGAACTTAACGGCATCTACGTCTTTATCGGAGCATGCGGAGCCCCTCATTATATTGCCCCTTCTTATATAGGCGACATCATATCCACTTGGAAGGTTTCGCGTGATCGGCAAACCATCGCTATTGGCATGCATAGCGGGGGGCTCCTCATCGTCCATGCACCAAAGACATACCATTGTGTGCGACCTCCAACATTACCATTTGGGACTTTGCTTGGCTAAGTGGTGTCCTTGAGATTGTTTTGACACACTTCCATTACATCCCAACGCCCCAGCATATGGCCGTGTCTGCAGTCTTCGAGTTCAAGTCGTGTATATATATACAATGCAGAAAGCTTGACCAGGTCCGACCCTTCTGAGTCGCGCCTCAGCTAGCTTGCCGTCCTACCTCACGCAAATATGAAGTATTCAGGCAGCGCGCAATGCGCACGAATTAAAATCACGCCTCCAGATATATTCATCCAAGGCGGCAAGCTACCTAGCTGGCTATCCCTGTTCGCTCTATCAAACAGCAAAACCGAATATGACGCACAAATGTATGACACATGCATACGGAAGATAACTGGAATAAGAATATTGTCAGCCTTCATTCCCGTAGACGTGTCTGCGATTAACACAAGCGAGGATTATTGTTTTGACCCTGAATAGACGCGTGGCGTGCTGGCAGCCAAGGGGATTGCAAGCTATATTGAAACGAGTGATTGAAGTATCTGGCAGGAATCCTTCATCGAATGAACGGTATGTCGGGGAACGTACACCGAAACGCACGGTAGATACGTTGTGTTACTAGTTGTTCTGAAGAGGGAACATTGTTGGGTGGTGGACGATCGATGAGAGAGCGCCGAGCTTGGAGATACGTCGTATGCCGAAGGGAGAAACACGTCACTTCACTGCAAGGATGTGGAAGTCCGAGCCAGCTGTAAGATCCGACGACGCCCAGATATCGTCAAGAAATAACATACGGAGCTCAGGTTTGTATATATAAGTACTTGGAGTGCAAATGTCCGTGGAGTATCACTGGAGAATGATAACCATGCGTGGGCTATCAAGTCACACCCCTATACTTTGAGTCCCAAATTCACGAGAAAGTTGCTGTATGTAGTCCTCCATTCCCTGAAATGCATGGGGATGGGTGATTGGTTCGCGTAATTTGCAAGGGTGCACCATGAAAGTCATGTGATCGTCCAAAAATGATCGACCACCTAGAGGCTAGAAGCCCTATCGACAATAGCCAACGGGCTGTAAGCCATTGATACTGAGAAGGATGGCAGGACGCAAGTTGAATGTCTTCAGCTGAATGCCTCGAAAAGCACAACATTTGCATCACCCGGTTCCTAATTGATACTGCGAGTGGCGCCCCAAACCCGTGAAGCAGTCGTGGAGTTGGATTTTCCAGATTCCGCCGGAACCGGCGACGTCAGCAACTTTGAAACAGGACGACTTATAAGGGTACTCGTACTCACAATCGGGCTATACCATTGCGAACGAATTAATCGGATTTCGCCAATGCGCTTTTGGCGTCCACCGATAATACGTATTACGAGGTTGGAAGTAGATGCTATATTGGATCAAAACATTGATATTCAATATGGAACACGACCGATACATACTTGAAGACGCGTTCTTATCAAAGTGTCGTGGATGTGGCTGGTGAAAACGCATGATACTACCAGGGGGTAGCTGATGCCCAAGGCACCTTCGATCGATTGACGACATGATGCAGCCCAATGACATTGCCAGTTTATGCAATGACGAATTCTCAGCTAGCACAATACAATCACCCGCGATTCATGAGTTGTAATGGTGCCGTCAGCGAAAGGGTAGCAAATGCCCGCCACCTGCCAGACTGGGTGCGAGTCTAGCTGCCTGCTACTCTTTATCCTTAGCGTCAAAGAATTAAAAGTGCAAAATTACATGAGAGGAAGGCAGGCCGGGATGCTATAAAGCAGACACGCAGTGCATATCATCATCATGCTTTGCAGTCTGGTAGGGTGTTGTAGCTCGCTTCTCCCGAGACCATGCTATGTGCGTTTGTAGTGAGAAGCTATATTGCTTGAAAGCCTCGTGCTTGTGTAAGAAGAGTTATTAACGGAGTACATATAACTCGCTAGCTCCCACAAAGAAGATTAGATTATCCACTGCTACAGAGAGTTTCCAATTATAGTGCCGCCACAAAGTGCCGCACCAATCAACATGTAGGGTTATGAGTATCGCAGGGTTAGTTTCGACAGTTCTTAGCTGTCGAAAGGAACGTGTATTCTGGTGGAGGCGAACTGTTTCACTTTAGCCCGGGCAGGAATAATATTCTACTCACAACAAGCCCAGCTCTTAACGGGGTCGGGGAGATAGCGTGCCAAGATGATGGTTCGTGGAAAATGCAGATTTGCCACCGGCAAACAGCATTACACTGATGCCAAAGCCCACGAAGAGATCCCGCACGCTACCTTTGGTCGCATTATCCAACTAAGCTCAGGACCCAACCACATCGGAGAGTGAGGGTCCAGAACTCAAAACCAGGAAACGATATTTTGGAAGAGTGCCTCTCACTAAGTACAGACACATCCTGACACGCGGGAACCGCGGGACTTGACCAAATTCAACGATTCCCGGATAGGAGAGACCAAAGGTATCCTGAGACTAGCGGAATTCATCAAGAAGTTTTGAAAGACGGAGGGACACGAGGGCCGAGAAACTGGGGATGAGAGAAAATGGCAGAGGAAACAGAGGCGGACAAGGGAGGAGGGTGATGACGATCCCTCACGACTCTATCAACAGTCTGGCTAACCCTCAGAAAGTCTACGGGGATCGCCAAGATAACAGAATGAGAGAGCAGATGGTTTGTGTCAGGTTCATACATGGCGGTCGAGTTATGATCCCTCATTTGTGCCGCGGAAACGGGCCTAGATTAGCTACCTCGAGACAGAGCGATGAGGCGTTCGAGTGGTGTATGCGAGAGAAAAGGCATTGCGAGGTGCTTCCACACATGATATACATGTCGCGCGCTATGAAGCCAAGTGCGAATTTACTCCGCACCGCCATTCTCACGCCCACGGTATTGGGAATACGCATATCCCGGTTGCCACGGCAAGCTAACATTCTCCAGGGTGTTGCTGTATGCCTCCACTATACAACGTCGATGCGAGGTGACCCCGGAACGCCACTCGAGCAATTCAGACGGCAAAAAAGGTTGCCTTTGGAATCAACCGCGGTCGCGCCATATGATAACCGACGATCTATATGATACGCTCATATTGATGTACAACCTATAAGCGACTGTTGATAAGATTTATGAGTGCCGAAATTAAACTTTCATGTCAGAAGGGACATCTGTGCCGGGTTGAGGTGCACATAATTCAGGAACCAAGGGCACTAATAACAAAATTTGGGAGGAATTGAGGGAATTCACGGGCGAGAGCTCGACCTTGCGAAGTGTGGGTTCGGGATACCTAGCAGGTGCTGAGGGGCGTGCAGTACCCACCGTAACGGTGCAACCCGGACGATGTAGGCGTGACACAAGCCAATGAGAGTGGATTCCCACGGGGCGGGTCTCTGTAGCTCACACACCTGAGTTCCCCTCCGTTTCTCGCCTTCCCCTATGGCAATCGATCGCTTGGCAGCCATAAGGGTGCGTCTTCTTTGAGATATCGTGCTCCGTCACTCACTGCGATGTGACAGGCCGGAGGTGGGGGTGGTTTTCAGTGAGCTCCTAGTTGCCTCAGCGCGAGCAGTAACGTTATGCATGAGGGACAATTTTAGTGATTCTTCCCGTGAAACTCCAGCAGTAGGACCAAGTCCAGAAAGTTTCACATTGGCTGCACTGGATGGCAGGGCACCAGACGACGATTTCTCTGCGGTGGGTTGCAGCAGCTGTGCAGGCTCCTTCTCAGACCGGCACCCTCTCACACCTCACACTATTCATGTTTCAAATAGATATCGGCCATCGAGGACCAGCTGGCCGGCTACAAGGCGGCTGTAAAGCACATCTCAGAACTTCATACACATTCCCTTGGGCTCACAGATGACGTTGCCCTTCAACAAGACACGGCGCAGCTCAACCAAGCTCAAACGGGATCCTTCGAAATAAGTAGCGACATAAGGCGCCGTATTCAAGCTCTACACAATAAAGCCGAGAAGAGCAAACCGCGGAATGTTGCCCTCGCTCAGCATGTAAGCTTCACTCGCCGTGGTCCTTGCGGCCTGTCAATTCCATCATCAAACATTTTGTAAATGGACTTGGGACCGGCTTGTTACAGGTGGCACGGCTTCAGGAGAAGTTCAGAGAGTCAATTCAGGAGTACCGAAGCATGGAGCAAGGGTACCAGGCCCGTTACAGAGAGCGTGTTGAGCGGCAATTCAGAATTGGTAATCGGACACTAATGTCTTTCTGCTTCCTCTATCTGACTTGAGTTTTGCGCGTTTAGTCAAACCAGATGCCACCCCTGAAGAAATTCGTACCGTCATGGACGATCCCGAAGCAGGCGCTCAGATATTCTCTAATGCAGTTAGTCCTTTTAAGAACGTTGCGTGGCTGTCGCCAATGCGAAATTTCCATTGTTAGGTCGCCACGTCAAACCGTTACGGAGAGTCTCGGGCTGCTTACAGGGAAGCCCAAGACCGGCACGCAGATATCCGTCGTATCGAGCGTACCGTGGAGGAGCTTGGGCATCTGTTCAATGAGGTCAAATGCATTCTCTTTCATGGCTCCCTTCTGCATCATTGACCGAACGATGCGCATTAGATGGCTGTTCTTGTTGCGCAAGATGACGACAAGATCAATGCCGTTCAGCAAACTGCTGCAAGAGTCGCGGATGACCTCGAAAAGGGGTAAGCAGTGATCGAAATCTCCATGGCAGAATGATGATGCGAATGTCTGCTAGAGAGGCGGCGGCGCAAACGGCCGCCGAACACGCAGCAGCGGCGCGAAAAAAGCGCATCTGGTGCTTCGTTATTTGGCTCATCATCCTTGCAGTGGTTGCTATTGCCGTGGCGGTGCCCCTCTCACAAACGCTCCACTGAAGACGTAGCATTTCAGTCGACCATTTCTTCACACATACTCGGGTCTTCTCCATCTCTTCGTTTATTTTCTGTTGCAAGAGTGTATGTGGATTCGTAGATATTCTTTTCTATGGGAAGCTTGCTTGTGCATAACCGGCGTACACACGGTACGCTTCAATGTAAACCGCAGTCATAGTTCGAACTGCGGAGTTAGTTTAATGCAATTAATGTACACACTCGGGGCCGCTACGCCTCGGCTTTCAAGGCTTCTTCCTTCTTGAAGAACTTTGATAGTTTATTCATGCCACTTGTATCCACCTTCTTGAGTGCTTCGACGCCTCTGGATCCTTTGGCTTTTTTGACCTCCTTGGGATTGGCTTTAGTGTTCGGAGCTGAAGCCTTCTTTTTGTTGTTGATTGTTTGCTCTAATGAAGGCGATTCTTCAGCTGCAAGCTTGGCCACATATTTATCGAGCTCCTGCAGGCTGCGGAGAGTAGTTCAGGCTAGGTTCTTAGTTCTGAAATCGAGAGACATACTCATAGCTGTCCCTTAATATTTGGCTGAGGTCGGGAGACAGGTATTGGGAGACTGCATCACAGGCGACTTTTAACCTTGCCACTGGAGGGTTGGTGTCAATAATCAAGCCCAACTTTTGGTAAGAAAGAATGAATTAACATGCCGCAACAGATTCTAATTGCTGTCCATTAGCACGACCATTCTCCTGTTCCTTGTATAACCCTAGGCGAGCAAGCGGCCTAGAGAACGATGGGAAGGCACCAAATGTTCTTGGGTCTACCAGTTTTCCTACTTTTGCTTGGAGCAAATCTAATAATTTACGTTCGGAATACTTGTACATCACAACGTCTTCTGCAATTTCTGTAGAAGACCAAGTAAATTTATCTCCTTGGGATGGAAGTGGATAAGAATAAACTCACGTTTTGTTTCGCAGGCACGATTGAAGGCTGTTCGGATGCATGGGAGGGAGGAAAGGGAAGTGATATCTGCAGCTATTGATTGTGTGTTTTGTTTGGAGTTCTCATTGGATTGACTGGGGGAGGATTGGACGAGAGAGTCAGGAGGGTATAATCGATTTGCCGCTTCTTCGAGTATATCGTCCAGTGTTCGGAATCGGTGTTCCAAACCAGCATCTAACTATGCATGAGATATCAAAAACTCGGCCGATTCAGTGGTGCTGCAGTCTCACATACAATGGGGAATGCAGCCCGTAGGAATGGGATTAGCAAGAATGCTGGATCTATCGGTGTGAATAATAGAAGTTCCCCATCTGTGGACCATGTAGATCATAATCTTAGTGATGTATATGAGCCTAAAGACTTACTAGACTCAACGTGGTTGTCAATGAACCATGACCGTTGTACGTCAGGAGAGACACATTGGACCTCGAGTATCCGAGATTGTGACCCTTCTAAATTCTCATTATCAGGCGATTCGGTAGGCAAGAAGAGTGACGGGATCCCTTCTCACAAAATAAGCTCGCGTCTGAGGGTTAATGCCAAGCATGCGCACCAGTTCTCGGATGTGGCAGATGAAGAAAGCGATACGATGCCCTCAGGGATCCTGTCCCTTCTGACACGACTAGCGCCAAAGCATACGAGATAAGAATGATGCTGTAACGCGTGCTTTCTAAGCTATAGTGATGTTAACTCACCATTCGGTACAATTGCTACTCGAGTGCTCATACCGACCTTGCCTTGCTTACCGTCGGGACGTGAGGCGTGTCAAGAGGTTTGATTCCGGATTTCGCGCGTCTCATGCCAGAATGAGTGAGGCTCAGGCTCAACTTTGGACAGTGGTTTGTGGATTTGGCATAGTCACTGGGTTCCAGACCCCAGTTCATAAGAATCCGCTACCATACACTTTGTTTCTCTCCATGAAGCTCCAAGTGGTCACGTCGCGTGTTCCCATCAACAAGTCTTCGCGGCCTTGCCGAAGAGCGTGTCTGCGTTCGATCTGCATAATGATACTGCAAAGTCTCCTTCAGTGTTCGAGGTCTCTTACTCTATCTCAGCCGTGATTAATAAAACGGAAGGTGATTTGTTGGGATACGTTCGAGGAAGCGAGCTGAAGTTCTGGGATGTTGTGACTCGCTCCTGTGCCAAAATCGTAGAAATTCAATCTCTTCCTCCTTTCATGGTCTGCACAGACTTTCTTTTTTAATTTTAATTTTTGCTTCTGATGATACAGAGCCCCGATGGTGAATTCACTGCAGCCTCCCTGAACAAGGCAGAAACCTTGCTCGTATTACCAAGCCTACTCTGCATTTTCATAGAACGAGCCCACTTACTCTTGCTCACGTCAACATCTTTGTCGATATTAAATTGTACAAAACCTTCGGAACCGTTACGCACTCTTCGTCTTCCTTCTGGAGACCCTGTGTCGATCTTATCTGGCGTTGGCGACAGTACAGTAGTTGTTGGGTGCAGATTTCATACCTCCATATCGTAAATCCTGATCGTAGAAATTCGTCCGTCTTCCCTCTTGGTGAGGCAGATATTGAACGACAGTGCCCATTAAGAGTAAAGTATTTAAAATCCGTTGGGACTCAGATCAACACGATGGCTCTGGCTGATTCACCTGCTACCATTCTTATTGGGACTTCGGCGGTAGGGAGCTCCTTTGTCCTGGGCAATGCGGCAATGATTATTTTCTCTTACAGGTTTCCGACTCAATCTCTTATTGCGTGGGTGTGTATGCGTATGCTCCCATTTCCGCCCTCATGACAGACTGACACGTTTATATAGAGAGTACACAGTCATTTTGTAACTCAGCCAAAAGCTCAGGAAACCCGCGCGACTTCGACCAAGAAAATCGGCAGTTCCGCCGAAACTTCAAGTTTCAGGTATCACCAGGGCAGTTGCGGAGGTGGAGGATCAAAGAGAAACTTCAAGCTCTGTGGTATATCAACATAATTGGGATGGTTCATCCCACGTAAGTATGCAATCCTTTTGGTGCTGGCGGTGCTGGCGACGCTCATTTGAGTATCAATGCGAGGGACTCAGGACTGGAAGTCCAACGCGATAGCAAGACACGCTCTGTTCCCAACGCTTCTCTGCCTGGGGTTCATTCTGCTTTCATAGGGATTACTTGGGCCTTCAAATCCTCATGTGTCTCAACGAGATAGCTCTAATGTCAATGAAGTCCGAACACTGAACATCGGGAAGTTAGATCTCCTCTGGCCGGGGCCTGCATCATCGAGATAGGTCAAGTCACAGGAAAGTGGGACGGGTCCTGAATAATGAACACCAGCTTTTCAAGGGGAGCACTGAACATTCTGTAGCCAGCGATAGGCTGCCGCCAGATATCGTGGGCCTAGTTGGGGTTACTGGAACTGCCCTGCCATATCCATGTCATGACGGTCCGGCCACGGACTTAAAGGGTCGGCGCAGGGAGCCCGTGGAGGATTGGGGTCGAAGGCTGAACACTTGGGTTTGGCTACAATGACAGCCGCCCAACCTGGGTGCAGCAATCATCGCGACACTTACTTTTGCACTGCTTCCCTGGGGGAGTACCTATCCCCTCTGTTAAACCCATCAAGTACGAACGCATTGGAAAGTTCGTCGGCGGAAAACCGGTCTGTTCGCCATCGCCGTTGACTCATCCACGCACTCTTCTCGGCTGGGCTGAGCCATCGCCCCATATCCGCCTCCAAACTGCTCCCGAGCAATAAACTCAGACAGGCGATGTGCATTCGCCTGGAACATCCGGTAGATCACACATTAGTCGTCTCATTACTTATAGAGCCAATTCGGCCAGTGACCTCAAACTGCTCGTTCTACGCCATCGCTTTCTGGCTCGTGTTCTGAATGGCCTCCGAATCGCCTTGTGTTCCTATTCAAACTATAGATAACGGAAAAGGAAAAGAGAGCCACGCTCGGGGAGAAAATGAACCAAACAGCTCTCGTTCACGACCTCGCCGTTCAAATTCTGCGGCTTATGGCGGTAACCTGAATGTCAAAAGGGAATCTCCAACAACTGATGAGAGATGGGATGTATGATCTTCGTGTGGAACCGAGGCAGGAGCTGATCGGACTACATGTGGATCTCGCGAAGGCTGGAAGGGCATGGAGAGTAGGTCACCTTTCCTAGATATTGCTACATTTTTGCTGATCTCTGCTCGGGCCTTGTTGTAAACTTGGCATGGAGTGAGCTACATGAGGCCCTAAAGGAACACTTGATGGACTACAGGAAACTCCGATCGCACTGAAGGGCTGAGAATGCGAAAACGAAGATGTATTAGGGGACTGTTATAATTATGATGAATTCAACTCTTTAAATGTATCTCTCGAATGGCATCCGTACAAAAAATCAAGCGTTGGGAGTGTGAATGTGGTTCTCACGCCGAACACTGCCACTGAGATCACTGGATTCGAATTTCCCTCCAACTATTACAGTTTTTGGTTTTGTTTCCGTCGCCTTCTCAAGACAGGTAAGACTCTGGAGAAGCGCTTAATCTTTGGGCTCATCTTTGTTCTCCCTTTGATCGGAATTGTTAGCTATGGGTAGGCGTTCTTGCGTCAATTGTTGCGTCTCAGATATCCCTGACATCGCGAACTGTCTCCAGGTTCCAAGCCTAGAGGGTTGAATGCCGCCCGGAAACTACGTGTTACTCGCAGGAAAAACCGATGGGTTAGCAACCTTTCCGTTAGCAATCGTGCATTACTGTCAGGATGTTAACTGTTATCTTGGACATTCCTTTCAATTGCAAATGACAGGCAGACAAACAGTACAAAAAGCGCGCCCTTGGTAACATTTACAAGACCTCACCAACTGGTGGTTCGTCACATGCTAAGGGCATTGTACTGGAAAAGGTCGGAGTTGAGGCCAAGCAGCCCAACTCGCCATCCGAAAATGTGTCCGTGTGCAGCTGATCAAGAATGGGAAGAAGGTTACTGCTTTCGTGCCAGTACGTCCCAATGAAGCTCAATTGCAACCTCGTAACATTTGAACTTCTAATTCTGCTTGTTGTTCGTTCCTTTTAGAACGATGGCTGCTTGAACTTTGTGGATGAAAACGACGAAGTTTTGATTTCCGGCTTCGGTCGAAGTGGCAAAGCTAAGGGTGATATCCCTGGTGTGCGCTTCAAGGTCGTCAAGGTTTCAGGCGTGGGTCTCTTAGCACTATGGAAGGAGAAGAAGGTTTGTTTCTTGTCTGTTTGACTTAATCATTTTTTTCATGCCTGGGAAACATAATACTAAATGAAACCTGTTCTTTCCTTTCCTCGTCCGTGCTTGGACTTCAATAGGAGAAGCCACGCTCATAGGCTGCTGTGTTTTGGGATTTCTTCGCTGTGGACTCATCATCATCCATACCTCACTCATGTCTGCTACCTATGCTGATATGCTGTAATCACAAATCCATGCCTTGATCAAACTGATATTTATTCGTATGTTCGTCCCAAGATGTTTTCAGTCCTAGTGCATGTCTGGGCTGGTCAACGATATTCGGTGAGCTGAGTAAATTGAATTGATCCATCATGAACACCAGATGCACTCAAATCGATCACTAAAGCGGAGGACTCTTAAACATGACGTGTAATTCTGTTATGGTCTTCGCATGCTCGCACTACGACAGCGGCATGAATCTTGCTATGTCAGCGGTCACATCGCCCTTTGGGCCGTACCTGAAGGTTCACTAAATTGGATGTTGTATTACCTGGCTAAGGGGCACTCATGGTGCTCGTGCCATGGTGAGGTCTGGCTGTCAGTGCCATGGCATATTGTTGGCAGCATGTGTGTAATCTGGGCATCTGGCTCCGAAATTCCGAAGATGGCAGTACTTCCAGTGGCCAGTCGCTCGGGACTTGATAGGCCCGCTTCTACTAATTGTGTCTTCTTCGTCTAGAACAAACCCCCCATCATGCACGCCGGAAAGTTTCATCAATCCATTGCCGACCGTGCCTCATCTCCTTCCACTGCTGTCCTCACTGTGCGTCGACGTCGCCTGTCTATTAGTGCCGCTGACGATCGTGAGGTGCTCTCAGACCGATCACACACCCGCAACTTGCTGTTGAGCCTTCAGACGACAACCAACCTTCATGGATGCCTGACTTCCTAACTTCGACCTGCATCCCTCTCGCTTCATGCCATTCTAGGGTGCTGTAGAGCGCTCCCAAATGCTAGAGCGCCTGAGAGCATTTTTCGGGTTTTCCTGACGTTGTTTTCGCAACAATATTGTCATCAATGTCTAATCGCCGTAGCTCACTTTGCCTCATGAAACTATACAAAAATTGCGAAAACCTCGGTTCTACATCCATCGCTCTAACAGCGTCTCAATGTCTCGTTATCCAAAAAGAACTGAACAATACCAACCCTAATGCACCAATCTATCCGCCTCTCTGGCTTGGCTCGCCGGGCTTGTCTCCGCCTTCACCGCTCAACCCTCTCTGCTCTCGTGGCCTTGGCACTCCGTTCTGTTATCGGTCCCGCAATCCATGCGATCCAATATCTAAATCCTTGCTATTCTTTTTTAATACACATAATCCCATTCGTGGCGCGCAGCGGGCCTCAGTGGTTTCTATGTCCGTTCGCATTGGGATCTCTTCGTGAAATCATCATGGAGAAAATCGATGAGTCTGGCTAGAGACAATGAGAAGGGGCTCTTGACGAAGGGACTGCGCTGAGGCATCCCTTCCTCCTCGCATTTCGTTCTTTCATATTGCTCAGAAGTCCTTCGCATTCACTGTGTTGATGCTAGCTTTGCGGTATCTCTTCAACCCTCGGCTGATCAATCTTGTCTGCTTAATTTCCAGCCGTTCCGTTGTTTCTTCAGATCAGAAAACGATCCACCTTCTCTTGCAGATAGTTCGCCTATGATTAATAATCATTGGAGCAAGCGTGATGAACAAACGATGAAGAATCGCCAACAGCCCCGAGTCAATCAAGTCTATCCATTGTTGGATATGGTTCTGTAGTCGGATGAGATCCAGCAGTTGTGAACCATAAACCTCCTCCGCTCCGAAGTGGCCTCATTTCTGTTTTAAATAGCTTAGAACGTCGTCATCGAGCGACCAAGACCCAATGGTATCGTTGGAAGCCTGACTTCCTTGGGCATCCTTCTGAGCATCCGTAGATGGAGGAACGTTTCGGCAATTGGTGCCGCCGCTGACTTGGCCTTTGGTTGGGGTTTTGAGATTGTGAAGTATGGGGGACCGAGCAGAGAAACTCCCGGTTTGAACGGCCCTTTCGGATTCAAGTAAAGAGATGCATGGCTTGACTTTGATGGGATCCTCGACTGCAATTTCCCGGACTCGGAGTCGAGGGGGTGATAACTTTGTGATTGGTAGAGAATGATGAATACTTTGTGTTGCAAAGTGATCACGGTCCCTCCTTGGTTGGACAGGGTTTGGTAGAGCAGTGGGGAGTTCCACATCGGAGGGCCTGAGAATTTCATTTGTTAAGGAAGACTGAGCCTTGAGTCCGACAGGGGTAAATGGTTCTTGACCAGAGTAAGTGGAGGCCAGGAAACGTTGATCATCTGGAAATGTGTCAGCGGGTCCGAAGTCAAACGGCAAGGACTATGGGGGCGGTAAAATTAGTATCCTCTTGGGGGAAGTTGGGGCTATGATTTCTAGTATGTTCACTCTCATTCGGGATTGTCTGCTGAGAGCTGGCGATCCTTCCTCTCATTCCTCGTTCTATCCCTACCATAAGCGATGGGAGTGGCGAGTACCTATATGAGTTCGCAGCAAAATTGACAAGTTTTTCATTATACACATCCTTGTGGTCCGAAGATTTTCGAGGGGTTGGCAAAAGGGATGGAGAAATACGGTTCTCCGCGCCAGTGTTCGCCGCAGATTCTTTCACGAATCTCTTCTCAAGTTTGGCGAATGCGGTTGTGGAGTGCGTGGAGAAGCGCCAGAAAACCGAGACCAAATTGGGGACGTGGGCATGGCGTGACCGAGGAATTCGGTGGGGCGCTGGCATACGGACGGTTTGGCGTCTTAGAAGTCCGACGCAATAAAAATTATTGAATTGAACGGACTTGCCTGGGAACCCATTGATACATTATTGACATTGAAGCGAGCTCCTAGTGACAGGAACGAAGGTTATCAGCATGGAAGGGAATGGAGGCGCCGATAGAGGGGGTGATAAACGATTGAGTTGTGCGGACAGCTTCAGAGACTGGATCAGATGGAAAGTGAGTGTATCTTCGCTGATTGGCGGTCCAGCGCATCGGACGACTCATGGGAATTTCTTTAGATTTTTGGAATACAGGAATTGCCACTGGAAGTGGCTGAGCAAATGCAGGAAACGAGGGAAGTCGTCTTGCTAAAGGATGCATCAGGGTAACTGTAGAGCTGATGACAGGACTAGGTGGGAGGGAGTATGAGGAGACACAAATTGGGGAGCATGGTTTAAGGAGCGCCCAAGAACAGGACTGCTGTAACGAGCATCAGAAGCAACACCGGAAGGATTTGTTGCGCCGTGGCTGCGACTACTTCGCGCTCTTGACGTGGAGGTGAAGGGACGGAAGGACCTGACTCAGGGGCTCCATGATTTGCGATACGATCCGCGGATTGCAACCAATAATTATGTGGATCAATTCGCCCTTCACTCTGTAGTGGAACGGAAGGCGCATGGTACATATTACTGAATGGTCGATCCATTGAACCAGAACGGCCTTCGAGATAAAAAAAGGGAACTGAAGGGACTGGAGAATATCTCCTGCAACCAAAGCTTTGGTTCGAGTCGGGCGGAGAAGGAGGCGCAATTTTTCTGAGAGGGTGATTGTCTGAAAGTGTGCGACACGTAGCTGCTAGCCATCTAGGGAGCCGCGCAGGTGACAACGACCCCTAAGCCAATCGTTAAATGGAAATCTTTTTGTTGGGAGCTGTCTCACGTCACTCAAAGGTCCATTGGGATGTGACACTCGAGCAGACTCAGGTCTTGTGGATATTTTAGGATCAAAAGAAAAATCTTCCCCACGAAACTCTCGGATATTCGCCGGACTAACTCGATTCCCATGAGATAATAGAGCAGAACGCGCTCGATCCCTTGAGCCATGTCGCACTGGTTGACCCGCGTGCATCGGACGCATCCTTCTAGGGAAACTCTTACTCCGATGCTTAGCCTTCCGAATACCATCCATATCACCTATGTGTTCAGAAAGCCCCAGGCGTGTCCCATAGGCAGCGGCGTAAGGCATCTTGAAGAGGAGGTGAGGCGTCACAGCCACACACGTCTTGACATGTGACTAAAGTTCTCACCTGAACGAGGTGTCGATGGTTCCTAAACTTCGAGCGGACCATACGCTCTACCACCTAAGCCCGAAAGGGTTTTGGAAGCGCCTCAGTTGGTAATCTATACCAGACCTATGTATTCATGTTAATATCTTCTTAAGGGGATGTGTCGGTCGTGAACCCTGAAATCAGCTATGGTGTGCCTTTACCAACCGTCAACCGTTATCCACAGCCAGCCTCTCGTCCTGAGATCCAAGCGACTCCAGCTACGAAAGGTGCGTCTACTGTGTGTCTCTCTCTGTAGTGAACTTGCTTATCTTCGTTTCAGCTTCTGATATCGCTCAGAACCCAGTTAGTCGGAACCCCAAAATCATGGCAGCATTATCTAACGGCGCCCATCTGTTTATTTCCATGCCTGCAGTACTGGAAGCGCGATGCTCGTCGAAATTACCCCCAGCTCTCTGTTGTCACTCAGGGCGAACTTGCCCGACTTGTACTTGGAAGTTCACAGCAGCCTGTGTATGTCTCATTCCCCTCAAGATCCATCGCTGGCTAATATTTTGAATCCATTATCTGTGCACCTTCGTCCCTCTCAATTGCAGATTGGCTTCACCAGGGAGCAAATCCGATGTGCGTCTGGCTTCAAAGTCGTCCGCTGATCTGACTGCCGCCATTGCCACTATCTCGACTGGAAAAACTTACTCCGCCAACAACCTTCCCCCCACCCCGCCAGCGCGTATGCGCTGGTTGGCCCAGATGGCTGAAGATGCACCTCATAACCCTAACGCCTACTGGCCCATGAAACTATACGGTGGACTTCCTGGCACTGCCGAAGCAGAAGCAGGAACAGTGCCTCCCAGCTAGAGTAATTTCATTATAATGCTCTCAGATCATCTTTGTCTTGATGCCAAAGAGTAATAGGGAAATCTTTTTGGCCTCTTGTTCATACCGAGCACTTTGGTGATAAATATGACTGGGATTCAGCAATAGACATGAGGGAACCATTCAATCGTGCATTTCATCTGCAGTAAAACAGGAGAACATCTCGATATATCGGGAAGAACGGGCATCAGGCATTCGTGCTTGCAGGCGGTCCTTGAGGATGAGGATGGTGGATGAACTTGCCGCTACCAGGGTTGTAGATGTCCTAAATAACAATAACGGACCGTCAACTCGTGGTCGAGACAGGTGACGGGTTCCACACCTTGATAATCCCTTTGCCCATTGCGATGAGCGCTTCACGACTCTCGTACAGTGGTAAAAACACGACCACGGCGATGGCACTAAAGACCCAGATAATACCAATAGTCACCCACGCAGAGTACCCGCGAACACCAAAAATCACGGATGAGAAGAACAGCGGAAGAGGGACGATAATAATAGATATAGCAGTCTAATGGCAACCATACAATCAACATCATATTGTGAAGAATCTGCAAGGGACGTCTGCTCACTAGGATAATTGAGCATGTCGCTGCAAAATTGAATGCCTTTTTCAGCTCAACCAGGTCCAACCCCTCTGGCATTAAGTTCACATCAGGGCTACGACCCTGGCCGATGCTTTCCCCATGTGAGGGTTTTTCTTCATCATCTTTCCCATGCTTTTCCCCTGTTTGGAATGGAAGTAGCTGGGATATCGCCCTCCCAGGTCTCTAATGCGCCCGCGTTAATAGCCCGGGTGACGTTGAAGTCGAAGTCCTCCGGCCACTATTCTCGTTGTATCGTTGAGCCCCTGATGAACTACTGGGCATGAAACATTACTGACTATGACTGATGCCGCAACTGCAATGATGCCTCCAATCGCAATCGCAACGAGGTTCCCCGTCAACATCTCGTAGTCGCCACCCGTAGTCTGTTGCAGCTGTGTGGGCATGAGGTGCACAAAAGGGGATATCCTGACGCACCGTAACATTAATTTTTCCATCATTGAGTTTGCTAGTCGCGATAAGCCAAGCCATAATACCAAAAACGAGACCAAGACAAGATCCTATGATGCATCCCATTTTATTTGCTTTCTTCCAAGTGATGCAGAGTGCAATAGGAACGACAGCAGATCCGAGAAGAGTACCCATCTATCGAACGACCGCATTAACCGGATTTCACAAGTGGTTGGTCAGTGGAAAAAAAAAAAACACGTACAAATGTCTTCAAGGCAACCCTCGGTGTCAGTGAACTGAATATGCAATTGACCAAAGTGCAGACTCACATAAAGCCAACCGAGATTTACTCCAATTTCTTTGAATATCACACCAGACAGGCCTATGAATAGACCAAACGCAAAAATCTGGAGTGTTTCCAGGCTTTCCATCATTTCAAATATCTCATAGAGACTGCACTTACACCAATCCGAGATACCATCAGGATTTGGGCTTCCGTAGCTTGGGGATTAAAGTACCTCTGTCAACAAACTTTCAGGAAACTGTACGTACGTGGCAACGGCATGGAAGTAAACGAACCTTGTATACGTCGTAAGTCAAGATCGAACTGACAGCAATGAGTTCCGCACTCGTTGCGCTGGTCACGGCTAAAAAAAGAAGAACAAGCATGATGGCAGCTCCACTCTTTCCAAGAAGTGCAGCAGCCGCTGACGGCGCAGGAAGCCCAGCGCCAACATCCGCAGGCGACAACACCTTCATGGCAGGGTCCCCTTAAGCGCCACGGCGGCGAGGCCTAAAGTAGTGGCGAAGGTCTGGAAACCAATCTGTGTCAATAACGGAAGGGATGAAGTGTCAGATTACTGACAAACGGGATAGAGAACCAAGCGAGACCGCCAAGCAAGAAGGCTCTGACAGTTGTCGTGCCCTTAGAAGCGATCGCACGCTGATAGTATGCCTGGTCGTTGCTAGGGGATTGGAAATTAAGGCGGAGTCAGTGTCTGAAGAAACGGGAGTAACCTACAACACGGTTGCTTCAAATCGTTCACCAAGGCGGGTAGAATTGAGTTTATGTCCGTCCTCGGGGCTGAGTGTTGCTCTTACCAAAATTACCAATGATCTAGAGCCTCCGTTAGTGGAATAATTGGTCCGGGAATAGGGAACTTCATACATACATTGATGACGCCGAAGATGAGTCCGTTCTTTGAGCGCATAGTCAAATAGCTTCCGTGTGCATTTCCGGAAACCTGGAGACGAATGAAATTTAAACGGTCCCTTCACTAAGCATTGGTAGAATGACACACAGGGGCGGACACGGCGGCCTTATTTTTAAAAACCATGGGTGAGCACGCTATTAAATCTCCAATACGCGCAAGAAAACCTACAGCAGTCAATAGTTCATGCATCTTCCTGAAGCTACCGATCTTTTCGCTCGTAGCGTAGACAGTAAAGACGAAAGTAAGAATGATGGCGAATAGAACAGTTGTGTGAGTGCTATATTGATCCTAGTCAGCGTCGTTTGTTCAAATGTCAACGAGGGAGCTAGGGCTTACTAGTCACAGAGAAGCGTGGCACGCATACCTCCTACCACCACGTAGATAGTTACGCCAATAGGAATCAAGAAGCACGCGGCAATAGTGTCCATTCCTAATAAATTGCTCATGAATATCATTCTTTGGTGCTGTATGTCAGGACGACGAAGCAAACTCGCCAGTCAAGCTTGTAACAGTCGCGCTCCCGCCTAGGCATAACATAGCACTGACGATCACGTTCGTGGCGAGACCAAAGAACATGAAAACTTGGTGTGCGACTGCTCCCCATCGTGCATTAACGACCTCAAGCCAGGTGTGTGCGCGAGGAGCGTTGGATTTGAGCTTGGCAGAGAGCATAGCGAACAGGAGGACTTGGATCGTTGCTCCTGAACCGTACCAATACGGTCCTAGACGTGGTGATCGTGTGAATAGGGACCCAGGACAGGGCGGATCACTGACCAGAGATACCATACTTGTACGCCACTGCACTAGACTGAAGTAGAGTTGCAGCCTATTTGGAGAGTCAGTTCAGTCGGTAGTAAAAACACCTTTTGTATTACACACCCATGTCCAGGCGGAGACGATACCGCTAGCAATGAGACCTGATTTGACAGATCGAGATGCAGAGCTGAACTCTTCGGTGTTCGATGGGGAGAATGGAGTGTAGCGCGCTTGGATCCACGTAAGCATAATCATGAATCCAGAGAAGAAAAACCGATTCCTGTTCAATGCAAAATTCATGCACATTATGGAGATCCACGCATCTCGACACCTACCGAGGACCTAACCACAGAGATTTGAGACGATAAGCAAAGCCTCCGTGTTCTCTTAGTGTGCTGCACTTACAACGCCGTATCCGGCACCTGAAGATTTGGTACTGAGTTCACAACGGCAAATGAGGACAAAAGCTGATCTACCTTGGGGCAAGACAGTTCCTGTCATTGTTGGAGTCTTCTCAAACTATGCAGTGTGGGACACTGACGGCGAAGAGGGCTCTTCAGCGAGTCCGGGATGTATCCTTGTTCTTTATGTAGGATCATTGAATGCGCCGCCGAGTTACGATAAGAAAGGCTTGAAATTAGTATCGTGCATTCGTGTCATGTATCGATGCATGTAACGCCCTGGTTGGCCAAACAGGCAAGATGCAATCAGGGGAGTGGCCTTATCAACGTTATCATGACTTACCCTCCATGTCTAGTTCATTCGCATAAATGATAGTAAGCGCAATCGACATTATTGATATGAAATGTTGGAGATGCACACGGCACGAAACCACCGAGTCGCTCGCCCGATAGTCGCAAGTCGGCTGAAATCGAGAACCGTCCAAACCCAGCATTTCAATATACATCTGAATTCTTAGTTACGTTAGCTTGTGCGCGAACGGGCCTCGCCAAGCAGGTACACCATGTGGATTACCCCAAAGGAAGCAGAAAGGCACTGAGCATACCCATGGAGAAGTAGATACATGATATTAAAGAATGCGCATGAAATGAAATCGAGGCACACGACATCCCATCTAGTATCCAACAACCTTTCGCCCAGAAGCGTTGTGTAAATAGTCGGAGAATTCCTCGTAAGGACTTTTGGAGAGAGGGATTTCGCGCCAGAGATCGGGGGAAAGGAAGCTGTACGTTCTGGAAATCTTTGACGGACAGATATATCTCTGACTGAATAAGATAAGGAATGAAGGAAAACTGGCTTACTGCAACATAAGTAGCTTTTAAGAAATTGCCCATGGTCGAAGTCGAACCCTTTGACTGGGTATATACATCTTGAACACCCGCCAGTTGCAAGAGGCGCTTGCATGCAGGGGCAGCGACGATACCAGTGCCGCGGGGAGCAGGAATCAATCGGCACACGACGGAGCCACCTTGCCGCTAACTTTGCTCGGTACGGTGTGAGGCTCTTGGAGGGCAGCGCCCCAGTAACCACGGCGGACAGGTATGATGCTTAATTTGGCAGCGATGATAGCACCACGAATGGCGGTTGCAACTTCCTTGGCACACTTGACACCGAGACCGACATGCCCATCAGAGTCACCGATGATAACAAAAGCCTTGAAACGCGTGCGCTGACCGGCACGCGTCTGCTTTTGAACAGGCATAATCTTCATTACTTCATCCTTGAGGTTGGGGAGGAAAAAGTCGATAATTTGAGGCTCCTTGATACTGAGGGAGAAGAGGTAGATTTCCTCTAACGCTCTAATCTTCCCGTCCTTCACAAGACGTCCGAGTTTAGTGACGGGAACCCTGGATTGGCATTGAAGGATACACATTTTCGCCCAAGGAACGCCAGATGGTGATTATGAGCTCACCATTCCTTCTCTTCCTCCTTACGTGGTCCACGACGGGCACCACGACGCCCACGCCCACGATCACCACGATCACCGCGTCCACGATCACCGCGCCCGCGCCCAAATCCTCCACGAGTCCCTCTTGGTGCCTCAGACATCTGTAAATTACATCCAAATCGCACATCAGCAATCCAGCCCGGAACAGCGAAATTTCGCCACAATAACGGCCCCAGACGAAGCAGAAGGCTCCTCTGCAGCGTGGAGGCCCCAGGAGAGGGTCACTCAACTAGTAAAGTTCGATGAAAGGGATGGAAGACTCGAGACCCAGAGAAATTTACTTCCGCGCCAGCGTTGAGGTGGCTGTGCCAATGAATCTAAGCGCTGAGATTGATGACCTGCATACATATGCGGATTAGGATACACTTATGACTCAATTTATTCTAACATAAGTGTAATCATTAGCCTTAAGGGCGGTTATGGTGCTGAAGCCATCAGCTACGGGGCTATGCTTTGCCTCAAACAGTCCTTGAACGAATGACATAATGGCGAACCCGAACAATTCATCACCTCTTGACCCAAGCATACTAAAGCGAAGAAAGTGTGAGGTGCATCTTAAAAGCGACGAGACGGTAGGGACACAACACACCCGTTTGCGAGCCTTCGCCAAGCCAGTCTTCTTCCGTTCCACCATGCGTGGATCTCGTCTCAATAACTCGGCTAGTAAAAATCAGCCCCTTTTCAGCAATAGCATTTACGAAGTAGCCCTGCGATGACGAACCCTGTTGCAACAACCCCTTCCCTTGTGGGAAGAGTGCGTTGAGACCCTTCGCGATCCCATGAGCTACGGCGCCGGCTTGGCCAGTCGTCCCACCTCCTCGCACGATAGCAAAAACATTGTATTTCCCAATGGTGCCAGTGACTTTGAACGGCAACACTACCTTCTCCCTGTCTGCTGAATTAGCAAAGTAACGGCTTAATGGGGTGTTGTTTATGAGGACTTCAGAAACGAAAGGCACAAATTTTGGGTAAGCTGTGTCGAAAGAAGGATTGAAATCGGGGGCAGGGAGGGGTCTTGCTGGCTGCGGCTCGAATCCTGGCATATCAAGTAAGGCGGGACGCATTTTATCTGCGACACTTGATCCCCATGGGTCCGGAGGCGGCGCCAAAGTTGTGGGTCTTGACGGTCGTTTCAGCTTCGCGGGAATCAACCAAACCCGTGCATGACTTTCTTTTCGCTTCCCAATAGTATAGGTCCCGCCGAGCTGAGTCCTCACTACGGGCTTCTTCTTGGCAGAAAGGATAGCCTGCATATCTGGACGCTCGAATTGTTTTAGAACGCCTTCAATTTGATCTGCCAACACGGCTTGTCTTCCGGAGAGGGCAATGGCCAAGTAGTCGTCTAGTTCTGATAGTTGTGATATGACCTCTCTGTATTGGGACACACGCATAGGGGGCTGCATTCCAATGGCATCGGAAAGTTTGTCGATGGGCATCCAAAGCTTGCGATTGTCACCTTGTTTGGATTTAATTATGCGTCGACGAGCTGGTGATATAGGGAGAAGATATGCAGCTTCCAAAACGGCCCTGCATTCTTTTTGAACAGCCTGGAGTGCACTAATGACGTCGTTATAGGTAGAACGCGCGGTGAAGAATGAAGAAGTGGATGGCTTGTTGCCTGAGGGAAAAACAAGAGTTGTCTCCAAGTTTTGTGCGGTGGAAGGATACGACATGAATCTTGCCCTAGCCATCCCCTCTACAGGTTTAAAACTGGGCCTAGTAAGAGCCAAGCGCACCAATGGCCGCCGCAACATCATCCTGAGGACTGTGGAGGCTGGTCACGCGCCCACGGTCGTGGGAACGGAGCGCCCAGGCAGTCTCTATGACTTCGTAAGTAACATACTGACAGCCCGACAATTTATGTCCTGATAGGGTCAACCGTTCTGTTCTGACCCGACATAGCATCTGATTAGACTAGAAACAATTCAAACCGCTTATTCGCCCTGCAGATGTTACTGCTCTGAGGAGACCCGTCCCCTAAAAACCTATTTCTTTGGCTACAAGATGGCACGGGACGGGTTTTTTCTCATTGGAAGCGGGGGGATATACCTCTACGCAAATTGGAGAATGAAGTCCCTCCAGTCGGTGTGCTCTCGGATAGAACACAACGAATCTTATTCTTCAGCATATCCGTTTGCCTAATGTCCCTGAGGTGATCTATTGACCTAAGGTTTGGTGTGTCATGCCATTCGAACTAGTTGTCGGACTCAAGAACCTGGTACTCAGTATCCGCGGCCATAGGACTCAGAAAGCACGGCATCCCGTCGATCTGCGAAGTTAAGCTGGGTACCGCTCAGTCAGTACTACGGTGGGGGACTACGTAGGAATCCTGGGTGTCGTGGTTTTTCTTTTTTTCTTTTCTTTTATCTGACAGCTCCCCTAACTGCCCCCCTTTTTAGCTTTTCCTGCATGCGCGCGGGCAGTTGATAGACCTAACAGTTATAGCGTGTGTATACTGCGTGATGAACGCGCAAGGGGTATCCCTGGAGCTTAAGCTTATTAGCGATAACCAGGCAAGCAGCTATCTTAGCTTTGGGTTGCAAGGCTAAATCGTCGTTATTACGTACAGCCTTCAAGCCGCCTGTCCATATTGACGCATCCTCGCACCCCTAAAGGCAATCCGCTATTAATTTTCGGGAGCCAGAATGAATGGTATATATTGATTAGCCGCCACCTCCGCGCTCACTGCAACCGCCCCCATAAGAGAAATGGAAGGCGAGAACTGTCGTCTCAGGTTCCCAGCAGTCACATATTGTGAATTTAGATCCAGGGTGGAAGTGAAGCCCATCAACAGCGCGGACCCCACGGGATGCGGACTTTAGCTGTCCCACTTGAGACCACCCAAACACTTCCTCGTGTTCGCCCCTTGCGAAAAAATAGTGACCTGTCATTATTGCATAAAGGGTGCTCTGATCGTAAGACTGGTGGGAGCACAATAAAATCTAGATTGCTGATCAGAGATACATTTTATATAAAGTTGAACAAAGCGCCGCAAGGGAGCTAAGGTTGAACTCCGACCACTTGATCGGCGGTAGCGGACGCAGGGGCGTTGTCCACAGGCTTCATGGCTGGAAATAGAAGCACTTCTTTGATGTCTGCAGTGTGGCATTATTAACAAACACGAACACAAGCCTAAAAGTAGACGTACTGGTAGAGTCAGTCAAAAACATGACGAGCCGGTCGATACCAAGGCCCCAGCCACCAGTTGGCGGGAGACCATGCTCCAGACTACACGGGAGTTGAGCAATGTTTTTCAAGAATTTATTGCTTACTCACGCATTGACGAAGACCTCATCGATACCCTGGGCCTCATCGTCACCAGCCTCCTTCTGCCTCATTTGCTCCTCAAACCGCAAGCGCTGTTCGAAAGGATCGTTCAACTCTGTGTAGGCGTTACATATTTCTTTCTGGCAAAGGAAGGCCTCAAACCGTTCACAAAGACCGGGGCGCGAACGGTGCCACTTGGCCAAGGGGGACATGAGGTGAGGATGACCAACTAAGTTATCGAATAGGATTAGAGGGGTACAACCTGTTCGATATTGCAGATATACGTGCCTATGAAGGATGGATTTATGCACAACGGTTCAATGTATTCTCCAACAAGCTATAAGAAACTGTTAGCCGGAGTAAGACACATGGGGAGCCCATCCACACCTTGTCAATCAATCTTGCCGTGGTTCGCGGTTCGCTGCATTCGACGCCGTGCTGTGGGCGAGAATGTGAGCACATGCTTCTGGTGCTTCCTGACTCCCTCACCTTCTTGCAGAGATCTTGTAAGAAAACGTTAGCCTCAGGGGTGTCAAGTTTTTCACCAGCAGGGAACTTGACATTCAACTTCTCCTCCAAAGTCTCGATCATGTCATATCGCTTCCATGGTCGCTTGAAGTCAATCACCCATTCGCGCTTTTGCTCCGAACCCTCCTTTCCATCGCGCTTGCCATCGGGATGGAAAACAACCGTTGATCCCCCAGTCAAGTGCTCCACCATTCCGGTGACAAGACTTTCAGTGAGATCCATTAAATCATACATGTCGGCGTACGCCATATAGAACTCGCAGGAAGTGAACTCGGGATTGTGAGTTAAATCGATGCCTTCGTTGCGGAAAACTCGACCAATTTCGTACACACGGTCCAATCCACCAACAACGAGCTCCTTAAGATAGAGCTCGGGAGCTATGCGTAGGAAAAGATCAAGCTTGAGGTCGTTATGATGGGTGATGAAAGGTTTGGCAGATGCACCACCGGCAATCATGTTCATCATTGGAGTTTCTACTTCCAAGAATCCCAAGTTATCAAAGAACCTCCGAATATAATTGATGATGCGACCCCGAGTGACGAAAATGTTCCTGGTGTGATTATTAAGGATTAGATCGAGGTAGCGCTTGCGATACCGCTCCTCTTGATTCTTGAGACCGAAGTGGGTTGTCGGTAATTGATGGAGGTTAGGCGCTAGGAGCGTCATCTCGATAGGTGCTATTGATAGTTCTCCCTTCTTAGTTCTGAGAGGGGAACCCTTGACACCGACGATATCGCCTCGCCTAAAGAGGTTATGAAGCTCGATAAAGCCTTCAGGATTGGACGCGTCTCTAGTGAATCGATGATGAGCGACATCCACCCAGAAGTTACGACATCGGAAAGCCTACGCTTGAGACGCCATAATTTGAATCTTCTCTCCTTCACCATGTAGATCATAGAAGCGAAGCATCCGTGACTGCTCGCGCATATTGTGCACACGGCCGGCAACACTGACAACATCTGTGTGCCTGGTTCCTGGGGAATCAAGAGCGTGTCGCTTCCAGGAACTTTTCCACCATAATCTCTAATGAAATGAGTGATTGACTTGGTCACATCGAACTTGTGAGGATATGGGTTAGGGTCCAAAGTCTGCCGGAGCTTTAGGATCTGACGAGACCGAAGCTCAAAATATTGCTGAAAAAAGCCGATGGTCAATCCTGACATCCCATCCCCCCGCTGCTCAAAACTCACGCTAGGCGTCAATTCCTTCTCATCAGTGGCTGGGGAGTCCGTGGCTTTCTTTCCAGCTGCTGGTGGTGGAGGGGCCGCTTCCTTCTTCGCCTTCTTCTCACGTTCCTTCGTCCTGCGCTTGAGTTCACTGAATAGTCATGGCACGATCGATCACCTCAGCAGCGTGCTCCCATCGCGAAAATTGACGCACGACTTGGAAATCATCTCGCCAGTTTCAGGATCGAGATGCGACCCAGCAGCTGATTCACTCGGATGAGACATTTTCAAGTTTGATTTGTTGGCAAAAAATCGTCTAGCTGGATGAATAAGATGTATGTGAAGCGATAAAACTCGGGTCACTCGAAGCATCCACCAGGATGCAATTTTTTTCCTAGTCAAGGCCTGTCACGCGTCACGATAGGTCACAGTCAAACCGTGAGTCATCTCGAATCACGCTGGTCGTCATGTAATGCGTCTCTCTTGGGAACTCAGTGGATTCGATCTCGTGTTTGAAATCCTTCAAAGTATTTCACCCGGAAATTGTGATGTGCAGGCGGAGCTGCATACTCTATGGTCCTTGCTCCCTCAAAACGAGGGGCACCGATGTCGTTAGTCGTAATCTTAACCATAGTGATTAACTATGAACATACTGCGGTTAGTTTGCTAGTTTCATAACAGAAGAAGTGGCTCCCATGCAACCTACCCTTCGCCCCCACTTCCCGAAGTCCTGAAGAGAATTTGACACTAATTCCATCCCCTTGCATTCAGGGATGTCTAGCTCGTCATACTCATCATTGACGGTTGGCAAGAAAAAAACAAGCCGCCCGCCCGGTTTCAGCAAATAACGTGCCAAGTAAATGAGATCTACCGTAAGATCAGAAAGTTCATAAGGTTTCATCGGAGGATGGAGCCTGAGGTTGGCTTGCTGCGAAACGGTTTGTCGGCTGTGCACTTCAACCCCCGAAATTACGACTTACGTGTCAGTGGCCACGCCATCCCCCGGAACGGTAGATGAATCGCCGGGTGTGCGCGTCTCGTCCTTTCTGCCAAGTCGCTTTGCGCCAGCCCGGACTCCATCTAGGAAACATTTAGGATGCAATGCCACAAAGAACGAAAAGACAGCTATGCTCACATGGAGGATCTGTAAACATCACTTAGCTTAGTAAAGTGAATGGGAAAAGACAAACTTACCTGTCACAATCGCGTCAAAGATATTGCCGCACCGCCAAGGGTTTTTTGTCACATCAAATGTGGCCAAGTCAAACACACGGGAACTTAATCCGTACTGATCGGCGGCTCTGTATATACCAGGTACCGATTCTGGGTGCGAGCGTCAGCAGAGCCTTTGTAGTGGCGCCTGAAGACGACCCATGCCTTTTCCTCGCATCTGTCGGCCATCCAGGTCCGAACCAAGAACGTAAGCCCCAAACTGAGCTGCTGTCTTCATTCGTCCACCGGAAGTTAGCACGACAATTGCATGAAGGTCCTTGTTTCGTCTTACATAAAGCATGCTCCCAGTTCCAACAAATGGATCATAGATCATCTTCCCCGGAGTGGCCTTGAGGGTGAATGCGCACAACACTCATTTCAGCTGATGTTGATTGCAACGAGCAACGGGAAGAGATACCTGAGCTTGATTGGCCATAAGCAAACTTATTTCAGCCTCCATAGTCGTGTTCCCAAAGAATGCGCGTTTCTTGACGTCAAACTTCCTTATGAGAGGTCTACTTTCACCTTCACTGACCTAGGATGGATGAGTCGCATCATTTTTTTCTGCGTGTCAATTGTGGCGGAACGACACTACCCACGAGCCTGCCAAAGAACACCTGAAGAAACTTGGCATCATTATCATGACGGTGTCTCTGAGTGACTTTTTGTTCTTCATCTAACAACAAGTCAGCATGAGTGCAAAGAAGGCCACGGAAGGAGCTACAGTCTTCAAGGCAGACGAGGGTTAATCGAGGGTTCTTCATATCAATACAACCCTCAAATCCCATATATGAAAAGGAATCGATAGTCTCTTTTATCCGCCCCGGGGGTATTCGTTGGTTCACCGAGGTAACGTTGAATTTAAACGACACCTTCTTGTACGCTGACCAAACATCGCACTTTGTTCGATTTATCGCATGCAGCTCTTCGTAGTTGTGCCCATGTGCCCACAATTGATATATGGCTCTGAAGTAATGAAAGAACTTTAGTCCACAGTCACGGAACACCGAATGCTACTGTTTACTTGATCAAGATGCAGCGAGAGGCCAACCGATGTGCCGTTTCATCGTCATTGAGCCTAACTACCATTAAAGGACGTTTGGTGTCCCTCTCTTTCGGAAGCTCAATCTCGATATCCAGACATTCACACACAGAAAGAAGCTCAGGGAACCGGAACTCTTGGTGGGTCAGCACGAAGTGCACCAGATACTCCATGGACAGATCCAAGTTATAAAGGGGATCATTATGTGACCGACGCGGAGGTCACGCACTCCCTCATTGAGTGTCCACAAATAGTCGCGCCCCGTCAAGCGTCCAGGACGCAAAGGCCATACTCGGTTAACAAAACAGTATTTGACCACAAAGCTACGAGAACAAGTTGAAGAATATAGAACAATGTTCAATAAATATACCACTGTGGATGCTACTATGAGGGGTCAAGAATGATGGTTGCGTTAGTGTAGATGAGCCTCTGTTTAGCATGACCAGTGGCCAAATGTCCAATCCAAAGACAAGCAGTCAAGTGGGAAATTATGCGTGGAGGAACGGGGCAACGTGTCTACAGGTGACACCCCAAGTGAGGAAAATTGGGTGAATAGTGCGACCGAGAAGTAGCACCAGTATGTTGTTCACCGCACAAACCCTCGGGTTTCGCTCTGTCCGTAGTTAAGAGCCTCAGGATCATATCGCCGTCCATCGTCGCTGGTATAAGATGGATACTGCGTCGGGAAGGCTGGAAGGTCCCCGTACTTCTCCATCGGGGTCGCAGTACCACCAATGTTCCCGCCTTTATTCTGGGCGTCCATAGCTTTCAAGGCTTCCGTTGGACTGCCCACACCGGCCCGGGTCCCCCAACCAGTCTGGTATTGTTAATTAGTCCTTGATAACTAGAACTGGTTAAAACTTGTATAACTTCCGTACCTCGTGCAGAGTTAGCAAAGCGTACATCTTCATCACAGCGAAATAATAACCGAACAGAATGAAGGCGGGAACGTGGATGATATCTTGAGGTCGGTCCCAGAGGTGGGGTAAAAGCTTCGCCGTTCGGGTCATCATAAGCCATACAAGATATGAGAGTAGCACGTTCCTGGGTCAGTCAGTTAGTCAGTCAGTCAACAACTAAACGGTGATCCCAGCAACCCAAGTCAATACTCACCACCAAGGCAAGTGGAAGCCGCCCTTCTCAATAGGTTTGGTGCTCTTCCACACAACCACAGCAACAAGGCACGGTCCGACAAGCAACGTGAAAGGATTGAACAGCTTGTCCACCTGCATGACCGCCGGGATGCATCCGTTATTTCCCGCGTGGAAAGTGTTTTAGGGATGACATACCATGGTGTATGCGCAGTAAGGGTGAGACGTCCAAATATAACGTTCCATGAACAGCGAACGCAAATCAGAACGCCAAGTATTGCGAGTCCACCGTAGCACCTGTTTCAAGAACCGCCAATTGGGCTTCATGGTACTCAATAGTTCCGCTTCTTTGCAGACTTGAACATAAGTGGTCCAACCGTGACTGACCATCCAACGCGTGAGGAACTTGTCGTCACCAGAGTTAAGATGATATTTCCCGAGCCAGTAATCATGAGTGAAACGATATATGAAGTCGGGGTCTTTTAGGATGACAGTGCGGTAGGCAGCCGTTCGCCCGGACAGACACGGTACGCCTCCATCAATGTGAGTGGCCGAGGCAATCTCGATGTTGCGTATGGTAAGACGGAAAGCAGCCAAAACTTCCCACACTGTCATCTTCTTTCCAACAGGCTGTACACGTTGCGAGGTGCCAACACCGCCAACCCTCTGGTCCTCGAAGCACGCAAGCATGTACGGAAGCATCATTGGAGGCCAAATAGCGTCGTCATCCGCAAATACGATTATATCAGTCGTCGTATTCTTGATTCCATGCGACATTTGCAGACGTTTGTTCGCGAAAGGGACAGTTAAAACACGAATACGAGAAGGGTCAACGGCATTCGCAAGCTCTTGCAGGGGCCCTAGCATCTTTTCCTCAGTAATAATAAGGATCTCCTTTGGCTTTCCAACGAGCCAACTGTGAGCGGCCTCCTTAAATTCTTCGCCGGCATCGATAGTTGGCACTATGATTGTCACGTCCTCCGATGCGATGTAAGTGGGGTTTTCGGGGAGGGGGACTGGTCTGTACGCCGCAGCCGCAGAGATACGGATGATATACCATAAGTAGCGGTAGAACCTAGATCGAAAGTTTTGTGACTCAGTTCTCCGTTGTCGGAGAAAGCAGCACAAAAGCCGAGAGTCACAATAACGGCATACCCGATAACCCCAAATGGAACGACTGATGGTAGGATGAACGCGTATTAGTGCCTAGAATACACAATATAATCAACGACATTACAAAACACGCACAGATTGCAAAGCGGTCAGAGGTCAGATACAACATCTTTGGACACCGGTGACCAGGAGCAAATCGTTGTGAGCGGCCCTAATAAAAAAAGGGCCCTATGAAGACTTGGGGAGGGGAACGGGACAGAGGGAACGAAGGAACGTGGGGTGCAGCGGTTGGAAGACGGATTGTGAAGGGAGAAATTTGCTTCCGCAGCACAGCTCAACGGCATGACAATATAACAATATAATTCGGACAACTCCGTTACAGTTCAAGCTCTGCCTCGTTGACAAAAAATACACAACCAAAGAAATGATGATGAATTTACCCTCATGGTGGACGTGGCAGTGCGGCTGTCCGTCCATACACCGAAATGTACATGAGGGGATTCTCTCTATATGAAGGGAGGTTGCTGTCGGGTTCGTGTATGTAGTCCTCGAGTTTTGTAGCGTCCGGGCAAGCTCAAGATACGTGTTACCTCATCATCAACAGCGGCGACGCACCAAGCCATCTGAAAATTACCAAGGCCGAGTGTCAATTGACAATGCAAGCTATGTAAGGTACACGACTACAAAACCTATGGATATGTATTATGGCGATGAGTATCTTCATCCCCTGATGAAGAATACGTAATATGCAAAAGGGGGGGCGATCACCGTCTTCAGGACCCGACGGTAGAGTTCCACGACCAACGACCTTCAGCGAAGCCTTTCGCGGTGTCTTCCAAGACTATGTCATTACGCTTGGCGACATATACCTGAAAAAATTGACAGTGAGATCTCAGTGTAAAGGTATCTTGTTCGAATGTACACACAGTCTTATCGGTCATCTTCTGGCGCAGCACTGGAATGGTTTCCGGCTCGATCTGGCTCTCCAGGAGCTCAGACAAGTCCTCGACAGCTTTCTCCAAATCACTGTGGAACATTGTGAGGTGTTGTTATGAAGTTCAAACGACGAATGGATAGCTTACGCTTGGTTATCCTCAAACAGCTGCTTGGCATTGCCTGTCCGGTGAAAGGTTTGGATGATGTTCAGAGACCGATATGAAGTGAAGGTCACTTGCCTGATTCCAGGTAATACGCCATAGCGTATGTCCACTTGAGTGTCGTTCGGCACTTTGTAACTTCGTCCACAGCTTTCTTGGCAAACTGTACTTCAATCCAGGTGAGATTCGAAGTGATCTGCATCTCCTCCATCTTCTTCTCGGTTTTTGCGTAAAGGTCAAGGGTAAGACGGGACGATTGTTCGTGATTAGCCCAGCGATTATAATACTAAAGGGTTGAAGCGGTTGATGCCTTCCTAGAAGTCGCGCGAAGATAGAATGGAAACTTACATGCAGGTATCGCTCGAGGGATGCCCGTGAACGAGATTGGGCATCACGAGCATCTTGGCTCTCTTTCTCGTCGTAGCGGTTACATGAATACCAAGAATTTCCGTGTTCTGCCCAAGATCCCATACAAACCCAGCAAAACCTTAACAAACACATCAGTTGAGTTCCCTCCAATGACTTGTCAACACGTCACTCACTCATTCTTGCACTTCTTGCAGGTCATATGGCTATAACATTACGTTGTTAGATGCAAACACAGAATTAGTCATCAGACACTCACTTGCATCCACCGTTCTTCTCAATGGTACTCTGGCACTTTGTGCATTCTTTAGTATTGCTCTTGATCCAATTAGCCGTCTCGCTGTCATCCGCACATTTCTTCAGCCACATCTTAGCAATGGCACACATGCAAGGCGCATGCCCTTCTGCTTGTTGGCATCCAAAGCAAAATTTATGATTGTCTGCGCATTGCACTGTAGGAACGATCGTCTCCAAAGCACCCTTCGTACTCGCCGTTGGGCAAGAAACTGCGTAAACGCAACTAGGGTGTGGGCAGAATTTCAATTCGGGATTATTCGAGACATAATCCCGCACGAGCAACTCCATATATCTAGCACAGTCCTGGGGGCCGCTACCTTGCGAAGGAAATTGTCGTCAATCTGAATATGGCAATCGTCGTTCATGCATTGAATAGCGCATTCTCCTTCAGAGCGGATTTTTGTGTGGATGTAGGTCTCCCAGCAGGAGGAACAATATGTGTGACCACAGCTGAGCGCCAAGGTCTTCTCCGGGTTCTCGTCGCAGCAAATCGGACACACAAAGACCTCGATGACTGGAGCTTGTTGTTTTCCAGATCGCCGAGTCACCCGTCTTGTATAATCAGGAGAAGTCCCACGTTTGCTGGGTACCCTTGGAGAGAGAGGCAGTGATCCGGATCGAGACATGGAACCAACGCCCGGATCAGGAACGCCAGCATCCGACAGAACTCTGACAGGATCATCCATGTACTTCTCTATCAGTCTCTCCTTGTTCCATTGCATATGCTTCAGAAGAATGTATGCCGCGCTCAACTATATGGTCGACGTGGAGTGCGGCGATGCGTGCGGTGAATTTAATTTTAGTTGTTGTGACGTTCAGCGACCGGAGCGCAGTTGAAGTAGTACGTACAGAGACGCCGAATATTCCAGCAACGTGCTCAGCATCCTTCTTCATGTCCGATTCGAGGTTTTGGACCGAAAGACTCTGTGACTCGACTTCATGAAAAGGTCGCGCTTTCCCCTTCCCCTTAAGGCGCTGAGCTCAGCGTTGAAGACATAGTCGTCGTCCGAGATATCCCCGTCATCTGGGGAGGAGTCTGAAATGCTGGGTGAGACGAAGGCATGCACAGGGAACGCAGCCGAAGGTGGACGCACCAGAGTTGTCATCCTGAGTCCCGTCGATCATATCTTCATCGTCGGAACGGAACGAACCTTCAGAGGCGGAATCGTAGTACATTTCATCATCAGACATAGTGAAGGCGTTAGTTCCGTGAGAAGTGAAATAGGGGGTCGTGTGCTGAAGGGGAGGTAAGTTGGAAGAGGTCGTTTAGCCAGATTGCGGAGTCGGATCCGGAGAATACCGTCCACTTTTGCAATTTCTGCGCAACTGCTCGCTAGTTCACGTCCACAGCACAGACTTAATGCCAAGGCCCAGTGCACCCAAGTGGGGTCTCCCTGTTATCGTCCTTTATTGCTTGCTTTTATCAATCGACAACACGGCAACATTAACACAGCTTCAGTTTGCAGCCTTGGTGCCTCTCCTTAGCTATTCGCCCTACTATTGTACACTATGAACCACCTCCAACCACATTGATCGCCCGTCCGAAGCAGCTAGAGTGTCCCCAGCTTCTCCCCAGCTCGGAGAAAAATATTATTATATTCACACGTGGCATACTAATGAATTGGACGCATTGAATAGCTAGATCTCTCCTGGACGCCATCAGCGCTCATCCTCATACAATGCATTCTGTCATGGACCACGCTGAACACGGACACACTGCTGTAGCGAGATGCAGCATGTACATGTATGCCCTCATCCCCTTTACTGCGTTACAAGGCCTTAAGACGCTTTCTCGTCGTAGGCTTTGGAAACGAATATTGTTGATACCTGTGTCGTCTTCCGCTCATGGCATATTCGGACGCAGTTTGGGTTCTTCCTCTCCTTCGTCGTTATCGTTTTACTCGGAGTTCTATACGAACGTCTCCGAAACGATCAGCGCTTACTTGACGTCAAGATCTCCGCGGAGATCGTTCAAGAGAGGAACGAAAATACAGAAAGACAAGAACTATTGAACACTGGGCCAAAGAGGCAAGCATATACTTGGCATGTCACATATCATCTAACGGAAGCTTGATTTTGTTGGGTTGGGTTGGGGTTCAGATACGCTGTTCCTCCTTTTCGACGAATTCAACGAGCCTTGCTTTACGGCGTGTCCACCTTTCTCTCGTTCTTCCTCATGTTGATCTTCATGACTTATAACGTATGCCGTCCAAATATCTGTTTGCTTGTCTTCAACAAACAGTGAATGTTCATTAATAGGCATACCTCATCACAGCCGTCGTACTCGGTGCAACCATCGGCCATTACATTTATAGCGAAGGAATCGAAGCAGATGCTGTACTCTTCGGGTCCCCTCAAGCTCTGCCGAAACCCCCTTGCTGTTGAAGATCGAAATTCCCAGAAGGCGTGGAATTGAACGATTGTCCACAATTCATATGTGTATCATCTGTCACTGAGAAGTTCCGTTGATTGTTGGCACCTTCTTGTTGTCCCCTGCCAGTACTCTGGACCTGCTTACGAATTCTTCTCTTCTATGTATCAGTAGCGTTTTGTGATTGCATTCAACCACGCAGTTCCTGGGCTTCGGAACTTCCCGAACACGTACTCGGCACCACAAGGGAGTGAGCTGGTTCAGTGAAATCACCTCGAACTTCAATTTTCGGTCGTCATTCTGCGTGCATCTAAAAATACACTTACACACCTTAAACCTTTTTTGGCATTGAAGCTTCTCTCCAAGGTGGAGCAAACACAGGATTTCTTTTGTCACGCTCAGACGACTTGAGTCCCTTCATCCAGCAAGTACGGTATGAAACCCGGCTCGGCTCTTACACTTTCCCTTCCGGGGCACACGCTGGCTGCGGATACCCCCACATCAAGGAGAACCCGAAGCTAGGAAGCGCCACGCGGCCCCCGTTCTTTTCTTTCAGCAAACTGTTCAGTCGGTTTGCATAAGCCCCTTTGCACGTACGTATGGGCCAAACAGATGGTCCACGGTGCGGCTGTGCAGCCCTGATAGGCGGGCTGAGCTGATAGTATCGTGTAGGTGTTGTGATGCGGGAAGGCGCACAGATACTGTCGCTTGAGGATTCCTTCACTTGAACAGGAGGATGCTAACTGGCTCAGCAAGTCACCTCTAGCCTGGTCATCTCAACATGCGCGTATGATCAGTAATCAATGTTGCGTAGCAAGCTGAAATAGACTCCTTCCGGTTGAGGGCTCCCATAATGTAGTACTATATATGCTTACACACACAACTCCGTTCCCCCAAAACCCCACGCTTCTTTAGCGAACCAATCACCCATCCGATCTGTCCCATTTCAGGCAATGAAGGACTACAGCAATTTTCTCATGAATTTGAGACTCAAAGTATAGGGGTGTGACTTGATAGCCCACGCATGGCTATGATTCTCCAGTAATGCATATTCCGCGGACATTTGCACTACCCATTCACCCATCCAACTCCACTACCACGTCTCAAAATGTCAACTATCTGGGCAGGTAATAAAACCAATATTTAGCACTGTCCCTCGTTACTCCTCTAATGGAGGCTCACAGAACCAAGTATACAAACCTGAGCTCCGTATGTTATTTCTTGACGATACATGGGCGTCGTGGGATCTTACAGCTGGCTCGGGCTTCCAGATCCTCACGGTGCAAGTGGCTTTCCACTTGAGAACAACTAGTAACACAAGCTAGGTATCTACCGTGCGTTTCTCTCTTGTGTGCGTTCCTCAACATACCGTTCATTCGATGAAGGATTCCTGCTGGATACTCCAATCACTGGTCTCAATATGGCTTGCAATCCCCTCGGCTGCCAGCACGTCATGCGTCTACTGCAACTCCCCTTCAGGAATAATCCTCGCCTGTGTTAATCGCAGACACGTCTACGGAAATGAGGGCTGACAATATCCTTATTCCAGTTATCTTCCGTATGCATGTGTCATACATTTGTACGTCATATTCGGTTTTGCTGTTCGATAGATCATAGAAGACGCGCGACTGAGCGAACAGGGACAGCCAGCTAGGCACATCTTCAGCTTGCCTTCGGATGGATATATCTGGAAGCTTGATTTTAACCCGTGCGCATTGCGCGCTGCCTGAATACTCCATGTTTGCATGAGATAGGACGGCAAGCTAGTCGAGGCGCGACTCAGAAGGGGGCGTTGAGATGTAATGGAAGCGTGTCAAAACAATCTCAAGGACACCACTCAGCCAAGCAAAGTCCCAATTGGAGGTCACACACAATGGTATGTCTTTGGTGCATGGACGATGAGGAGCCCTCGCTATGCATGCCAATAGCGATGGTTTGCCGATCACACGAAATCTTCCAGGTGGATATAATATAAGAAGGGGCAATATAATGGGGGGGCTCCGCATGCTCCGATAAAAGCGTAGATGCCATTAAGTTCATCGTGTTTGATTTCGGCAAATGAGCATTCATAGGGAATGGCGGTCGGATCGGAGATTGGAAGTCCAAGTATATGTCGGATGAACTGGAGTTTTTGCGGACAGAAACCACTTCTCCAGTCACCACATCCCAAATTCGTACCGTGTTGTCACGGGATGCTGAGGCTAACCTCAAACCATCAGGTGCAAATGAGACCGAGTTAACATAGCCAGTGTGCCCGCGGAGAACGTTGAGCCCTCCCCCAGTCCCCGCGTTCCAGATCCTAACCGTGTTGTCACGAGATGCTGAAACTACCCTGGATCCATCGGGTGAGAACGAGGCCGAGTTAGCCCAGTGGAGGATCTTGAGTCCTTCGCCAGTTACTGTATCCCAGATTCGTGCTGTCTTGTCGCTGGATGCGGAGGCTATCTGCGATCCACCAGACGAAAATGAGACGGAGTTGACCCACTTGGTGTGCCCTCGGAGAATTTCAAGCCCTTCCCCAGTCACGGCATTCCAGATTCGTACTGTCTTATCACCAGATGCTGAGGCTAGCCTCGATCCATCAGGGGAGAATGATACGGAGTCGACCCACTTGGTGTGTCGGAAGACCTTGAGCTCTTTCCCCGTCACCGCATCCCATATTCGTACTGGCTCATCAAGGGATAAGCTACCCTTGATCCATCGGGTGAAAATGAAACTGCGTTGACTTCACCAGTGTGCCCACGGATAGTGTTGAGGCAATCTTCCCATCCATAATCGTGCCCTTGTACCGTTGGGAGGTGTTCAGAAGATGATTGATGACCTTGTCTTTGCGGAGGCGGATCAGGCGGATCAGGCGGATCAGACGCAGCCGAATGGGCGATATGTCCAGCAGAAGCTGGAATGACTCCATAGTATTAAACGACGATATTGCAATAAGAGTTGGAGTAGAATCTTCCCCAGATTCCGGTGTTGTGATTGGCGGTTCTGGTTCTGTGGGCTGACATTACATATCTTGCCGACAATCGGCTAGTCAAGTGGGGATCGCATACCTCACACCACGTAGTGACTTTATCCAATTCAACAAGAATATTCTTCGTTGCCCCAGCAGGCTTAAGAGTTCTAGCCATTTTGTTGCTGATCTAGCAATGAAGGTTTCCAGTTTGTTCGTTAACTCTGTTGAAGGGGTTTCAACTTCCGCTATATGGAGAAGGCCATATAGCGCGGCATATTGAACATCAGGGGAGATCTTTGATTTGATCCTGAGAGCGAGGTTTGGAATGTTAGAGTTGAGTATTAAAGGGTTGGGGAGTGGGAGAACATTTCCCTCCGGCAAACCGTCAAAGGATTTCGATACAGTACTTGTTAAAATCGCGGCATTGCAGCCCGATCCTCTGAGCACGATATCACAGTGTCATTAGATGTTATCATAGATATGCGAATGTTGACGTGCATCCAGGCCCTGCGCTGGGTAAGCGATCCTAGCAAGAAATGCCCCAATCGAGTGAGGAAGCCATCCCCTTGGCTTCATAGAGTCCAACAGAGTCCAAAGGTTGCCACGGAGGATTAGAGATCTGTTGTGGGGATCAAACCGTAAACAACAATAGTGCGCCGCGATAGAAACAACACATACGGAGCCTTGACTTTGTAAAGCCGTCATGATCTGATGCTGGATTAACAACGCTCCAGCAGTTTTCCTAGAGCGATCATAGTCATGAGCTTCCCTCAAGGGTCTTATCGCCACGGGGTCATACCGGCCAGACTGTATACTCCCGCAGTTCTTCACTGACAATGCGAAGATGGATGCCAAAATCACCGAGAAAGGGGTTTTTTTTTTTTGAAAATTTGAATGTTCTCTCGGCTCGCCTTTCCTATCAGAGCTTCTTCAGACGCCGAGAGCTGAGCCTGCAAGCGCATCAGCGGTACATTCGGCAGCGGATCGGGGGCATGCAACCTCTCACCACATCATCTTAAGGGAATATGATCCCCCAGAGCCCCGAATCAATAGAACCGATCCATTCGAAAAGGTGGAAAAGACGGAGAGTGCGGAAAAGTTGGCATTGGAATGGGGAGAAAAGGTACGTGCTAGAGTGCCTGTGGTGAGGTGGATACTTTCATTATCCTCGATTGGCTCAAGAGCATTCAAGCCGGATGCTGTCCCAAAAAAACTTTCCTAAGTAGGGCGAGGAAACAACGATACCGTCACATCAATGCCGAGGCGGATAATCGGGCACCAAATAGTCGCTCACAGGATGCTGGTCTTCAATCTCCCCCCTTCTTCGATACTCGACAGCTCTCCACTAGATGTCAGCGCATTACGGATCAGCGGAGGATGGCCAGAATCGAAATCTTCATCAATTTCTTCAATACATTGGAGAGACATCTGCTAGATAAGTGAAATAACGCTAGGACTCTAGCCTAGCTTCCAGCTCGAAAGCTTGGAACACGTACCATTGATGGTGGCGACATGCCTTCAGAGATCTAGACGCCAGCCATTATGTAGTTGTCGTTGTTTATTCTGGATATTTATCCTGCAAACCATGGGCTGCTCGTAGGCACGGGTCGGGGTGAATACATGAAAATAAAGAGAAAAATAAAGAGATAAGTCCGATTTGGGTATGTCTGTTTGTTCTGTCCAGGAAATGCCCCAAACACTGCTCCACTCTCAAGTCGTCGCGTATGGGTTGGCAATCGTTAAAAGCGAATGTCATGTCTCGGGGTTTTCCTCATCTACTCGGTCATTCCTCTTCTCATATTCACCGCTCGCTGACAGAAAACCTGCTACCCGCCCAATGCCTTTTTCCTCTCCCAGGGGGTCGGCAAGGATCAGATTATTTTCGCTGTCTGAAGCTGTACACAAGGCATTCCAGAAGTATGTGTTGTCTCGTTTCTACGAGTTCTCCGCAGATGCAACTAGGGTCCTCTTCTAGGAGGAACTGTTCGTAGTATTGTCCGATAAAGGCGTGGTCAGTGCGGATTTGTACAAGGCAGCTGAAAGATCTGCGGGACAGTGATGTGAAGCGTTTGGTGGGGCGAAGGTGTGGTTCTAAGCAGTTGCATATATAGTATTCTGATGGTATATACCTGTTGTTTAGGGTCTGTGTTTCAGTAGGAAATCCATTCGATCTTGTAGCGGCATTTGTTTAAGTTGCACATAAATGCCGCTGAGGCGTTGAACGAGTATTCGGAAGGGAGGTTGGGGCCTTCTTTGGCCAGGATGTCAGCGCGTTCGTTCCCTTTGATAACAGGGACCCATTTGATTTCCATGCGGCAGTGTGGGCGTCTATCTAGCAGGCCCAGAACGGTTTCGCGGAATCGTAGTGATTGTTGGATATCTAGGTTGCCAGTATACGTTGAAGGGCCCGGTGTTGTCTGAGAAGATTGAGAGGGTAGGTATGTCCTCTTTCGGGAAGTGCTCGTCGAGCCAGACTCTGAGGTGTTCTGATCCTTGCGCCAGGCCTTCCATTTCTGCATCATACGCCTCTACCCCTTTCCTGACATTCGCACATTGGTAGGCTGCGAACCCATATCCCCCTTTTCGAACGCCCTGGTCATACGCGAGTGATCCGTCAGTGTATAGTAAGATGTGGGTTTTATCAAGTTTCCATTTTTTTCAAACGGTCTTTGTGTTCCTTGGCCCAGGTTTTCCTAACTGATACCCTGGTATTTCCATTTTCACCCTTCCAACTAGGTCGTCTATTGTTGTTGGTTCTGGCCATAGGATTGTCGGATCCATTTCGATATCGATTATGTAATTCAGGTGTGGCATGCTCTTCGATCCATTGGGCAACACTTCAATTTCTAAATGCACAAGCCCTTTGGCTGTCACGGCCCTTCCTGCATTCCTCCGAGTCCGCAATGAGTACGGGGACACACTGCCTCCACCTGCCCAATCAGATGCCATCGAGAACGTTACAATTTGGGGACCAAATACCTCACCTGCTCGACGGTTGGGGAAGCAAGACCATCATTTGCACGATAGCTCAGCTCTCATCGTACATTTATAACGAGAGGATAGACTAAGCTCCATGGGGTTGGCCTAACAGGCGGGGGATACCATTTTTGTCTGTGTGTTTTTTTTTCGTATAATTTGTGCTACCAAGGACAATTGGGCCAAGACTGGTTCATTGCTACTTTTGAAATCAGTTGCGGCCGCAATATTACTGTGTGCTAGAGCAGTCAGCAGCTCGGAACTAGCCAACACCCCAGCAGCACAGTTCCGACGATTCCATCCAAATATCCTATTCGAGGGCATTCCTTTCCAAGCACCTATCCAATTTCCTCAGCGGGGCATCCTTTCGAAGTTTGGAATCTCATCGCTCTGGAATGTATATGACGATCTTGTTCAACTAATGCTGCAGTCCTGGGAGGGACAGAGACGCTACGAACCGTTCCGAATGGTCAGAGAACATCGCGAAGAGAGAGTGAGGTTGGCTACGGGTTTGTGCTTGAATATATGGCCAGTAGAAGAATGAGGAAAATGATTCGGGTTAGCTGTGGCGCAGACGCGCAGCTAGACTCCGTTGCGTAGAGGGCATGTTCATAAATTCTGCATGAGTGTGCGTATATCCGCTAACTCATGACCCCTTCCAAGACGTTCCAACGGAACAACCATGCCGGCATATAACCGCCAAAGGTAATTTGCATAGATGTCAGGATATTCAGAATGAAGCTGATGAGAGCGTAATCTCGCCTCTTCACCCATATCGAATGCTTCTGCATAGCGCCCCACGCGTGAAAGTATCTTGGATAGATCCCGCAATGCCCAGGCTAAATTAGCGACATATGAGGTCGGATGAGTAATGTGCAGATGACGCCAAAGAGAAATGGATTCTTCGATGAAGGCCACTGCTTCAGCGGGACAATCAAGGTAATCGAAGGAGAGAGCAAGATTGTGGAGTGATTGAGCCAAATCTGGGTTGTATGATGTGGGATGAACAGCAACGAGCTTGCGCCAGAGCTTGACACTCTCTTCGATCACTGGGAGTGCATCGGAATAATGTCCCAGATTGTCCAAAGATATCTTGAGACCGTTGAGCGATAGAGCCAAATCTGGGGTGTATGACGTGGGATGAACAGCAACAAGCTCACGCCAGAGCTTGACACTTTCTTTGATCACTGGGAGCGCCTCGGAATGACGTCCCAGATTGTTCAATGACATGCAAAGATTGCAGAGCGATCGAGCCAAATCTGGAGTGTATGACGTGGGATGAACAGCAACGAGCTCGCGCCAGAGCTTGACACTTTCTTCGATCACCAGGAGCGCCTCGGAATAACGTCCCAGATTATCCAAAGATATCTTAAGACTGTTGAGCGATTGAGCGTGATCAGGAGTGTATGACGTGGGATGAACAGCAACGAGCTCGCGCCAGAGCTTGACACTTTCTTCAATCACTGGGAGCGCCTCGGAATAACGTCCCAGATTATCCAATGATATCCTAAGATTGTTGAGCGATCGAGCCAAATCAGGAGTGTATGATGTGGGATGAACAGCAACGAGCTCGCGCCAGAGCTTGACACTTTCTTCGATCACTGGGAGCGCATCGGAATAATGTCCCAAATTATCCAATGATATCTTGAGACTGTTGAGCGATTGAGCCAAATCTGGGGTGTATGACGTGGGGTGAGCAGCAACGAGCGCACGCCGCAGGTTGACACTTTCTTCAATCACTAGGAGCGCCTCGGAATGATGTCCCAGAGCATCCAATGATATTTTAAGACTGTTGAGTGATTCAGCCAAATCTGGGGTGTATGATGTCGGATCAATAGCAACGAGCGCGCGCCGAAGCCTGACACTTTCTTCAATCACTTGGAGTGCCTCAGAATGACGTCCCAGATTTGCCAATGGTATCTTGAGATTGTGGAGTGCTCGGGCCAAATTTGGGGTATATAATACCAGATCAATAGCAACAAGCTCACGCCAGAGCTTGACACTTTCTTCCATCACCGGGAGTGCCTCGGAATGACGTCCCAGATCATCCAATGACATCATAAGACCGTTGAGCAATTCAGCCAAATCTGGGGTGTAGGACTCTGAGTCTGCGGACACGAGCCAACGGCAGAGGGTTACGGAATCCTTCGCCGACTCATGTGCCTCCTGAAATCTTGAAAAGAATGCCAGATTCCGTCTCACATCGTCAAGTACTTGGATCAACTTGTGAATGTCTTTCTTTGAATTCCGGTCAATACTCAACTGAAAGTGAACAAGACTGAGTAAGAATCCATTATAAGCCTCACTGCTATTTCATACCTTAGCCCACTCAGGAAATGATGATACACTGATGTACCCTTCTGTTCTCACACAGACCTCCACCCAGCGCGTTATATGCTGATTCAGAAATGCGAGAACCGATCCGTTGAGAACCTCTAGTGGCTCCTGAACTTTATTGAGGTGGCACACGGTGTACCGACACGAGTAACGGAGTTGTTCCGACAGCATCTCTTGAGGGATGCGCGGAAGTTCATCCTTTTGGCCCAAATATTCGATCAGCCCCAAACCCTCCACACAGCAAAGATCCTTATTCAAGATCTCGGTACAGCGTAGGGCCATGGTGGCATTCACCCTTCTCGTATCCACCATGTAACGATGATCAAGTGACTCAGGACCGATTTGGCTTGTGAGAAACTCGCGGAACGACTGATGAATGATGCGGATCGGTGTGTCGGAATTGGGGACCCCTAATAAGAGGGAAGCAAGTTCAACCAACGTGTCGCGGATGGAAGAGTTTAAGAACGGTGACAAAATTGCATCCCATGCCGCAATAGACAGCGGTTGTTCGGCAATCAGGATCGCCCCCATGACGATGGGATAGTCATGCACGAAATCCTCCTCTCCCCAGCCACATTTATCTAGGATGGTCGTATACAGCGTACCCATCACTCCTTCAGGAGAATCTGTTGATCGAGAGGTACCTGTGTTGAGCAGCCTATCCAGCGATTTCCTCGGGTTCTTCGCCAACCTCACATAACGGAAGACAGTGCTGATCCAGATGAACAAGCCACCGGCTTTTTCCGATATGTCTTGAACCAATGAATCTTCCTCGAATTCGTCTTCGCAACCAGAACAATCATCCTTTAGACGATGCAGCTGCGTGCGGACGTAAACAGAGCAGTCTTGTTTATTGGCATTATCCAAGATATCTATGCCAAACCGGTCGATGGGAAAATTGGGTGAGAGAAGACGATTCACGAGGTAAGTTGGTCTTGATGTGACAAAGAACTTGATGTTGGATGGCAATTTTGGTGTTCTTTTCGAAGTATATCGGCAAGGCGTTCAAAGTCTCGCGGCTCACACTCATCCAAAGCATCAACGATCACCACCACGGGATCGCCGAAAGCCCTCCGACGGAGAGGTCCAGCCACGAGCCTCTCGAATTGTACCGGGAAAGATGCAGTTGCGAGGGTTGGATCGTCCCTAAGAATGGATATGATGGAGGCACAGTATGACGGGTTGCGCTTTGCTAGAGATCGAGCCATGCCACTGAATAGGTGATCCGGCCGTGACTGCTCGCCGGCTTTGAAGAAAAAGGTCAACAACAGTGACCCTTCGCTCTCGCATTTCGCCGCGATTGAATGGGAAACCGATGTCTTGCCAGCACCAGCCACGGCTGTCAATAGCATCACCCGCTTCGTGTCGTCCTCCATATTACGACACCAGCTCATGACACAGTCGATAAGACGTGTTCGGGTACCCTCCAGGCACGCCTCAGCTGGGTCATGATGGGCGATGGTCGGATATCGCAGTTCACTCAAAACTGAGTCGCTCTCTGAACGGCTTTGGTTATTTACTACGTCTGTTAGTTTGGCGCCAACCGTTAGGCTAAATCTCAGCTACATGATCCCGAACGAGTCAGGATAGTAGAGGAACAGCAATGCGAGGAATAATTACCTGAAATGATGCCAACGCTTTGTCGAGAACTTTCTTGAAGTCATCAATCCTGCCCGGATCCTTCGACTGTGAGAAGTAGTTGGTAAGAGCGTGCCGCTTCTTCATTTTTGCGAGGATTGGTACGATGTCGTTGGCGATCTGTTTTAGCGCGCTGTGGAGTGGCGCGTAAATGTGATAGCCGGCCGGCCAAAAATCCATCGTACGCACTCGTCCAGCTTCTTGGCGTTCTCCAGCCAAGGTTTTGCCTCTTCCGTTAAAGTGTCATAGGATTCGATGGCCGCTAGCACGTCCGCTACAACATCAACCACATATTTCCCAAATTCCTTCCATTCTTTCTTATCTGACTTGAACTTCTGCGTGTTACGAGTGATGAGCGTTGGTTCCTGATTCATCATAACCCACTACTTACTTGGATCTCGCTAAAGATGAAGAGGGCGGCGCTAGTGGGACCTTTGAGGGGAGGGAATGCATCGGATGCAGCATTGATGGCTCTGAGAATTGGGATCGCGAAGTCACCTCCTGCTTCTAGAAGGCGATCGACATCCCGTCTGAGAGCGTTGGCCTTCTCCTTGAGCGACATCGTTGACAGGGGACAGGCCAGTGTAGAGCGATAACAATGCGATGGCAGTGAGGCAAATATGTGCTGCACTGCCCAAGAGCCATGTGAGGTACCGCGCCTTTCAATGGGTCACTTATGGAAGGTGAACGCGAGTCCATCTGTTGGGGAGTTTCGATGCTCAAGATATTGAAATCCGCCATTGAGAAGAAAGAGGGGATGCAGGTCGATCGTCCTGGTTGCGCAATAACGACAGGACGAGCACAACGTCAATTCTGGATCCCACAATATCACCGTGACACTGAGTTGATGATTATTCTTCGAGACACGTGATACCGAGAGAGCACTTTACGCCAACCGCCAACATAACACATCCACTGACGTTGTGGCTTTTAGATCGATCCCATTAGAGTCCCTTTTCTTTGAACTCCCCCGGACGAACAATGAGCACATATTTTCTCTAACTCCACCCACGGTCGTTGTATCTCCCACTCAGTCATAGCTTCACTCTCCGCCTCTGACATACTCCACGCTATATCATATCTATCCCTAGATTGGACGAAGGACATGGCTGCGAGAAGTGTTCCTCAACAAGGCGTCTCAAGGTCTTGCGCTAATAAATGACTCAATTCGCCGACACACCACCTGGCCTCAGGAAGGAGACAACAGCTGTGGAACCATTTTGTTCCGATCAAATCTACTTGGTCTCTCGTTTCATCGTGCTCATTCTCCGATCTCTCGAGGGAGGGTGGGGCCCGGACGTACCGCATATTCGCCTGACCATTGTTGGAGGGCCGTAAACGGTTATCTGTGATACCTACCAATTGCCAATACTGAGCGTCCAGCTAAGGAATGATGCACCACGATAGCAGCTACAAGCGATAGATCGAAAGCAGTCTCACTCACCGTATTGCGCGTATGGGGTCTTTGATTTGGATCCTCAAGTCCCCTTCGAGTCCAATCTAGGAATGCACCCGATGCAACTTTACTCAATATGCATGCTCTACGCTCTCCATCACGGCCACACACGAGTATACTCCCACCTATCATCTTCAGACAATAGCCCACGGAACCTCCATCGCCGTAGTTGAGGTAAATACTTTCACTGAACGAGAGAGATGAACCGTGTGAGCGAGACGTTATGGGCATGTGCATCAGAGCGAAGAAGGATGTTGCCAAGCAGCTGGGGGACCGGGCGAGTCAATACTGGTGATCCGCATCTCACAATCGGTAATTTGCACGAGATTTCCGTCAATGGCGACGAGAACAAGCACGCGAAATGCGACAAGTAGTAAGTACCCTGTGCAGGATTTCGGAGGGCAGTCCACGTTCATTTCTCCCTAACTACGTCCGCATCTTAGCATGCAAGACGTGCCAGGTCACAACTCGGCCTATTTACGCCGTTCGTGTCGCGGTGATTTCACGAAAAGATACCGGTGTGAACAGTCATAGAAACCAATTAGGGCCGACTGCGACCGCGCCATAAATGAGATTATTAGAACCAGGAAACAGCTGAATCGTTACGGTCGGATACTTGTAAGTCGTTTACATGGTCAGGCATATTCCAATAGAGGCTGGTAAACTGCCTAGGCCGGTCAGGCACCAGTGCTGCTGCTACGCTGTTATGCTGGGTGTCGATCGTTCAGGGAAGATCAATATTGCTTACTTACTAGCTCAAAGTACTTCCAACTTGATACATACAGTACTAGCGTTAATAAGTTACATGTCAGTATTAACCGGTTCCTGCACCTACTATAGTTATTATATACTAGGAGACACTCCTGACAAGAATGAGTCGAATATGGAACCTGGAAAAAAATAAGCTACTGGGTTGATGGGGGAGAATCGAAGCTGAGAGCTATGCTGGGGCCGGTGTCAGATGAACTCCATTACATAATTTCATTCACTGCAGTGTCCCCAGCAGTTGCCCTGATTTGGAAACTTATGTATACCCAAACGCAGACTTAGCCAGCGTATACCTCGCTTAACTGCACTACTTCGAAAATTAGAAATTCATCCCGCACAAGGAAACTCGCTCGTCAATAATTGGAGCCAGCGCAGCGCAACCGTCTCATAGGGAGCTTCACGTACGAACAGCTATATATGGGTATATAATAACAACCAGGCCAGGCACAAGCTCCCCCACCCGCTTGTCTCAAATTACTCTTATGTAAAGGGGAAAACGGCGGAACGAGGACGAGCGCCGGGAAGTTGTGCCGTGCATATTATGCATGGCATGGGCCACATGAACAAACGTACGCGTGCGGCAACCGTACGTTGCGTGATCAAAATCATGAGATGAGAGCGGAATCAGTCCTCCGAAAGATGACCAAGCGTCCCACCATTCTGGATATACATCGATCGCCAAACTGGTCCGTCGATCTAACGATCTAATCGCTAAGCACTCATTGCTGTGCTAAATACTTAAACACGTGTGGTCGGCTACCTGTACCCATCTTCCACAATGCACTCACAATTACAGCGCAACAACTTGAATCTTACGAGTTAGCAAATATTCTATATATTCTGGCAGCACAGTTTCTTGCAGTATAAAATGTCTTTCGCGACCATTTTTTTTTTGGCTTTACATATGTGATTACAGCGTTTCTTTTCTCTTTCCCCAGTACAACATGATGATGATGCCTGTTGAAGCCCGCCAACTAAAATACGAGTCCCCAGATCGAACGAGGAGTGGGAACCCAACGAGTCAGTTACCCCGATTGATCGATCGATATACGGTTGTACATAATAATAAATTTGTTTTTTTGTCTTGCTCAATCATCAGCCATCGCATCGTCCTTCGACAATCCAGCTTTCTTATGGGCTTCTTCGGATGTATAGTCGACTTGTTGACGATTACGACGTGTTCGAGAACCGACAATGTTACCCGGGTCAATCTATTGATAGACGTTCGAGTGTGAGATGGAACGCTCGTGCAAGAGAAAAAAAAAAGTGATCAAAGTCGATAAATAAAACATACCTTCTCTGCATCCTCATCCTCTTCGTCATCTTCCTCCTCATCATCATCATCATCGTCGTCCTCATCGTCCTCATCGTCCTCATCGTCGTCTTCCTCTTCCAGTTCATCATCCATCAATTCATCCTCACCATCACCGCCAGTAGCAGCTCCCTTTCCTTTTCCTTTGCCCTTGTTGAGCGGAGATTGGGGAGTCTTTCGAGTCCCAGCTCTCGTTGGACTACTACTGCACAGTTGAGTCGTGCGGTTATAATTGTTTCATGAGGTTATATAACCGTGTATTGTGGGTATGATTACGGGAAAAAAGGGTGGCGGTGAGTTATTTTGACCGTTTGTATGCATATATTGTTGTGCATTTGATGATCGGGGGGAGAACATTGATTGAGGCCGTCCGTGTGTATGTGTGTGTGTAGTATATGTCGCGGTGGGAGAGTGGGATAAGCCAGGGGTGAGTTTAGATAAGGTCGACAGAGAGGTTAGCGGGAATAAAAAAACCAGGGTTAGGGGGGTCGAGATGTTTCAATGTCACGAATGGAATGACATTTGTCATTGGGAGGGGAGGGATAGCGGGGGGTGCGGTGCCAGGCGGGAAACCAAGTCAAATTTTTCGTTGGATGGACGAACGGGCCGCCAAAAAGATCGCATGACATATGTAATAGATTAAGTAGACAGAGAGGACCAAGATTTAGGATATTGGGATTGGCCGATAACGGAGCGGACCGCCGAAGCCACGAGAGCAAGGGTTGGTGTTAGGGCGGTGAAGAACACGGGCGACGAGCCCGGTGAATTCAAAAAAAAGAGAGAGATTGATTCATGGATGCATGTTGAGATGAGACAGAGCGATCAGGGTCGGACGGGGAACCGCGTTTTTTTTTTGTTGCAATTTTCGGGTTGTTTCATGAGTCAAAATGGGAGACGGGGTTGGCAGTCAGACATTATTGATATTGTGATATACCCCCCCAAAAAACGACGTACGTGTTGGCCGTGTTGGCGGTAGTGGAGGACGTTCCTTTCACTTCGTCAGACATCTATCTTTCTTTGTTCGTTGACCGCGGCTTTGCAAGATGAGGCGATGTGTTCAGAGTCAAGCAGTAGGAAGAATAAGACGCCACAGAGGTCGAAGAACCGCAAGACAAGGGCCTAGGTTTTTGTCAAATAGTCGCTAGATCTCAAGCACTTGGGTTTGGTACAAAGATCGAAGAACTGAAAAGCGTTGGCTGGAGATTGATTATGTAACGGACATGATAACAAAGGCTGGTCGGCTTTTTCCACGAGAAGTTGGACTTTCCATGTTTAGGAACTGGCAATGCAAATATTACGTAATCATGACGTGAAATCATATTTGTGGAGGTATCGGACTGTCGAGCTTGTGAAAGGGCTTCTTTTCGAGTTTGAAGATGAAGGGCACTAAACAGGGGTAAAGGAAACGTTGTTGACTTCAAATGTCACAGAGATTGATTCCAGAACCACAGGACATTTGGAAGTACATATGTACACATACAGGAACCGACCAAGAGTTGATTGGGGGAGGCGACGGGGGGAGTCCATGGAGGGACACATATTGTTACAAGCAAACGAGAATACAAATCATTGAGAACACAAAACCCATTCCATTATTGTTAGAACTTTCCAAGCCATCGTTTTTGACCAGCCGATCGATCTGTATGAGTGGATGTATAAGTAGGCGTGTTAACTTGAGCGTAGATATGGAAGTGAGTTGCGAGAAGGATGTGGGGAGGGATAGAAGAGAGGACTATCGATTGACGAGATCGAACGCAACGTATGCATACGCGCATGCACAGTGCACCGAACCAGCCTCTTCTTCCTTCCGTTCAAAACACTACCCCGAACAGAACGAGGCGGAATACAGGAGAAGAGATCGAATTGGGAAAAGAACAAAGCCAAATCCTCACCCTATTAAGTTATATTTCCGTGTCCCCCCGTCGCTCGCACTGGTTTAGCAATAGCATGGCCTACAATAACAAGGGCAACAACGACATCCGCCACACCTGCAAGGGCAGCAACGACAAGGGCAACAGCGGCACCTTCGACCAGCCGTTCGCTCTTCTGCTCCTTTATCCACTGAAGACATTCCATCACCTTCTTCGCGTGAGGTGGAGGCGGGAGGAGGATCGGCGTTTCCGGAGTCGCAGCAGCATGATGATGGTGATGACGCTGGTGCGTCTTTGGATGGCCTGGGTGTAGGCGGGTGCGAAGACAGGGATGGGTGAGGTTAGGGTCGTTCTGCGAGAGGGGACTATAACGTACGCGGTAGAACCAGCGCCAGAGCAACAGGATCCTTCATCTTTTGCATCGTTTCCCATATTGTTTTTTTATCTCGTCTTTGTGGGTACTAGTCAGAGAGATGCGAGGGAGTTCGACCTGCTGGTGAGATGAGACGAAGGAGAGACGATAGGCCAGACTTTTATACGTCGAGAGACTTAATAAGTTGAAATTCGTCTGTAGTTCAGAGTCTACCCCAGAAACGGCCAGCCAACTCCGGTCACATTGCTTCAGGGTGAGTGATTGTATACCGCTGTCGAATTGCATGGCGCCCCCCGATGGGCAGTGAAGAAAATCAGCCGTGAGCGTAATTGATTGGGCGCATGGAATTGCGCTCACCTTCGGACCCGAGGATGCGCAACTGTCATACAGCCGAGCTTTGTCATCTAAACGGGCGCAACTCTCCCATACAGGCGTCCGCGTGTGTGCTGTGCATGATACATAGCTAGTTCCAGACATGTCTCCCCCCCCAACGAAGGATAACTGACGAAATCCGAAGAAAGTTCGGTGGGTGGGATGATCGTTTTGCCACAACTGCGCCCCACTTGGCATATTCAATTGAGCCAAGAGATGCGCGCGCATCCTGTCACTCTGTGACAAACCTTGTCACCAAAACGGCATAAACTGTGTAAATGTCCCCCAGAGTCAAAAGGGTTTGTCCCCAGGGCTCGAACCCAAGCTCAAAAGTTCACTAGATCACACGGTGTCCAGATCTGGGGCTGTATAACCAGGAAGTAGTACTGTGTATTGCCAAACGTGGCTATAACACTTGGTTCTTGAGCGGGCATCACATATATCCACGCTGAGCGGTCTGGGAGAGGCTAGACTGCAGAGATGCATTTGGTATAGTTGTTGGAAGTCCTGCCATGCAGCCTGGGGGAACCCGGAGTCAATTAAATGCTGCTTGAGCGGCGATGCATTCGAAAGCGGTCAACGAAACAATTAGAGCAAGGGGGAACCAGTACTTGTGCCAGGTTGAATTGAATTGTTGACTCGTGAATCCACGTGGCGGTGGGTTCATTGCAGGAATGGGGAATGGGGAGCAGGGGCGCGGTGCCGGTCTTGAGCGTTCATTTGTTTTTACGTTTGACGTATCAGATTTTAATTTTTAGCTTCTTTCTTTGGCTGCAGAGATCATGATGGATTCTCGGTAATACTAAGGATGGCTAGGTCATGGATTTGTACGTACGGCCAGTCTGTGTATATACATATACAATATATATACGTGCGATCCTCAACTGGAAGAACGTAACGGGTGAAGGGTGAGCATGAAGAGGGAAGTTCAGCAATCTGATTCGACGTGGTTGATCTGGTTGACGGTGTAAGTATCCTTCCTCCCACACAAGTAACGAAGACCTGATTGATCCCGACCAGCCAATGATGATCAGTGACGTTGAAGCGCTGCAATTTGGATCACGCAACTAAAATGGGAAACAGCATCTTATTCAATTCAATTCAATACAGTATCGAAAACAAAAATGGTCAATTCTTTTGAGTACGAATAAATTTGGCCAACTTTCGCACGAACGGGGTCATACCTCATTCATTTTGAATAGGATAGATTCAAACATGTATTATCCATTCATTCCCGAATTGATTTGCCCAAATCCTCGGTTGAGACAATAGAAATTCATATTTGGTAATATTAAATCGTGCTGCTCCCCTTCGGACCTTCCCTTCCTCGCACGCTTGTTATTCTATACTCATTCAAACCATGTGGATTGGAAACATCGTTAGTTGCACAAAGGAATATAATATCCCCCCCCTGGTCGTGCGTTCCCTTCTCTCTCATCCTCACCCCTCCCTCTCTTTTCTCACCGTCACCGTCTTGTTCGACTGCACCCACACTCTCCTTTCACTCCTATAAACTCGTATCCTACCTCACTATTTTGCTAGTTCCAACCGGCCCTCAGCTCTAACTCTCTAGCTCTGCACTCCTTGTTCTTCTTTTCTGTCTTCAATCTTCGCTTGCACACACACACAGTCTACATCAGCACGCAATAACATACAACCAGTACTAATTGCACCACCATGCCTGTACCAGTCCCTGCTTCACCGACGCTTCACTGCATCTTAATTTCCAACAGTCATACTCTCTTGGACGCATCTCTCTTTCCCTCTCACATCCCAACCAATAGGGCCTTTGCGCCATGTGAACCGAAAGAGACCGATTCCTTTCCTCTTCCCCTGTATACCCTTCGTACGAATCCAGCCGGAAAGCAAACGTTCATATCAGGAGCGGATCGAGGTCCTTTTGCTGCTGTTAACTGGTCTTCTGCCTCTGCTTCCCACTCTCAATCTCCGTGTGAGAACGCAAATGGGAATAGCTTGTCATTCTTCAAATCTGCAATGACGAGTGATACTGGCGTTAGTACAGATCCTTTAGTCGTCATTGATGGACTTCAAGTGAGGTCCACTGAGTTACTCGTTGGCAGTCACGGTCTTCACGGGTTGTGAGTTCCCTTTCATTGCCCTATTTTTTTGTGTCTGTTTCATATTTCGTGTTATTTCCTGTGGTCGCGAGATGCCTTGAGTTCCCGTTGGGGAGTACCCTTTGTTCGCGGTTCCCCCGGACGAACAATTTGTTTATGTTTTGGTGTTTAAACTCACCATCCCCTTGATCTTTGATCACCATTTGATTTTGGATTGTTCGCTTCGTTCATTGCCTTTTGGCATCGTTCTTGAGCATCGCTGACGCTCTTGGCACGTGCGTTGGGGCGAGAGCTCGATCCTGAGACAAATGCACCTTCACCCTTCGCTCCGTGCATTGGAACGCGCCTTTCTCTTTTGGTTTCTGGTTCAGGCTGACTCATTGAACCCTAATGCATGAAACTGACTGTTTTTTTTTCTTGTTCATGCGTCTGGCTTCCGCTTCCTCTTTTACTTAATCTGCACCCTGACCCCTGCCCATACTTTCCCTATCTCTCCAACCTTCCCTTCTCTGAACCCTTAACGGCTGCGGGTTCGGGCTTGCGATCCGCACCGCATCCTTTGGGTCCCTCCCCGCCTCCCGTTTCCCCTTTGGTGCTTCGAAAACAAAACGCAACGACAAATGGCACACCAACTGCAGTTCGAAAAAGTTTCGCGTTCCTGGGTACAAAGATCCATTTAAATGGAAGAAAGCTTCAGCTGGCATTTGGCAGGTATGTTGTTTCATTGAATTTTCAATCCCTCTCGATTTCGGCCCACTTTCCGGTTTCTAAATCCTCCCTGAGGGGGTGGGCACGTCAGGGGTCCTATTCCAGTCTTGCTTTTTTTCTTTACATTGCATCATATCGGAAGTTTTTTGCGTTTGGGGTCCGACGTTGAGATCATGATCATTTCATCGCAAGAGGTGCTTTTTCCTCTACTTTTCCTCTCCTTGAACCCTTGACTGCGGTGCTCGTTGCACTTTAACCTTTTTGGGTCTTCGTTTTCGTCACTCCTCCCATTCTTTTTTGCGCTCCTGTTCGGTGCGTTGTGGCGGCTTATTCAGTCGTGAAGCTGACCCTTCCCTCTTGCTTTTTCCGTTATGCATATAGTGTTATGCACCTGATCGTTCGTTAATCACGACCCTCGAGATAAATAAGAAGATCCGACTCATCATGTACGCTCCCCCTTCTCCATCTTCCGCTCCCGCCTCTTCATCATCAACAACGTCAACATCAACATCGGGAGGTTATAGTACCTGGAATCCACCACCTTTTCCTTCGATTGCGTATCGGACCTTGTTGGATACGATTGTTCTTACTGGATTGCTCATGACGGTTGGGACGGAAGATATCGTTGGATTCTGTTCCTCAACTCCTAGTCCTAGTGTTCTGCCGGAATCTGGCGCACGTCGGACTTTGGGTTCCTCTGCTGCCGGTTCTACCCGTTCACCCCGAGCTCATTCCTCTTCGGCTCCTGAGCCTTCTTGTGCTGTCACTACATCCGGCAGTGGGTCTGGATCTAGATCGATGAAGGCGCCCTGGGCGCATTGGGTCGTACCTGGTAATGGTGACGGAATGAGTGGAAGTACTAGGAATTTGATTGGAAGGAGGAGCAGGAGTTCGAGAGGGGATAATAGTGCAACGTCTAGTCAGACATCAACGGAGACGAGCAAGTCGAGTATGTCTAAGATGTCCAAGGTATCTTCATTTACGGGTGTCTCTGTGAGGAGTATGAAGTCTGCGCCGTCTTTGAGGGGTGCTGCCTTGTCACAGACCGAGGATGCTGTCGAGAAGGGAAGGAGAGGAAGAAAGAAGATGGAAAGAGGAAGCATTCTGCTGGGATCCTGAAATCGATGCTGCCGATGATCTCCGCTTTCGCTTTGGGTCCTGGTGGTGGCCCATTCGGTTCTTCGATCACCACGACACCATCTTCATCTGTGCCAGATTTTGAAGAGGAAAAGCATCCGATTCTGGATCTCGGGCTAGTACGAGGAGGCATGCGTTTGATTACCAGAGATGTGGTTCGGTTGGTGTTAGTGGAGGTCAAGCACGGATGAGGACGTTGTCGGCGTCGATGCTGGTTTCAAGCCCCAAACCTGTATCTACGGGATGGAGTTCACACTTGATGGAACCAATCCCGGCCTCTCCAGTTGGAACTAGATTCGATTCGCTGCACACTGCTCGGCCTACAATGACGTCTTCATCCCGTTCATCCGGGGAGATGACAGACGCCTCGTTGGAGAGTATGAAGTTTGCGGAGAATCCCAATTTACATCATTTACGCCCTCTACCTCCCCAGACTCGCTCCTTTTTATTTCCATCGATGTCTTCAAGTGCTTCTCAATTTTCATCAACGTCCGGGTTCACTACACCTGTTCGAACTAGTTCGTACGCAATGGCCCCTCCTACAACACCCGATCGTCCAAGTTCCAAACATTCATTCCTACGACTCAACTCATCACCAGCGTCAGTTCGGTCACCTTCAAGATCTGCGATGCTAGCCCCACCCGTATCACTACCAAGGACCCCGACTCCTCCGCGGTCGACAGGGCCTTGTGGTTTGCCTCCTACTCCTACGACTCCTCTGTCGATGGCGTCTTCATCGATGGATCCAAGCGAGGAAGGATATTATGGGCCGTCTTCTCCTTTGCCGATTCTTTCGGAGGCGAAATCATGTAGTAAGGGGTCCACAATGGAAAGCGGCGGTGAGAGTGTCAGTGGGGGTGGAACTGGGAAGCTTTCTTGGAGAAAGAGAAAGATTTCAAGAAGTGCGATAAAAGGGTTGGGCTCGGCGGTGAAGTCTCCTGGGACGTCGTCTTCCCTTGGTGGGACAGTGAAGGAGACAACTGTGGTGAACGGTGTGAGTGGGGGTACGAGTGGGAGAGAAGTTGAGGAGGTTGTCGGGCAGGAGGGATGCTTGATGGGGTTGTTGGGTGCTGCGTGACGGAACTTTGGCATTGGCGCTCGCTGAGTGGACCGCTCTCCCTCCTCCGATTTTGCATTCCCCTTTTAGGCTTGCACGCATGCGGCTACTCTTGTCCTCCTATGCTTATATTCTCCTCCATATTACTTCATTCGATCTTGTTCCTCTTTGCCATTCACAGTAACGCTGGAATACCCTTTGGATCTTACAGTCTGTCAATATCAGCGCAAAACTGACCGCGCTGTATCCTCTTCTTTCTCTCACTCCCCCTATCTTTTACACACTCCTTTCCCAATTCTTTCTTGACCTCCTGATGTCTTGCGCAAACCGATACCGCCCTTCGATACCCCCCCCCCCCTGGCCCACCGCCACTTTCTTGCTTTCCCCGCTGACTGTAATATACACACATATCTCCGTGACGCGCTCCGCCTACGTTTGTATTCCTATAAAACGTAATGGAAGCTTCAAAAGGTGCAAGTTAAGCACTTAAGAAGGAGAAGGTCGAAATCTGATTCTGATTTGCGCATCATATGCATGCTTCTTACCGAGGGAAGCAAGGAAGGAAGTCATGTGGGTGCAGGTACTTGCAGCGTTGAAAGCTTGTTGTGTCTATTGGGGTTCTATTGTTGGCGAATTGGGAGGGATGTTGTGCGTGTGTGTGTGTGTCTCCTCACTCGCTCATGCACAATGTCCCGGTACCATCACAATTGGTTGTTCTTGCTGGTACTTGACATTGTACTAGCGCAATTATTAGCTGTCGTTTATCGGGATAACCCTTGGGTGTATGGTTGTTCCTGAACATACACCCTTTTGTGGGAGTTGATCCCCCTTCCTTCCTGACTACCAACTTGAAATGAACCCCGTGGCATTTCCCCCCTGCCACATTATCCTCACAACCTACAATCAGTTTCTTGATACTGCCTATCACACGGCTGCTCTTGCCCTTGGGCATGATCAGTGTTGCTAGGGGGGATGGGGAGATCTACTGCCATGGAGACGCGTACTATACTAGCAGAAGAACTCCCTTCATTTTTCCCCCGCGAGGCCCAACCAACAGTACTCTCTCCTCTTCTTCTTGTGCCATTTGGTCGCCTGGTTTTTGCGGGCTTGTTCTCCTTTTCCTTCCTTCCCCCCCCCCTTTTTTTTTAAAAAAAAAAAATTTCCCCGACTAATCATGGGCTGTGCGCCATGTCTGCTGATCGAGGCATTGGTCCAATCTTACATTTTTATTCTTCTGTTACTTGTACCAGCTGACAGCTGGTTTCTTTATTAATCCCCCACACCCCCCCAAGTACTGCAACTCGTCTCCGTTCGCGCTTGTCCCTCTTTCTTTTTCGGTGGCATTGTGGACGGTTGGCGGTGCTTTAATAATTTGCCCCGTAATATGATCGCTAACTTTTGGTCTCCATTTACATACATACGCAACATATATACCAGAATCAAATCGAAGAAAAATAGACCTTGCATGGCCATCTTTGATGACTGACGTTATCGTTCGACTGATCTGAGAGAGATTGTATTCATAAAGTAATTCGCCACTCGAGTCACAATGCATATGTACACACACAACAACGTACACTTTTCCCATGGCCACTCCTCAGCCATTGGTGCCTCAACGTTACATAGTATAGTGCAGCACCCACTAATGACGCTAAATGAGGATAAGGAAATCATCATTCAGTACAGCAGTTGCCTTGCAGGCATGTTATATGCGTCGGTAACAAATTATCGATCCGTTCCTGAAAATACTGCTGCCCAACGCATATCATATAGTAGGCTTGCATGCAGAGCATACCCAAAACCACTCATGAGTCCCAGAAACGAATATGATAAGTATATGGATATTTTAATATGTTACGTAGGGGGGTTGGACGAGTGGAAATATTTCCGGGACATTGGAACTTTGAGTGATGGGTATCGATATCTCAACCACCGGCCACGCGCCATCGTAGAACTCCGAAATTCGCTCAGGATGGGCCCCCGCGTCGATATGACGTATGAGTTCAGCTGATCGAGCTGATAAGCCCATGTAACCCCGCCGAATATCCTGAATCTGATGGTTCGGGCGTGCAAATCATCCTTGGCGAATCCAATGCTCAATTGATTGACCGCCGGTCGGTCGGTCACTGCAGTTTTCTAGGAGGGGGACCGGATATAGAGTGCTCAGGCTGTTGTTGCTCTCGCCGGCGTCGCGTCAACTTGGGAAGTCGGCGTACAATCATCTCCTGACAAAATGCAATGTACGTATTGCGCACGAGGAGGTGGGTTGTGGTGGGTGGTGGTTATTGCGCCTCGCTTTACTTAAAGAAGTTATGCAAAAAAAAGCATACATATCGAAAAATGCGTTTTCCGGCGCGTTGTACGAGTAAGTATATTATGCATGTGTAAATATGTTCACCTGCAGTTGCATCCCACGTCATCGCGACGTCTCAAGAAGGCTAAATTATTCCTTGGCGAATCATGATGCCACGAGGATGAAAGGCACATGCCGCGCACACACCACACATACTTGAGGGACGCAAATCGATCTTGCCTAACGTCATTGATATATCTTGGTGTCATCTTCCCCCGCACGCAGCCGATCAAGTCATTGTCATTTTCTTCTCGACGGGGCTCTAATTTGGGGGGACTGATCCCTTGTGATCCCTGCTGCTCAGAAAGGTGCGGCGCCACCCTGCCGTGTGCTATGTAACGTTGCTCTTGCTCTGTCCCGAGTTGTAACTGCCAGTCGACAAAGCTTTCTTTACTATAGGTCCAACTCGATTGATTGATGACTTAGGGGTTTTCAGCTGCAAATAAAAGGGAGAATCCGCAAATGCGATGGCATGTTCGACCGCGCAACTCTAGCGGATGATCAGCTACGCTCTACTTCTTGGTGGATCATATCATTGCTTATTGAGCTCTAAGTTCCCAGTTAATTCCTTTCGTGACTGAGAGAAATAAAAAATGAACAATATTGTTGCAAATATGACCGCACCCGCCGGTCCATGAATCGAATGATGTGATGCAATCAACGCTTGGGGATGCCACAAGTACCTTACTTGGGTCACTTTGAGAACAAGAACGCGAATTCGTTGAGTCTACCCACAAGCCCAGAATGGAATGTCAATTCTGTACGTCCCTTTACAGTAAGTATACGATAGATCCAGCAGATCATGGCGCCCCCAACACTCCCGGCCTCGGCCACTGGGATTCTATGGCAAGCAAGCAAGCACAATATGAGGCACCGGTACGGCATATGCCGGCGGCCTTTTGCGGATGGCAACCCCTGAACCTTGGAAAGTGCCCGCAATCTGTCTGGTGTCGGCCGACTTTTTTTTTTTGCGTCTTTTTCCATCCAACCGTAACCCTCTCTCTCTTTACTTGTCAGCCATCACTTTGGTCGCTTCATTAACCCTAACAACCCTACATCCCGGTCATGGGTCATAGACGGAAGGTGGAACGAGAAGCGGTTTTTTTTTCAAATCTCCTTGGGGCTATACTTACCTGCACTTCCTCGCTCCTCGAAATTCGCACCATGCATAGCGGTTCTACCGATCTGCATGCATAAGGATTCCAGTCACGGAAAAAAAAACGTTAATCCTTTGTAGGATTCGCCAACCCACCGCCCACTCCGCGCGGGCAGTACCGTAGCAACCTCCTTTTTTCAGTCATTCGATACGTACGTACGTACGGTGCCGTTGCTAGTTCATTATTTCTCCTGTGGAACTCGACATCCACACAAGCCATGAGCAAAATTCACCGCCTCGTTTTCCCCCCCTTTTTTTCCCTCAGATTACAAAAAAAAAAGAACATCCGGAAATGGCGGCGAAACGTGGTGGTGATCATCATCATCAATTCGTTATCAATTTGCAACTCCAACTCCACTCCTCTCTTTCGCTTGCTGGCGGGGGGTGGGTAAATCCAGGGCCCCCCTTTCCAGTTTTGTTGTTAGGTCACGCATGTACAATGCCAGCGACAACAACAACTCTGTTTACGGAACCTTGGCTAGCGCTTATTACTATCCTCGGGTGCTCTTTAGGGACTTTCGAATCCCCCCCCTTCCTCCAACGCCACGGATTTACATCGAAGAAGCCAGTTTAATGAATGGGTTGCAAAACACACGTTCATTCATTTCGTTTCGTTTACGGCAAAAACTGGCAAATCACCGCCGCCCCCACGCTCAGTGCCGTTTTTTTTTCGATTTCACAACAGCAGTCTGTTGCTATTGAACAGCTTTCCAGATTAAGGGGGGGGGGGAAACTCCCGATAGTTCTCTCAGCTTGCTATTGCCAGTTTGCTAAATGCAATTCCAACTTGGTTGGTGCCTGGTAGTTGTAGATAGGTTCCTAATATGGGTACCTTACCTTATCTGCGACTGAAACGGTGGCCTCTCTGATCTTCTTATCGTAACGTTGGTTTTGCGTTTCCTTTGAATCTATCCTTTCAGTATGGATACAGCTATATAATTCTTCCCACCCCTTCTTCTTCTTCTACTTCGCGTCATTGTTACACGCCGCAAGTTCTTCTTCTGCCAAGAGGGGGGTCTCACGAAGCGAACGTACTTTGGATTAGGAGTTTCCCGACAACAGACTACATAGCTTATTCGCTTCGGTGAGATTGTGTGTAATGCTGCTACTACTTGTACGTGTTGGTAAGTGCATTTTGTATCAGAATATTCTCGTTCTGGTTTACCTTGTGCCCTATTCTATTTGACCTGGACACCTGGAAATCAATCAATGAATATGCAATATGCAATACCTGTGGACCCATTCATTTCCCCATTGGTTAGCGAGCCCTACTTTTTCTTTTCTTTTCTTTATCGCCGTGCGCGTGTGGTGCATAAGGTAGTTTGGCACCGTCTGCTCCGGGAGTTTTGCCCTCCCCAAAAGGTTCGATGGTAGTATATGATACATGACATGCGTGTGTGTGCGGCCCAACGCGATCGATCATCAACTATATAACTTGGCTATGCACGCTCTTTTTTTGCCACGCAAGTATGTACTCATAGTCGCATGGTTCATGTTGTGCATGAGGCGTCATGTCAAGAAATTCAAGCTTACTTTGCGAAAATCTTCCGCGTCGATCGATCGATTAACTAATGCTCATGCCATTACTTTAAAAAAAATACACAGTAGCTAACTAGCTAGACACATGTATCTCAAGTATGCAATGTGGCTGGATGATTCGATCCAGTGTATAGGAATATATATATATATAACCCAAACATGCACATGTACATTTCAACATGCCGTTGCCGTGCGTGCGTGTGTGCAACTATAACTCAACGGCTGGTGCTGGGCGACTGTGATTAGTGATTAGTATGATTATAAATATTGTACAAATGTAATCCCCCTTGTGAATGAATTCGTCGTTACACTTACGCTATTCTTGTTACATAGCACGTTCCGTCCGCGGGCGGATCATCGATCTAATTAGCGTGCAAATGTTCGAAGATGAAGATGAAATGGGATCGAAGCTAGGAGAGAGGAGAGGAAGTTGGGGGAAACTTCCAGCACTAGCAGGGCAGATAAGATGGGATCTGAAATCTGAAGTCGACAGCTAGTACTAGTCACTGCCGCCATGCTCTTTGCAGGTGGTCAATCAATTCAGTGGGGGTACTACGATCCAATCAGTTTCGCAAACTACATGATGATCGTCAGTTTTGACGGTCCGATTTATCGATGCAATATGTAATTGCGTTTACATAGAAAAGGGAATGGGGAAAAAACATGATTCAGAGGCTGCTGGGGCTTCCTCTCGCCTGTTAGTTAGGATGCCGTACTCAGTGAGAGGAGTATGTAAGTACAAAGGAAGGCGAGTATATATATTGGAGAAAGGTACGTTTGAATGGAAAAACGCGCCTTTGAGTTTGATCGCGGCATACATATGTTATGTATGTATGTTACGGCTATGTAGTTGGAACAACGGAACGGCAGCCGCCGGCGCCGGCGCCGTACGGATATGATGGTTGATGTAGCTTCTCCCTCCCCCCCACCCACCCTTCTCACGAATGCGGAATTAATACCGCTAAAATAGCGCGCGCGCAAAACAACTATGTATGTAGCTAGCTCGGTTTATAGTATGCCAGTGGAGTGGGATAATTTGACGATAATATAATGGGGTTGGTGCATGCATGGTAAGCATGATATGAGTGGACGCGGTTCCCTCGATCGCGATCGGTGAGGGGGTTCTTTCAAGTACAACTTGATCGAAAGCTAGCGGAACTGATTCCGTATACATCCCAAAGAAGATCGGGGAAGAAGAGTCAAACAAGAACAAGTTTTTTTTTCTGCAGTTCATGGAGGAATAAGCAATCCCCGGACGCGCGCTCGCAGTAAAAGAGTGAGTATACACACACGCACGGGCCCCATATATAATGTGTTGAGTCAGTACTGCTATGTATATATCCGGCTGGGTCAAACCATCATTTGTTGGTACAGTACTACTATACTGTACTAAGTTGTGATTCGTGAGATCCTCTAATATAATTGGGGGGAAGGGGGAGGTGGTGATCGCCTGCAGCGGCCTGCGGCCTGTGGTCAGTACTGGCCAATCTAGGATATGTATGCATAGCCCAATTAATAACATATCTACATAAATTATTTTGTTCATGACCAAATAGTTCAGCTTTAGAGTTTTGCCATGCAAATTTGGCGATCGTGATCGTTATCGTGATCATCTTCATCGGTCACTCAGTTACTCAACGTGACGGCGCATTGCTGATTCAGATTCGCCCTCCATCCATCATGTATCATATCCGCTTAACCTTAACCGTACCATTCGCAGCATGGGCATTTTTTTTTTTTGGGCGTTGTTGTTCAATCCGTCACTCATTCGGCATCTTGCGTGTTATTTTTTTTTGTTGTTGTTGGCTCGATCATCTGTCATATGCAACCATGCGTAAATTGTATGGAACACGCGCGCGTCAAGTATGTATGTACATACTGTAACTTGATGCGGCTTTTCGCTTTGTTGTGTGGACATGTGTGTGATTGCCTGTAATATATATATTTGCACATGTATTGTGTGGAGCTTTCCATATATATAGAGTAACAAGGTTGACCCGTCGACGTTATGTAAAAAAAAAGCATCCTTCTTCCCCCCTCTCTCTCTCTCTTGATCTGTCGAGCATTCCTTCGTCGCCTCGTCGATAAGTTGCCGTGTGTCACCCACACTACTCCCTCCAGCTTGTCCCCATCATAAGCTGGGGAGCACTAAGAGTAAGGTTGGAAAACGGTTTGCAATAATTTTTTTTGGAAGTCCGGGTATGTATTACGAATTCAACCCCCCCCCCCCCAAAACCCCTGCTTTTTTTTGCGATTCTTGCGCGAAAGAAGTTGTGTTACTTTAATTGACCGTCCTGTTGTTGTTCAATGTCTTCCTCGCTCCCCTGTTGGGTTGGCATATCATCTTCCTAATCAACAACAACCCCTCCCCCCGATGATGCGATGATGTGATGATGTTATAACGATGCTTGATGGTGGTCGGGAATTGCCCTTTCCGACTCCAAATGTGAAACTTGCGACTCGCACACGCACACGCACGCACACACACACACACACACACAGATCGAGTTACACACATAACGACCTTTGTACAATATCTCAACTACTGGCACCATTATTGTGTAGTTGTACTCTTCTTCTCAAGGCCGTACTTGACTTTTGGATTCATAAAAAAAAAACCGCATCACTTTATCGATCCGTACCGGTTACCGTATTGGACTTTTTAGGCGTTTTCCTTGCTCAATTTGAATTCCCTTGTTCCCTTTTTTTTTTCCATTCCCTCTTCCATCCCTTCTTCGTCACTTGCCCCATATCCCCATCTTTCCATCCTTGTCCACATTTCCTCCCCTCCCCCTTCCTTCCCCCTTCCCCTTCCCCAATCCTCATCTCATCCTCGCGCTAACCATCTTTCGTCCCTTCCGCCACAAAGCTGTTCGTTGTCTCTTGTGGCTTTTCTATAAAAATCAATATCTTTCCGTTGCAACACGACCCCACAGCTGCATGATCACATCAGCTGTCGTCCACCTGACCTCTGCCCGCCATCCCTTTATATTACGCTTTTGCTTCTTTCCCTACCCCCCCTTCCCCAACGCCAACTCCACCTCGTTATTCACTGTCCTCTGAAACCTTGCTCCTGAGGATTACTCGCTCATCGGCTTCTCTGTTGCTTTCGTCCCCTCCTCCCCTCCCCGGAATAGTCTCTTTCCTCGGACCTGTCCCGTGGAAGCCTTCCCGAATCCTGCCTCTGCATCCCTTTTTGCTGTTTAAGTGTTTGTTTTTGGTGACGCGTGATCGAAGGCGTGTTGGTGGTGGTGTCCTTGATTAGGGACTGGTTTGTGCAAGCCGGTGGCTTTTTAGCGCCTGTTCAAAGAAACTGCCAGAAGAAAAAAAACAAACAAACAAACAAACGAACGAATCTTTCACGCACGGAAAGCGGGAGGGGAGGAGGCGGGGGGTTGAATTCTTTTTCTGTGCGTTGCCGGTGATTAGGCGAGGCGCTTGAGAGTAACCTTTTTGGTGTCTCTTGCTTCTGTTTCGCCCGTTCTTCGCTTTTCTTATCATTCCTTGGTTCTTTTCTTCTTCTCCCTCCGCTACCTTAGTGTGTGTGTGCGCGCGTGTGTTTGTGTGGTTGTTGCGCTTCCGCCCGTTCGCTCCCGTTCGTTTCATTAAAGGTCTCGCGGACTTTCTCTGAAACAAAATACGGCATCTCTTCATCTACATCATCATCCTCTCGGGTAAGTTCGATCCCACTTGCTAGTTTTGGATTACCTAGTCTGTCCTTTTTCCCTTTTTCGCCCTTGCTCCGTTTTTTCACTTTCACTCTACTTACGTCGATTTGTCGTTGTTGCAACCCCAGGATTCAGCAGAGACTGAGTTTCCCTTGTTCCTTATACTCGCCCACCCCCTCCTCCTCTCTCTCCTTTAGTGATCCTACACCCGCGTTTATACCTTACCAACATTCCATCCCAACCGCACGTCAAGGAACGGATGTACGGGAAGGAAGAACAGAACGTAATGCTTGTGCCTACGTTCGGTTCTTCCTCCGCCGGCAGACGTCTTGCATCCATGCATGAGATCATCCGCCACATCGTCCTCCTCTTGTTCCGGGATATCACGTCGCCATTTATCGCTCATGATGCTCCGTACACTCCGTTCGCCGATCCTACTCCTCTATTGACTGCATTGCTCTCCGTCTCTCGGGCCTTTCGCGAGATAGCACTCAAGGAAAGACGGCTTTGGGGTCTCATTCATGCTGAATGGGCAAACTCTCAACGTCAGCTTTGGCTCAAACGGAACGTATCAGGATTCTCCGAGCCTACTGCGGCCATCTTCCCTCTAGACATCCGAGGTTGCATCACACCCACTTTCGAACCTTCTCGACATGGTCATATTCTCGATTTTTGGAATCTTCATGAAGCGATACCGCGATGGAGATCGTTCCATATTCAGAATGCGTCGAGGACACCCTTTTGGGGGTTGATCACGAACGCGTTGAGCATCCAACTTCCAAAGTTGCAATCTCTTTCACTCGAGACGAGTCCTGTGGAAGCGACGTATAGGTTCGATACGATCGCGTACGAATCGAACCAATACCCTGAATTGAGGTCGTTACGGTTACGAGGCGCGACGATCATCAATTTCAAGGGGATATGTTCGTGCAAGAAATTGAAACGGATCGAACTCAATACGATCAGGTTCGAGAGCGCGAACGACCTCGTTTCGTTGTTTTCGCCTTCGAGAAGGATCGTCACCATTGTGGATTGTCTGACGTTGGGACCTCTCACGGCTCATTATGAACCTGTGAGACATCCATCTCCTGATCAGGCTGCTTCGATGGACGCTACGAGTGGTGCTGGTGCTGGTGGTGCTGGTGGTGGTAGGGGCAGAGGTGTGTCCCTATTGTCGAGGAGGGATGAATCATCTTCATCGTCGTCCGAGCATACGGATGATCTACCAGAGTCGTTAGCTTCGGATGCTTCTTCTTCGTCATCGTCATCGGCGTCTTCCGAGGCGTCTTCATCGTCGTCTTCATCAACAACATCATCATCATCATCACCTTCTGATGATTATCCCACTTCTGACTTGCGCACGCTAGTTCTTGGGAGGAACGTTACGCTTGAGGTTCAGCATTTGTCGCTGCATTATACTCATCTTCCGCATCTACGCACTCTCTATTTCACTCAGTCTTCGGTATGTTGGGATTCCAATGTTCATCCCTTTGTTGATCCGTTAGTGTCCTTAATAAACACCGTGAGTGGTTTTTCTTTTTCTTTTTTTTTTTTTTTTTCCGGAATTCGAAATCTATTCTCCTCTTTCCTTCCACGGTACTGATTGGTCTTCCCTTCTTTTTTTTTTTTTTGGCGTTTTTGGTTTAACCCCTCGGTCGTCGCTCGCGCTGTTTACAATTTTGCGAAATTTCAATCAACAGATTCGATCTTCCCCACGACTTCATACACTCGGCTTCGAGGGTCAGATACCTTTCTTATCGAATGTGCTCAAAAGAAGCATCTTGCAATTGGAAGATCATCCTCCGCCGATAAAGTCTTTATACCTCATCATCGTTCAATCCCCGGAAGACACTGTTACTACTGAATCACCACAACCCTTACCATTATCATCATTTCTACCCTTCGCTCCCACTCAATCGCTCCTACCTCCCCCGCCTCCCTCACATTCACCCCCACCTGCATCTTCCCCAATACCCCCCTTATCTCAACAACTACCACCGCTAAGCCTGACCCCACAGCAACAACAACAGGAAGAGGATGCGTTGATCGCCACCGTCGACTCCGTTGTCGAGAAGGTGCAGCGGACGATCAAGTATTTGTACGTTCGAAGCGATCCACCTGTTTCGAACGTGGAAGTGGACTTGATCGATCATTTGTTGAGGCGGGATGGGGATGGGAGTGGAAGTGGCAGGTTTGAGATGAACAGGAGTGCTGATGTGGTTAGTCCGGAGGAACGGGAAAGGGAACGGGAAGAGTTGGAGCAGGAACAGGAGCTGGAGGATTTGGATGAGGAGCGGGAGGAGGAGGGTGAGGGCGATGTAGCGGGGACGATGACGACGACGTCAGTGGCAGCGGCGGCAGCGGCGGCAGCAGCAGCAGCAGCTCCTGTGACACGGAGATTGGAGATCAGGACGGCGAGGTTCACGGTATGAGTTTTTTTAGGGTCGTTTTGTTGATTGTTGTTGGCGGCTGTCGATCATCTATCTTGCGTGGGTTAAAAAAAAAAAACCTGTCGTCGTTTGTCGTGATGTCCTCCCTCTTTTTCGATCTCTCTCTCCTCTCCCCCTCTCCTTTCATCATTTCTTGTTATCCTTTCTCCCCCCCCGTTGTTTCATTCACCCCATGCATAGTCCATTACCTGTGAAGGGGGGGGAGATGAATTATTGGTCTATCGATCATATACCGCCTTGCATGGACTGCATGGTTCTACTACCTCCCTTGGTCACATTTTTTCACCTTATTTTATCGTATTGTGCTTTATAGCCATCAGTCAGCCGTGACTTTTGTCTTTCTCTGCCCCCACTTTTTTTTTTGTTTTGTTTTTGTTTTTGTGTGTGTGTATGTGAATTTCTTTTTTTTTTCCATCCTTTTCTTCATGAATTTCGAATTTTCTTTACTCGGTGTAAACATATCTCTTCCCCTTTCTGTAGTATAATTATTTTGGTACATTATTGCTGAAAGTTTAGCCAAAAAAAAAAAAAAAAAAAAAAAAAAGTTGGCGCGCGTGTGTTGCGGGGCACTTACATACATTACACAATTCCCGATGGGGTTGATTGTGTTTGCAAGTTAACGTCACTTGCGCTTGATAACAATACTGCCGTTTTCAGTTGATCTGTCGCGTGACGGATTTCTTGCTTCCGTATAAATCCTGGCGCTTGAACAGCACCAAACTTCATCCCCAATTTACTTCACAACAACAACACCTTTTGCCAAACGGATTGTTGGAATGTATTCGTAGAATTGAGATCTAGAGACGTATTTCTCCGATTGTACATAGCATCAATATTTAAATTATAGGTAGCCCAACTTCATCCCCACTTTTCACCCTAACGGCTCGATAGAATTGGCTGAAAATTTGGCAGCACGGTGTTTGGGACAAAATCTAGGAGCGTTTTTTTGGACGGAGCATTTTGATGGATTTTTGAGGCACTTGTCCACCCCATTATCCAAATTCTCAAAAATCCATCAAAATGCTCCGTCCAAAAAAACGCTCCTAGATTTTGTCCCAAACACCGTGCTGCCAAATTTTCAGCCAATTCTATCGAGCCGTTAGGGTGAAAAGTGGGGATGAAGTTGGGCTACCTATAATTTAAATATTGATGCTATGTACAATCGGAGAAATACGTCTCTAGATCTCAATTCTACGAATACATTCCAACAATCCGTTTGGCAAAAGGTGTTGTTGTTGTGAAGTAAATTGGGGATGAAGTTTGGTGCTGTTCAAGCGCCAGGATTTATACGGAAGCAAGAAATCCGTCACGCGACAGATCAACTGAAAACGGCAGTATTACATATGATGTATTCATCGATTGGCCAAACTTCATATGACCTCACGACCGGGGGATGTTAAAGTCAATACCGCTTAACCAGAAAAAAAACATGAGGTTCCCCAACTCATTTTCTATATATGTATACTTACAGTATGGGGGGAGGGGGAGGGCTTTGATCGCTACGTATGTAATTGCGCAAGTACATACCGGATGTGTGAGGAGAAACTAGGGGGGTGCTTTTATTTTTATTTATTTTTTTTTTTGGCGGGGGGTTGGCGAATCGTTTTGATCATGGCCCCCGACGACCTTCAATTAAGTAAGAGCACAATAAATTCGGCCAACTCCGCTAATGATAATTATATATTGTCTCTCTGCCCACTAGTCAATACCAGCATTTTTTTTTTCTGGCGCTCAGCGCTTACCCGGTTCTCCTTGGATCTGTTGGCGGTGGTGGTTAAGAACCTGTTACTTTTCTCCAACGATGAGTACCCTTCCTCCGGCGCCGTCTTTTGCTGGGAAATGGGACAACTTGAATCCGCCGTTGACACCTTGGATGTAATGTCGTCAACATTTTTTTTCCAATTTTTTCTTTCTTTCTAAGACTGATCACTCTTTTGATCGTTGGTAGTGCAGATGTGGTTAGATCGTTGGGGTTTGAGCAGATGACTCCCGTTCAAGCTAGTACGATCCCGTTATTCTCGAAACACAAGGATGTCGTCGTCGAAGTAGGTATTCGTCCTTCTTTTCTGATCCCTTCATCCCCCATGTATTGACGGGTGGAGATATCATCTATCTTTCTTTGCTTTAGGCCGTCACTGGCTCTGGGAAGACGCTCGCTTTCGTCATTCCGGTAATGGAGAAGCTTGTTCGAAGAGCGAAGAAGCTTAGACGGAACGAACTTGGTGCACTCATCGTATCTCCAACAAGGTATTTCCCCTCAGTTCTTCCATCGTTTTGGAGACATGACTTATATAACATGGGTTTTTTTTTCTTCCTGGAAATAGGGAACTAGCGACTCAAATACATTCAGTATTTGATCTCTTCTACAAAGCACAACCTTCCCTCAACGTACCACCTGATGAAACTAAAGGAGAATTGGACGAAAGTGAGGATGAGTCTAAGAATGAAAGAGAAGAAGATGATGATGCAGAAGAAGGAGAGGCTTCGAAACGGGAACGATCTTCGTCTCGCTCACCTACCCCACCACCACCACCACCTAAACCTGAATATCCACCACCTCTGCTCGTCGTTGCTGGAACGAATTCCAACCCCTTCAAAGATATGAAACGGTTTTTTGAAACGGAAGCAGACATCATCATTGGTACACCTGGTCGTATCGAGGAATTGTTGTTGAAAAATGGTTTGAACAGTATTAGTGTGAAGGAGCTGGAGGTATTGGTACTTGATGAAGCTGATAGGTAATGCCCTTTCTTTCTATTCGGGCGTGGACTTGGTTACCTTGTACTAATGATTCCCTTTGGGTCCTGGTCCTGCTTTTTAGATTGCTTGACTTGGGTTTCTCGCCTTTTCTCACACAATTATTGTCCCATCTACCTAAACAACGTCGGACTGGTCTCTTCAGTGCTACGATGTCAGACGGACTTTCGGAGTTAATCCGTATGGGTCTACGAAATCCGGTTCGGATCGTTGTTAAGATCGAGTCGAAGAAGTTGATTAAAGGAGGGAAGGGCGGGAAGCGGAAGGTGGATGATGACGATGCGTCATTCGGGGACGTTATCGAGACGAATGAGAGGAGAGTACCAGCAAGGTTGGAAAAGGGGAACTCATCATCTGGCATGGACGTACGACCGCTGATAATGATCTTTGTTTGTCGTAGTCTCGAACTTGCTTATATCGCCTGTGCAACATCTGAGAAGACGCTTCAATTGATTCGGTTACTGAGACATGAATCCGTAAATCCTGGAGGGGAATCTTCGAGGTTCATCGTCTACTTTGCAACGTGCGCCACTGTCGATTACTTCTTTAGCGTAACGTCGTTCTACCAAATCATTCGCATGATCGTCCTTTTCTCATTTGATCATTTTATTTATTATAGGTTTTTTCTAAACTGCCTCTACTCAAATCTTTCACACTATACGGACTTCATGGCCGTCTCCAAGCAGATAAACGAACTCGCGTCCTTCAGTCTTTCGTCTCGCATCCTTCAACCACCACGAACCCTTCCGTATTACTCTGTACAGATGTCGCAGCTCGGGGACTCGACTTGCCCGATGTGGACGTCGTCGTTCAATTCGATCCACCCCAGGATACCAAAGGTTTTAGCCATCGTGCTGGACGAACGGCACGAGCTGGACGAAAGGGGAAAGCGTTTGTGTTGTTGTGCACAGAAGGGAGGGAGCTGGAATACCTTGGTATGTTATTGATCTTTGCTTTCAGTCCCACTGAGCCGTAACTAAAAAGAATTTTAAATTTGATATTTTACTTTGGCACCCCCGTTTTTTGCTTTTGCCTTTCTTCACGATATGTGGGATGGACGAAAAAGACTTGTTGGCGGTTCGCAAGATACCATTAAAGGAACGTCCGTATTTGGGGCGACCTGAATCAGATGGGCACCCCTCCGGGTCTTCATCCTCGGAACAGGGGACTACCATCGACCCTGCCGCTCCAGAGTTACGCCGGGAAATTCAACAAATCGTAGCTCAGGACCGCGCCTTGCATGATAAAGTATGTCTCACTTTCTTGTGAACCACCATCACTTTGACTTACCAACTGATGCCAATTCCAATCCTTTTTTTTTTTATCAAAAACTGTAAAATTAGTCCGTCAGAGCATTCGTCTCCTTTGTTCGTGCATACTCCAAACACGAAGCTACCTACATTTTCCAGTTAAAAGACCTCGACCTCATCGGTGTCGCCGAGTCATTTGGCCTTTTGAAATTGCCCAGAATGCCCGAACTGAAAGAGAGGATGCAGAAGGACGAGTCATATGGGAACAGGTGGGAGGCGGTAGACATGAATGTAAGTCATTCGTTCCTTTTCCTTGAAATCCCGTTCCTACCCGCCGAAAACTTGTGAAATTCAGTGGGATACCTATGCTTATGCGGATAAGGGCCGCGAAGAGCAGCGCCTTATCGCATTGACCTCCAAGGAAGAGATAGATGCTAAGAAACGGAAAGAAATGGAGGCTAGGCGAGAACAGAAGCGAAGGAGTGCACCTTGGTCTAGCAAAGTTGCGGCGAAAGAAAATCGAAAAATCCGGAGAGAGAAGAGACAGAAGAAGAGAGAGCGAGAGAAGGAACGCAGAGAACAGGTAGCTGCTGCTAGTGGTGGTGGTGGTGGTGGTGAGGAAGTCTCCGCACCTGTTGGCGATGGTGACGAGGATATGAGTGAAGGGGAAGAGAAGGACGAGAAGGGAGAAGGGCACGGGGGCTCCGATGCTGGTGGAGACACGGAGGCTGATTGGGCAGAGCTCAAAAAGGAGAAACAAAGGTTAAACCGTCCGGGACCAATGGTTGTTTCGTCGGCTTTTGATGATTTATGAATTTCTTCATTACATACAACAAAGCAGGAAATGCATGGAGGAATCTTTCATGATCCACACTGCACATTATAGTCCATTGGACAGTTCCGCTTTGTAAGTGCATTCGTTTCGCCCAGGCTTCAGGAAACGTGGACGTTATAGACAAAACAACTGTCTTCGTGTGATGGAGCTGGAGAAAAAGTTGGGTGTACCTTGGCTGAAAACTATGGGAAAACCTCTTGTTAAACCACTCTCCGCAACCCTAGCCCCGCATCTTTACGGATGATATCTGAGTGTGTAATACGCTCTAGTGACCCATACAGACAAGTGGTAATGCCCCAAACTCAGCTTCCCCTGCCGTGCATACTTCCAAGTGGCGCGCAAAAAACAACATGAGCGCCAGACACTTGACCGGTGGTCTAACACTGACCACACGAAACGGAGGGAAACAGCATTCCTGGCACAGAACCTAGACGATTAACGGATCTATCACTGCATGCAGAGCCGGAGGACTGCAAGTGGACCATGAAATCTGTTGTGTTTGATTTCTTTTTTATATTTCATTAATTTGAGCATAAAAGTCAATTTTCTCTGAGATGGGGGAGGGGGAGCTGGAATATTGTGTCAGTGGAACTAAGACAGCGTTTATATTCCGAGCACGTCAGTGTCGGTATCGTGCAAGGCCACACAATTTTTTTTTTCGCTGGCTTTTACCAATTCTACTATTAGCGCAGCGTTACATTGGGCTGCATGTTGCGGTGGCTTGTTCAATAGGAAGGCAGGTCAGATAATATCTTTTTGGTCTGATAGAACAAGTGAATATATTGGCAGTCCCCGACGCGGAATCGATCTATGTTCGTTGTTGCTTCCAGTGTCCTTGTATTAACATCTGAAGCTGCTGTACAGGGTGGTGAAGAGTCGGGCATCCTCTTCCTAGTGCTGTTGTTTGCGGTTTGGCTAGACAAAATATTCAACTCGGACATTGTCACGGTTCAGCTCCTTCAACGCACGGATAACGCGACCACCCGGTCGAACTGAGTCCCAGGGGTCACAGACTAAATTTTTGTCTCCGGAGGGGTTTCCGGAGTCGCGGCTCTAGCTTTTGCTTTGGCCGCGCGCGAGGATGGGTTTGGGCATTCCTTGGCCACATGGCCGGAATGTCCGCAGAACATGCAGAGGTTGTTGTCGAAGCGGCGCTTTCGCTCCGCTCGCGTAAGCTTGCCATCTTTGCTGAGCTTCGACGACAGATCGGGTTTCTTTGAGGAGGGTGTGGAGGTGGTGGAGGTGGGGGGCTTTGGCTGGCGGCTGATCTCAGACTTGCGCTCCCAGTAGCGCGCGTCGATAGTCTGGGCGAGGAGGCGGAGGCCAGAGAGCGTAGCGGGCTTGCCGACTCGCGAGATCTCATCCTTGATGCGGTCCGGCAACCCTTTGTAAAACTGGTATCGGAGCGCTCCTTCACCGTAGCCTCGGACTTGCGAACCATACCGATTGAACTTCACGACGTATTTGTTGATATGCTGACCATCCTTCATGCTAAGATGGTCCAGCTGGTGTTCTGCCTCACCGACAGGGTCGTGAGGGCCGAAGGTGGAGGTGGGGGGCTTCGGCTGGCGGCGGACCTCAGGCTTGCGCTCCCAGTAGCGTGCGTCGATAGTCTGGGCAAGGAGGCGAAGGTCAGAGAGCGTAGCGGGCTTGCCGACTCGCGAGATCTCATCCTTGATGCGGTCCGGCAACCCTTTGTAGAAGTAGTACCGAAGCGCTCCTTCCCCATAGTCTCGGACTTGCGAAGCGTACCGATTGAACTCCACGACGTATTTGTAGATATGTTGACCATCGTTCATGCTATGATGGTCCAGCTGGTGTTCGGCCTCACCGACAGGGTCGTAAGGGCCGAAATGAGTTTGGAGTTCACGAACGAACTCCGGATAATCATCCATCCACAATGGACAGAACGGCGGGTCTCTCCCCAAGAGGATATCAGGCTCGAACCACTCGAGTGCCATCCCCTTGAGGTAAGACAGAGCGAAGAAGACCTTGTCGCAGTCAGTGTCACAGTCCTGGAAGTTAAGCTTGCACTGAACCAGAAAAACGCGAAGTTTGTGCGGGTCAGTCCCATCAAACTGGTCGGGCTCGCGAACATACATCCTGAGGGCAGAGCTGGATGGTGGGGTGGATGGTGGGGTGGACGGTGGGGTGTAATGGTAAGAACGAGCGAGACTGGTTATCGCTTTCGCCAGCTCATCGAGAATTGCAGGAGAGGGCCGGGATAGCATTAACAGGTGGTACCTCACCAAAAGTCTAAGAAGCAGGATTCGCCCGTGTAATTGATGCTGCGAGAGCGAAGACTGTCGTCAGAATTCAATGTCAATATTTGGATCGAAGGGTGACCACAGCCACACGAGTACGCGTCCACCTCCCATTCCGCTTCGAAAATGGTGGGCCCGTTTCTTTATAACGCGGAGCGTGTATACTAATGAAACCCAACACTTCAGGCCAGAAGATACGATAGTGAGCGCGTTTTGGTCGATTCAGGTTTGATTGTTGTGTTGACTGCGATGGTCTAGGCCGCACAACTATCTTCTCCCCAGAAGGTAAGCTCAGATAGTAAGTATGATGGGGCTTTACTGACGAGCCGATTCTTAAAGGGCGACTGTACCAAAGTTCGCTTCCAAGCCATCTTATATATTGGCTGGGTGTACTTACTCGTGTGAACCCTCGTTTGACTAGTCGAATATGCCATGGAGGCGATTAATCACGCCGGGACTGTTTTGGGAATATTAGCCAAAGACGGTGTGGTCTTGGCTGCTGAGAAAAAGGTCACAGGAAAGCTCCTCGATTTGTCAATTGCTAAGGAAGGAGGGTATGGAGGCAGTGGAGAGAAGATTTTCTTGCTCAATAGGTGGGTTGGTATGCAAATTTCCTCGTCTCTTTATGTTGCTATTTCTATTCCCAGCAATGTCATTGCTGGTGTCGCTGGGATAACAGCTGACGCAAACTCGCTCATCAACTACGCCCGGCAAGCAGCACAGGGTCACCTATTTTCTTTCAATGAAGACATACCCGTTGAACAGCTCGCTCAACGGTTATGTGACCTGAAGCAAGGTTACACGCAGTACGGTGGTACGTAGTATGTGCTTGTAGCGATTGGATTCTGACCGTTCTCACTAGGTCTACGACCGTTCGGCGTATCATTGCTTTACGCGGGCTACGATCCGCATTACCAGTTCCAGTTATATCACTCCGATCCTTCAGGGAACTACAGTGGTTGGAAAGCAACGTCCATTGGAGCGAACAATGGAACTGCTCAGAGTTTGTTGAAGCAAGACTATAAGGACGACATCGACGTCAATGCAGCTGTTGCGCTCGCGATCCAGGTAATGAGCAAAACTATGGATAGCACAACACTTAGCTCAGAGAAGCGTGCGTAAAATCTCCACCGGACGTCAAGAAGAAACTGATGTACATTGTCTAGTTGAATTTGCGATCCTTACATTAGACAAAGAGTCGGAGGCGCCAAATGCCAAAATTTTCAAACCTGCTGAGATTGACGCCTTACTTGCGAAACACGGGATTGACAAGAAGGATGAGGAGATGAAGGGTTGAATTCTAATTTCCAGCTTGTACTTATCTCATTCAGCGCTGATAAAACTTTGCCACCGCACTGGACAGCACGACAGGAACCTTTTCGTCCTCTCAGACCGAGCCATCACCTAGGAATCTAACTGTAATTTTTCGACTGTTGAGTTCCTTGGCCTCGATAATTTGGTCGTCACCAGGTATGAGGTCGATGAATTGGTCACTCCAAGATACATCTTGAGAGCCATCTGCATCAAGTACGATCGCCTTAATAGGCACTGATGTGCTCAGTCTGACCGAAGTAATGTCACCAGATGTGTTTTCACTCGCCACGATTTTCAAACCGAGTTCGGATGGGTGAGGGAATTTTAGGAACTTGAAGGGTTCGGGCCTGTTAAGAGGGTGAGCCTCGGCACGCATAGCGTATGTTGCGCTGTATACCAATTAGCACAACGCCCAACTACTTCTCCGGACCTCATTAAGCGTGCGCTGATGACGATCGGGCGTGGGACCTCGCTCAACTTGGTGCGGATTTGTTGGCCAGGTACTTGACCAGTCCATAATTCGGTGCTACTGTTGGGTGACAACTTGACGGCCCTTTCTTCTTTCCAATTGAATGATCTATCATTAAGATCAAAGGCTTCGACTAGGAGTTCAAGCTGTATTCGGTAGTTAGAATAATATTATAAACAGTGGATGCACGCACTTCCTCGGGGGCAAGAGTAGAATTCGTTCCCCATATCTCTACCTTGGTGTCAATCTCAAAATATGCGATGCTATTTGGCTTGTCATTTGGCGTCGTCTTCACTTCGTTTCTAGTTATCCCCACGGTGAAAGCGGCTAGTTCCCGTTTAACAGCGAAATACGATGGTTTTGGCCGAAGGAAGTAGTCCACTATGGCCCAAGATGTTACTGGCCAACAATCGTTCAACTAACGACCGTCGTGATTAGAAACAGGAAAGTGGACCGGAAGGAACTTATTGACCTGCCAGACTAAAGCTCCGGCAGTATATTCCCTCCCTGGACCTTTCCAATTCCTTCTCCAAAGTCGATAAGCGGAGGCCAGGGTTTCAGCCTGCATCACCTGGGTATAGTAAATGTAGCTATCCATATCAAATGAATGCCGGAAGTTCTCAACGAGGTACAGCTGCGAATGGGAATGTTAATCCCACTTAAATTCACGGTAAGAACGCACGAACTTCAAGACGACGCTCGAAGCCAGCTGCCTTGTTGTGTGAACCGGTGACTCTAGATTGCGGGTACCGCTCTTCCTTGTCGCCGCCAGTCCAGTAGTCTACGGTCCGCCTGTCGGGATATCCCTGCCTGAACATAGATGCGGTTCAGTGTCAAAACAAAACATAACCTTGTTGCGATTACATTCCGAATTCAGACACAAATCTCCCGGAAAGAACGTCCCAGTTATTCCACGGCTCTTGAGATCCATGCCACACATTCCCTAAAGCGGCTGCGAAGTCAGGAGTAGCTGCCATAGAGAGGGATGGCGCTTACACTGATGGAGGTCGCCATACTTCTGGTCCGTCGTCAGTTTCCCAAAGCCGGAATACGGGGATCCCCTATGATATTGTACCCCACTGAGCCTCTCCACAATCTCTGGTAACACCCGTTCATAGATGTGACGAGCTGGAAAGTTGGTCTTGCGGTAATCAGTATCTGACTCGGGGGGATCGTCTGAATAATCAAGCTCAAGATTGTTCGATTCGGCAAGTTGATAGTCCTCATTATTTCCCGCTATCCCAGAAGGGGGAAGGTGGTTCGCAAAATTCGCGATCGATTAGGATTGACGCATTACATACCAAAAATGACGAGTGAAGGGTGGTGCCGAAGTCGCTTGACAGCTTGTTCTGCTTCCATCTTCACCTGATCAAGTATTTCGTCATATGCGGGATACTGGCCACAGCCAAATAGGAAGTCTTGCCAGACCATAATGCCAAGCTCTACACTTAACGGTCAATCGTCAGTGTGGTCTAAATTTGAAGCCTGTAGAACTACTCATACCATCGCAGATGCTATAAAAATCGTCGGATTCGTATATACCACCACCCCAAACGCGGACCATGTTCTGATTCCCATCAACGAGAAGCTGAAGCCACTTCCTATAGCGGTCAGGGGAAATCTCAGTGAGAAAGTTGTCGGCAGGAATCCTAGTGCGTAATATTAACAACGGCGAGCCTAAAAAATAAAGACACAGACCAATTCGACCCTCCACAGAAGATGGGTATATTATTGATCCTAAAATAAAATGTCCTTCCTTCCTCACTTTCGAGCGGGTCTTGGACAACTTCGACTCTTCTAAACCCGACCCGCACCGTGGCGGTGTCTATCACCGTCCGACCATCCTCAGCGAGTAGTTCTACGCTGATGGTATACAGATTCTGCTTTCCGTAGCCTAACGGCCACCAAAGTTCCAGTTCTTTCGGGGATGCTGAAAAGCAAACGGATGACTTTCCCTCCGCATCCAAGGATGACGTTCGCTGTCTGAAGGCAAGTGGTTGAGGGGAGCCGCATATGGAAACTCTTGCCTGTAAAGATGACGCTACGGCGGACTTGGTTGCCTTGGCATGGACAGTAAATGCGACCGAGAGGTCTGACGCAACAGTGGAGGCAATATTGACCTCCTCCAAACACCAAGTATAGCTATGGAGACAAATTGGCTTCCACGGCCCGACAGTGAGAAGAACTGGGCCCTAAGGACGTATTCGATCGATTAAATGTTCAAGAATAATATTGCACATTGAGTTCGCACCCAATCCCATCCATAGCTATAAGAGCAATTGAGCAGGTGTGAAGGTGCATCGGTGAGTGTACGAACTGATATTGAGCTTTCCTAACATGCAAACGGCTTGGATCTCCGTTCCAGCATGCAAGTTTTCCGTGCTGGTCCTGGAGCTCGCGTCCCTTGAGGAAGGTAGAGGGAAACACTATCACGAGAGTGTTCTTTCCTTGCTTCATATACTTTTTTATAGGGCAGCGATACTCAACGAACATGTTGTTCGCACTAACGGACATCATTAGGGCGGGGGAATCCAGTTACCCTGAAGCCAAATACCTTAGGATTTTGACCCCATTCTACAGACAAGGTCATGAATTGCCCAATTACAGCTCAAGCACACAACTTACCAGCTGGACGGTCGCGTACGTATCGAGGCCTTCGAGAACCAAGTCCACATGCTCACGATCGAGTTGATGATCGTCTGCACCGAATTCCGTGCGAAACGCCCAATCAGCCTCCCCGACCCCTGACGCAGATGAGAATCAATCACTCAGGCGAAACGGTCAGAAATCGCACATTGGACGTCATATTCATTCAAACCAATGTGGGGGTCTGGTATTTTCTTCAGCTTTAACAACTAGCACATGCGTAAATTCAAATTGAGACAGTGCCACTGGGTAACCATTTCGTCCGACACCCACCTCGGCTTGAACAACCGTAGGGACTTTACTGACGGGGAGCCATTCTCCATCAGCATTTTCTGGACCACCACCTAGTTGTGTAAACTCCCAGCCTTGAATAATCGGCACGCGTTGGCTTGGGAAGATGGCCATTCCAGGAATGCAGTTCAGTCACGGTAGAAGTCGTTACACGCGAGCGTTGAGTCAAGCGAGTCGTTTATCCGCTTAACAAGTTCGAGATTGAACCCCAGGGTCTTTCAAACAAAGCCTGATGCAGCGATCTCCGCGATTGTGAAATTGTATTCAGAGGTGTCGGCTCTGTGGGTCGACTGATGCAGCACCGAAACCTCGCCGGCCGACTCCGCCAACTCCCATGGTCTCGAGTCCCAAGCCGAACTCGTCCATAATCCTCTGCATCGTCTTGCTCGAAGTTTGGACCATTGCATGGATCCCTCAACCTTTCGTTCTGTGGATTGATATGCCTAAAATAGCATGAAGTAGATACTAGATACATATTGCCAACCGACGATTATGTATCCAGATCTGGTTTCAACTGTGGCGCGATCGAAACCTGTTGGCAAAATATAAAGCCCTAAACCACTTGCAACACACAGTAATCAGCGCAGCAGCTTCGCCTGCGTTAGGCAGACACCGGATATTACACCCTTGCACATTCCGGATTCGTCTGCGCGGATTCGCAATCGCTTGATTGCGATTCGGGTCTCCTAATACCTTAATGGGGTGGACAAACAATGAAGAGACTGATAGATGCACAGTACGTGTAATTGAACACAGGATTCTGGACTCGCTCACTGCCGTTGGCCGACAGAATATCTGGTCCGGACTAACTCAGCAGTCCACTACAGAAGCTGCAGCTGTTTGACTCGAATAGGAGTCGCTGGATGAGAGTGAAGATGTTTGTCCCGCGCGTCCGCTCAGTGACATACCGCTCACAGCACCTCCATCAATCGGTCAGTTCCAACTCTCGCACCCGGCTTCGAACCCAATCCACATCATCCTCAATTATGAAGCGTGGCACCGTTAATCTCTGAAGCGGTACCAGCTCCGCCTGACGGCCCTCCAAGCGAGCCTTGAGCCAGAGTCGAACATCAACTATGTTGTCAAGAGGTTGTTCAACACGCCCCCAAACAGAAACGGTGAGGTCCGTGAAGCCGGGGAGATTGCCGTGCTCCAGTTGGGACGAGTGGGGCGACAATCTTTTGAGGACATAAGACAAGGCCACCATACCGCTCTTCAAGGCAACGGCCTTGAGCGTGGGCGTGTCTATTATCTATAACAGGCATGTAAGGGGTGTTGCGGTAAAAGAGAAGTCACTGTGCTGACTTACAAAATCCTTCACCGTGCAGAGGTTCGCGGGCCGATAAGCTGCATCATTGGTTTCATAGGAGTTATCATTTATGATATCCAAATCGTTGTCCCAACTGGAGTCCACACTCAGGGAAAAATATTGGAGATGCGGCATACTGTATAAGGCAAGGAACCTTGCGATAGCAAAGTTTAAATGGCAAATGGAAAGACTATGGAGAGATGGGATTGAAACTTGAACAACGGCATCATGGGCATGCCAAATGTATGAGCGATCCAGGGTCAATTCTTGGACATTGGCACAGGCACTGATGAAGTCCGAAAACATCAGGCCATCAGGGTGAACTCTGGAGAGAGTGAGAGTAACGAGGTTTGATAACTGAGTGGTGGACAATAACATGAAGATGTTTTCAAGGGACAGGTGACGGAGTGATGTGAGATGTGTCAGAGCTTCCGAATAAAATGGGCGATCGTCCACGTCATATGTTGCGAACAGAGCCAGACGTTCGATGGACTCGCAGTTGAACACTCCCCTATCTCGCCAGAAATCATGGGGACTTGATCCTTCCCAAGTGTCTTCCCCAACCAATGACAGAGATAGAGCGGCTATCCGGTCCTGGACGTCAGGGCTTTCTAGGCCCGCCACCCTTTCGCGTTTATAAATTTGATTTCTCTCATGAAGTTCTAAGGAGAGACCTTTAGAATAGCGGGCATAGGGCGCATAGGAACGGTGATCACAGGGATCCAATCGCACGACAGTCCATATTGGAGGATATGATTGAGCTGCATGTCTCCATGTTGAGCAGACTTGACTGAGGGTGACAGGAGAAGGAAGATACTCATGACCGAAATATGTATTTGGTTGAATTGCATACAGGAAGATTCGTTGTAAAACTTCCACAGGAAGGGCAGCCACAGGTCTCAGGAAGTTGCGAAGTACGGCGCGTCGTTGCCGTAGGGTATGTTCGATTATGTTAATCTTCTGGGAAAGTTCATAAATGGATCGGTAATCTGTATCCATGCATTCTAGGGAATCCTCGATTATCCTTCGGGATGCATTGCGGACTGTGACATCGTACGCGAGATGGACAGGCGAAACGGTACTGATTTCGTGATTGAGAATGTATTGCTGCAGCGTATTAGCATCATGGGACATGCGGTGAAGTAGAGCGGTGAACACTAGTCCTGACATCTTGAGCAGCCAGAGTTAGCCACGAGATTAAACTCGATCGTTTCAGAGGCTTAGACCTTAGCTGTATTGTAGCGGAGTTGTCCGTCATATTGCCATCCACGGGCCGCAGAGGCCCGGCACCTCCGCCGTTTTCTTTGCGTCACCTTGCCATTGCCTTCTATTAGAAATATGAGACTAAGTCGCGTAAGTCTGCGAAATGAGTAATACATGAGTGATAAAATATAAGGTAGAGATATTGTTCTCACCTCAGACTCAGACTAGAGATCTGAGGGAGAAAGTTCGAAAAAAAATTGCTCCCTTATATACGCGACATCGCTCTGTGGCAACATCGTCGCACAAAGGAGTTTCGAGTTTGACAAAAGCGCCAAAGCGCCTCATAACGCCTCAAAGCGTTCCCCACAGAACATCCACTAATCCCTGCTCAGAGAATCGAAGAGACAAGAGAACACATCTCTAAGCATCGGAGATTGTGTGGAAGATTTCGGTTTCCAACCAATATTCGAAAGAGAAAACGCGCAAAAAAGAGCCACGCATGGCACGGTGTCCTGTTTACAAATGCTCCTGGTTGTCAGATAACGGACAATTTATTATGTAGGGGTTTGCGTTGGAACCTTGAATTATATACATCCCCGGGTGTCAATCCTTCAACGCTTGCGATACAGAACAGAGGATACGTCCATTAGATGTGAGAAGCGCATGCATTATAAGATGTGGCATATTCATCCTTTGGAAGTAGGAAGTCTTCAACATATTGCCGTCCTCAGGCCAGGCTTTGCCCGTTAGAACACGTCTCAGAGGTGCCGACCCCAATTATTCTTGCTTCAACTTTAGGATTTGCTTGAGTAATTGAGGACCAAACCCAGGTCCTTCGTCCTGCTGTAGATAAAAGGAGGGGTCGAACGTTAGGGGGCAGTGATATGTGAGCCCTGCAGCAGCAATGGCAGAAAGCTAGCTGCAAGATGATTTTCAGTCAGAATGAGATTCCCACCCGAAATCGGAGTTCTCCCGATTCACGGTGAGCTACATGGGAACTAGTCCAATTCCATGAGCAATAAATTTGGGAATGGTACACTTTCGCTTGCCATGTACTTAGGTTGTGGAAGATACCAATCCATTTCAACACCCCGGAGCGTAATCGATTACTAAGTCGACTAGATGTGGAGCATCTCAGCGAAAAGATGGCCCAGAATAAGTAAATCGTAAAGATTAAGCTTCAGCTGGGTGAGGCCTGACTAGGTCTCTATCAGTAGGCCAGATTACAGTCCACAATGATGGGGGTAGCTAAGCAGCACGTTGCCAAGTAGAGGACACTTGACTGAGCGCGAGGGAAGCAAGGGACGGCGCGCGCCTGGTGGGTCGAAGCGCGAAGTAGAAGATCGTCCGGGGAAGTTCAATAGGTATAAGCATGCGCCCCGAATTCAAAGCGGAGCCTCGGCTCCCTGAAGAATCCAAGGATATTCCCATCAAAATCTGCAAAGCAAAAGTCCCGCTGGGAATGACGGGCGGAGGGATTGTACCAGACTGCGTTGCAATCAATGCTGTCGACAACCCAGAAAACCTCATCATGACAGGAGTCTGACAAAATTAAATGATAATCGCTCACATAAATGAAAATGATGTTTCTCCTATCAGGAGCATCCATTGTCTACAAAATTTCCTTTCCTTGAAATTACCCCATCGGTAGCGTGCCCCAACAGGCGCAAAGTACTTGCGGCGCAAGAGCTCCTAAACGCATTGAATGAAGTTTACCGTCAGCTGACCTATCCCACCCGGAACGACGCCGATCTCATTCAGTACCCATGTCGGAGTCGATCGCGACGCGAATCCCAGTCGACCCACAATCACGCTGAGGTCCAGTCATCTAAATATATATTGGTATCACTAAGATCCTGTGTCCGCCGAATAAATATAGGTATGTACAGCAACCACCAACTCACAGAGACAGAATCCAATTGTTGGCTGGAGTGACAACCAGCCAAAGGCGGTGGGGAGGACACCACGCAAATAGAATCAGACGAAAAATAACGTGCATGTTTAGAGAGGCGGGACGGAATCAGTGTCCGAAACAAACAGGGGTTCATGAATCAAATTCGCGCCTTTCCCTCCTCGTAAGAACAAATCCTTCCCGATGTCGATTCTGCCTTTCAGATAAGTGGATCTACGAACGGAACGCATCATTCGGTGGTGAACCAATCAGCAGCTGGATGACTGAAGACTCACGTATATCTCGATCCCCACTATATGAATGATGAAGGCTGTCCATAGTCCTAGTGGGAACGCAAGACGGACGGCGGCAGCCTTGTTGATTTTTGCCTCGTTCATTGAGGCGTGGACAGCTGCATACGCAGAAGCCAGGCTTTTCCCTGCTTGCTGTGCTTCAACGCAGACTGAGAAATTAGTGACCGAACCCGACAGAGACCGAATTTCGTCGCAGTTAATCACCTATCGTTGAGGGGTTGGTATCCTAGATATTATAGACAGCCAAACTAGCCAACTTACGCTATAGTAGGTACCGATATCGGTTATGGCGGCGCGAGCCGCCAACATGATGAGGCGTGCGGTGATGATAACGCCCAACAGTGCAGACATCCCTAAAAGCCAAGTAATCTTGTGAGTGTCACCATTTTGCCTCGGGAGAGACTAACGAAGCATCCATTTCCGGTGCTGTCTGGTATCGCCAACCCACAGCATTCCAAGGGACCCCGAGATGAGAATCAGGAGACCAAGGATGTAAAACAGCCCTTGCGTAACAGGCAATCCTCCAAGCGCCCGTCGCGCAACTACCCATCCGGAAGCTATGCCGGCAGGAAGCAGGAAGAGTGTGCCGTAACCATTTGCTCTATGGAGAATCATCCTGCTCTGTGATAATTGGAAATGAGTGCCGCGTAAAGGGTGTACTAAAAGGAGGCCTTACATTGCGGATGCCAGGTATGAATTGCAAAACGGCGCCCCAAGCGATGACTAAGATGAAACCATTTAATATCACACGCGATATGAGGGTCGTGGGTGAAGTGACAGTACTGACAAAACGATGTCCACACGTGAGTAACAAGAGCTCCACGATAAGGTGCGCGACCGCCCCAGTACCATTCCCCTGTGATAAGAGGGATGAAGAATGATTCGGTGGCATCTGCACAACAAATCTACCGACGTACCGGGCGGTAAGTTGTTCTTGTAGTTCGATGCTCTAGGATCGAGCATGAAAGAGCGCGCAAGCGCGAACCCCACCAATGCACCCCCGAAGATGATGACTAAGCCGACGGGATGAGTTCCGGTTGAGAGGACTCTGTGAGATAGAGGTCGGGAAACGTACACAGAACCAGACTCCACGTCTCCTTATAGCCGAAGAGATAGCTGAGGGTCGTGTAGAGTTGTCGGACAATACCTGGATATTTCAGAAGTCAACGTCGGGATTAACAATATTGTTGCCTGGGCAACTTAACATACCTAGGAAACCGCTCGCTCTGTTTGGCGGAGAGTGCAGGTCATCTGGCTTTTCGGCTGACTCGGAAATAGGGTCAAAAGGTATGAGAGGGTGAGTGCTCAGATGACGCCTAGATCCAGACGGTGCAAAGGAACCGGGAGAATGGTATAGGCTGGGGTCGTGGCTCGCGGAGGTGACTACGGGAGAATCTGTCGGGTTTGATGTAGTCGGAGTGGACATGGCGTAAAACTCGAGGAAGGGGGTTGCCCTCGTAATAAAAAAAAAAGGGCTTTATGTAGATGGGCGCTTTTTGACAAAGCTGCTTTGGTGATTTTTCGGAAGTTTCCACATGGAGATTGCACAGCACGAATTCTATCCTCCGCTCTCAGCTTCGGCTTCGGCTGCTCGTGGCGAAGTCGACATCACTCCTATCTGTTACGGCTAGCCGGTGAACGTGGTGAACGAATGGCTCAGCATCGTTGTTCCTCCACGAGAGGTGCCTGTGCCTCAGCCCCACACGCCGTCAGGAAAGTCCACCTCCCACAGTGTCAAAGCCTGGACTCAAAACCCAACACATACGTACAGCCAATATGGAAAGTCACACTCTCTGCCCCAGCAAGGTCTTCTCCAGCTTGTGAAACCTTTCTAGATGATACGTTTATCATTCCCTTGCCGGCTGGGCTAGAAGCATAAGTTTGGGGGCGGTGTTAATTCAGAATCACATAACTGTCGTAGAGCCGATCGTCTGTCGCAAAACAGTATCCATTTCTGCAGCGTGGAGGCGGTGCCAGTTGATGTTCGCGTCATGAATTCGGCCATTTAAAATTCCTAGCTAACTAGCTTATCTACTTATGTGATGCACAAACAATGTTGATTGTGCCAAGTTGTTCTACGTCTACCGCAGCAAGCATGGCCAAACCCTCTTCCGCCTCAATCCGCTGATCGAGTTACGATGTCATTTCCACCTTCATGATCCGTCCCGTCCTGGCTGAGTTGTCTCTTTGGAGTGTGTCCTTGAAGGGTAGCACTTTGGGAAATTCATGGAGAGTCAGTGCGAAACACAGACTTCAGCCTATAAATCAGGCATAACACCTACGGCAAGTCGAACTCTTGAATGGGAAGACATATCAACAATGCCAGTAACGCCACTACGGCTTGCAGGATAAAGACGATTCGCAATGAGGAAGCCCAAGAATCGACAGCTTTCTGTCGTACATCAGGTTCTAGTGTAGGGATGATCGATGTTGAGTGACGGATCTTGCGGATGATCTATAGAAGCTTCATTGAGTGATAAGAATAACATTCTGTCCCGGAAGAATCGTACCCTTTCGGCATCAGGTCCCTTTATTCGTTTTCTGAGTGCTGCGACTAGGAGACCTTGAGTGAGCGCGCCGCTGAGGCTCACACCCAGCACCTGACCCGTGGTTCGGAATAAATAAGAGACTTGAAAGGCTAGGCGTCAGCTCAGCTCCGCATTACGGGACACAATATACTTCTTACTTCCAGTAGCTACCGCTATCTCCTCTGGGCCAACGGCAGATATTAGGGCCTGGTGAAGCAATCAACAGATTGCAAAAAATACTATGCTAGAGTGGAAAGCGCACTATAAGGGTAGCCGTGATGTGACTTGACCTGACACAGAATTACAGATCAGCGAATCGGAGAGATACGCAAGCTCGTTGATCGACTGACATCCCAAAACCTGACGGGATGATGTCAACCCAGAACTCGATCTCCGGGGTGCCAGGGTATCTCCAAATGGCTATGAGTAAGGACGAGACAACGGCTGCCGCCGTACTGCAGACAATTAGCCACCAATACTTTCCTGTTCGACGCATGTACCTTGCAACGCAAATAAAATCAATCATGATTCACTGGGAGAAGTAAAAGGTTCAACATACCACCCAGCGAAGACGCTTCCTGTGGAGATCATAACCTAAGCATGATGCACAAGTATCAGTAATCGTTGGGTAATCCAATCATGAGCCGACCGACCGAATTTGGTACCATGTGCAGGCCTGCACTCGTAGCAGACTCCAGCTTGACCGCAGAGAAGTAAAGCGGGTAGTTGTATAACATAGAAAATGCCGTCATGCTCATAGTAAGGTTGGACCAGGCTACACAAAACGGAGTCCGCTGAAGAAAGAGCCTCATAGGAAGCAGTGGTTCATTCGACCAATACACCTCCGTTAGTACGAATCCAATCAACCCCACCGCACTGACAACGAGGAGTCCCCACACCCCAGGATGCGAGAGAGGAAGTTCCTCGGTTGACATCAGAGTGAAACCCAGAAGGAGCGACGCAACGCCAATAGTTAGCGTGAGCGAACCAAGATAGTCTATCCGTTTAAGTTTTGATCTCAGATCAAGTGCCTGATCTGGCCCTTTGAGTCCCGTCGTGGCCGAAACGAAAACAAAGGAAAAGGCGAGAAAAGGGACCTGGAGAAGGAACGCGGAGCGCCTTGTGCAAGAGTAGCATGTCAGGCCAACAGCGCACAAAGACATCTCAAGGTTTTCGTACCATCCCACTCGATCATTGATGAAACCGCCCAAGGGCCCACCAAGTCCGCTTCCAGCACCAAACAGGACGTTCGCAAAGCCTTGGTAAAGCCCACGGCGCCTCCTGATCCAAAATGATGAGCGACAATTAATCATGAAGACAGTGTATAAACACACAGAGGAACAATATCACTGACGGATATGCTTGATACTGAAACGATCATAAAGTCAGGCTCTTAACCACATATATCAATATCTCAACCTGTCATGACGCCACCCCCACCCATCCCCGCAATTGCCCTTGCAGCAATAAGAGTCTCCATAGACGGTGCAACGCCGCAGAGAAATGTTCCTGCGCCAAAGAAAGTAAGAGCAACAAGCATTGCACCTTTCCGTCCTATGTGGGCTCATGGTCTGAGAGGAAACGAGACCAGATGAAAAACCGCCCAGCTGTCTCTCACCCAAAATGTCAGAGAGTCTTCCATAGAGCGGAGTGAAGCAGCAAACGCTCCTAAAGGCATCGGGGTAGGATTAAACAGTGAAATATTCAGCCGGCCACGTGAAAGACGCACAGAAGGTACGCAGTTCCAAGATGGGAAGCCTGATGCGCCTTCTGGAAGTATGACCCTATTCTGCACGGAGATGATGGGACCAAATCTTTTATATTTTCAACGTCCTGTCCAAGGGATCACTTACGGTGCAACAAGAGTAGCAACGATCGTCCCATCGAGTGCCCCCAAAAATACTTCACTCAGACTTCTCAGATCGCACTCTTCAATATAACAGAGATAACAAAATCACCTGCACTCCACAACGCAAAGAGGATCCAAGCCTTTTGGGACATCGGCGGCCCATCGCCCACAGCGACATCAGAGCCGTGAAGGCCTATTCCCGTTTCCGGCTCGGACTCGTTCACAGTGTACCCTCTCCTCTGTCCGCGTCCCCTTAGTAGCGCATCACTTTCGTTGACCATGGCTTAGGAGGCCCCTTCAAAAGACAGGAATCAGAACAAACGTGCTTCGTGTGAGGGTGCCGCACAAATTTTATGCCTCCCGTATTTTCTCACGATCGGCCCCTGGATATAAGCTCGTAATTCTTGAAGCCGAGTGCCAAGATCTGTGGTATGTAGCATAAATGCCCTGTTCGGCGCTACCCTTATTCTACAAATTCTGGCTTCCTGGCCTTGTTACACTGCCGAAGGAGGTCGACCTCATGACGTCTTGCTGCACTGAATCCTGGTCTCTTGTATCCCCACAACCTAGGCCTGGAACCGCCGCTCATTAGTGCTCACGCGTCGCATCTCGGGGTCTCACGTTTCTGATGACCTGGACACCAATTTCTTTTCTTTCTTGGTGGAGCCTCGTTAGCTCTCGCGTTGTAGCTAGGTCACATTGTTGGGGAATCCCCCTTGTGTGTACACTTGGTTATGAAACTGCCTATGCGATTTGCGACCTATACACCAATTCCAATTCCGCAGTGCTGGTGGTCGGTATTGCTGCGCGCGCACGCCGTCCTAGTGCTATCGATTAGCAGGGCCTGAGATTTTGTTTATATAGCGAATTGTCAATCAATCCACGACATGCTCACGTCTGGTGTGGAGTGTTCCCGCAGAGCACCATCTTTTCTCTGGGGAATGGAGAGACTGAGGGTAGTTTTATTGTGAACCTTGTTCAGTGCCCCGTCGTCCATCTTGGTGACCTGATTATCCTCCCAGGAGGGTTTCTTTGAGAAGGAATTCGGCTCGAATCATGTACTACTTTCCATGGAATCAATCAAGAACGAGAGGGTGGACCCCCGCCATACGCGCCCAACCCTCTACCGCAGATCCTTTCTCCCTTCACTAAAGTCTCCCCCATCTCTATCTTATTGATTCTCTCCGACGAACTGGCTTGTTAGCATAGAGCTCGTGCGGAGCCTCGGTAAAATTCGAGCCAGAGATACGGCAAGAGCTCGCCGTTGATTTCTTGCAGTGCTTCACTGACATTTTTACAGGCTCAGCTCTCGGCGTCTGAAACTGGAATCTGGCCGCCACGCATGATTGTGACCTCTGTGGGACTCCCTGCTCACTTATACAGAGGCATCCCGGAATTTCCGGAGATGGCACTGCACTTCAAGAATTCGGTTGCCAACACAGCACTTAATGCTTCAAGGAGGACATTCTGAGTGACACCCAACACGGTGAGGTGACACAGCCGATTGGGAGGCCGCCAATCCGGCAGAAGCTTACAACTACAATGGCATTACCAATTTGGCCTGAGTACGCTGACTTCATGTCTACCCCGTTTTTGCTACCCACACCCGGTTGCTACAACAAACGCTCAGCCTTTGCTGAAAATCCTGAGCTTTGCGAAGCCAAGCTGGTGTCTTTCTCATTTGATTGGGACATTCCTTGCTAAAATTGCTCACCCAACGCAAGACCCCAGACATTCGCAATGCATCCTGGAGTATATTGCGGACCCCTCACTTGTCACTCACCTCGAAAGGGACGATATCCGCATCAAGCACAAACGACTACCAGAGCAAAGAGAAGCATACCACTGGTTGTTAGTCCATTCCTTCTCTCACTCTCACGAATATTTCCCCCCCCCCAGCAGCAAATCTACACCCAGAGAACTGACTTGCTCATTGTCAGAAGGCACTACCTCACATGCCGACGATTGGGCTATCTTCTCGCCCGTCGAAGTTTGGCCTCAAGAAGAGGGAGCAGAGGTTTCAGGGCCCAGTTATGATTCCTCTGTGCTTCATCTCTCCCCGAGATCTTTCTGACCTGTCAGTTTCAAGGTATTACTACCCAGCGTACTTGCATCAGCAGTGCTTGCACTCATAGTGCCTACCGATAAACTCGTGCGGTATGAGCTGCAAGGAATGCATGATCGCGGTATCCCTTTCGCAAAGTTTATCGATGAACAGTTCCCAAATCGTGAAAAGATTTTGACGATCTCGCCATTGTTAAAGGACAATTCTTCTGCGTGGCTCTAGTGGAAAGAAGACGTATAACCCTTTCGTTTCCTTGCTCGGTTCGATCCTTTTTAGTAAGGTTAGGTAAGTTAGCTCGTCGATAACTCGGGAATTAAATACATCGACTATCATCAGTTCCTTTCAAGAGGAGCACTGACAGAAGGTTTGTATTTCCGGAACTCCTGTTGACGGTACGGACAATACAACCAACTCTTAAACCCGATGGCGTCTTCGTGCGTAGGCGAGCCGAAGGCTCTTTTCCCCCACCTCGCAAGGAAGGTTCTCCCCTTTCGAAAGATGATCTTCGCTGGCATGAGATTATCATTCCAGTAGAGCTCAAACAGGACGCTGAAATTGTTCAGTCGGGTTCAAGCTTCCAGCTGCCAGCTACGAAATTTTCATAACATGACCTCTAAGAAAGTTTCGGTCCAGAACCACTCTAAATCCTCGAGAACAAGTGCATCAGAGACTCTAATTGCCAATGCCTCACGCTAGGGATGTTGGTTGTGAATGGCATGATTGAATTTTGATTCTTCGACCGCATGGGTCGCTTGGGATCCTAGCTCAGAATGACGATCACTTTCTGAATTTGATGTTGTCTCAGCGATTGGCTCCGCCTCATTGGTTTCGATCCGTGCTTCTCCTGCCGAAGCTCATGGCCTCGTACATTAAGCACCTGTTTTATCACAATACCTTCTGAAAGCCAGCGTGTTCACTGCAAATATTTCGTCAGAAGCCCCATTGACCCCAGCCGCTGTCTCAGTGGTCGAGGCACGCGTATCATTCCAGTGTCCGCTCCTCACTCGCGTGGCAGCCTCATAGCTGAAGCTGAGTTATATAGAAACGCCGGGGATATCCATCTCGGAGATTGCGTTCCTGCCCGGAGTACGGGGTCGTCTCGAGGTCTTTTTACCGTCAGAACAGTCCCTTCGGGAGATCCTCTCTTGCGGGCTCTAGTCATGAAGACAAAACTGTCGCATGTCTGGGGTCGTGCAATGAGGAGATCCGGGAAAACCAAGGAAAGATCGTGGCGTGTTATTGGCCCAGCCTCAGAAACTTTTGGAATTATTGGACCTCCGTTGGTTCAGCTTCAGCTTCGCGGGTGTCGAGTACAACGGCCAGTCTATTTCCTCCTGGAAAATTGGAAATTACACGGCTCAAAGGGCGATTTTCTTCACCACAATCTTTACAAGTCGCATTCATCAGACGCCCAGCTTGTCAGCGGTTTAAGTCCCTTGCATCTGGGGCAGACCATGTAACGGCAGGGGGTTGCACTGCGTATAATGAAGGCATATTTTTTTGCTATGAACTCCGTGATAGGTTCATGTATGCATCGTATGAGATGCGGTTACCCAACGTCTCTTCGAATGCGGATTCGTTAGCGGATTGGAGATCGGAAAAATGGCCCGCTTGGCCATTTATCCCTAGCCGCCACAAGGGCAGAATCCACTCGTTCTTCAAAGGCAAGGGATTTGAAAGGTACGTAATGGAGGGAAGGATCAGGAAACCCCGCCTGTGCATGCGAATGCCCGACCAGGATCCTGTGCTCCAATGCGCAAAATGACTATTGAATGGTTTTCCAGTCCTATACAGAACCATCCATATCAGCACAAAGAAAAAGGATCCAGGATCATGTCGATACCGCGTTCGCGGAAGAGAATCGGGGTCGATTGGTCGGAAAGGTAAACGTTGCTCCCGGCAACGGAGGTAGATTCAACGAGGAATGGGTATTTAGGTCTGTCGCAGGATGCCATATCGGAATCGATCGAAATTCCTTCACTGGGATCATCGGGATCCACCATCAAATTGTTGTGCCTAATATCGCGGTGCAGGATCCCAGCCTGTTCGTACAGGTCGTGATGGGCTGCACCGACGTTAGCATAGGATGGCAACTGCAACAACGTAGATAGCACACCTTCGATTCAAGTCCTTTATATAGCGCGGTCCCATGGCCTGAACGCAGAGTTCACAGTTCTACTAATATTGCTGGTAGCATTATCTGCTCCCTCTGAGAGTCGTCCGATGGTGACAGAGCCATGATGCCTTGGGTTCCCCGCGCGTGAGCCATCCGAAGAAACTCATCCTCATTGTGCTTTGAGACTAGCTACCATACACACTTAACAAGGACCGTTTCAGGTACGGGGTGCTCGCGTTCGGACCCATGCAGCCTTTGAGACCCATAGACAGTGATGTAAAGAGGTCCCGGTATGAACGACATCAAGAAGTTTATATATTCTACCTTTAACTTCGATTTCATGACCCCAGTGTCCCACCATTCTCTTCGGCTCCCCTTGGCACCAGATGCTTTGGAAGACGACTCAGAGCCCAGGCGCTCTTTGCTTGCCAGAGAGACAAAGAATAGTACTTGCACTTCTGTGTGCAACTTTCAGCTGGAGAACGGTCGAAGAGACGGAACCAGCGCGATCGAAGTACCAGAATCACAGCCTTCTTCCTTCAACATGCAGACCAAAACGTGACGTCTGTTTCCAGTGATGAAAAACATTTTCATGGCACATTTGGAGGATGGACAGCGGAGGAAGATGCTTTCGGAAGGGGGAGGATGTCGCAGTTTTAGGCGCTTACACGGTCTGCGGGTCGTGTCTGAACCTATGGAGCAAAATCGCGAGGCCGTCTCGTACCACCCAGGGGAATATGCATAGCGAGGCTCTACTTCGGGGCCGTGGCTGGCATCATGGCGATGACCATCCCCGCGTGTCTGCTCCCGAGGCGATACAACACATATACCGATTGGGGAACTGTGAAGCTGCGAGATAGTACAGCCCTGGGTCTTTCACCGCTCGACCATTGAATACGGGTTTATCGAAACATTTGCATCTGTCTCGGAGGCACCACACCCAGTTTAATTCATCGATGTTTCGCAAGAAGCCTAGTTCTGTCTCCTAAGTTATTTCTACTGCCTTAGTAATGTTACATAACCATCTGGGATGGTCAATGCCCGCCCAGAAGAGCAACATGGCATCTTGAGAGTGATGTGTCGAGCAAGGCGAGGTGCACTTAATTGTAGTTTACAACGCACGGCTATGTCCGCATTGAAATATGACGCAAACTTGCGTGAATGTTAACAATATATTATGAACTCCGTGGAGCAAATCTGGGATAGTGGCATGAATCACGTCGACTATCTGCAAGAGCATGAAGCTTTACAGACAGCAGCACGCTGTGCTTGGGCACCAAGCGTTGTGGGATTCGTTATTGAAAATGGTGGGTACGTTGCGACGAATCAACATGGACCCTGAGTTCGGAATCAGCGAATGCATCAAAAGGAGCATAGGAGGTAATGTCACTAGCTACAGGCTAGAGCTGAATAGTAATAGTAATATTTCTGGATGCAGACACCATCGCCATTTTCGTTCGTGCTCAAAACGCGGGTGTGATCATCCGTTGTGGCGAGGAGGAGACAATATTCGAGAATTTCGAAGCTTCGCCAACGAATAGAGCCGTGATGGATTGCACAGGGAAGCTTGTCCGCTCGTTTCCCGGTCCTGCAATTTCCATCCGAAACAACATTATGCAGGATCTGGATTTTCTAGAAGAATTGGCCACATTCCTAACTGAGATGAATGCTGATGATGAGGACATGATGGACGATGATCATTTGCGCGAAGAGAACAGAATGGATGGCGATCAACCACAGGAAGAGGACACAATGGGTGGCGATCAACGGGAGGACGAGGACGAAATGGGCAGTGACCGACTACAGGATGAGGACGCAACGGATGGCGATCTACCGCAGGACAGGGACACAGTGGACGGCGATCAACCGCTGAATAAGGGAAGCGCTCATTCGCGGACACAACTCATCCGAAGTACATCACTGAATTGCTGACTGGGATACTGCGTGGACTAGGGGAGCCTGCTAACATTCCTCGCATCCAGAAGAGGACATCGAACGATGTTCTGCGGAGAAGAACTGCTTCTGTCCCAAGGCGGCGCAGCTCCCTCTGGCTCGTTGTTCGCGTCGCGTTGCAAACTACGATTCATCGAGGCACTTCGAACATGAAAGAATACAAGGCCTTTATGGTACTCCTTCTAGCCGAGATCCTGCGGAGCGGTCTTGAGAAGTGTTTACCAGGACATATCCTTTATTGCATGCGGACCAAACTTAGCCGTCGACTCTTTAAAATCCGATCATGGGCAGCCCCGTCTCTGACCACATTTGTCCACGAGGTTGTGCTTGATACTGAAGGGCTGCTCCAAGATCGATGGAAGAGCATTCAAGATGCGCACACGCGGACACACAAGTGGGCACCAGACGAGCTAGATGTTATTGGGGACACTAGCCTCAACTTGAAAATTTTCAGATCCTACATCAGTGCCGCTCTCGTCTCGGGGATTATCGCCAATCCTAATGCTGCATTCCAACCACATCATCATCCACGATCATTCAATGATCTCCTCGATGACGAACCCGGCAGTTTTTCAGCAGCAGTAAAAGCCAATGGGTTTGTTGCGCTTTGGGATTTTGAGCGTTGCGTGAAAGATTGCGTTGACGAATGGGTATCTCGGCAAATCTCCGACCAGAACTGCGAAAGGGCTTGCGATTTAATCCCTCATCACATGACGACATACGCTGAAGAGGCCGAGAAACTGTACGAAGGGGCACCAGCGGACCAGTCCATTATGCTCCTCACGCTTTTTGAGTTGTGGATGGCACTCGACATTTTGGCAATAACTAGCTGTCCTCTCTTGAAGGATTATTCGCCCGAGGTTCCGCTGACTTTATATGAGAGCCTCCTGCTTTCGAAATCCGAGTCGTTGGCACGCATCTCGAAGATCCAGACGTACCTGCGCAAGCGCTATCACGAAGCTGGTAGTACCCCTCGATCAGTTTTCTCAGAAACTGTCGATGAAGAAACCTTCGCGGTCAGATTTTTCGACACCTCTCCGTCACTCCAGAATCTTAAGCGCACCATGGAGGAACAGGCGGGGATGAGCGAACAACCTCGCGAGCTTCGCTTGCTAAATCTAGAAATAATGGAACAAGCAGGTACGACCTTACATAAAGGAGGCAAACGTGTTCATAATCGGGGACTCAATTGGATCATTAAGCTCTCACACTGTGGATCGCCTGAGGTTCGGGCACAACCCGGAATCTTGCGAAGAATGCCGTTTAAAATGGCGGGCAAGTGCCCTGAGGACAGTTATTCGCGAATGGCCTCTACCGAAAGAACCAGTGCGAGCCAAAATCATTGTGTTTGAACGAGCAGTTCCTAGACTTGGAGGGAGACTACTTATCGGCTTCTCCGTGACATCTATACGTCAAAGGAAGGGCACTTACGACATGGGAATCGTATGTATATCTGCTCAGAGCCCCCTTTGGGTAAAGAACGTCGTGTCCCAAATTCTCGACAACGAATATCGTTGGCACCGGACGTAGAAATCCCAGACGAGGAAGGTGGTGTTTGTCACACGTATACAGCTTCCTGTCAGCTGTGGGACAACAACCATCGCAGATGGATATATCCTCCATCTGGTGACTGCGGTCTGAGTCACAGAACATCCATGCGGATACCGAGACAGTCTCGGAACGTTTCTCCCACACTTCGAACGAAGTTCTTGCAAGCCAACATAAATGTCCCTTTTCCCTTAGTCTACGCAGTTTCGTCGCCTTCGGTTCGTTACGCGCTGGGGTCCGGTTGCAGTGGTACAATATTGCCCGAGAGATTCCCTGTGGAAATCTAAATTTTCAGTGTGAGGAGGTGTATGACCTCGTATCTCAGGCTGTGTCTTTCTAGTGATGGTGTTTGGGAATGTCATAAGAGGTGCCATTCGGTGATGTGTTATTGGACGTCCTTGAACAGCTGGGGACGGATATAGAGGGGAACTGGCGCCAACTATCTATCGAACCCGGAAAGTACACTGGCTTCTCGACTGTTGGCCTCGGCTGTGGCACTACCGATCATCAACAGAACGCACACAATACTTCAGAATATGCGAGACACCACTCTGCGCTGGTTGCACGAACTTTTGGTACTTCAATCACACGCCGAAACCGAAACCGAACGAGACAGATATCATGAAGCAATATGTCAAACAGCCGCGATTTGTAGGAGTTCATTTGATGTCGATGCGCATCATGCTAAATCGCTGCTTCGAACTCCGGAAGATGTCGCCATATTCATTGAATGTGCTATTGTGCTTTGCAGTCATCCTCCCAAAGAACCCTCACCGATGCAGACCCTCATTTGCATCAGTTGCTTCTCCGAGACAAGCGCCTGTCCTGCAGGATGGAAGAACTTCTTGTTACCCGCATCCAGGAAAGGGGACCATGCTAGGTATTAACAAAGCGATATCAGCTGTTTGGAGTGGCATCGATCCAACATATTGTTGGACAAGGCTACCAAGACCTAACGACCGTTGGTTGACCACTACCGTAAATGGCCAAAGGACACAAAACGTTCATTTCAACGTATTATGTGGTGCTTTGCTCATTGATGGAAAATCACCGGTCGGTTGCCGTTTGACATTCGCGGGCATCCAATATACAAAGAACTCTTTGGTGCAGTATGGGACTATGCTCTCCAGTAAGACCCGCCGATTAACGGTTCATCTGCAGAGAAACCTGGAAGTTGTTCCATCGGATATGGAAGACATGGACTATGTTAGCAAGGCTCACATGTTCCACGAGTCTCGGCTCAAACCAAGGATACTGATGAGGTTCGTCGAGGCAGATGAAGGAAACGGACTTGACTAATTCTCACCATTAAACAGGCAATTCACTTTGGGTGGCGAGATGGAAGGCTCGTTCTACGAAGCAGATCCCTGCGCTTAATGGGAAGAGCTGTCGGGTCTTGGAATTGTTACCAGGTGAAATCTTTGAAGGGGATCTGCCATCTATCCTAGTCAAGGAATATCTTCATTGGATGGAGTTATCTACTTGTCAGATTGAGTTTCGGCCTAAGAAGGCACCCTGGACATCCTCCCGATCGAATTGGCACCTCCGTCGTACTGCATGCTCCACATGGGTCATGGATAAAGGGCCTCTGTCAGACTAGTTGACTGTCAAAGCCACACAGGGGAGATGATTCGTGCTATCCTTCGTCCACTTGAACCTGGAAACAACATCCTTATCACAATGGCAAGGTCGTCGATGCAAGAATTCTTTCCGGGTTTCGAAATAGATAGTAATCAATCAACAGGCACAATGCTGGGCCTACGCAGTCAGCTGGTTTTGCGCTGGAGCAGAGATCTCGCTCTTGGCGTGGAGTTCAATCATTTGAGGCGTGTCATAATCCCGACGGGGGATGTGTCTATCGTAAGTGATGGTGACCACGTCACTGTTACGGTTGATGACTCGGAATCGTCACGCGCCAAATATTGTGATTATGACGTTGATGTCGTACTGGGTCGTCTAGTTGGAGATGGAAGCTTGCCCAGCATATTATTCCAGTCACTTCTTCATGCCGTTACTAGTTACTGCTTGCCTGATCCTCTCATGTCATTGTCAGGAGTCGAGGAAGCGATCCAAATCCTCCGCTCAGCACGTTGCAAATCGTTGCAAAGTCTCGGTGACTGGGAGCGGCAACTTCTGCATCAGTTATCGGCGTTAACGCCACCAAGGATCGGGGAACTGCCCGATCGACTGCTCAGTCGACTGCTCGATCAACCGCCCGGCCGACCTGGGTCGTGGAAATGGGAACGAGGATATCGGCAATGGGAACGCGAACGGGAACGGCAATCGCAACGGGAATGGGACCGGGAACGGAAACAGCAATTGGAATGGCAATGACAATGGCAACTACGACGGCAACAACGACGGAAGTGGGAATGGCAATCGCAACGGGAACGGAGATTGCTATCGGAATGGATACGGGAAATGAATTTGAGAAAGCTTTGGGAGCATGGTGTCGGAGAAGTCGTTTGGAATGAAGCGCTTGGTCCGCTTGTCCAACACTGTGCCTTTTGGGATGAGGCCCGATCTATTTTCAAATGGGTTGACGGAATGAGTGTCGTTGATCCTTCCATACGTTTCGGAGGATCGGAACGTCATTCGGGAGAACTACGTCTGCTCTCCCGTGCTGGATGTCGCAATGCAGTCTGGTACGGCCCAGATCTTCCATCGGCCATGCGGGGTATAGACGTGATATATAAATCCAGGGACGCTGACAAAGGACTCGATACCACCCGTATTTGTGCCGCATCGAGTGTCTCTAGTTTGGTATACCATTGCCCTCGTCGGCTAAAGACACCCAAAGACCTTTCGTCTCGCTTGTCTCGCATTGGATGGTGGAGGGGGGAGTGCCATCCCCCGATCACTTGTCGGATATGCATTTGGCACTCAGCAAGGAATGGCTGCGTCTGAACATGCGGGACAAATGGATACCTTTGTACAATGCGTGTCGAACAGAAGAATGGGGAAACCGTACTCGTTTCAAATTGATGTTTAGTCTTTCGGCACTGCGCTACTCTGATCTTCAATGGGAAGATTTGGTCCCTGTCTTGCTTGCATTCACACGCTACTCCGAGTTCCATTCCATTGATCCGCCACCGTGGCCTCGATACGATTTGGATATGGACTATAAACTAAATACATTCCGCCTCGAAGATGCCATTAGGGGATCCCTTCCACGCAAAAGTTTTTCCCAAACATTTTCTCAGGCTTCTTTTCTTGTCAAAAACTTGATTGCTCAATGGGATCATGAACCCACAGGAGCGCCGATATTACCAAGTCTGCCGAATGGCGATGTGTGGCTGATCGACACCTCTTTCGCTATGGCCGAGGTGACTAAGTTGTTTGAATCGTGGTTTAGAAACTGGGAATTACGCCAGCACATTCGGGCAGTCCAGACGGTGCTGGACAAACACCGGACTCGGACTTCAGATACTCCGGTTCTACCGATATATTCGTTTTCGACCTCCTTACAACTCAGAAAAGTGGAGCCGTCCATCGTATCATACAGTGACGTCTTTCTCCGACGACCTCCGATTCTTGCGTGTCCACCTCCCCCTCTGGAAACGGAAAGATGGTTGACCATCAAATCGTCTTCGGAACGCAATAATCTCAAAGCTCTCATTTCGACTCTCCTGTCATCCCACGATCCGATATCCCAGAAATATAGGGCTGATCTCGAGGGTAGTCGCAATGCATTGCATCACGATGTACAAATCAGCGCGGAGCGGGTGGAATCCCTCCAAGAAGAGCTTTATCGCGATCACCGGATGCACCGATCTCATCTCGCTCACGTGTTGGGGCAAATCGGACGAGCGCTCAACCCAGATCCTCAGTCAGAGCAAGTACAGGAGGTCATGTAGGTTGCAGGACTATGTCCGAAGAGCACCACTCGTTCATTGCTGCACCACCTATCATTCTCATCGCGTTCAACCGTAAACTTATCCCCCTAATGAAGAATGTCCTCGTTTGCCTCGAGTTATCCTGAGCAACGTAACTTCGAAAGGAACCCGTTGATTATCAACTTCTTCCTCTGTCAGGTCGTTTTCCCAAAAGAAGCCAAGACATTTCCTCAAAAACTCTCCGCATCCGGTTGGAACATCGCCGAACGAAGGCAACACATAACAACGGGTCTTAGTGGCACCAATGACAACCGCTATCTTCTCCCCACTTCTATTGAACAGGATGACATCCCTGCGCAATTGAGTACAAATGCTAAGGTGTTGAATATGATCCTCCAGCCTGAGAACGATCACTACCAAAGTGCAGCGAGTAGCAAGTTTCTGGACCTCATCGTCAAGGAGACCCCTTAAATCCGAGTTTTGTTGGATGTGGGCGCTCAGATGTTAGAGTACTCCAATAAGGAATTGGCATCGATATGGCTTTCGCAAATCTCTGCAGTGGATATAGATGCTGTGATCTTCTTCTCCGAAGATGACGAAATCCTCGTTATTAGGCGTGATGGAGTGACGGAACCGTTCATCTCATCGTCATACAGACACCAGCTTGATCGCTGTCTTGTGCACCTGGACGATTCCCATACAAGAGGCACAGTTGCCCGCCGATTATCGTGCCGCACTTACACTAGGTCCGAAAGTGACAAAGGATAGACTAATTCAAGGTGAGCCTTTCTATTACTATTAAGACGTAATCGAATCAGCAAGTATTTCTTCAGGATGTATGCGAATGCGCAGGCTGGGTAAGGGACAATCTGTCTTATTTCTCGCCCCTCCAGATGTGGATCGCAAAATTCGCAAGCTCTCCAAAAAGATCCACGGAGAACGAATTGGTGTATACGACGTTCTTTCCTGGTCCATCAAGGAGACATGTGTCAGCCTAAGGCGTGATAGTTGTGATTGGAGAGAGCAAGGCATCCGTTACATGGACAGGCAATGTGCATGAAAAGAGTTTGGACATCCCGCATCGGTCGCACCTCAGTGTTAGAAAAATATTGGTTGAGACCCGAGTTGAAGTCTCTTGAGCAAATGTATGAGGCACCATTGTCCTCCGGGCCACTGGGAGAGGAACCGTCACATCCTGCAGCCGATTGGAGCGAGATCAAGCAGAAGAACGAGACTTTCTCATCCTCCACAATGAGTTGGCTGGTGAAAATGGCAGAAGAGCAGGAACGCGAAGTAACCCACGAGCCTAGGCGCGAGCTGGAGGCTGAGTCACCACCTTTACAGCCTGCCCGCCATCACCTCCATCCTGATGTTGTATCATTCGTATGCGACGGTCAAATCCCCACATTTTCTCGTACTTTCATCTCGCTCTTTTCCTCAATCACAACCCTCCCTCGGTCTCAGCAAGACACCAAGTGGTCACGCAACCTTCTTGCAACCAGCGACTTCGTCACCGCAATCAAGGATTCGACTGCACGGAAAGGCAACGAGTTTCTTCGGCCTGTCAACTGGATACTGTCTAGTATTCACGGATCGACGCTCGTGGTGTGCAGTCCTTTTGAGGTGAATGAGTTGCTCCCGGAAATTCGCCGCAGTGGCAACGTCAGGTTGCACATGTACTCTCCAAGAACAAGTCAGCCGATGAGGTCCTTCGATGATCTCAAATTTTACACAATTCCATCCTTACCGGCGACGTGGACTTACTCGGAGAGGCTCACAGTCTCGCAGCTCAATATATTCTCAGGCCAGTTATACATCAACGACTTCGAAACGTATCTTGAACTTTGCAATCTTCTGGGAATCAACACCAGTCATGATGGTAGGAATGAAGTAGAAACACAAATTGATGGTTTTGTCCTACCCAAGAAGCGTACCCGGGAAATGAGATTGGTCTGCCCTTTTAATACCAGTCCTCTGCCTTTCATCCGCAAGGTAACGAGTCTCCGGAGGAAGGGCGAGTTCTTCCATCAGCCCGTAGTTCCCACCGCCAACACGCCACGCTCAAGGAACGTCCTATGCCTCTACTCATCTTGGGCGAATTGTTGATGGAGCATTCATACCGCCAGAGGAGTTTTGACCGACCATTACTGATCGTGTGTATAATCGTCCAACTTGCACATTCGCAACTAGGCGTATATCGAGCCAGCGGTACTCACTTCACAATTGTAATGCTCATTTTCCGGCAGTAATGGGTGGGCGGCGGATAAATGAATTTGCATCATGAGGTCACAGCATCCCAGGCCAGCTGAGTTGCTCATCCCATCGATCCAGTCCCACTGACACACGCGTGCAAACTGTATATGATATATTGTCAGGAGATATCGCACACTAGTGTGTACACCAAGGATCCCACAGTAATCCTACGGTGCTGATGCACCTGGCATAGGAGGGCGGCTATCCGAGTTCGCAGACCGGGTGAAAACAAAGGATGAGTGGCAACACAAATGGAAATGAGAAAGGTTGGATGGCGATCACGCCTCGAAGCGCTCCCGCCTCCCAAAGCAAGTGTGTGCGGTCCGGGCACCTTGCCTTCAAGGCAACCTTTGTACCAGGCAACCTTGGACCCTGACCACTGGGCTGCAACTTCTAACAGCCCCATTTGTTCATATTCTCCCCCGAGTTATCGGTCTACTAAAGAAGTTTAAAAATCCTGGCAACCCTGGGGCGATGGCTTAAGAGCGGCTGGTCGCCTGCATAGGGCGATGGCAGAGATGTATTGGATAGAGGAGACTGTTAAGCAAGCAAACGGCAGTACATCCCAGAACTCTGGTCGGTCCACGTGTGCCGAATAGTCGAATGTGGTAGCCAGCCTGCAAGTACCAACACTGCCACAATTTCAATTCAACCTTCGCCCGCCGCCGTACAGACATCCGAATATAAAAGTGAGTGTCTTTAGGATGGTGGAAGCCATAATGCATCCAGTCTGTTCGGGGCTTTCAAACTTGTCTTTCGGTTCCCCCCTTATGCTGCGTGGACTTAGTAAGGCGCCTTCGCTCCGTTCCGATCGGAAAGGCACACACTCTACCATGCATTATTGGGACACCCTATATATGACGTCGAGTATAGAACGATGTTGGATATCCATCATCGCTGGGTCCCATATGTCCCGAAGAAATTCATGACAAGCCAGCAACCACAGGTACGTTCTCAAACTCCACTTTAGTACTTCTCTCAGAAGACAAATGGTGGCTGTCATCCTGGCGTGACAACCACCCATTCCATGGGTGGTTGATCTCCGCATATTGCAAGTCCAGTGGGGACCTAAATTAGGAGGGGTCTTGGGATGCACCGAGTGCCACTGGCGGGCGCCACAGCCCAGTCGCCGCATGGGTCTTGTTATCATTGATGTTGGCGGAGGCGCTGCTGTCCATGTGAAAGATCCAGGAAATCTATGACAGGGACGTTGTGGAAGGTTGCCAACATGAAGTACCCTTGGACGAAGGCATTATTCAGCAAAGGCGTCCCGGTGGTTGCGCGACGGAACAGTGTAGGTGGACAGTATGATTCCCAGCGATAAAGTTTGTACGGTCAGACAGGCACGTAGGCGCTAGATCATCGCTTTAGGGGCTGCCGGCTTGTTGGGACAGGAACCGGTTTCGCGCATTCAAGGATAAAGACTGCTGATACACCATCAGACACTAGACACACTGCTATGACTAGCCCGATATGGACGTAGCTTCGGCACACAATAACGATGGGCTATCATTTTGGCTGACTACTGTGTTTTATTTTATGATGCGTCAGGGCTACGCTATAGATTGGGGGTCGCACAGACGCGTCGGAGAGGCAGTGTCAGGATCTCGCACCTCGGCACAGCGCGGGTGTAGGTTGGCGGGGCGGCATCAAGACTTGTATTCCAACGTAAAACTCTCGCCCGATTCACAGACAAAAAGCAATGGCGATAAAGGGGCACTGCATGACCAAGTCGCAGGGAAGCAAAGACAGCTTTCAATCAAGTCATTGCATATAAGCAGACAACACTTGTGCCATTTGTGCGAATAACTGACAATCAAACAGCACGGTGTGGTTTATAAGGTAAAATTGAAAAAGAAGGTCGTAGTCGATAGACACAGGATAGTTTTCAACAACTACCAGAGTGTCGATTCGATGCTAGGCGGGTAACGAAAGTAACACGTCTGTCTGTGACGAGTTCAGACCACAAGCAGAGGAAATATCAAACAGTATCTGTGAGGCGCAATCAATGTAGAATAAGAGATCAGGAGTTTGGGCTATCATTCCATGTCAAAGCGAGGAGGAAGTATTATTATAAGTCAACGCGAATAGGCACAACGCTTATGATAGAGTTCACCTGTTCGGAAAAGCAATCGCTATGAGACGACGTAGGCGTGATAATTGGCCACGAATCTATTCCAGGTCACCGAGGTTTTCACGCTATGATTTACTCCATTAGACAAATACCCAGCAACAGCGAAGTTCAACGGATGCCTACCAAGTTGACCTTGCGCTTGCCACTCCCGGGCCAGTAATAGTCAGGCTCAGCCTGGTTGTTGACAACGTAGTCAGAGAATGCCTCCTGAAGTCGGGTTGATTAACTTACGTCATCCCGCTAGAAACAGTACGATAATGGTCAGCACTGAATCATGAAGATGCGTGAGGAATATTCACCTTGTGGAGTTCACTGCCAGGCGAGGCCGTATTCTGAACACAGGACAGAGAACCATCAATACCCAATCTGCTACGACAGAGCGCCTGAAAAATGTACCGGGTCCTTCTAAAGGGGAAACGTCAGAACCCTACTCTAGCTGCGATCTTGGTACCAGTCGGAACAAACCTTGGCCAAGTCCTCCAATAGTATCTGTGATACAAGCAAGAGACATAAGAATTGTCATTACGATGGCCATGCGGAGATTACACTTACTCGACGAGCTGCCTTTATCTAGTTATAAAGGTGAGCATTAATAATACTAAGCAAATCCCGTCTGGTTGCCGGGAAAGTTCCAAACAACATACTTCAACGTCTACTATGATGCCCTGGAGAAGATGTGATGTTAGGATCAATGCGCATTCACGTAAAAGACACGAAGGATATGGGAAGGGGGGGGGCACAGGTCACAGGCCTGAAGAAAGGAAACACGAACCTCTGGCACAGGAATCGCGGAAACAATTGAGCTAAGAGCGAAGAGAGTCGAGAAGATCATGGAGGTACGCATGTTGGTGCCTCAGGTGTTACGACAAGGAATACAGGAGAATTTAGAGAAGAAAGCAGAAAGTTTGTTGGGAGAGGGAGTGATGAGGGAGGTCCGGAGGCACTGAACCAGTGGGTGCTTTATAGAGCGTTGTCAAATGAACTTAACCTAAATTAGGAAAAGGGGGAGTGCATCAGTAATTCAAACCTAATTTAAAAAGGCACGTTTAAGGAACCACTTAATTCAAATTACAGATCCGATTTACTTCCGGCTGCAAGGCAACAGCGACCATCGTTCCTGATTCCACTCGACCAGAGCGTTCAGCGTCGCCCTCAATCCCAAGTCGAAATTTGAAAGACTGAGCCATACATGTGTCATTCTGGACTATCAGGGCCCCTGAGATGAACGCCGGGAGAATCCTTGCCAGAGAGATGGCGCCACAATTTCATTGATGAAGCAAGCGGGTATTCAGTCTCCCAGCAGATGCTGTGTTTGGTAGAAAATCTTCTCATGCGCTCAACTTCGTCCGCGGTGAGGATACACGTTGGGCCTCAGGTCCTCCCTCTTCCACAAAAGTAAGATTGCCCTCAACCTGTTTGTACGCCACTCCAGGGCACACCTCATCAGGAACACCGCGGCGGCGGTGCGCCGGGGGTCGCTTTTCAAGCGCTCGGCGGCCTAGCATACATGTGCTACTTCTCCCATAGAATCACCCTCGTGTTCCAGTACAGCGCCCGGTGGAATCCTCGCTAACTCAAAACGCCCGGTCGCTCTTCCTGGCGGGCGGTCTACAATATCCCTGGGGAAACATGAGAACTCATGAGATCAGTCCGAGCGCTTGGCCCTTCACTTGTGCCTCAGCTCTTCGCATGGCTCACGGTTCCTAGGGCGAGAGATCCCTCTCCTTCCCTTGCAGTACTGACCGCGCCAATTCATTCCAAAAGTTCAAATGCCAATTAACAACACATCGAGCAACTCCCACGTAATAGCAGACTCGTACCCAGTCGGAGGAGCTCCGTGGACGCGCAAAATAATAGCTTTTTTACGCAATGTAAATAAACGTTCTCACACTGGTACTCGACTGCTTCCGATGCTAGTCACGTTCTGTACTCAATACAAAAGATCACATGGTACGGAGTTAAACAAATATCCGATCACCTACTCCGAAACTTAGCCCGCGACACTTCGCTCCTCCGACTGGGGCAAAATGTAGGTGGCGATGCATCGGAAACACCCGACTCTCACGCTAAGCCTGAATGAGTTGTACATAGAGGTTGCGCAATGTAATTGTTAGTGTTGACACATGCGGTCATTATACCCAACCCAACCCATAGAGACTTGGAAGCACCTTGAGGGTTGTGGAATCGACAACCTGGGCATGTGCAGAAATTAACGCTTCATATAATACTTCTATAGCATCCTGTAGCTGGTGCTTTGGAGTGAAGCGGTACGAGCGTGAGCTGAGGCTATGCAGCCTTTTTTGGCTGCGGGTGTTCGATTCCCACTCAGTGAACCTTTTTTTCTCCTTCTTTACTCCTTAGTGTAAATGGGAGGTTGTTACAATTATTCCTGAGACCATAAAAAAAGGTTCATTGAGTGGGAATCGAACATCCGCAGCCAAAAAAGGCTGCATAGCCTCAGCTCACGCTCGTACCGCTTCACTCCAAAGCACCAGCTACAGGATGCTATAGAAGTATTATATGAAGCGTTAATTTCTGCACATGCCCAGGTTGTCGATTCCACAACCCTCAAGGTGCTTCCAAGTCTCTATGGGTTGGGTTGGGTATAATGACCGCATGTGTCAACACTAACAATTACATTGCGCAACCTCTATGTACAACTCATTCAGGCTTAGCGTGAGAGTCGGGTGTTTCCGATGCATCGCCACCTACATTTTGCCCCAGTCGGAGGAGCGAAGTGTCGCGGGCTAAGTTTCGGAGTAGGTGATCGGATATTTGTTTAACTCCGTACCATGTGATCTTTTGTATTGAGTACAGAACGTGACTAGCATCGGAAGCAGTCGTACCAGTGTGAGAACGTTTATTTACATTGCGTAAAAAAGCTATTATTTTGCGCGTCCACGGAGCTCCTCCGACTGGGTACGAGTCTGACGTAATAGCACCGTTTGAGAACTCGCAAGCCAGCTTTACCTTCCATTGTAATTTCAAATTCCTCTGTTATCTCGAGAAACTCAATGGGAGCAATTATCCCTCTTTCATCGATACCTTTCTCAGTTCCGAGGGTCATTCCCCTTATTATCCAATCATCCCCTCAACTCGTGCCCAGGGATGTATAAGCTTCGAGGGAATCAATTGTGTAAAAGAAAAGCTCCTCCGATAGGCTGGTTGTCCGACTATTCCCGTTGCATTACTGCTTCCCATGACACATTGGTCGATGCCCGAATGGATTTAACAGCTGAGAATGATCCGGCCATCGGGGTCCCCGCTATATGTGAGTAAGGGTCTGCCCTTGACCAGTTTCAATACCTTAAGCAACAGCAACTCTGTTCGTTGAACCCCAACCCCCGCTTCTCGAACTCTCCGAAGCGACTGCAGGAACTCCGACAGATGTCTGCGACATCTGTCCCCATGCTGACTGATCCAGGATTACTCACAATGCCTGCTAACTGCTCTAGATGCGTTCTGTGCATCACTTGACAAATCAAATCGATTTCAGGTTTATCCCCAACATGCCAGCCTGACCGTTTCCATGTCGAGAAAGAGTATCGTTGCTGCGCTCGCCAGTAGCAAAAGCCGGCCTCGGTACCGATCAGTTGAGGTGGTTCGCCAGAAGAAAGGATCCTCTTCGACATCTGTGTCCAAGTCCTTACTCTTCAACTTAGCCCTCTTGAAGTCACCGCCATCCCCGCTAAGCCTGAACTGAGATCCGAAGGTTAAGTCTCCTGCCCTCCCCGCCCCTTGCTTTTATTCTCGGTCCCACTCTTAATGATTAATATGTACATACGGCACGTTTTTATATGACTAACAGGGAGCCCCAGGCTCGACCCAACCCTTGATCAGCGGTGCTTCCGCCCGTACCTGAAGGGACAGTTTTGCAGACCACATTTGGTGTGGTGTGAAGATGGGGACAAAAAACCAGACATCCAACGCACCTTCCGCTCGCTCATACAAGATCATTAGTATTTTTCCATTGGGCGCAGTAATTCGGATTGTCCCGGGAGAGTTGCCCTTTGGTTCATGCCCTGGCAGGCACGGATCGTTCATTTTTCGCCACGTCATGTCAGCAGAAATGCAATTACTCGGGGAGAAAAAGCGATTGGGTCTGTCGTCGGACTTCTAGCTGCAGCGGCGACGGGTAACACAAGAGAACCTGCGCTGGGCATGTGAAACATATGTATGGCGACACGAGGATGCAGGCATTCTGGGCAGTGAACCCGTGGATATTGCTATGAGAGGGTTTCGAACCGTAATGAAATACGAATCGCACTCACAAGAAAGCCCCAGTCTGAATCTCGCGGGAACCAGCTTGGGATGAAGCAGCCAGAAGCTCACTGCTACGACATAAATGACTGTGCCAGCAAATCCCAGCACCCATGTTATGAACACCGATCCGAGCATCAAAGGGTAGTGTGAGGATGCGTGAAAAAGGAGGCACGATTATAATTCGGCCGGTATCCTGGACGGCCTTATGACCAGTAGCAGTGCGACGCATCTCCATGGCCAAGGAGATAAGACGCCCTTTCCCACACTTCCAAGGAGCGTTACCCAAGAAAAAACCCCTTCCCCTGACCAGTAGGCTCGTGAACAAAGTCCATAGTCAGGTGATGCGGCCACCATCATATCCTCCGGCACTTCGATCGAAAATATGAGGTGCGGCGACCAACAACAGGAAGGCAGTATTGGAGTTGTGTCGAAGCATTCTGGACCCGAACAATACCATGACAATACCGGGCATCGGAAGATTGAATTGTGTAACCGCTCGCCGCACGTAACTACCACCTTATAACCGACACTTGTGGTCCTGGGTCAGCTCTGTGGTGGTGATGATACAACCATCGGAACTGGTATATAGCACTGACCGGTAGCCCAAAATTATTGAGCCGAATTCCTTCCCTTGAAATCCGGCATCACAATCGATCATGACTCATGGGTACGGTATCCACTGGAGTCAATTCGTTGCATTACTGGAAAACTGGCTATTGGAGAGTGAGAACCGGAGTGATAGAATGGGAAGATGTTCTAGACCCTGAGTAAAATTCATGCCTGCTACTATCCAATTACACCCTCAGAAGACGACCAAACGCGTCCGTCACTCAGTGATCTCTTAGCAATGTGAAGCCATAACGAGAAAAGCCAGCTAGGATGAGTAACACTTCTGTTTCTGTGGGGTTCTGCCGAACAAGGTTTACCCTAGTGCGAAGCGCCGAAGGTATCAACGATGACCCGTAGCAACAAACTGTGAAACGAACTCTCAAATAGGATGAAGGGTTACTTGGTCCGTTATTCGATCATTGTCTCGAAGCAACTCGTGCAGGACAGAGATAGTGACAACCCGAGCTAGCTGCGATCGAGCCAACCTGGCTTTCTAGCAATCATCGTCAGCTGCGCAATGCCAGGTTGACGAGATCGGGTATTGAGACCATATGTCGTCCGTCTAAGATATGTAAAGGCCGAAGCCTGATGATCGTATCTCCGGACACGAAGCGACCGCGCAGAACGTGGGGTCTGAGCAGTAATGGCGCCCCTGCATGTTTCCAGACCGTGCGCCCTTAAGATGATAAATGGACATGGCAGGAATGCAATGTATCTGAGGTCTCCTACTGGACTACCATACATGGCCGATCAGCGATCAGGACATAAAGTCCCTCTCAATATTGAGGCATGCCAGCTTCTAGTCAGGATCCCAGCCTTCGCTGAAGGTCAGCTTCCTTCGTTTATATGTTTGATCATGATCGAAAGGACCTGAATGGAGGGCTACAGCGCCTAGAACATCCGTCCCTTAGTAGATCGCTAGTTCGTCCCCACACTACCCCATTCAACTTGAAAAAGTGTGGAGTTATTCATTATGATGATTGGGCCAACTCTTCAAGAGGGCTTGCTTGACGCCACACAGAAAGCAAATGGATGTCAAATCGTTACAAAACCATTTTTCCGCTTGAAAGGAATTATGAACCGTGGGCGTCTAGTCCTCGCTAATGCCGGAGTACAAAAAAGGGCCTTAGCAACGGTGCTGGAAGTTGCTGGCGCCCCGCGCCGAGCGCGCCCTTGAGCCCATCGGCCTCATATCCAGACGCCGAACGCAGTCCCACCTCGGCTCCTAATAGGAGCCCGCCCCCCTGGCGAATTGCGCGAATTGGTAGAAAGAACAGACTAAATTATAGCCTCCATTCGTTTCTTTGACGATCGGCGATTGCGTCATGTATCAGTGTTCTAGCTTGCCGAATTAATCCGCCCCTAGCAAATGCACCATCCAGAATGTCGGATATCTAAGTGGATCTAATATCCGCCACACCTCGTACCGTCTTGACCAATAAGCCGGTTGTATGAGCCAAGGTACTGAGAAGTACAATGCCAACTTAGAGGCAAGAAAAGCGCTAGGTTAACTTGAGAGTTTTGCCCTGATAGCAGTTCGGCAGAGTGGTTGCAGCGGACTAGATCTCTACTACCCTGCTGGCAGGAGCGCGTACGCTTCCCATGCTGTCGTAATAGTTCCTCCGCCGCTGGCTGAACGGGGAACCTTTCCATTTTGATGTTTGTTCGAGACATCCGGTACCGAAAAGAATGTGGTCACGTGAGTTGACGTCTTCAGACTCGACGTCGACAATTTGGCCGAATTTATTCGTCTATTGGTCTATTCAAGAAATCAAGGTGTCGGCTACTTGCCTAGCCATTGCCTCAAGCGATGCGAGCCCTTAGTATGACCACTTACAGTCTGTTCGACTCATTGAGCACACACGCTCCGTCCTCGCTCCCTCCTAATTCTTGGGCACACAAGAATGCTCCTACCGGTGGCTAGGAGGCAAGGCGAATAACGTTAATTCCTCTCACATCAAAGCTCGCGGAATCATACTCTCCTTCCGCCTTAAACTGTATTTGAACCGTATGGCTTATCGTGCCGCTTCCTCCACACATTCTCGTCCTTCACTACCGACATTTTTGGCGTCCGTTCGCTGGTTACGTTGAGAATAATGTATCGACTTCTCAATGATCTGAGAAGTCGGCGAGGCACTTATTCTGGACTTTTCGTCAGCGTCGGATGTCGACTATGTCGAGCCTTATGAGCGAACAAGTGATTTTTGGCTTGCGTCCAGTTATATGCGCGCTCAGGCCAACTTCCTTCTGTCCCCCTTCTACATGCTAGAGGTCTCGTATCCTCTGCTTGGTGTAGGTTTGGTTGCGAGTCGGTTCCCTTCATCACCTGTTTTCTGAGTTTCATCAGTTTCCTTCGATGGAAATCCGTCGTACGTCCGAAGAGCTCCTGGAGGATGGTGCTTCGTGCCGCTATTCTCGGAGTTCATTCCCTCCTTGTTATCTTGACGATACGCTTCTCGTAATTCTTATCTGTGGCCCCATGGTACAATTGGGATACATCTATCCGTCGTCGGCTTTGTTCACTGTCTTCTCGTACCGCGAGCCGTGTGTGGTATTCCAGCTGTGTTCATTTGGTGACGAGGATCTGGGGGTTCATCCTTAATCTAACTTTAGGTTCGGAGGGTTGAGTGGAGAACGCTGTTAGAGAAGAAAGGGGATAAGAAAAGAAAAGTGCGAGAAGATGTGGGGAGTGGAACGCATTGTTTGTATTTTTCGTATTTGGATTTGATTTGTTTTCTGCTTACGGACCTGTGGTGCAGCGGAGTTGGCCGAATTTACTTGGTTCGTTTGTCCGAGCTATGCGGTGCAAAGAATATGGGCTTCCACTCGTGCATACATAAGTAAGTGTGAGTCGGCCACAAACGGCCGCAGCGCATGCGCCACTGTCATGAGTCGAACACTTATGTTAGGAGGAACGCGATACTGTCTTGTGCCATCCACCGCACAGTTAAGTTGTTCATCAACACGGACAGTCGGCGTGGTGTGGGTGATTCGGAGATTTGGACGAAGTCAGAAGCCAGTCATTCTTGGCGGCCCCAGCTGGACTGCATAATGGGTTTGCGGCGTGGCGTGTTACATCAATGCTTTGGTTTGCTTGCTTGAGCAGAATGTCCTCAGGCACAACTATCGCGTGACTCATCTGTAAAAATTCTTGCATCAATGGATCTTCAAATTAAGTTCCGATGGGGTATCCGCTTCCTTGGTGTGAACGTTGACCATAATGCTTTCCAGTGCATATATGGTGTTACGGGTGTAGGAAGTGTCCTTTATCGACTCCATCGATCTTGTCTTGGTACTGGGCAAAGGCGTAAACCCATCGGCCATTCATTCCCGGCTCGAACCCTGCTCACAACTTTACCTACTGGGGTGGATACCTCGACCTGGTCACACATGCCAGTCATGCATGCCGTCACAGATGTGTCCTGGCTGATGGAGTGCATGCCAGGCCCAAAAATAATTTCGTTTACATTTTTCGTTAAGGTCCACCAGGTGCGACCCGTGTACCTGTCCTCAAGCCACGATTGGTCACTGAGATGGCGGGTCGGACCCAAGTCCTAGCCAAACACCGATCCTCAGCTGTTTGGGAAATCCAGTGGCGCAAATGAATGCACAAGTGCGACTATGGTTTCGATCGATCCATACACAAAAGGGAAGCTGCTTCGGTTTCCAGCTGTGAAGCTTCAAGTACTGCAAATGTTGCCGTACCAATCACCAGTTGCATCAAAGGCTTTCAAGGTGGCGGACGGGGGGGACGAACGGTGCCCTTCAGCTCGCAATACCAATACCTCAGTCACACTAGAGCCCGATCAGCGCAATGCATACTAGTTAAGACATACTGCTGATGCCTCAACGTTGCAATTCAACCTTTCTATTCAGTCGGCGGAATGTGGGTCCCCGCTGTATCTTCCATTGAAGTGTGATCGCGGTTCGTCGTTGCTCCACACTTCGCAACGATATTCCGTGACCTTCCAATCATAGCATGCGGACACGGTCATCGTCCCGTCGCTAATATAACTTGGCCTAGCTATCGATGTGAGTCGTCATGGAAGATTGAATGAGCGCAGGTTCCATCAGCATTCTGCGAACTCCAGGAAAGGGAAGTGTGCCTTAGTTTAGTTGGCGGCCCCCGGGATCACAATCCGTGATGGGAATGCAGATGGTAGTCACAGACATTTAGGCGACAAATTCCGGGTGCTACTGGTGACCGGGCTAGGTCCCTAAAACATCAGAATACCAATATCACTACTGCTACCGCATTGTTCTTTCAGCCATTTTCATCAATTGGAGTTTCCCTTGCAGCATTACACTCTTTTTTTTAGTCTTCTCGTTCGGCGGTTCATCAATGACACAAGGCTCCAGAGCGCATCTTCGAGAGGTGTGTAATGTGAATTTCGGTCCGTCACGAAACCAACAGGGTTCCGTCGGCGCGGAAGTCTTGCCTTCCGCTCCACCCCGCCCCTTTGTCGAGTTTCACAGTCTTCGGAGCAGGATGCAACTACCATGCTGTCGAATGGCGTTTATTGAAGTTCAGAATGAGCGGAGAGCGGACAGGTGCAGTACTGCCCCTATGCGCAAAAGAGAGGAAGCTGAGCTGGTGATCGAATCAGAGATGTATGAAGTACTGTGGCCTGTTCCACATCGGATCATGATGATATGCGTCAGGTGCGCCTATTGCAGATATTCGGTGGATCTTGGGGTTAAATATGACAATCAAGAGCGGGTTCAGTTGCGTAGATTGGATGAAGGAAGTATCGAAGGCAGGCGGTAAGCGGTTCTGGGGATACAATGCAATCCGAACTGGTGCTTCGTCGAACATGCGGCCTGCCTTTCAATATCTGCCATCATTAACCACACTACCTTACCCGGAGTAGGTGTCTGATTCCCGGCACTCAGAGTGGGTCTCGCATGATAGGAAAAACGGGTTCACGCTGGAGCTGGGTGATTGATGCCCAGGCTTGAGCCTAGGGCTGCAGGGTAATTCCGATGAGTCGCGGAACGGAGGAGCATCGGTTGAAGTGAGTGTGCTTGTATTCAGAGGCTGCGTGGTGGTCCCGATGAGTGGTAGAACAGAGAAGCGTTGATTGGTACACTTGTGTTTGAAGGGAGAGTGCGAGGGGAAAATGGTTCGGGGCCCGGCCGTAGTCGTGGTAAAGCCTGAGGGTGAGTCGTAGTACATATGGCCTGGGACAAGAATGCATGTATGCGTAAGCTGGGTGTTGTTTCGTCAGGAAGATTGATCATAGGACCGAGTGCGCTTGCGATTCTGTGACCCAAGCGACACGCACCAGAACATGTCATCCGGCGATTATGCATGCGTCCGTGCATAACCGATAAGCCAGGACCCGGGAGCATAGTATAGCACTAGCGCTTCGTCAGCGATACGAAGTTATTATTTCTCCCTGTGAAGATCCTAATTCACTGCGCCACAGACCAGGAGGGGCACTACGTTAATTCACTTCGCACGGAAGATACATTATGATAGATTGTGAACTCGGCTCGTGCACAGGCCGTTTCCAACCGATCAACGAACAGCATGCAGTGCATAGGCCTAGATGATTTATGGCGTTATGGATGAGTTATAATTAGTTCAAGTGCGGTACACTTCTCAGGCCTATTAGGTTGTACCGCAACGTGTTACGTGTGGCCGCATGATCGTGTACAGATGTGTGCCGTACACCGACCCCGAATACATGATTCTAAACTGATCCGATAATATTTAGGCCATAAATGACTTTTAATAAGCCAGCGTGATACATACTAGCATAGATCCCCGGAGTCGGAGCCACGGGCGAGGAATGCATTTGGTGTCTTATCGAGACGTTGAGGGAATAATATCTATTCTATTGGAAATCATATGTGGAGTGTACTTGCTTGAGAGGTACCCTCGTGCGACCGTGACAGCGCGCCACCCATAACATCAGGATCAACGATAAGCGCATTATTATCACTCCGACCGGCACTACGTAAGAGGATGCCAGGACGCACTAGTGCATGCATACAGTGTGCACAGGTTCGCGCGCATTTCTTCGTCTCAATCTCAACTGCAGAACGATACATGCACACTACTAATAACGTCCGTAAGACGTAATGATGTAGCTATGGGAGTGACTGATATGGATAAGTAGCGGGAGAAACGCTCGCCATTTGCACACGCCCCTTGAGCTTGGAAGGAAGAGGCCAAGGTCTCAGTCTGTAGATAAGGGAATACTAAGTTGGCATTGATGGCACTATGAACCATGATTACTGTAATGATCAAAGTTATGGACCAATGACCCTAGGCAGGTGACCAGCTTTTACAATGACCCATGAAGCTGTGTACTTATTGGCTATGGAGGGAGTAGAGGAATGATCGTATGGGAGAGGCGTTGTCTTGCAATCAGCGATGACAGATTCCCAGACATAGCATGACATAGCGAAGGGATGGAGCTTTTCAGACTGAATGCCACATCCGATGCACTGCGCGGGGTTAACCAAGCAATCTAGTGTGCTACGGGGCAGCGGGGTGAGTAATGCCAGCAGAAAGCCCTTTTCTTTTCCACTCTGTTCCTTCGTCGTATCGCCCAGGCAAATTGCAATATTGGTAAAGTTGGGTATGGATCACGAGTGAGTTGGCATGTGAGAGGAACACAAGTGCACTGCTCTGAGTCATCATTCATGATCATCAAACCAATCAACTTCATCGAAGCTACAAATACCGCAAGATGAATATGGCAGTATAAAACCGAGATTACGGGTAAGAAGACTGGCGTGTGAGAGCCATGAATAGACCCGTGAGCCTACGGAGTCGGTCGATCGGGATCACAGAGGAGCATAACGTCCATGTCATTACCTAGAAAAATAACCCAGTAAGACGTAGGGATAGCCCCCGAGTATACAAGCCCCGTCATGTCCCAATATTAACGATCGATTGCTATCGAGTTCGTATATAATTTATTCCTTGGAAAGACCGATGGTGTGCAAGGACAAGTTGTGGCGACCGAGGTGGCTGAACGCCACATTGTTAGTCACCGTCGTGGTGATTGTATGCTTTCGCACAGGCGGGATCGAGGGTGACCGAGATCACCACCTGAAGGAAGCGCTGAAAAAGGCAGAACATGCACGATGAATGCTAGAAGTAATGGTTACATGTAGCGGCCACCAACGCATGGCCGACGTGTTGGCCCTGTGGATATGTGGAGATCTTTCCAGAAGGAAGAGGGAATTGTTGTATGAACGAAGTAAGGGTGTCATGGATACGAACGATTTTGAGACCTAAGCCGATAGCATCTCCGGCTGGCAGCTGGCAGCCAGCATAGGCCACAGTATGTATTCAAAAAAGGTTTTTTCCGGAGTTACTCTGGGAGAACAAGCAATAGTCAAGTATTCGACAGGTTGTAGTCCCAATATGACGTGAAAGAATAGCTCTTCTGTTAATATTGAAACAAGGCATCACAGCCTTACTACACATGCAACCAATTAACCAATTCGCAGCGTGTTGGTGCCTGCGCAGCACGTATCGCATGCCGTTCCTGAGACTACTGGCGTTACATCGTTGCCTCGTCGATAGCGGGGACCATTGATGCTGATGATACATCAACGATGATACATACAGGCCAGTATGCAACTCCGGCCGGAGAGTGGAGGGCACCAACCGGATGTAATAGGAAGATTGAACCAATGAGTTCGGGTAAGGGAGAAATTTATTCAAACACAGCAATATTGCTAGGTATGGAAATGGAAGCAGTTTCCCTGGTAATACTCGGTTCGCTTGTTGGCGTTCCGGAGATGATGAAAAGTGGCATCTTCGTAGCGTAAAGGTGGTTTGCGGCCCATAAGCGTTTGAGAAGCCACAGAATGCGATTGGAACATACTGCCCGCGTTGGTACGCTCGAGATGTTGAGATGGTTAGCCGGCGTGGAGTGCGACAGGAGCGTCGCGTGTCTGGACACAGAATGGAGCAGCGGCCCCAGGCACTCGTCCTAAGGTAGCAACAATAAGAGATAGGCGCTCAAAGAAGAGATTCTGCTTGGTGCTGGTTGCTGTGGTCAGTTTGATCGTGCAGACAATCTGAAGGAATGAGTTGACAATAATGATGAATAGATCGAACAACTCTGAACAATATTGCTCATATACGATGTGTTAGGATGAGTTGGACATTATTTTTCGTGAGAGGCGTTACCATACATGGAAAGAGGACACGCCATATGATGAATTTCGTTTGAATTGAATGTCTTATTTTGTATACATAGTCCCGTGCCCTTTTTCCTTTTTATTGATGACATTCTTAATGAATAAGGTATTTAGTTTGTAAAGTGCTGAATTGAGATGGGTCTTCCATGTCTATATATTGGGAGCAAAACCAACTCTCTTGCCCTCCGTCTCCCTCTTCCACTCTGGTTCACTCAACATCACCCTCCCTGAACCTTTTAACTTCCGTTCTCAAATTCTAGTTGCTACTGTCAGCACCTACCACTACTTGACTTGCCAAGTGTAGCTGCCTGCTCCACCTGCCGTCCTTCCGCCTTTGCCACTAAACGATCAGATCTTCCGGAAATACCAACATGAGGCTCTTTTTCGTAGTCCTATCTGCTCTCTTCGTTACCCCATCCATCCTTGCTGCTCCTCTCCCCATTGTACGTGTCATTTCACTTGTCTGTCATCACCGGATTTTGGTCGCCGTGGTCAATTCTTCTCCCTTCCATACCCACTGTGGCCGCTCCTCATGCGCTCTTACAAACCACCTTTGAATTTTGCCTGCGGAACCCCCCCGCTTGCTATTGCATTGTACTCACTTCTTTCTCTCTACTCGTTCAGGATCTCTCTGGAAGAGCACCAATCACGGCCCTCCCCGCTCGAAGTCTGCCTCTTCCTGCCATACGAAACTATAGCGCAGGGCCAGGAGCTGAGCACGAGCTTCCTCACGGGGACCGCCGACAATTCCAATCTGGTCCACAGCAAGCGGATCCTCCAGCGACGGAAAATAACTATTCTGGTCCTGGTACGTGATGAGTGTCAGCCAGCCGATGGCGAGGGAGGACAGGAGCGATTTGGGTCTGGAGATGCAGGTGTAGTTCGCTTGTGAGGTTGAGAGAGGGACGAGTCAAGGAGAACAGAGGGCACTTACTTTCGCTTTCGCCTCGTGTTGTTGGATTGCGTCGTCCAGTATGCATCTACTTCCGTTGGCTTTGCGTTCGTCACAGATCATACCCCCCCACCCATTCACCATGCGGGCACAATCGTTACGCTCCGTCCTTACCATTTTACCGGACCACTCTCCGATCCTTCCTTCTCGCCCTACGTAGATATTCGGGAAATGGGATTCCATATCCCCATAAGTTCGAAGAGAAGTCGAAGAGAAGGGAGCGAATGGAATGGAATGCTTGTTAGGAAGGGTGGACCCTTATTCCGTCTTCTTGGACCTTTTCCCTTGCTCACGCCCCCGCAGCCGACTCCGCCTGCGCCCCCGTCTATCAACCAACCATTTACTCGTCATCGTCATCGGGCTTGCCCATCATACTCATCCTTTCTCGCCGTCTTCAGCAAATTCCATTTGAATTGAAACCTAACATGTCGTGTCCAAGGTGTTCGCACATGAGCTCGAACCCCAATCTCCATCTTTCTTCTCTCTTCCCCCCTGAAAAAAAAATTATCAAAATTTGACCCTCTGTCCCTCCCAATCCAATCCGAACCGTGTTGACAAAGGCACCAAGGGCCTATTCCATTCTCTATCCAGCGATTAACTTGTCCATTCATTGACTCTCTTCCTCGCCTCCTCTCATTATTTTCATTATTCCTCACTCGAGGGCTGATTGTCTGTTCTAGCTATTGTGCGTACATTTATGTGTTGCGTTGGCGGTTGACCCATACGCAAGTATGTACGGACGTGTGGGTTTTACTTTTTATCTCTGCCCGCCCTTCTTTCCCTGGCCTGCGAACTCATGGCTTTTCGGATGTGTATCATTTTTTGATCAATTGGTTCTTTTTTGCTGGTTTGCGTTAAACAATACAAGTAGGTTGTTAGACGTGGCAAGCGGGTTGTTCGAGTCGTGAGTTTGTGTAGTTTATGGCGTGGCCACACATGTGTTGCACTGCCCGCAGCAGTTGTATAGGCTACAAACAGGGAGGCTCCGGCCGTGATTTTCAAGGGTTCCGGCTCCGCAGTGTATCATGCGTGTGGTTATCCTCGCTTTTGGGTGTGCATGTGGAACAATCCCTTGATGCCAAGGCATCATGCGCCGATACCTAGCCTAATTCTGGCAACTGGCTATGCCGGGCGAAGCCGAATACATAATGAGCCCTTGCGGAGCTTGTGAGGCTGTGGAGGTTGTTTCTGGGCAATTTGCAACGGATTAGGTATTTGGATCGATCGAGTTGAGTTGTGTTTGATCTTAGAGGCTGTGACGGCGCACTCCGTTGGAGAAACGGGGGATCCTCAGCATGATGCGATGCCATGCAAGTGACCAGCCTCTATTGGAATAGAATGCGATAAGAAGCTTCCATCATGATTTCTCCAGGGGGGGATTAGATGCAGATTCACTGCTGCTAGGATGTGTTCGGTGCGGGCAAGTTATACCATGTTACTTGCAGTGCAGACCCGTGAGAGAAGCATACGACCAACGTTCGAAGGTGCCTGTGATTTGGCCAATCAAGTCGAGCTAGTGTGAGTATCGGTGCGTGCATGCTCATGTGCTGGCCTCATGAGGCAATTACGAGTGCTGCCAGCTGTGGCATTCTGCAGCCCGAGCTGCAATTTGACGTCCCGGCCCAGAACATCGCAGTCGAGGGGGTCCAACCGACGGCACCGGACTCAGATGTCCGGGGACAGCTAAACAGGGTTCTATCGCAATCATTGAGTAGATGTGAAAATGTTGCGGTCGAGAGCTGAGAGAAGAGCTGGTTTAATTGGCATAACTCATGAGGGTCGTAAAATTGGATCAGCATTGAATGGACGATACCAAATTAGTTAGTTCGGGCGGCCAAGGGAGACATTGTTTCCTGCAGCATGTGCAGGTCATGTAGAAGTAGACCGCTCAGCCTCGGAACAGAGAATCGCCAATACTTCTCATGGTTGATCGCTGCGATAGATGAAATACGTAAGACGTTACTAGCAAGAACCACAACAAGCGATCATTGAGGCTCGCTCTTACCTCGGAGCCGGAACCGAGAACTAATGGGGGGAAAATGCTCAGCAAAAGACATATTTCATCAACAAATATGAAGGAGGACAAAAGAAATGAAAATGTTTGTAGGCATAAAGTAATCCCCTTGAGCACGTTTGGCGCCGTGAAAACTCCAACATGTCAAAGATTCACGTATGGGACGAGAGGAACAAAATATAGCACGAAGATGGCTGACTTGGCGCTCCTGTGGCGGACAGTTGGGGTCTTTGGATGGCGTGAAAATGTCTATCAGGAGAGAGGCGATCTAATTCCCCCTAAATTCAATATACTGAGCCGTATGCATACTGGACGGGTAAGTGAGTATGAATGGGAGTTCTAATTGATCGTCACTAGGACGAGCGCTTCGTCGACCGTGTGAACGAATTGTCGGAAAACCGGGGATTCCCATCTCCGAGACTTCTAGGTGAGTTACCGATATTTTCTCCCTCAATACGAACCTGATTTTCCATTTCCATATAAGCGAACACGCGTGAAAGGCGTAGATGAATATGGCATGATTGTGCCTTTTCATGTAGTAAGTACGGAAATTCGAAGTTCACATCAGCGAGCGTTCCACAACCGATCGTGATGGGTGATATCCTTTTACCACTGGGTTCGGGCTAGTTTTAGCGAGGCCCAATTCCGGGAATTGATGCGCTCGGTGTTCTAGACCTCCTGACAGGTGCACGATGCACAATTCGCGCAAGGCCGCGGAACTGGGGAGTAATATGTGAGTAAGACTTATGACTTCCTCTCGTGTCCCTCCTTCATAATGTTCCCATCCCTGATTCGTTCTCATGTGCACTTGCGGATGAGGCGGAGCAAGAGTGCATGATTCTGATCATGCACTCGGAATTATGGGAAGCTGGTAGCTCTTTCTGGGAGCCCTAGTACTGGATAATTGTTTTCGTGCGATAGGCTCGTATACAGCATGGCCGTGGAGCACGATTCATATCGATCTGTCGGTTTATAGACCCACGCTCACTTGTGCGTCGAGGCTAAGTTTTTCCCGTAGATGATGAGGATCATCGGGGATGGACTGGTTACCGCGTCATTGCTAGCACTGCATCGCGTTCGCATACACACGAACGGTATGCCCAACGGCTGACTTGCTCACCTTGAAATGTGGCTACAATTACCCCCTAGCTTAGCATTAAATGGGGGCTACCTTACTGCTAAAATACTCTTTGCGTTGTTTCTATCAATGCGTGAATACAAGGACCTGGTCTCTCCGCTCTGCTTAGTTTCGGATATTCCCACCCCTCTATCCTGCTCATGATGCGTCCTCCGTTGCTCTCATGCGCATGAGAGATGGTTTATGAGTGCCTGAAGGGAAGATCTGTATCCGAAATGGAGGCTGTGGCTGATTTGAGGACTCTAACTGGATGATAGTTTTTTGGTGTGATTGGCTTACGTCTGAGCAAGAAACGGCGCATACCATTATATCTACGCGAGCAGCAATCTTCCAAGTGCCCGTCGGATGAAGCGTTGCGATCGGTTGCATGAACGCTTTATCGGCCGGGATTGAGTCAGGTTTGCGTGCATGGCACTAGTCGCGCTCATACTCATGCATGCATCTGTGGTGTGTGACCTTGCTATGCGTATGATGTATGATCCCGCCCGGTCATTTCGTCATATCACGACATCATCCTCATGTCACTCTGGTGTATTTGTTTCGGTATCTCTAGTCCAGACACGCTGCACCATGGCCCGCTGGCTTCCAGTTATGCACATGACCCGTCCCAGGACGAACTAACAAATCTTGGCGCCGAGGCCGAGACACAGACGTGCTAGCAGTCGCTAGCTGATCTCTCATGCTGGTCACCGTATGGATGTATGCCTGATTCCTACGGGAAATGTGCCCTTCCGCCGATGGTTTGACATGCATTTGGCCATGGTTGGTATATGGCGTCAAACTTAAAATGGATTTTTAGCCCATGGGACCATGTGTAATATTGGTGATATAACTACAAAATTTAGCTATCACGAGTGTTAGAGGGTGATCGGGTTCCCATAGACGGCATCAATTAGACTTGATCTTCCGTACACGAGGCTAGGCGTTCCATGGGATTTCAGACTGTAACGAGACATCCTCAATAAGAACATACCATGGTCACCGGGCGCCGTCTCGGCACCGCAGGTGGAGCACAATTCGCCACATCAACAATTACTGGCGCTTGAGTGTGGTGAACTTTGATTCGCGGGGCGCTGGAGCACCTGAAACAGCACCAGAAGGCACCAACAACCAACACCGGATGATGCGGCTCAACCCCTCCGTTATTTACCAAGAGCCACTCGATATATAGCCACTAGTCACAAGCGGTGTTAGCGGCTTTCATGCAAACGGCACACCGATATGGCTTATTGACACGTTGTTTTGATGGCTTAATGTTGAGTAGAGGATCTTTTGGAGTCTTAACTAATAAAGCCACAGCACACGCGCGCCCGGAGGCTGAAAGTTGTGTACATGATTGTGGGACTTGGCCCCCCAGATCTATCCCCATGGCCGTAATGGCCGCTGGCCACCCGTGAAGTCCCGGTGAGTAAGTATTATAGTACCGGCCCCAAATGGCCGAGGATCCACATAATGTATTGTTTTTCAATCCTATCGATCGGTACCGAATGCGGAGTGTACCTGCGCCACTGGCGCGACGCGCCGTATGCGTGGCTTGGGGATTGTCACTCATGAGCCATATATTGTACGTTGTCACCCACCAGCGCACCATCAGAACAAGGTCCGTCAATCCGAAAAACAAAAGTGGCTTTGGGGAGTCGAACATCTCGGAGATGCAGCTGACTTGAGCCACTGCTGGGCAGGACCCCAGCCTCTAAGCCACTGTCCACAAACTGCGGACAAACTGCATTCCGCTGAGTGCTGACTGGCTGCTTGGTATTCAACTCCGGCTCCGGTGACCCAGAGTTGGAACTCCTACGTTTCGCATTCGCGAGCACTCGCATCAGACCGCTAAGATAAGTGAATGCATGATCTGTTTGTTACTGTATTCTCGGGCGCCAAATTCAAGTCGAGAGAGGTTCCACAAATGTTGTTTCGCACTTGGCTGCTCCACGATATTCGCGGAGGGAGTGTCAACTTGGGGAAGCGACTGAAATATTACGAGCCCATGAAGACACTAGGCAGGATCCAAGCCTCTACTAAAGTGGAAGAGTCGCCAAGAACTACCATGCGTGCCCGGTTTGTTTAGCTGCGTCGGGTTGTGCGGATCACGATGCTGGAGGACATGTGTTGAAATTGTCGCTGTTGTGTCTTGCTGTTACCGAGACCGATTCTGGCATTGGCACTGCCACCGATTGAAACATCTGTCAGGCATAATTTTCTCCACTGCTTGAGATCAGATCGAAGCTGCATCCATCCGCCGCTCGCTTTATCCCCAGTTATGAGTTTATCTAAGAGCACCCACATTGCGTCTGATGGCATGACTTCACGCGATTAGTACGTTCTGCTTAATTGCTGGTTTTTTTTTGTGGCTCTCTGGCGCTGACTGGGAGTAAAAAATAACGCTGCTGCCTCATGTCATGCCATCAACTCTGTGGCCATGACATCTTACTTGGGTTTTTAATCGGGAAATTCTTGTGGTTGTAACACCGAACCAAATTAGCTATGCGGACTCATACGCCCATTTCGGTATGTGTCTGCGGCTCTGCAGCCTTCCAGATTCCCCTCCCTCCTGCAATGGAATGAAGGATCAATGCTCAAATTTCGAAATTCCAAGGTATTCATGAGGAGATGCTGAAGGACTCTGTTCGAACGGGATCGTATCGGAGCGCGATGCTGCAGAATTCTCATCTCTTCGTGGGGAAGACTGTCCTGGATGTGGGTTGCGGAACGGGAATATTGAGTATGTTCGCCGCCAAAGCGGGCGCAAGCCATGTTGTCGGGGTGAGTGATAGATGGTTGCGCGCCCCGTTCTTGGAAGGTACTGAGATGTGGCGATGGTGATTAGGTCGACATGTCGAATATTATCGACCAAGCGCAGAAGATCATAGAGGCCAACGGATTTAAGGACAGTAAGTCGTCTATCAGCAGTGGAACTTATGCAGTAGTCGGTTGCTTACGATCACTTCGAAGCCATCACACTCGTCAAAGGGAAATTGGAAGAAGTTGAGCTTCCCATAAAAGAATTCGACATTATTGTCAGCGAGTGGATGGGCTATTTCCTGTATTTTTATTTCATTAACGTTGTCATTGAACTGTTGGTCACGGATCGGCTGCTCTTTAGGCTATATGAAAGCATGCTCGATACGGTCTTGATAGCGCGAGACCGATACCTGGTGGGTGGTGTTGCGTCTCTACCTTGTACATCGTACCGTTCATCTGACCTCCATGTTTCTAGAAACCTGAGGGCTTGATATTTCCCGATACCGCGTCCATGTATCTCGCGGCCATTGAAGATCAGGAATACAAGGACGAAAAGATAAATTGCAAGTGCCTCTTATATTTAGTGTTCCATATGGCTTATACCACTGTGCACAGTTTGGGATAACGTTTATGGGTTTAATTTTAGTTGTATCAAGGACATCGCTCTCCGGGAGCCACTCGTCGACACTGTTGAGCTCAAAGCCGTAGTGACTGATCCATACTGCTTTAAGGTGAGTGCCCCATACTATTAAAATGGTTTCACAGTAATACGAAACACTGCTTCGTTTAGCAAATCGATCTAAGGACAGTTACCAAAGAAGACCTGACATTCACAGCACCCTTTTCCCTCCAAGCCACTCGCAATGACTGTTCGTACATGGTCCGCTTGGAGGATATGCTAATTAGACATCTATTGATTACTTAGACGCTCATGCTTTCCTCGCTTGGTTCGATGTTTCTTTCGAGGCAACACATAAAAAGGTCAAATTTAGTACTGGCCCGCATGCCAAGTATACCCACTGGAAGTGAGTATCATTTAGCCGAAGCTAATCCAACGCGGATTCATCCTCCCACTCCAGGCAAACTGTATTCTATACCCAAAGCACCATTACCATAAATGTGGGTGCACATTGCCCCAGTGGCATGTGTTTGGCTAAATTGTTCCCCCAGGAAGGAGAGACGATAAAAGGAGAACTTTCATGTAAACCCAATGCACGCAATCCCCGTGACTTGGATATTGCCATTTTCTACGAAGTTGATGGCAGCCTACCTTCATCCGATGTGATCGAATATAAGATGTGCGTGGTCGTTCCATGTCTGACTTTGTTCTTATGTATTCGGAGCGCTTACGGATTTCCTAGGGCTTAATTAACTATTTTGGCACTTATCGCATGCATTCAAAATCTCCTTTTGTCATCGCGATATCTCGCTTACACTTTATCCTCTCTCTTTCCAAAATGGTCATCCTTGGACTAAAATCTTTCCACTATTCAGGTACTAATCGTCCCGCGTGCCACGTCCTCTTCTTGTCCATGTCATGAGAACGTGCACGTATCTCTTGCTTCTGCGAAGTGTCATATAGAAACATGTACTTGTTATGGTGAACAGTATTTGCATTACGAACCCCCCTTTGAATGAGAGGCTATGCGTCACGAGTTAGACAGAACCTAAGAGCAGACCTTCAAGCTTCACCAACGACTTGTACTGCTCTCGTTTCTGATTGTATTAGCGGATGATGACTGCTGAGCGGGAAGCTATCGATGATCCTACCGCTGGGTTTGCGGATGACCCTCGCTACTTCTTTGATACTGTGTCTGGCAAATGGCAGTATGAGGCGGATGATGGGACGGAGCTCGAATATGATACTGTTGCACGAGCGTGGGTTCCTCTGGTACGTATATTATCGGGGGTTTCTTTGGAAGCCGTGATGTCAACGCACTTCTGTTGTTTTTGCGCATGTAAGGTTGAAGAAGACCTATTGAAGGCACAACAAGCTGCATATTCCGTTGCTGGTGTCGACGAAGAAGTACGTTTGACGTTATGGCGTTCTCATCGTAGACCTATGGGGTTATAATCCATTCCGTTCTATTCCGGTTTTGGGACATATTCCTTCAGGCGCCAGCGGCACCCGTCTTAAAGCGTCACAAGAAGCGAAAGGACGTCGACTACACTTCGAGCACAATTCCTTCCGATGCCGGCCCGTCCATTAAGCGGAGGAAGGGTGACTCAGGCACAGCACACAATGGAGAGGGTAGTTCGTCGACAGCAAAACTGACTCAGTCCAAGAACACTGCTGTTTTCGTCTCAGGCCTACCCCCTGACACTACGTTCGAGGAAATGGTAGCTCGCTTCAAACCTTTCGGAGTCCTCATGGAGGATGATGATGAACAGCCCCGGGTCAAATTGTATGCCAAAGAGGATGGAAGCTTCAGTGGAGAAGCTCTTGTTGTCTATTTCAAAGAGGAAAGCGTGGACCTAGCAATACGCATGCTGGACGAAGCTGAGCTGAGGTTAGGGGATGCTGGGACTGTTATGAGGGTCAAGAGAGGTGAATTTAATCATAAAACAACAAACGGCGAAGGAGGAGAGAGGGCGACAGTGAAGCGGACAATTGACAAGAAGAGGGCGACGGCTCGAATAACGAAATTGAACAAGTAAGTAATGCAGCTGGCCTAAGTTTTGGGCGTATCACAGATCCCTGTATTCCTATAGCAAACTTGCCGATTGGGACTCGTCAGACGAAGATGGTACTGCGGAGAGGCAGCGGAAGGCTGCTCTTGTGAAGATTAGAACAGTCGTGCTGAAGCACATGTTCACTCTGAAGGATCTCGAGCAAGATCCAACGTTGCTACTGGATCTTAAGGAAGATGTCCGGGAGGAATGCGAAACCCTGGGCGAAGTGACGAACGTGGTATTGTATGATGTAAGTCCTAAGCGAATCCCCTACAAAGCGATTTGGGCGAATTTTTCTCAAAAAAATAACAATTTCAGAAAGAGGAAGATGGTATTATGACGATAAAATTTAAGGAGCCTCTGAGTGCACAAGCATGTGTGATAGTAAGTTGTTCCGGTTTGCCTTCCATTCTGATCATACTGAGATGAATGTCAAGAAAATGAACGGGAGATTTTTTGATGGTCGTAGAGTGGAAGCGTCGCTTTACGAGGGGAAGTCAAAGTATAAGAAGTCCAGCTCTGGGGCTGACCATGAAGGAGATGATGAACATGGGGGTGATGAGGATGAAAAGAAGAGACTGGACGCCTTTGCGTCATGGCTCGAGAAGGATGAATTGCAGGAGAATAAGGCGTGAAGCTTGACCAAAGTGGAAAAATTATGTTGTTTGGAGAGATCGAAGAGTGATTATCCCGGTTGGGATCGTGGGCTCATCATATTCTGCTACCACACGTATCGTATGTTAGGTCGTGCGCACTTGTTTTGCACATCCACACGTATACCACGAAAGTACCTATTAAGGGCAGTTTTGTACACGGCGGGGATCGGAATCTGATAATGCAACAAAGTGCGGTGGACAGGATAAGACATTGGATCGACACTTCTGGTTTAAAACCCATCGTTCGGAGTGATCTAAAACCGTTCCTGAGACATCGAAGTTACTCATTGAAGGAGAATGCGACGGTTATCTGCAATAAAGCCAGGCTAGATTTGAAGAAGATATCTAAAGCATCTCATAGGAAATAAATGACAAGCAGGCCTTGAGCGTACCTCCAACCAGTGTTAGTGCAGGCACGCCAAGGATTAGGCAGGATGCCAGCCTCGATAGATAGTAGCCAAAGATCAAGTTAACCACTACATTCATTATCTGCATGACAGCAAGCAGTCCCAAGATGGTCACGGAAACGAAAAGTTTTCCATTCGTATGACAACATCGGCTCCCAAGATTCACAACGGGAACATAGCCAGGAAGGCGCCAAACCACCTCAAGCTGGAACCATGGATATGATAATTATGTCGTCGGTACCGACCTAATAGGCTAATTCAGTGCGTTATCTTATCACACCCGTCGCCGGGCTCAGGGTCAAGCGAAACAGAACCTCAGCTCAATACAAGGCGTCGCGCCGAGGCGATGAGGTCAAGATGTCGAACCCACCGAAAATCTCGCTGGCAGGTGAGCCGGTACCGCGGTATAGTATGGCAAAACTTACCTTTGTGTTCTGATCTTCCATTTTGGGTAGCACAGGAACAACTAAATAAGCAGGTTTAAAGCGACAGCAAGAGGCCACGTATTCTGAAAACCCCATTGTGGCCTCGGGTGTTGGTCGTACAAAAGAAGGAAAGAAGCTCAGGCGCAGCTCGTCACAGCCACTGGATGTGTGGTGTCACGTGGTGACACGTCGACACTTGCACTGAAGTTCCACGTTGCCCTTTAAGATTCCTAACGTGTCCGCCTCCTCTTCATCCCTCTTGATCCAGTCACCTCCACGCATCCCCTTAAGCAGTAACTAGATACACCATGAGCCAACCAGCCATCGACCCAGCTTCACTTTCGTACCCAGCTCCCGACTCCTCCACAGCCTCCTCTTCTCAGTCTCCCGCTCCACCTTCTCCTGGTCAGTCGCGCAAGCGTCAACGCCTATCTGAGCCTACGGCCTCAGAGTAAGTTTTCCCCTCCCCAATGAGAGAAGTTGTTTACTGAGGTTTTTACTCAGGGAGAAGAAAGTAGCTCGTGCGGAACGCAACCGCATCGCAGCACAGGAGTCGCGGGACAGAAGAAAAAAGGAGTTCGCGGACCTTCATAAGAGGGTTGCTGAACTTGAGGCTGAAAATGCTGCTTTACGACAGAGCACCCAAGGTGCCGTGATCGGGAATGAGAGGACAACACGTTCAGAGCAAGAAAATGCAGAGTTATTAGAGAGGTGTGTTTTAAATTCCTTGATTATTATCTGCTCCCTGACACACTTTTTCACTGCCAGAGTGGCAAGGCTAGAGGCTGCGCTGACAAGCATAATGCCCCTGATTTCGGGGTCACGCTCGTCAACGTCAACGCCTGTTACACCAACGTCGGAGGTCACCGCGCCTCCAGCGCCAACTCCCTCGCTCGACTCGGCAAATCTTGCAACTCGAATCGATGAATCATCGTCACTGTCGTCGGACTCCACTCGCCACCTGGCACGGGTGGCGACCATCCCGACTCCTTCATTGGAAGCTTCGGTGATGCCCCAGCAGCGGGTGGACCCTGCGACTTTGATACCAATGCCGTCGATCTCGACCTTGGAACCCTCAGCAACATCTGTGTCGAAGATACCTCCAGCAATGACAGCAATCCTTTCACCACCTCCGACTTCCCAACGCCGTCTGATTTCTCCCTCGATGATTCTTCCCTATCATCCAGCCTTGACCTCCTCTTCCCCTCGTCTACTGCGGAGTCTTGGCCCCATACGTTTGCTGTCGAAGATGGTGAATACAGCACAACTCCAACCCAGATCTCTGAACTACTCCATGTTAACAGTCCGGCCCCAGAAATGTTGGGTTCGACGACCTCGGCGACGTCGGAGGTAGGCAACAAGGCCACAGTAGAGGGTAGCGAGAATGTCGTTTGTGACGACTCAAAACCCGAACTCGAGATTCAGTTGATGGATTTGTTCAACGAGATGATTGGGGTCCCAACCACGCCGATTAATCTCAATTTTGTGGGTTCGGGGATACCTATTTGGTCATCGAATGATTCACAAAGTATTAGTGCCTAAGGGCAATACTTTCCGAATCTATCCCCTCAATTATCGGACAGTACCTTGTTTAACACATTCAGCATTGGTTCTTTGTTTGCTGTGTCTCTAGGATATTTCCGCAACGTTCACCCATTCCTTTTTTTGTTACCTAACAACTCTTTGTTCCATTCTCTGCGGCTCTTCCCACTTCCTGTTCTTGCCATCTTCGCTCTCATCCTCAAGTTAGGCTTGTTTTGCCATCCCCGATTACATAAACAAGGTCGAATATCGTTGAGCTCGATTTCCTCCCCTCGTGGTCGCAGGACGGGCTCGGCGAATCCTCTTTGTGACGTGTTTGCGCGGTTTGGTGATTGTAGGTCAGGATTCGTTGTTTGTTTGCCGATGATGGTTTGGATCCAGTGAACAAAGATAGAGCTTGCTTTATATCTGTGGTGTATGATTGCAATGGATTGTGTCCAGTTGCCCGTCCAGTGACCCTGCGCCAAGACGTTCTTCACATACTCTCCAGGGGAACTGCGTCACTCCATGGAGCATGAAGTCTGGGGGAATCGAAGCCGCACCAATGGTACTTTCCGACATGATATTAAACAAAACAACGAAAGCCAATCATCGACGCGAAAGTAGCACGCGTAAGTATGCATAAGCTACTTATATATGTGTGTCTTCCGGGCGGCTGAACGACGCTATGCAATGAAAACAATGAATTTCGTTTGCTGCCGCTCTATCTGGCCTGGCCATGAGGATGTCAGCATCCCCTTGACGTTCCCCATATTACCCACTGTATTGCCGTTGACGACTTCGTCTAGAGCAGGCACACGTCTTGTCCCCAACTCGGTGATTCCCCAAACCCTGAGAGAATAGTTTTCAAAATCATTTGGTTCAGACCTCGTACTTCCGATTGCTTGAGATTTAATGGAGGTACGAGGCTTGGGTACCATGGTGCCCTGGCACTAACGCTCTTTCCTTAGCGTCCGCTGCACGCGTTGCGCCGTACCCGCTGTCGGCCTCACCGCATGCTGTAACGCCGCGCTGGTTCAGTTATGCGGATCTAGCGGATCCTGCTCTCGCAGACCCTAGATCGATTTTGTCAGCAGTCCATGTAGGTTTTCTGTCTTCTCTCGTCCGCCGTACGCATCGGCGATTCTTCTCCTTTCTCTTTGTTTGGTTTTTTTTTGCTTTCTCATGGTCCGATCCCAGTATTTCTATTCTTTTTTTTTCTCGTGGTCTCTTGCTCTCCCGACTCGGAGCTGCACTGGTTTGTAAGCATTCCGGTCTTGCTGCAGGTGGAGGCATAATTGACCTTCGGTTGCCTGCGGCGAGTAGGATCCTCGTCTGTTTGTAACCTAGCTTTCCTTTTTTCTGTCTGTGTGATTGTCTTCTTCAGCGTTACCCTCCTCCGTCCCCTTTCACCTTCCCTGTGTATTTAACCGGGTCGCCTCCTATTCTCGACGTTTGTCGTTGTCACGCTATCGTATCGACGTGCTCGTCCAGCTGCACACAAGTGCAATGGTAGTGTCTTCCGACATGGTATGTCCACAAGGTTTTAATAACGAAGGGTCACCTGAAAAGTATTTTGTCTGCGTTTATGATTGCCTGAAAGACATTCACCCGAAACGCTGGAAATCAACGCGTGACTCGGAGCAGCAAGGTAGCGTGGCGACGACCCTGACGAAAGTCGAAGCCTCTGAGATATCAAGCGACCCGGTAAATACAAAAAGAGTAGCGTTAGGTGGAGCAGGGGATGGTGGTGGGTGACGCAGAAAATACGGAAGGAAGCAACAGAACAAAGAAGCGACTGGGAAAAGGCCGAAAGATGAAAGAGACTAAAAGGGAAGCACTGAAGACGGGATCCTGCCCACCAAAGGTAACCGAAGGTCATAACTCCTTCACCTTTAGTAAGACCGACTTGTGTGCACACAGGAGGAGACGCAACAGAGTAGCGTGGCAACAGCCCCAGCAGATGCTGACCCGGTTACATACAAAGAGGAGATTGGAGAAGGAGGAGGGCAACGCTAAAACAAGGACAACGAGGGCAAAGAGGTGCAGAACGCCAAGGAACCTAGAAAATCTAATTAAATGCAATGGGGATCCCACCCAACCGAAGGTCACAACACCCCCTCAGCGAGACCGAAAGGACAAGACTAAAAATCAAGAAAGGATAAACGTCTTCAGCAGACCATGAGAGATAAGAGGGCGAGAGCCCTGAAGCATAGATGGATGAAAAACACGTACGGAATTCGTCCGAAGAAATCGAACCAAGGTATGCAGCGGCACCTGGAACGGCATGACTGTAACCTCGGAAGGTGCAGTGTGACAGCGGGTACGGCGAAAGGTATCACTAGAGCAATGTGCCGAGCGCGTAAAAACAACAATGTAAGCGTTTAGTCCTACTGCACATAAGTCTAATTTAATCTCGTACCTCCACTAAATAACAAATACTTACATTCGGGAATAAATGGTTGAACTGTTAACAAAAAACAAAGAGTCAGAAAGAAGAAAAGCAGAAAATGAACAAAGGCATACGGCGGACGCAAAGTGAATGGTCGGCGCTCAGAGGCACAGAGGCCGAAGCGCAGGTGAGCGCGAAGGCACGGAGGCCGAGGCATCCAGCAGGACGCGAGCAAAGAAAGAACGTACCCAAACACAAAGACGACAAAAAGGCCTGAAAAAATACCGTGAGATCATAAGAGATACAAACTGAACGCTTGCTCATGATCAGCATTCGAAGGGCCATAAACAGGTATGGCGTACGCGAGGTCAGAGAGAATCCCAGATGTGCGACGGATACGAGGGAAACTGGAGTGGTAAAACCCGACACAAGTCTCATGTAATCTCGTTCCTCCATTAAATCCCACCTAGACTTGAAGTGCGAGTTTCCATCCCAAATTGTCGCCCAGGGTATACCCGGACTGACGGATACTCAGTTCTTCAGTGAGGGATTTCCAGCGACCCTATTCGTGGGTGAGGATCCTTCGCGTCGCGGGCGTCATTATTCGATGCTAGGCCGCAGGCCCTTAGTTCCCTCCGACCTAAAGGACATGCCAGTTATGACCAGGAGTGAGCCGACTACATGAGCAACGTGCCAGTTATGATCTGATCCTGGCGTTCTCAATGTGTCACACCTGCTGTGAACAACGGGCTCGGTGTCAGCTTCAGTGATGTGCTTACCCAGTTGCTTCGTACCGGCGCATTCACCAAATCTGCGCGCGGCTCACCAAGAACCACGATGCTTGCCTGATTATCCAAAACGTGCATCGCTTCGTCTCCATCATCCCCATTTTAGCCCCTCCTCTCCCGCCAGTTCTTAGGAATATGCATCACGAACAATGTCCAATGCACATATTGCTCTGGTCATTCAGGAATTCGGGCTGCCGTTGGGTGCATCTGAAGCTTTCAGCCGTGGAGACCAAATAGATTGATACAAGCGAAAAATTATGACAGTGGAGAGGAGAATCCAGTAGGCGATCAGAAGAGTGGTACCGATGCACGTTGACACCACTGAGTAAGAGTAGAAACACTCGCTAGCTCTCCAATCGAAACGTGGTGGTATTGAAGAGGAACCCTGGCTCATCCCAGAGTGCGAATCAAAGCAGACGGCGAATCAGATCATAAGCACGAAAAACACCATTCACGCGGGAACAAATTAACCAATGGTACGAACAGGAAATCTTAAGCAGTATGAGCTCTTGTCATTTGTAATTGTTGAGGAGGGGTACAAGATAGGATCACAGATTCATTGCCGGGGAGGTATCTTTTCTTCAATCCAGTGGTGCGACTTCCTTGACATTACAATGATCTCCTCTTCAGACTGTAGAGACCCCCGTTTCGAGCGCTTCACGTCGTGTCCATCCCCACTTTCGGTAAGATAACTTCGGTCTGACGGCCGTGCAGGACATGGGAGAATGGATGACGCGGATACGGTGAGGATGGATCCAATGAATGTAAGGGCGAAAAGGGATGAAATGGCGGATCGTCGCGCAGATGGGGTGATGCGAAGCAGCCGCGTACGGGCCATGAAAGATCGAAGAGTGAGATTCAATAATTTCCGTTGGTTTTCGCTAGAAGTCAAGCTCTCTTGATGAAGTAGCCTCAGGATGAGAGTATTGACGCCATAACAATAACTGGACTTACCTCAGGACCTTAGGAGCATAACTCTGACCCGTGTCCAAGTTGAGGAAAATATGAAACCATCGACCTGGTTATTTCCGGATTCAACATGGTGCAGTTCCCACGCTTGTCTCCAGTGGACTCAAGATGAACGCAAGGGTGCTACGCGACATTAAGGCGCGCAGGATGGTTTGTAACCAATTCAACGCCATCCATGGTGCTCATTGAGACATTTGATACCTGAAGGTCTTTGAAAATGAAGTGACTCGGAGGGCGTACCTCTTTGTTGCCCGAAACCAAACTCTCCCTCCTGCTGTTAGATATCAGGCTCAGCTGCAGTTAAACAACTTTTCCAAATATACCAGGCCGAACACTGTCAATAATCGATGTGTTGAGAGTGGTCGAGGAAGGGGAGTAATGAGCAAATTTGGGCTTTGTCGGGTGAGTCTTTCGGGGGTTTGGACATGATGCATGAACGCTCACAATCATTGGTCGTATCAATAGTACCAGTTTAGGCTGAAGGCTCTAGCAGGAGACATACCTGGCGTAAAGAAGGCATCCTGGTGACCATGCCTATCCTCTGAATAATCTCTTCTGTTTTCTGTATCCAATATATACCTGCAACGAACTCTATCTTAATAGACAAAGTTTGAGAGCCCCATCGCCAAGCTGCCAAAAAAATTAATTCGGCGAAGGGAGACATCTCATCTTCGCGAAGGCCACTATTTCCAAGACTGCAGATAAAAATACAGCAATGAACAAAAAAAACTGGAGGCTAGAGACCAAGAAAAAAAAAAAATGCACATAACCCCAAACCAGCTATCTTCAAGAAAGCGCGTTGACTCCAGCGGCGTCTGGATTGATCTCGGACAACACAAGTTCTGCTTCCCCTCGTGTCCTCCTCCACTTGTTCACGTTACTTAGCACGGATTCCTCCACAAGAAAACTTCCATCACATCAAAGCACGTCAGAAGGGACCCAATCAATGGATGCACGAATGCTCACCCATAACGTCTCAGCCAGTCCTCACCCAACTCCCAGTTACTGTGAGCAAGAACGTCATCATCATGCACAATAGAAGTCCAAAGGAACATAGACAAGCATTCTGCCAGATCGAAACGGTCTGTATTGTGGTATTACTTGTTACCATTCGCGCGTAAGCATTTGACCGATCAGATTCGTTACCTTTGAGAAGAATCATCCGATCTCGAATCTCAGGGTATACGATTCCGTCAATGAGATTGTCTATTCAGAAGAGTCGTGCGCAACAGTAGCATGACAACAAAAAGATAGGAAACTCACCATGGGGTACAGAGCGCTGGACTAACGTTGGTCGTAATGATGCGGGCAGGAAATACTGGGAGCTACGCTTGTAGTTGTCCAAGTGGTATCTGTGATTGGATGTAGGCGGTCGGAAACTCCATCTTCCGAGCCTCGAAATGTCACGAAGGCGACATACTTTATAAGTTTCCCTGCCTCATGCTTTTTTGGCTCATTTTCAATCATCAAGCGCGTTCTGCGATCGGTTGGACCGGCATTTGAGCTAGTCGTAGATGCAGCAGGCGGCGCATTAATGGGTGACGCTATTGCAGTGTAAATCAGTCTTCGCCTGCACAAGCGGCAACTACACAAGGGAACTTACACCCTGCTTGATTGTTGTCACGCGGATTGAAGCTGCCGAATGAAGATCCTCCATACGATGAACTTCCTCCGCTAGGGCCATTGTTCATCCCTACTGAAGCCATGCCAAATGCTTCTCTGGGTCCAGGAGGAGGTAACACACGTGTGCCGCTGATGCTGGGATTTCCCATATCAATGTACGGTGCTCCTGCAGAAGACGAGAAAGTATCAATAAGAGAAGTGAAAGATCCTGGCGGCTCGTCGGAACTACGTGTAGGATTAAAGGGCTGAGTGCGTGAAGGGAGGAGAGATGGGAGTTCGTGGGGTGACCGAGCTCGAGGAGGGTTTGAATTTGAAGGTGTAGGAGGGGTCTGAGATGCATTGAAGCTGCTGCCCTCCATGAACGATGATCTTTTCCGTTTCTTAGTGCCATTCAAGTCATGCCCACCGCTTGCCAAAGCGCTGGTCGAGGACGTCATACCAGTGCTATTCTGAGGACTTATCATCGCGTTCTTTGCTTTGATGAAAGCCTCGTATGCAGTATCTGAGTCCGCGCGCGAAACCATATCCTGAAAGGATTTCATGTCCCAACCAGTCTTAGCGAGAAGTGGGCCACCTAATCCATCACCTAGGAAGGTGCCGAGATCTCTGACGAGGGCTCGAAGACGCGAGTTTTCTTCCATGAGACCTTGAATGATGGCCCGAGAATGAGTGTGAGTTTCCTCTTTGCTTCCTGAAAGTATCTCAACCCGAGCTTCGAGATCGCGGATCTGAGGACATGAATAGTACGCCAAATAGAAGTTGGGAAGAATAGAGTGGAACAGTAGTCCTCAGGGCACTATTGATAGTAAGAAAATGACGACGTACCCGCTGCTGTTTCCTCAACCTAAATTCGCGCTGTGCAATTCGATTCTGATCACGTCGGGCAGCTTGATTACTACTATTCAGCCCCCCCAATGCCGAATCCGAATCCGGGTTCTCATGAGCCACAGGATCCACAATGGAAAGTACGACATACGTTGCAGCCTTTTTCCTCCCAGGTTTATTAGTCCCACTCGCGTCTCCAGTGTCTGGTTCTGCCGATTTATCTCTCTGCTCGTCATTACTTTTGTGCGCTTCATCATGCTGGCATCCGAAGTAGTGCGGCAGTGTGCGTCAATCCGTGATGTGACGAGTAAGGCACAAGAAGTCGGCGTCGAAAAAGGCGCCGTTGTGTCCGTTGTGTCATGTTAAGAGCGTCAGCATGAAACACAAAATTCAGATCACGTCAAATCATTGGCAAAACTTGTAGCTGAAAACATGCAGTCCAGACTCACATCTCTTCCATCAACGGATGGACTCAAAGATGCTTCCATTTGATCCATGCTGCTTGAGGGTGTGGAAAAGTCTTTGAGTTATGGTTATTGGGGGGTTGCAGATAACAACTTTACGTAAGCACGTGGAGGTAAAACTATTGAATCCGACACGTGGGAGTTATTTGTGCCTATGTTGAGGTACATTTCCGAGGGAATAGGAATGCAATAACTACGCAGAAGCATATTGAACAACAACAGTCAATCACTAAGGCTGCTCCACGAAGAACTGGTAGTGGCACCCTCTAATATCTGTATCGTGTCGAGTAATCTGCGAATCAAGGAAGATCGATTAGCGATCAACGAACTGAACGCTGCAGTGGCAGATGCACCTCTGGGCGACACGACGAGACCTCGACCTTTCGAGGCTCCGCGATAAACGGTCTCGATGATGTCAATCATCTTAAAGATGCAGGGTCAATTCGGTTCCAAAGGTTACGCAACATAAATCCATACTTCTTGTTTCTCTTCAATCGCCCAATTTCTAAGAAATGCAAGGTGCGATTAGTAACCTTTAGTACAAGCAAATATCACCTACATTTTATTGTTATTTCCCGTACCGAGATCGATCATGATGTGCTTATTTCTGTGAGAGAAAATGACATCCCATCATCTGGGGGACTCGCAAAAGAATGGAATCGAGACAGCGCTACCTGTAGAAAAACATGACAGTACAGGCATCATACAACTCGTACATCTATTCGTGCCAGGTTCAAAACAGACGAGTAATATGAATTGCCCAGCAATGAAGAAAATCGTGACATGACAGTCAATTCGATGCCTACCGACACAGGGACTTTAAACTCACCTTGTTGAAATCAGGTACTTGAGTAATATCTACCAGATAGACCACCGCAAAATTCTGCACCCTTTCTGCAATACCCCAAAGGGTTTCGTCCATCTTCATGCATTGGGGATCTGCATCGTGACCAAATCGAATGGCCACAACGCGATCTTCTTCTGACAGGATCGCTTGATCGACGTGCCACCCTGATGGCAAGTGGGGAAGGAAATAACTCACTGTTGAAGATAGATTGATAAATAGGTCGAGATGAGATGAGGTATGGGACGACATGACCCATCAATACCACCCTGCAACGTTGTCCGGCCGTGAGGGGACTTACTGTTGAAAGCTTCGTGGACGCTCTTCTAGTGCGCGCGGATGCGCCTCGGATAGCCTGTCTCTGTGTGAAGATGTTTGTTTGTTTGATTCTGCTGCTCGGGCGCCGAGGGTAGTCTCGGGAAAAATACATGCAAATAAAGTAAAAATAACAGGTAAGTTCAATCTGGGAATGCTCGTTCTCCTTCCTCTAAATTCCCATCTTGGCACCGGTAACACAATATCCGAACATCTGTAAGTGACGACTCACCAGGGGAATATGGTTTGGGTTTCATTCGGACGAAGAAGGACGAGTGTTCTCAGATCGGACTTATCTGTTATTTTTACTTTATTTGCGTGTATTTTTCTCGAGACCCCTGCCCTTGGCGCTCTTGTGAGCAGCTTGAAGCTCTGCAGGTTAAATATCCAGAATAAAACAAACAATCCTTCGTCTAAATGAAGCCAAAACCGTATCCCCCTGGAGTCGTCACTTACAGCGCACGAAGAGTACTGAACGGAGAAAATCAGATTTCAGTGCAAGTGGCGATGCACTATGAGGAGGGCTTGCGCCAACACGGTGTCATTTTTGGATGCCCCACGAGTTTCTAGTCCCACATTCCACAGACGGGGGTTGTGCAGCGAAAGCTGGGGTCATTGATCCAAATTCGCACGATCCTGCGGGACAGGATGCGGCTGCTATCATCGTCATCATTATGTGGGGATAGAGGCTGGTAATGTGACGACGAGGTGATAGAGAGCGTTGAAGTTTTGACCCTGATTTATAACAATGGATTATCGTTCGCAGTTGGAAATTGGTTGTGGTGCTCTCCCCCCGCACCCCACTGATCTCCACACATGACGACAACATCACGAACACCAGCTGCTCAGCAAGGTCCCCCTGGAGTGCTCCGCAGCGCCTGAAAATTTCCTGATGAAATTCGCAAGTGGCCAATGTAATTTTACTCCGAGTGAGGGGTCGTTCAAAAACTTGCTGTGATTGATTTTATGCAGTACTATGGTTGCCACTGGTCGTTTTTCTTTGCTGCTGCGTGCTACGCTTGTTCTGGTGGGGTTTTCCATAATGTTGACCCCCCTAGACGTGGATGTCACCCAATAATTCAGTAACTTGATTTCGAGCTTGCTCATAACCGGATTCAGCTGGTTCGATCATGGAGGAGGAACCCCAACAGTAACCCCAACACGACATGACGGGTGTCTATGCGAAACGTCGGTTGCACTGGCCACGCGCCGACAATCCTTTTTGTCCTTCATGCCAATCTGGCATTCCCCAAAATAACACGCAATGCTTAGTACCTGTTGTTGTGTTTTGTAGTTTTGGCATGGTCATGTCCGACTTTTGCTAAGAGGTCAATATTCTAGCCCCTCCCTGCACCATCCGCTCATCATACATGGCAACTTTTAGTTTACTCAATCGACAATCTTATTTTAGCCCTCTCCTGGGCGTGGAGTTGCTGGGATGTATCCAGATCACACAACTGATCCAGGGAATGAAGGTTGAGTGCATCCTGCGAAGTACGAAGGGTGGGGACATTGGAACAACATCGGTGACTCCCTCGGCCATTAGGAAATTGCATCTATCTCCACAAACATACTGACGCCTGGCCCTGAACAGACCAAGAAGTCACCAAATCATGAGCCAAAACCTAGTTGTTTACAGGGGAGAAAGGCCTATCAAACTCAATGCCAGATAAGAAATCCATGCTACATACGCCGGCCAAGACCTTGATTCCTGCATCAGACGGGACGATGATAGAGGCATGCTAGTGCAATCCCAGGAATGAGTATGATTACACTCAAACATACCTGAGGCATATAATTAAAATCTGCGACGACGACCGCTGTTCATGGCTCTTCAAGGGAACTTATATGTTAATTTCTTCCAGAACTGTTTGCGGCTCGGAATGTTTTATCATCGGCACTCGAAATGACGGAGTCGAGGATGCATAAGTGAGATTTTATGCCTGGGTCGTGGCCATGTCAGCGTGGTTGGTTGGTTGTTAATTCGCGCGCCAAGTATGCAAGAGGAAATACATCATACTTGACTTGTGTCGAATTACCAGCAATAGCTTGTGAAGCCGGAATAGGACTCATCCCCACTGAAAGTATCCGACACGGTATACCGTTGCCAAGCCCTGATGGCCGGAAGAGATCAACACAAGAAATGGCGATACTGACAGTGCAAAGTGAGGTAGTGTGGAGCCGCCAACCAAAGTTTGAGATAAAGCCAGACAACAGGGTATCTTTTATGCAACAGAAGTGCATTTTTTGCTCGCACTGGATGCAATCTAGATGCGTTGCCAGCAAACACTGTCCATAGCAACTCCAGTGACAAATGACCAATGATAAGCTATCAAGTTAGCTAAGAATGTAGGTAACAACAAAGTCACCGAATTCTCTGAATGGACCATACGATAATATCGAGGTGGAAATGTGAGTTTCAAGGGGTTTGGAAAAATTCCCCCTAAGAGGGAATTGAATCGGTAAGACCGGAGAATCGAGGTACATCGAAGCCCTGTAGCAGCGCCCTCGAAACACGAAATGCCATGTATGTTGGTGATGGAAGGACCAATAATAGCTCATCTGTTTCCAGCGAGCCCGACTGAGCGGAACGTGGCAGGGTGGATCGGAGGGAAGGAATCCATGTATAAAACTGATTGCGAAGCAAAGCCCGGCATCGTCGCCGGTGGAGAACAGAAAAATCTCATTGATGGACGTTGCCCGCATGGGCCTAGTTACCAGATGTTGCATACAAGAAGCAAGGTAGTGTTGGGTGACTCCGCGAGGAAAAACGGCAGAGCCAGAATCGCCTCGAGACTGATTGAATGCTGGCCGAATGGAATAGGGTATAATCTAATACGCTTCAGGAGCTCACCGAGACGTACACCTTCTAGGAGCAGACACCTCCACTGCCAGCTTCTGGGAGAGTGCCTTACTTCCTGGCCAAGTTGTAGACTCTATCCACCAACGTACTTTCAATTATACGAAAGAATCGAGGCGAGGTCCAGTTTCGCCTTTCATTCCTGATATCTGTTCGCCCCCAACAAAGCTGCTTCGCCAATACCCAACAGGATGGACTCCCCAGGCAATACTGTTCCAGTCTCCGGGTCCAGGGCAGGCTTAGGCTCGTGAAACAGTCATATACCGGCCTGTGGCGAATGCGAAGGATGAAGGTTAGTGGACAGCGCAGCATGCCATTCTGATCGGTCACGAGCAAAGGGCACTTGTAGCCTCGATTCTAGCAGTTCTTTCTTGTACTACATATGAAGCAGTGCAGCGGTTGTGTACCGGGGCATCAGGTCAGAACACGTCGTTGCGGGGAGAGACTTCTTGTATTTTCATCACTGTTAATTGGACACGAATGTAAGCCCCCGAGTAATCCACGCGCATGGCCCGACACAGAAGAAATGCAGGTCATCATCGTCGTGGCATCCCAAGGCGACAAGCTCGCCAGCGATAATGAGTATTGATGTGTTAGTGCAAACTCGGGGTCAGCAGCGACTCAAACCCAGCCTATCTGCAGACGCTCGAAATAATCGGACTCCTTCGGAGTGTCCCGCCCCAGTGTTCGTTGATGAACATGGAAAATTACTTTGTGAGACCGCGGGAACAACCTAAGCCGGGCCGATCACAGCATGGGCCCCAGATTAGTCATGGAAGTGCCTTTGTGGTCTTCTGGATTTGTATTGAGGTCGCGCTACAATCGTTCTCTCTACTGCTAGGTATGGGCGACGAAAGAAACGAGTACATGGCTATTGGCAGAGGACATTGGCGTTTCCTAGAGATGGCGCTGTTTGATGATCCTACCCAATCATTGACTCGTCTTCTGCTTCGGATGGCGTTCTTCTTTACTTGTCGCCTGATGCGCCACTGGGAGCTGCAGCCACGGCTAAAGTCAGCTTCTGGCAGCAAGCCTGAGCCTCGAGGCAGTCGGTGACATCCGTGCTATTCAGTGCAACACGTTGCCTGCACTCTGCCTTTGTCTTTTAACTCCCATCTCTTGCTCCAGCCCATTCCAGTAGAAGAGCATATCCTCGCGTCTTCCATTTGGGGCCTCAAGAAAAGCTAAGAATGCCATTCGCTGATCAGGCTAACGGGGAGCCTCCCACCGAGTTCGTCTACACGCTGGAACCAAAGGCTCTCGCAGAATATGCGTTGAGCGTCCGAAGTTCTGATCCATCAGTCCCAGAAGGGGAGACGTTTCAATGTATCGCTGAGCTGCCACCGATTTTTGGACGCAAGAACGTGGTCTTCAGCATAACCTTCTCTGATGGCGCGCGCTGGGCGCTTCGGATACCCTACCCTCCCTATTCTGAGCTAATACAGGATAGGATGAGGGCAGACATCGCTACTACGCGTTTCATTCAAGCTCGAACAGATGTCCCGATTCCAAAAATTCACGCCGCTCTGCCAACTGTGGACAGTCCAATTGGTGTGCCGTTCATATTAATGGATTGGGCCCGGGGAGTCTGTCTCGAAGACGTTTGGTATGACAGGAAATGGAGAACTGAGTAGGTTTATTCCTCACACATAACGAAAATCCCCATACTCAACACATTCTCAGACCAAGGACGAGAGGCGTTATAGAATCCCTGGCTCCCCATATGGCAGCCCTAAACGCGCTCGAGTTCCCCTCGATCGGGACTTTGATACCTCAAAACACCGATCCTGATTCGACTACTTGGTCCGTTGGACCATTCATCGATGATCGCAATGAGATGGTTCCCAACTCGGCCAATCTCAATAAATGTGGTCCTTATAACTCGGTGCATGCATACTACGTAGAAACAATTGAAAACGCCGCTCGAAGGTTGCAATCACGACATGGTCGCGCCCAACTTGCGCTACTTCGCATGCTTAGCTCCACTCTCCCATCGTTCGAGTTTGACGGTCCGCCGTTCGTACTAAACCACCCGGATCTTTGCGCAAAGAACGTATTCGTTGACCCTGCAACCGGTGTGATAACGGCGCTGATTGATTGGGATGGAGTGAACACAGGCCCACGACAAAGTGGTTGTGCGCGGTATCCTTCATGGATGACTAAAGACATGAATCCTTTCAGATATACCTGGAAAGCTACGTACGGCGATTTCTTGAAAGAGGTATGCTGCAAGTCATGGTCACTGGGTGTGTTAATTCAAACCCGTTCTCCTCTACAGCCTGTTCAGAGCGTCATTCAAACCCGTGCTCCATCTCCTGTGCCACCAGAAGATGTTCCGCAGCCCGGTCCTAGCAGGGAACCGACGGCCGCTGGAGCGACAAACGAAGAGCCGGATCGTGATCCCTTCACATTTGACTGGAACGAATCATTGTCTAGCAGCGACGCCTGTGAGTACATATCCTCAACTAGCGCCAATGATGTCTTTACTGATCCCCATCCTTCAAGCCTCATGGTTCGACGGTGGAGACGATGCTTCATCCTCAAAATCTTCCATCGAGATCATCCGTACGGAAGAGTCACCAACCGAGCTCGGCCTGCTAAGAAAAACGTATCTTGCTTTCATGAAACTTATGTACCCCTCCCTTGCATCTCTCACGGAGCGTTCGCACATATCCGAAGCTATCGAACGAGCGATTTTCGATCCTGAATCGCGACCTATGATAATTAGCAAATTGTTCGAAGAACTCGTAGGCCCAGGCAGTGCGTGGTGGATTGCGAGGACAGTGAGGAAAGGGCTGTGGAATGGAACGTGGCTTTCGAATGGGTGGGTTGGGCCTGTCGCTGGGGGTGCGCCGCCTACGGAGGTGCTCAGTGGCGGCGAGGTGGAAGAAGCCGACGACTAAACTATTCCGTCCAGTGAAGGAGTCTTTTCAGATATCTGGAGTCAAGTTTTGTAGCACATGGTTCCCTTGTCACATTGCACATCCTTTTTAGCTCAAAAACGTACATTCTTGGCTTCGCGCGACTTGATCTAGCAAAAAAAGTTGTACACTACATTTCCATCCTGCACAAGCACTTTTCAAGGTCTCTTGCGCTCACAAAACATTGATGGTACTGTTCGGGAATCCACCTCGCAATCATCTGTGCGTAGGTTGTTCGAGTCTCCACAGATGTGAGTTATTATAAATTCTGATCGGTGCAGCAGGAGGAAAGAGAGGTAAGTGAGCGAGTTGGTCCATAGCTGCGGGTGGCATACAAGCAGCGTGTGTGCTCAGGTATATGCGTGACTCAAAAGGGGTGTAGTGAATGCGGATCATTCACCCCATCGGTGTCGTAGCACTGCTCGCAACCGGCTTCGCTCAACTCGATGTGTAATCCCCCCCAAAACATGCACCACGCGCTGCGCAGTTGACTTATTCACGCGGAATGTCCCCACTCTTAGCTTTCCGGTTACAGCTGGCAGTTGGACGCACTGGGAACCGACACCACCAGTGGTCACGATTACACCATCAAATCACGGCTATGCCATCCGTATAGCTACTCGAGCGCATGAATGCTGCTGATATCGGAGAAACGATAATAGATGGGGATTCGTATCACCCCCAAGTGCAGTATAGTTATGCACGGATTTGTCAATCGCGTCCCCTGATTGACGTTCCAAAATGCCCCATTCAGCAATCCTCCTTTGGGTCCAGACTTGTCACATACTTCATATTTCACAAGTTTGCTGAGCCATCCTGGTTACCCGCCAAGTGTTCCTGCACTCCATGGTGAAGAAAGGATCTGCAGGGATGAGGTACGTGTGAAACGAGTCCCCCACGGCGAGGTGTTCGTCTTCTAGATTTGGGGAGGTATAGGGACTCAAAATCATCCCTTGGCAGTTCGAGTTCGTTCATAGGAGGGACGGTTGACTAGACTGATAAAATATGGGCAGAAGTGAGTGAATGAAACAGCGTCATTCTAATCTATGCAACAATCAGCATGTTGGCGAATACCGGAGGTGGAAGGAAGCAAAGGTTTGGGCATACTAGTAAGAGCGACAGTGTGGTGCGAGATTGACGGCAGTGAAAGTTGACCGAAGGGCCTGTCCATTCTACGGAATGTTCAATGTGCAGAGGCGGTTGATAGCTTCCACAGGAGAGCGGAGGTGCAGGCGAACAAATCTGACGTACAGGTGGGAAATTTGCGGGTGGACAGTGAGACTCTGAAGTACGAATGTCGCCTGAGTGGAAAAGATAAAGGATTGGGGGTCTTTACTAAAGCTACACGGCAAAGTGACAGAGTCGGGTATCATGCAGTTACGGATCCATGGTCGTATAGAATGCCTTAACAAGCTAACAGGAGGAGGGTCGGGATATCAAGGAACATAAGGGTGGCAAACAAGGCTAGGAGAGGACGGAGGTAAAGCGAGTCCATAAAGGCGCTTCACTGAGGACGTCTCAGTATACTGAGTACCTGGCGACAGTACGCTTGTGCAAAGCATGGATGCACAAACATGATGCAAACACAAGGCAAATTCAAGTTCTAAAGGGGTGCCATCTATTCCCAGTTGCACCCCTTATCCAGCAGTTTCAACGGTGGGCGAATGCAGTAGCTACCACAGCAGCACTGACCCCTCTGCAGGGCTACCCGATTTCCAGGCGCACATGCGCCAAAGTTTGAAGTGGAGGCTCACAGTTGGGGACCGAACTTGAAAGTTCTAGCTCGGATGGTCATCGGACTGCAACTCACAGTCCCCCGATATCAAGGTAATGCCAAACATATGAGGATAACAATACAGCCTGGATTACGGCAAGACAGGTAACTGCATAATCCCGAAAAGGAAATTCAGTGAACCATAAATGGTTCACAGGCTCGGCCAATGAAGTTGGGGCAACAGATTCAGCTGTGGGGACATTCCTTGGATCGTGTTCCCAACCGAGGCAAGTATCGCTCAAGTCGACCGCAATGCTTCAGTATCATCGTAATAAAACCACGTATCGAATGTCCAGCCAATGGGTTAACTCCGGACGACTGAAAGACCCGGATAATGCTCGAGGGCATCAGACAATCATAATCGGATCAGAAGTTAACTCTTGCCCGGCATGATTTTGGTCCATTTCATCAGGCCTTAAGTGGAATGACAAAGAAAGCAGACCTAGCTGTTGTCCTGGTCCCTCTCCCATCCGTGACACCCCGAATCTCCGGGTTTCCATCATGAGCAAAGGGTACACAGGCTTTCAGTGGTTGTTCCTTGCTGAGATTGTCCTCTGCCCAAGCATGTCATGGTACATTGAGTGGGGACCACACCACCTACCTGGGTAATAGTAAAGGAGAAGTTCGTCAGCATACCACAGAAGCACAGGCAAGGCAAACATGAAGACTAGGCCCATAGGGTCACAAGCATTGCGGTCAGAACGGTTCAGAGGATCGCATCGCATCGCTACGCCGCTTCTCTATTGGCGATGATCGGTGTTCGGACGCCATATCAGCGAAGCGGGACACTTTCTCAAAGAAGCCAGGAGAATGCCGGAGACAAGTGTTGAAGTCACAACGAAATGACCCCTCAGCCCACATAAATAGCGAAGAACGGAAAGCTAGATCACAAAACACTAGCGGATTGTTATCCTAACCACCTCGTCCTGAGGCTCAGTCGCTCTTTTGAACACAATTGGCCTGTCAGTTCCTTTCTTATGCCTATGTCCCGGCCCGTCCTCCAAAACCTCACCAGAAAAAATCAGGTCTAAAAAATGGTGGCTCATCTTCAAAAGAGCTACACAATCATAGCCGGAACGTTCACGTCCTTCATCAACACATACTCGTTCAATGATCCAGGGTGTTTCGGTACACCGTCTATCAGTCTAGTGGGTCAGAGTGCCTATGCACAAGCAGGCTGGGTGGAATTACATCCAAACAATGCATCCATTCTTTTGTGAGTACCCAGACTTTTCACTTTTCGCCTTTTCTCGCAGGTCGTAATCATGCTCCCAGTTCGGCAATACATACGGAGCCTGGCTACGTCGCATCCTATTTAATCGATAGTAATGGCCTCTTAAAACAATTCAGCAACACTTCATCGTCGGGTAATGATCCACCTCATCTTCTTGTTATGCAAACCGGAAGGGAAGTCGTAGTGCCCAATGTAAGTCCGGCTCGGTATTTCACAAGGACACGTTCCTGAAAAGACTAAAGTACGGTAGCGGAAATGTTCAATCACACTATCTGGCCGAGGATGAGCTTACTTTTATTGGTTCGAGTAATGTTGTGACGTTGCAAGGATCAGGTCCGAACCCAACTCGTCAAGGGGCACCCCATCCACACCAAGTGATTCGTTCTTCCCTTTTAACATCTCCTCTGGGACTTACATAATGGATGGTAGGCCGTCAAGTACGAGAACGAAGTCCTCGTCCCTGATCTTGGTTCGGACAAAGTCTGGCGGCTCACTAAATCTGGGACAAATTGGCTAATTTCCGGTTTCATTCAACAACCATTTGGTACAGGACCAAGGCATATAGTTCCTTTCGGTTCGTCCCCCATCCCACCGGCCACCGTCCCATTCGGGCTCTCGGTATTAACATCGAGATGGATCTTTCCGCTGTAGGCGACAACCTTTACACATTGCACGAACTCTCCAGTACTCTAACGGCACAAACCATTCCTCCCCTCGGTTCCTCCACACCTCCGCAACTTCTCGCGAACTTGTCGACCTTACCAACTGACATTCCCGCGAACAGTACCTATGGTGCTGCGGAACTAGAGCTTACACCGGTTTCAGAATCCTTCCCAAAGAGGTACCTTCTCGCTTCGAATAGAAACGTCTCGCCTTCTCCAAGCGCTATCGATCCCCGAGGAGACACGATCGGTATTTTCGAGGTCGAGCCAGACCTTCGTCTGGTGAAACAAGTGTATACCGGTTTACAGCAGATACGCGGTATGAAAATCGGGGGCGACAAAGGTCAGTATGTCATCGCTGCTGGTTTGGTAAGTTTGTGAAATTGTATCCAATCAATATTTACTATCGTCACTGACACAATATGTAGACGGGAGGAGGCGTCGCAGTATTCGAACGAGTGGAAGGAGGCACTAATCTGAAACTGCTGGCACGGTACACAACACCTGGTTCGTCCGAAAGTGTTGTCAGTTTCGTATGGCTTTAGTAGACTATGTACTGCATACATGTGGTTTCTTTGAGATCCAGGCAGGGCATACATCTCTACCCGCGAAATGGCGTACTCATACATACTCTTCGTTTTGTTTTGAACGTACTTAACACTCTGAAATCCGGGACCAAGGGGATATTTATATTTGGCTGACACTTCTGCGTATGCTTAAGTTACGCATGCCTTTGCACTCATTCGTTTCATGATTCATTGCCACAACGATTCTGACAGCACACAGACTGCGCAGCAGTGCACCACTGACGATCTGACGCGGGACCAGAATGGTAATTCCTTTGGACACGTTCCCATGATCCTGCATGAGCATGGACAGAGAACTACAGATATCTCTCCTCGGTCACCCAGAGCAGCCTCCTGTGAATGTGAACTTCGAGATCACTGGAGTCATCTCCGTGATCGGTGATCGATTCTTCACAGCAGTAACTGGATCCTTTGGTCCTCCTGTATATCCCATTGTAGTACCTCGCGCAAGTATTCTTCTGAAGGGCATTACAGTCCCGCACTGAAAAAAGCCAGATATCTCCACAGATATCTCCAGACTATTTCAAGAGCCTCTGCTTCTGTTCCCTCCTGAAATACTAAACGATCCAGTTTGCGCTGTTTGCTGAAACCGTGTCTCACACCAAATACAAGAGGACCGCCGCGAGTATGTCACCCAAAGGTCAAAAGCGCGAAGGGGAGCATCGGTGACGCTCCCGCCAACGTGAGCAAGATTCGCGTGGCGGACGAAGCTTCCGAATCGTCGAAGCGGGAGTTGGAGAATATCGAGGGCACGGAGGGCGAGCTAGGGCGAGTGGAGCCACACCTTGCAGAGGAGTGGCCGCCCTCCCAACCGTTGGGGAAGACGTCATATTCCGGCGCCTCCATAAAAAACATCCGAACCCAGACCCCGGAAACTCCTTTGTGCATGGCGAAGATATTTGGCCAGTAGCGCAAGTGGGGGCATAACTCCGTCGGGAGGTGTTGTCAAAGGAGGTTGTGTTGTCAAGTGGGAAAGGATTCTAGCCTTGCTGAGATCAGAGCGGTTTGTTTCGGTGCTTGTTCGCCTGTGCAACGATTTATTAATTGGCTTCTTTAACTAGGACCCGAAATCCGGGGTGGGAGCCGAACTCTTGAAATCTGTTAAAGTGAGTTGGTTCGCCTTTTTCCCCCGGAAAATCAAGGCTGTGTGCTCGATCCCGAGGCTGTCAACGAGAAATTTAGCATTCGGGTGTTCGGGTGTTCCTCTACTTCGATGAGGTCCATTCTCTCGCGGGCCCGTGGATACCACACCGAAGCCGTTACGCCAGGATGTTGTCGTGCCTTGAAGACTTGAGGACTAGGGAGATTCCTGTTTTCACCATCGAGCTTTCCGTTTCGAGAAGCTTGCTCCAGCTCCGGGCCCCAGAAGATCCGCTTGCATGACAAGTAAGGACTCCTTCCTTCAGGCACCTATTATGGAGCCGCCATTCGATAGTTCCTGTGATTAAGGGTTTCGGCAGTCTGTCATCTGCAGAAGTTCTCTCCTGCTGTGGACGCCCGCTGTATGAATCCCTCTCTGCAAAACCGTTTCATGAACACTAACTGACGGATTAGATGGCGGACCATGTATGATGCTTGCTTTCAAGCAGAATGACAAGCTTCATAACAACATATCCGCCAAGAGGCTCATGAATTTGGCATATGCAAAGCTCGCGGGTCTAGAAGGTGTCACTTGGAAACTTCGAGAAATACGCCCAAGAAGCAAAGCTAGCTGTCATCGACATGCGGCTACAACTTGATTACCAACCAGCATGCTAAGTAGCGGCAACTGCGTTGGCCCAAATGGTAGCGTCGCATATGCGCACAGTAACCTCTATTCTAATGCATCGCGATTACATGCAGTTTGGATACCCTTCGGAACCATGGCTTGCAGAAGCTCAAGCGCAAGAGATGAGAAGTTTGCAGGCGCTCCAACCCGATTTTATCTTCAAAACGCTGGAACAACGGCATAACCAACATTGGAGAGGCGAGGCCATAGCACATATTATGATTATGCGGGCATATTATGACCATGTCGTTGGAAAGTCCCAGGCTTCCACCCTATATGAGCGATGACAGATTTTTATCAAGTTCAGTCAAGGCTGCCGTTTGATTGACTTCATCAAGTGTGTCTATTTCTCGGCGGATGCGGTTGCGGGGACATCCTTGCTAGCCTGCCCATTACTGGCGTGATCATCAAGCTCTGCGAGCAATTTGATAACGACCGAATTCGATTCACAGTACTTCGCTAGGCTTGCATAGTGAGGACATCGTGATCTACCGCAGCAGGGCTGCCGTAGTGAGAGTGATAAGCGATTGCGCCGCTTTCAGTGACCCGGCCTGGACAGCCAAGCATCGACCAATCTTGCTAAAATCCAAGGGAGGCCCAGCTGGGGCCTGCTTCAGAGGGAAAATGTGACAGCGATGTTCAACCATCGTACAGCGAAAAACACCGCAACTTAGCAACTTCGACCTATCTTTCTTCTCTGGCGGTGTGATCAACTCTCATAATGGAGTTAGGAGTATTGCCGACGGAGCCTATTCAGCGAGAAAAGAAAAGAGGACGAAAAAAAGTTATCCCTAGCTCTCCGACCGGTAGAACCTCTTCACGGTTGACCACGATCAAAGAACAGTTGAAATAGGACGCGCATGCGATGGCTAGCATTTTGAATTTGGTTGTCTCCAGCTGATAGCCCGAAGATCGCGCCCATATCCTGCTTTTTTGTCATAAGCGCCAGAGCCTTCCGATCTGACCGACATGATTCTCTGAACCTCAGCACGGTACCGGCATGCGTCCAAGCAGATAAGGGCCTGGCGTGAATCTCGTCTCTCTGTAGTTTCTTTTCTCTCTCTCTCTTTCTCTTAACGTCATGGCACCTTGTTGTATGACATTAATCTGTGGATCTCAAGATATTGATGACAGTGTGGTTCCAATACGAAGAGTATCGGGTCCTGCAAGGTTAGGATCGCGAGAGCCCTAATCTGACATCAAGGGACAGTCGTCCTTGCGAAGTGTTGCGCGCGGAGTTACATAGGTGATCGGACTTGAGTTTATCCCTCTCGAAGCATGTGACCCTCTGTGCCGCGCGCGCGCGCGTCCATGAGCGAAGGCAAGAGTCTGCACGGGCCGCATATATATACACACAATAAATAATCTTGCAATCGGTCCCTGTAGGTACATCGTCAGATACCTCGCTAAACATGCACGCGTGTGGCACACCAAAGATGGATCCTGCGTGACACACAGGAACTGGCATAAAAACGTACAAACACACATGTGAAAATACGAATTACCACCCAAAAAAATACATCAGAAGGAAAGATGCAATAGTTTGGTCAACGAAAGAGACGTGATGCAACGAATGAGTTGATTATAGCAACTGCAAATGAGGGAGTTAAGGAGATGACGACGGGGGAACTTAATGGGAGAATAACAAGGACATTAAAATGAGCAAGCCCCTAGGGAACGGGCTCAGTCGGTCAAGGGGGGATCAGCGAAGCACTGCAGGGAGGAATTGGACGCAGTTGAACTTGGCGCAGTTCCGCCACCGGAACCAACTCCAATGAAAAAGGACCTCTCTATCGGCACTAAGTACCTCGATAATCTTCTGCACTCAAGATAATCCCCACTCCCCCCCCCATTCCCTCAGGAAGCCCGAAAGACTTGTGGTGGACTCGAAAAAGCACGACAACTGAGAAAATCACATTCACATTCCAAAACTCAACAAGGTGGGGGGGGGCCGGGAGAGCCGAAAAAGAAGCTCAAGCACGATTAGGAAGCGCGTGATTTTTGCCACCATCAAGTGGCACAAAAAAAGGAAAACTTGATTTGAACGTGAATTGGTTCTAGACGCGACGGGAGCTGATATGCATTGCAAAAGAAAGAAGGAAAAAAAACCTGGAACCTTGGAAATAAATATCACGTGTGACTCGTATCAAACCCCTACCCTAAGGTCGATCCCTTTTTGGAGGGAAGGGGGGGGGAAGAAATGGACATGGAAATAGAAAGGTCCAAATGTTCTTTCACATGGAACATGTTGGGGTTGGACACGTGGGAATTAGGAAGGAGAGACCCGGTACCAAGTCGTTCAACTGCGCGAATCGGCTTCCAGCGGGAAGGGAGCGATCCACAGGGGCAGAGGATCATGATGATGAAGGTAGTGACGGTGACGACGAGACGGAAAGAGAAAAGGAACTAGGCGAAATGAAGGGGGATAAGAGATCAATAATGACGGCATATGGACTCGTCAATGTCATAGATACCAACATCTCACATCTCATATCCTAGGACTGGGTAACGCCGTTAAGGGGAAGGGGCAATGATCATGTTGATAGGCGCGAATCGGGGAGGAGTTGCGCTAAACGAGCATAGAGAAAGAAGAAAAAAAAAAGCTAGCTACCCACGGTGATATCGATTACCAAAACTGATACCCACGCGTCACAATCGAAACAACTCACCCCCTTTTACCATCTACAACGAAGAACCCCCCCCCCTCCTTCACTATCCCGCGGGAGTGATGTCATGCCCTCCCAGTCTCCAACCAGCACAGGTGAAGACTACTCATGGAGGGAAGAGCCCAAACCAGTTTTGGTAGAGCAAAGTCCCAGCCGCTGAACAAGCACAACTTGCATCCCCATGCCAACCCCTCGTTTCATCACACCACACTAGTTCCTCCGAGATAAGAAGGACGGGGGGGGGCAGCGGCGGCGACGACGGAAAAGGAGAAATCCATTCAGCGCATTGAACGATTATAGCATGTGTGTATATGTCGAAGGGCGGCTGTGCAATAGCGAGTTCCGTTCAATATCGTCGAACCGCTGGGTGAGATGATAGTTGCGGCGTCCCCCCACGCGATAGGCAAAAAAAGAAGCCCGTCAGTGTCAATTGGAAACGGCGGAAAGGAATCGCAGCATAAGGTAACGTCCGTCGTTGAATCTAGGCAGGCGTTGAATGTTGAGTTAGTTCAGCTCCACCATCCACAGGGTATCCAAAGAAGTATCCCTACCGAAGCCAAGGCGGGAGATGTCTAAACGAAGGGGGAGGGGAATGGATGTTCATTCCGACCACACGGTGATGATGATGATGATATGACGAAATTTGCCGAAAGCGAGAAGCGAGAAGATGGATAAATTAACAACAAAAAGATGTGATGATCATGATGGAATAGGGAATAATATGCTTGGGGGAAATTTGATCACACTGATTGCTTTATAGGACCAATGCAAGGGAACAGGGACTGGGAAGGGAGAAGGGGGAGAGGGGAAGACGAGCAAGTGGCGTACTCAGCATCGAAAGCGAGACACACGAGGGAGTTTTTTTTTTAGGATCATCGATCGATGCAAGGGATGGGGTTACATGATGATGCATCCAGAACTCTCCTTTGATGGTGCCTGCGAGCCTGGTAACGCCCTCTTCTCGATTTCGTCAAGGGCTTTGTCGAAAACATCCTCTGCGAACATCGAGATGATTGGCACACATACACAAAAAATCAGCGATCAAAGGCCATCAAAGGGAGGGAGGGGTTATAGTAGCTACTCACGGATATGGGAGGCATCTTTTGCGCTCGTCTCTATAAAGGCTGATTTCAGCTCTTTTGCGAGACGAGCCCCTTCTTCCTCCGGTACCTGCCTAGAACTTAACATATGAGTCCAATCAGTCCTCTCACAAACCAAAGACAGAACCGGAGCATAATAATATTTATTAAAAACAACAACAACAACTTACCTTGAATCCGCCAAGTCACTCTTTTGCCCAACGACGACGCACGGGATGTTGGCCATCCCGCTCTGAGTAATTATCTTATCATGAACCTTCTTGACCATTTCAAAGGACACTCGATTGGTGACGGAATAAACGAGGATGTAGCCATGGACACCAATGCTATGACGCGAGTGGAGTGGAGTGTATTCGTCCTGACCGGCTGTATCGATGATATCGCAGTCATATTCCCTGCCCTTGTAGTTGATTTGCTTGGTGAAAGTGTTCTCGATTGTGGGGAAGTAGTTTGGGTGAAAGACGTTGTCGGTAAATTGAATGATAAGTGATGATTTGCCTGGAGGGGGTTCATTGATGGTGTATTGTGTGTGTATATGTGTGTGTGTGTGTGGGCGTCGATGGAAGTGAGAACGGTTGACGGTTGAAGTGACGAGACAGGGGGGGGAAACGGTGAGAGCGATGAATAAACTTAAAGTGAGCATTGTGTGCGACGAGGTTTGGGGAGAGCGAGGGAAAGAGATTGGGAGGACCACGTACCGACAGCGCGAGAACCGAGGACAGCGATCTTGCGCTTGTTGAAGATGTTCTCGATTGAAGTCATTGTTATAGTCGATCGAGTGTGAGTGATTGGGGACGAAGCGAAGAGAGTGAGTGCTGGAGAGCGTGGAAAGTTGAAAAGAGGAGCGAAGAGTTGCTTGAGGGAAGGGGAAGGGAGAGTTGTTGTCGCCCGCCTATTTAGCAGCGACGAGACACAACCAACTCAATACAATCCCCAAACATTCTACTTTAGGTAAAATTTATATGTGTGACTCGCAATATCCATACAATACAAAACTCGCGGAAAGGATCCGGTTGAAAAGAAAAAAAAAAACAATGAAATAATTATGAATGTATATCGCTAACACAATATTCCCGATTCAATTCCCCCCTTCATAAAGAGCTCAACAAAATCGAATACTTTTTTCGGGTGTTTCTAGATTTCCCTTGATAATTGATTGATTTCAAAAGTTATTCCCTTTCCCACTCACTTGCCAAATTTGGACCTTCGTTCACTCGCTCCGTTACCATACAAGGTAGTCTGCGGTGGCCCGCTTGTTTTCCCAATCCATTTCCATCACACAACTCTGACTGAATGGGTGATTCTCTCAAGGGCCGGACACTCCCCGCTTTTGAAGAAACAATTGAGAACTTGTGTGTATGTGTATGTGTATGTGTGTGGAATGGTGGTTGGAAGGACGAATTTTCTCGAATGGAAGGGCCTTTTAGAATCCAAGGTCCCAAAGCTTAGGCCGCCCCCCGTCGTCTGCAATATGGATCAAAGATGTTTGACGAACCCCCCACTTGCTTTCATCTCTCAGAGTGATTCGTAACAAATGCGTGCAGTCATTATGTATGTATGTACTGCCAGTTGCCCTGATGATGATGATGATCCCCTCGCTCAGGTACAACAGAGTATCTTTCCTCCCCCCAACCATCGCCCGCGCGCGTGCACTTACATACATAGATCCACATCAACACATCTCATTTGTTTTACATATTCCTTTCTCTCCTCGTGGCCTTGCAAACGGGGAAGAACTTCCAGCTTCCGTAATTTTTCACCCGAAAATGCATTCCGTTCTAGAACTTCTTCCGACCCTTTTTTTTCCATTCTGCCATTCCATCAACGGCCGGCCAAACCATAATTCGATTAATGCCCGCGCTTCAACGCTTTTTGCAGCGCTTACAATAGCGCTGAAGCAAAACGTCGTCCAAGCAACGACCTTCCCCCCCATACACACAACCGCATCTTGGATTTTACGTCTTACTCTGTGCGAAAGCGCGCGGTCTATACATTATGGAGACAGTATAGCCGCCCCCGTTTATATGATCACCTCCGACCCCGACCCAACGCTGCTTCTTTCGTTTATTCCCATAACCCCATACCCCTCCACCACCGCCCATCGCTGTGAACATTTCGTACGCACAATCATGCACGCCATCAACCGCCATTTGGGAGCCCCGGCCCTGACCCCCGGGCCAAGCCGAACCCCCCCGACCATTGACCATTCTGCACATGAAGCAGTATGGTCGCATGACGTAGCGAAATTCAACCTTGTTATATACGCACAAGCCCAATCCCCCTAAATGCTATTTTTAACCATGGGCACGCGCAGGCGGCCATTCCCCCAACTCATGACACGCCCTTTATTCCATCAACGATAAGGACCAATTCAATATAGGGACCTCCGTGCCGAAACACGTGGAAGTCATGTCGTAAAAGGGATACAAATTTCCCATGCATGCCATGTCAAGAACAAGCGCGAACCCTTCCAGATATGATATATGCATAACCACACCTTTATCGCCCATTCACCCGGTACCCGTCCTTGCATAGAGAAACGATGCGATAAGGATGGATAGATAGAAAAAACGAAATTCAAGGGGTGCAGTTATCGCAGGCTGCCAATTTGATCGTGGTACTTGCACATGCATGATGATTCCAGAGTGGCGCACCTCAACTCCACAGCGCCGCACATGAAAGATGGCAATATGTAATAGGCGCTCATCTACAAACTTATACGCGCACAAGCACACGTCTACCCATTTTAAGCAACTACATATGTAAAAGCAGCTGACTCCAACTTTGCATAGTTAAAGGTGCTATATGTAAAGTCGTGTGCCTCCATAATGCATGCATGCATTAATTTTTTCGCTTCCGGCAGCGCGATTGATTCCAACGTCATCCGTAGGCTCTAGTTCTTCACTTACCGATCGATCGCATATTACCGGTGTTGTAAGCGAAAAATACATAACCCGCGTTGTGAACCGATAGCCAGGTCGACCCATTGCACAAAAGAATGGGCGCCGCGAGCGGAGCGGAGTGAGTGTGGGTGTGATGGTGGATGGGCCCATCCCCATCGATCCAGACCCCCCATTTCAATTTATCGCAAAGTCGCCTAGACAGCTGCATTAGGCGCTACAGTAGACTTGTACACAAGCCCCGAAACGAATTATTTAAGTAATATAGCACACAATTATTAACAGCGAACTGACAGAGGGGGACTAAACCATGCACATCGGGCTGGCTGGCCTTAAAATTAAAACGACGTATAGATGTGACGTTGTGGCAATGGACGACTGAGCCCCCTCCCCCATCGGCGACGTATGCATGATGCGGTACTTAACTGCGACTGGGAAGGGGGGCTGGACTTGCGACCTGGTATAATCAATATAATCATGCATGCAACTTGAACTGCATGTATGTGCCGAAAGGACGGAACAATTCGCACTCCATTCATGCAGCACAGCAGCCCGCTCCGTACGAATCTGATGGATCAAAATTAATGGATAGATGGATGGACTGCGCGCGCCCGCACAGTGCAGCGTTGACGCGGCGCCAAATACTCGATAGTGACAGCGCGATCCCTAGCCTAGCTGAAGCATAGATAGTATGTTGACCAAGCCTCTATAAGCTTAAGATCGCTTTTCTTTTTCTTTTTGCCGAGCATCAGAGTACTAATGCAGAAAAAAAATAGAGCAGTACGGTAATGGCTGAGATAATATTGTCGGCACAAACACGTATAAATACAATTTCGACGCCGGACCACTGGACTGTTATCCCCGTACAACCATAAACGGTGTCAGGGATCACCCGAGCGCCCACACATGACACGTGTAGCCGTCCGGGCGCGATACATACATAAGCGGCAAGCTCACTGCGCACAATCTCCGGCAAGCAGCCCACCAAATCAAGTTCGCTCTGACAACGAACAGCACACATACATAACGGCCCTTCTGGCGTAAATCCTGATTCAGAGGTAGTCTCATGCCTCTGTTGAATTTGCGCCAGGTTTAAAAGTGAGCCCGCGCGCCCCTGATTCGAAACTTCTATTTTAGATACGTTCGGGACCAGGGGTCCGGGAACCCCAAGTAGCATTCTAATTATGTACATGGCCGTCAATCACCTTCGCGCCCCTCCCAGCGTCCTGGTACAATATATTTAGCCAATATAATACATGAACCCTTCAATGGCCCTGCTTTACATATCCAGGAATATTGGTGACATCTGGTATCTGATAGGAGTTGAGATGGGAGAAGTGTTCGGTGCAAGGAAGGAGAGGGGAGAAGGTCCCTGATGAAAAAAATCAGGGTGTTCACGGAGAACCCGAGCGGTCATACATAGGCCCAGATGGGTGAATCAATACATAGGTGCTTGATCAAGGTCATGTATGATCTGCATGTGCTGTTGCATCAGACGACGACTTGAAACGTTGAAAAGAAAAAGAGAAGGGGTTCGACGTAGCTTTCGATCCTTTGAGATGGTTCCTTCCTTCGTGGTTAGGATACACAAGGTGATTCTTTTGATTCCATTCCCCAATGGATTAAGAAGAAAGGGACGACTTACTTATCATTCCTTCTGTCATACAGGTTGGGGTTTGGTTCAACTGTGTGATGTTGAAGTCGAAGACAAGAACGATTATTTGACAGTTTGCCTATTTTGGGATTCAGTAAGTAAGTAATACTTAATCGAACCCGTTCTGTTTATGTTGTGCGGCTCAGGTCCTGTTTGTATGGGAGGGAAGGACTGCGGGGTGGCTGCGCGCATGTCCGGTTGAGCTATGTAAGTAATGCAGTTGATGTTGAGGGTCGGTAGCTGGGTTACCGACCGATGGCGGGCCGGGTGATTCCCCAGGGGGTCATCTTTTTCGGTTCAGCACATTTCTCATTATGGAAAGCGGTTAATCGTTGTAAGTGGAGGTGTCCATATCCTGGAAAATTTGAAAACTGCTTCAGCGGCCATCCCTTCATCATCGCCTTGGAAGAACAGCGCGTAGCTATTTCATGTTGTATGAAATGAGGCGAATGCTAAGTATGAAATACAGTGTGCAATTTGTAGCATGACCACTGTAATGGGACGAACAATTTCATGGTTGTCGATATCGGTGAGGGTTCGGGTTAATTGAATATATATATATATTGCCAGAATAAACATTCTCTATCCTACGTTGGACATCCCTTGCCTACAGTCCAGAAGTTTCGCACCAACACCGTTGTAGAAAATCGATCGCGCGAAAAATGAGAGTGCAGCCACGATTCCGTTCCTGGTTGAGAGCATTTCGCCAGCCTCAGATGTGTGTTCAGCGACTAGACCTGCAGTATGTACCTGAATATTGATGCGCGTGAGTGTGTGCCATTCCATCATGTCAGATGGGCCAATGTGTCGCATTTTCCGAAAGGTATACTTGGTCGGATAAGGGGGGGAAGTCAAAGTAATTATTGAGCTAGCACGTACGTACATGTCCGAGCTGAGGAGCGCTCCTGGCGTTGGCCGCATCATTGAATTTCGAATGAAAAAGAAGCGCTCATTCGTTCGGATTGTTCCCAGCAGAGAGAGAATCGATGACTAAGGGGGGGTTAACCTAGGCGATGGCTCGATATAGCTAGGAAACAACTGGAGGAAGCTTTGAAAATAATTCGTCGTCGATCCAGTGATCACATTGTCCAAGCATTCGGAAGGAGAAAAAAAAAGGCGCGCGTCGGACTCCAGGCTTTGACCCAGACCATTCACGAGAAGACATAGATGGTTTAGATCGATGGTGCAGCGGTAGTGACCGCTGCATACGTGAATGAGCGCCATCGAGTGAAATTGACCTTGACGATTGTTTACATTCAAGCCAGACATGCATAGCCCCCCTTCCACGGAGGAAAAAAATAGATCACAGCGGGCCAACCAGTACACGTACGATCCAAGGATAGCGTCCATCAAAAAAAAAAGCAGTTATTATACCCAGTTGCATGCAGATTTGCCTGCGGGGCCCCAAGAATTGTCGGTCACTAACCGATCGTTCGTTGACCCGGGCACCTCTCTTCTCTGGGGAGTCCGGCTCTAGGTCTAGCCCTACCCCCCGCGCTGTAATGTAGATCGATGCATTGATCGGTTGAAACTATGGACGATGCACCCTTCCTCGCTTCCAGCTCATCGCGGAATCCCTACGAATCGGTTGGATATATTTTAATTTTAAATAAGGCCAAACGTTCAATTGCATGCAAAGGAGGGTGTGGTGGTCAGCTGGACTTGATAGCGCAAAATAGACGGAAGGTTGACGCGGTTGCAGCACGTAATTGGCAAGTCGTTGCGTGTGTGTAAAAAAAAAAAAAAAAGCATATCCATATCTTTTCGCACATGCATGCGCATTCATCCATGATAAAGATGGGGCCACGGGAGGTTGGTCAAACACTAACATGGCAAGTGCAGCGGAAAGCCTTGGGGCGGGATTCGCCTTTCAGACATGTGTCCGTGCACGCGCGGACCGCAAGTTGCCGTCATTCTTTCCCACGGAGTATTACTTGATTGCGCCCGAACGCAGGACTTTGTGAGGTGTAAACGACTTCGGACACGGAATATTAATGTGATCAACCATGACGGAAGGTTAGGGAGTTGGTGTGTGGGGGTACCCTTTTCCCACACGTGCGTTATGTCCTATCCCTAGGCAGGATCCCAGCCTCTACTAAAGTGGACCTCGTCCACTGGATCGGATTTGCGCAACTGTGTGGAGCACTTGACTGGAGCAACCCTCTTCCCTGAATGGTGCTATGCTGTTATATGCTTATACTCACAGGGGACCTACAACAGAGAGCTCAAAAGGTCTGCACTCCTTAGCAACAGTAGGGACCCGTCCCCCCCCCACTGACTAACGTGACATCGGTCATGGGTCGATTGTGATAGCGATCAGCAGCTTACTACGCCGACTCTGCGTCGATAACTTTTTTCCTTCATCATGACGGTGCGCCAAATGAGGGGCGTATCCACCTCTGCTCTGGGTAATTTCCGACCCTCGTGAGCAGTACTTCATTCAAGGGTCAAGTCGCGGAGAAAAAAGGAACCCTGTCGGATTGTTCGCCCTGTGGATGGTTTATACATTCGGTTCTGGGGCTGGTTCCGTATCTCTTTACGGAGTAATCGAGAAATTTCATGAACGGGCTCAGCGTCATTTGTCTGGCCGAGGACCTTTTCCCGGATTAGCCTTGATTGAGAGGCTACGATGGATCGATCTGAGCCGAAAGCGCAAGTGCTGCTACAGGTATTGTAATCCTGTGTGTTTCTTTTTAGCTTGCTGATCTCTCGAAGGGGTAGGAATCGGACTCTGCTTTGGACTCATTGAAGTGACACCGTGACACCTCGGTACGTATTCCTTAACAAGGCGTGGACATCCCTTTGCTCAACATATGACTTCTGTCGTAAGCCAGCCAACCCCGCTGGCACAGTCATTTTGCGTTCTCGTGACACGTCCCTCTCGCTCATCATCGTCTACCTTCCCGTTCCTTTTGCTCGGCCGTTAATCCGCGGCTCAGCTTCAACGAATCATCCAAGATACCTGAAAAAGTGAGCCCATCTCCTTAGCGTGACATTCATAGGCGTCAGGATTGGAACCTTATGTCCGAGGATATAC